GGCCACAGACAAACAGCAATAAGGACGGCAGATATGCACAGCAGCCATCTGGTCATACTTGATCCTCTAGCTGACAGATCGAGTGCTTGGGTTTAATTATACTAACACCCACCCTGGCAGAGACTTCCACCACCAGGCAACTAGACACAGGCCTGAGTAACTCTCCAACCATGCAGCTCCTAGAATAATTTTAGTTATAGGGGCATGTAGCCAGATTCTGAAATAGAGCCTATGATGGGCAGGGTGGCGCAGTAGACAATCAGTCTTATTTATCAATTTTAGTTTTTGTATTTTATTTGTTTAATATCTCGCTGTGGGTCTATTGTCTCTCAGAATAACAGCTTCAGCAATATAAACATAACAAAAAACCAATCGGACATTCAATTGTTATTCTGTGTGGCGGCCAATACAAACTAAATTTATTCAGACTGGCAAGTGATTTCTAAAGCTAGGTTGATATGGTCTACGACTATAAGGAGGTAGTGCGGAAGCGAGTCAGCAAATATGTGGTATCTTAACCTCATAAATACAAAATTCATTAAAATTTTTCAAAAATATTTTAATCGACATCCTACAGTATTAATGTTTTTTCCGACAACGTCTGTGCAAAGACCCCCTAGACCATTTGCATCCCAGAGTGATATTTGTGTTGGACTGGACCATCCGATGTACACTTTCAGCGCACGGCAGGGGCACAGATGGCCGTACACAGTATGCACCGCCAATGCAGGCGAAGATAGCCCGAGAATAGAGTGCAGGCATAAAAATCAAAGCTGGGATTCAGAATCACCCGGGGCAGCTTCCAGCACAACGGTAACGGCTGGAACACAGGACGAGCTTGGAGTGCTTGCCGAGCTCAAAATGTACTTGGGCGAACGGCTGGATGAACAATGGCTGGTTTTACATCAAATGGCGCAGTGTGTAGAGGATATAAACCGACAGCTTGGCACCCTACTGTTATCGCAGCAGCAGCAGCAGGGCGTATTTCCAGATGCCGAAAATGTATTGGCAATTAATGGCCTAGGCATATGGACACAGCGCATTCCCATGGCCCAGCAGCAGTTTAAACACCAGCAGCAGCAGCAGCAGCAGCAGCAGCAACTGCCCGTGCGGTTTAATCCTCAGACGCCAATGCCCGCGGTTACGCAGCACGCCAGCATGGCAGCCAGTACCATTGCGCTAAGAGTGCCGTCGTACTTGGCCGAGCTGCAAGCCAAGCCAGCATCTCCACCTGTGGTGAGAAAAAAGCGCTACGCCCCTCTGGCTATCCGCGGGTTCATGAACTCTCACGAGCATGTGCTACCATCAGCGGCAGCAACAAAAGATTACATGGCTGCTCATGGCTTGGTTGGTTCAGGCAACAATTTAGCACATATTGCCGATCAGACACAGCCGCTGATGGATTGCGGCCACCGCGAGTTCATTGGTTCCAATTGGCTTGCCACAGCTGAGCGGGAGCATGTTGGCAGCGACAGCTGCAGTGAGCGCAATGCAACACTGGAAAATACAAGCTCACGCTTAATGCCAGTAGTGCACAAACGGCCGCCGCCGCCTGCGCCGCCACTCCCACCTTTTCTGCCTGCGTCAAAGCCGGCTGTGAAGGCTCCGGCTTCAAAACCCTACGGACCCGGTTTTTTGCACCCAGCAGTTCCGCATGCTCCCGATCTGCCACTGCCCGCAGCCACGCAAATAGATCTGGTGTCACAGCCAATCAACCGCAGCCAAGCCCTCACTCCACCAGCATTATCCTTGCGCCAAGCGGGGCCCGACCAAATCCAGCGTTTTTGCTCGAGTTTGCCATCCTCAGTTGCTGCACATACACCTGCTGCTTTGCGTGCAAATGGTTCTTCCACGTCAGCAAAGGTGGAGGCGGAGGGCAAAGCTGCGACGGATGCTTACTCGGAGCTTGATAAAAAACCGGCGACTTTACCACGTTCATTCGCAATTAGCGGTGACAACACTGCCAATAATTACTCAACTCCATCTGTGTGTCCGACATGCTCCGTGGGCCGCGCGGCCGCATTGGCCACTGCCAGGCTGACACCCGCTGACAATCAGCACGACCAAGCTCAAGCTCAAGACCGAGACCGAGACCGAGACCGAGACCGAGATCAAGCCCAAGCTCAAACTCGAGACCGAGACCAAGCCCAAACTCAAGACCGAGACCAAGCTCAAGCTCAAGCTCAACCTCGCGCTCCACGGTCAATTAGGTCGGTCATGGAGCTTGCGCGCATGTTTGACAGGCCAAATTAGAACCATTTAACGCATTCGCTGTTGCTTTAAATTAAAAGCATTTTGTGCACATAATGAAATGATACGATATCGCCCAATGTTATTATTTGCCGTTTACATCGTGGATTTCCTTGATGTTAATTCGGTTTTCTTTCTTTCTCGCATCAGCCATCTTTTTATAAACATTGAATCTTTTGAACTCGGAGTTGCGCGCGGCTACTTTGTCTCTATTTTCCGTCTCGCCCTCAACCACCTTTGTTTACATTCATTTTCTGATTCATCTCTGGACAACAAACGAGATCTCATCATGGTGTTGATGGGGCTCATTGTGCAAGGCGATGCAAACAAACGCAAAAGTTCGGCGCGGAATTGAACCAAAACATACGCAGCAATATGAATGGATTCAGCTCTTGCAGTCGGCAGAGCGCAGTGTTGCCCTCCAAAGTGGGGACTAACAAAAATAGTCTTAATTTTTGTTGTCCCTCATCCTCAGAAAATACAATAAATCAATAATGTTGCTCCATGTTTTTTTTTAGCTTCTGCACGATTTCTATAAAAAGACTCGCCTGCTTTATTTTTAATTTTCAATTTCCATTGTCCATCCTTTATTTCTCTTTTTATCATGGCAAATCTCTGGTCCCAGTGTGCATATTGCACTCGTAAAATAATAAAATAAACTATATTGCCGTCGCACGCTGCTGCCGCTGCTGCTTCTGCCGCACACAAAAAGCCGAAATGCAAATGGCTTGATGTATCTACACCAGTTTAAAAAATCGTTTCATTTGTTATCCGAATCGGTGTGTAATATTTTTTCTCTTCCGTATTTAGCATATTTTTAAGCAACGAGCATAGCATAATCACATTTGAGTTGCGCATCTGTTATTGTTTTCTTTCTTTTGCACTCTCGGATTCTTTGTTTGTATTACTCTCTCCTCTCTCTCTCTCTCTCTCTCTCTCTCTCTCTTTCGCTTTTATTCTTTCATCGTTTGTTTCTTCTTCGTTACCACTGTTATTATATTCAAACACTGCACTCGCATACATACATATATATTTTTCTTATCCGCACGCTTCTTCTCACTTTGTTTTGCAAGTACACTACACAACACTGCACTACACAACACTATCCACAGCAGGCAACAACCAACAATCACCCACACGCACACGCAAGCGCAAAACGCCAACCCATTGATTTCCACAATGAAGCTGCCGTTTTTCCGATCGAAGAACTCGGCATCGCCAGCTAAGGGCAAAAAAAACGAGCCTGCAAGCCCTGGATCTCCGCAGCACATAGTCAGCAACTCAAACGTATCGACAGCAGCGCACAGCACACACCAGCACGGCGCAAACTACACCTCGGCCAACCCAGCAACGTCTGCAGTGCAGGCGATAGCCGGACAAATGGCCGAGATGGAGTCATTTCTGGCAACAATCGACGGTTTCCAAGACGAGGCTCAGCGGCTTTTCCCCGAAAACATGGCCTTGGGCCAGATCCTTAATGAGCTGCGCGAGGAGTGTCGCCGCCGCGTCGACTACATGACCCGTGTGTCGGCGCCGCCTGCGTGGATGGGCCAGGCGCAGCACGAGAGGCGGTCGTCGTCGTCGTCAACCACCATAGCCGCAGCGGCTTTGGGCACGCCCCCAACTAGCAGCAGGAGCAATCGGCGCGCGATGACTGCAACCGCGCTGCCGACAGACAGGATCAATGCGACCGCCAGGTTTTTGGATGGAGATGTGTCGCCTTTGTCAAACATCACAGTGACCTCCAACGGCAACACGGCGAGCAGCGCCAGTAGCAGCAGCAATGGGAAGCAGGGTAACAGCAACGCTGTTTATTCAAACAAGGGCAACAGCGCCAGCAACACTTATTTTTCGCGTCATCACACTGCAAGTGCTGCCGTCGCTGGCTCTGCATCAACTCAAACTCTGTTGCTGCTACGCGCAAGTCAGCGCAAGCTGTCAACCGAGGCACCCAGAGCACCCCTCCGTCGCCGTTGTCATCGCCAACATACCTTCAGCCTTTGTCCCAATCACCAGCGCAGCGGCAGCGGTAGTGGTTGGAACTAGGCGCGATGGGCGTGCTGCCGAGCAGCGCCGCAAGAATCCGCCTCAGTCAATGTTTATCTCGAGCTCATCAGTAAGTAAATGTTGTGATTGTATTTATGACATATATGCAGTAATGAGACACGCGCCATTGTTATTGTTAGTATTAAAAGTGTGTCCCTGACAGCCCCCTTTCAGCATATTGCGTGGATTGTGCGGCTGTCCCTGTTTTACGTTTAGGATGTCCCTCTCCACATTCTACGGCTATTCATTGCCATCCCTGTGCTCCCTGCTTTTTGCTTTCTGCTTGCTGTTTGCTTGTCAGCCTGCTTGGTTGTTGTGCAAGTGTTTTTCACCAAGTGAGCAAAAATAAGCAGTTATTAACTCTTCATTATTTCACATAATGTGCTTTTCAATTTATATTTGTCGTAGGCTGTAGACATCACGGCCAGCGCGCGGACAATCAATGGTGGCAGCAATAGACAGGGCAGAGTGTCGTCGTTTCACACGGGCAGCCAGGGTAAATTTCCTCGCGCGGCAATGCTCGTCCCCAGCACTGGGTCTCCGCGGATCTACAAGCAGCGCACGCCTCAACCGACTGTTCACGCTGCCGCAGCTGATGACCGATGCGTCACCAGGAGCCGACACATCAACGCTGCACAACCGGCGATCAGCCAACACCATGCGCGCCTTTAAGCAACACCCAATGCAGCAGCAGCAAAACCAGCCGATGCCGCAACATCACCAGCATCACCAACATCACCAGCAGCAGCAATTGTCTCAGCGTACGCAGGTGCAGCCTCTGTCCGCGCCCGCTGCGTTCCACCATGCGGCCAAAGCGGCGACGGCGGCGACCAACGACTACGTGCTGACAATCAAGCTGGCTGGGCACAAGACCGAGGCCACAGTGTCGTCAGCACTGCAAACGTCGCTTGTGTCCTTGCCGCTGGCCAATATCCTGGGCGTGATTGTGAACCCAGTTCCAGCCAACTCGCGCGTCTGGGCCAACGGCGGCAGGAGCTGGCCAGTCATTGGCGAGATCATCGGTATGCCGTTTGTGTGCGGCAACATGACTTTTACGCACAGCTTCAAGGTCGTCCAGGGCAGCGCCGGCGCGAAGGACATGCCGCGCGATATTATGCTGGGCAACGACTTTTGCATAGGCAATAAAGGTCGCATTAAAGACAACCACCTGCATCTGGAGCAGTTATGTATGCCCATCACCGTGCCTGTGCGCCAGATCACTGCCAGCTAAACTAATATCGTTTTTTCATTGTTGAGTGAACTCAAGCAGGTGTACTGTTTTAATGCTTCTTAATTTTTCACTTATCTGTGTGTGTATGTGTGGAACGGCAAAATATAAATAACTACGTTAATTTGATGTGGGGAGAGGAGATACTTCTGAGATATGTACACATGGTCTGGCCAATAGTATTCTTTTCTTTTTTCTTTTTCTTTTTTGAGTGCCATGCATGAATTGTGGAGAATAAAATAACATGATGAGGCGCTGAGACATATCACATATTATTATGTAAAATAATAGCTGATATTGTTTAATTCATTTCCATTTTTCGTAGAGTCATCGGATATACACGCGTGCGGTTTTATTTTATATTTTTTGCACAAGTTAGCGCATGGCACAGCAATGCTCAAAGGAAATGCAAGGATCGAGAGAAGTATTGCGAGTTGCACGATTGTATTCCTCGTATTCTTTCATACTTTCATATTACATGCATGTAAATTAATTAGCTTATTTCAATATTCCATACGAGGTTTCATCAATTGAAGAAAAAATAAATTACAATGACTGCCAGCGATCATGATATTTCCAGCCCGACCAGCTCAGTCGGTGCAGAGCCTCGCGCACCAGCGCCAGAAGCAGGGTCGAAGCCACAACCAATTCAAGATTCGAAGCCAGCACACAAACCAAAGCACAATAAGCAGCAAAAACTGCCTACCGAAGAGAAAAAATCTAAACACAGGCCTGTCCAGTCCTTCGAGCACGTTTTCTCAGAGTCCAAACAAAAGCTCCCACCAACGCCATCACTTCCCGAACTGAATCTGACGACTTACCCGCGCGAGCTCGCCCATAAGACATACGCCCAACGCTACGCTGCCTCCTTCGGCGATGCCAGCGACTTTAGCGACACGGAAGATCCGTGTGCTGATGGCGTGCCGTCAACTGAAAATGCGAAAGTGCTTGAGTTCCATCCAGCTGCCCAGCGCCAACCAGCCATGCGCGTTGGTGCTGCGCGATTGAGCGAAATGATGATGTATGGCCGGCGGTCAAACCAAACGCAGCCTGTTGCTGTTGAAGCATTGGCAGTTGAAGCGGCTGCAGAGGATGCCAAGAAAAAAGAAGCTGCAGTGAAACGCCGTAATCGACGCAAGCATAACAGAGACTCGCAACCTGCCGATGGCTAGAACTGACTGATTCAACGTCAGCGGCGCAGATGCAACAAATAATAAGCAGCAGAACCTGCAGAGCAAGCAGGCTCCGGCGAGCGAGTGCGGCTCAAATAAGTCCTCCGAACACCTGTCGCTTATCCTGCAACCGATGCCATCGACAGATATTCAAGAAGAGGAATTCAACGGTCTTCTTGCGCGCGGCGCCCAAGCGGACGAAAAACAAAGAGCCAAAGCCGATGGCAGCACGCCCTTCCATACACTCCTCCAGCTTCTCCAGCGCAGCGACAGTAAGCGAGATCGCGAAGCCAAGTTATTCAAACCCATCATCATCTCTCCCAATCCACAAACAAACGACCAACCCATCTGCACAATGCAACCACCACCGATGCATTTGCATTCGACGGAATAGACGAAACCGAAGCACAAAGTGCGAGTAAATTTCCCTTTTGTTGCTGTGCTCCAAGATACTGTGTGGCCATCAGCTTTGTGTTTGTCCTCATGAGCGCCCTCGTGGGCTTTTTTATGTGGCCACGTATCCAACCTTGTCAATTAGCAGCCTGACCGCTTTGGCGCCTGCCCAGGTAGTCTACGACACAGAGCGCAGCCTTTTTGGTCTTGAGATGCCTTTGGAGATCAGCTATGCTATTCGCAGCGGTAACTTTTACCCGCTTAAAATTTCCCGCGTCCATGTACTCGGCTTTGACGGCGTAACAGGCAACAAGATCATTGATACAAAATTGGGCGAGCTGCGGGTGGATCCGCTGCGCATGCAATTTCATCAGGGGAACGCTACCCTGCATTACTTGACATCGGATATGACTGACCCAGCACTCGTTGACTTATTCGGTAAGTGCGCACCAAAGGACCAGCTGAGGAAAGCCAGAATGAGTGAGGCTTCGGGACAAGGAAGACCAGGGGCTCTGACTATTAGGTTCCAAATTAGAGTGGAGCGTATAACCTCGGGTGGCTCAAACAGCCCATCGTCACGCTCAATCAGAATATAAATTGCCCAGAATAATAAAAACATTAAATAAAATATGAATTAACTAAAATCAGATTAGATTGAAATAATAGATGTGTACTTGTGGAAATCTCCCGAGGTTACTCTTCGGCCGAGGTCATCTTGTATGTCCCGTAACCGGCGCATGATACTCTCCACGTGGTGCGCTATCGACCCACCATCGGCGCGCACCACGCCCTGCTCGACAAGCCCATTGATCCAAAGCGCAATTGTCGAAATATCCTCTCGAAACTCGCGTGCTAACGTCGGCAAACTCAGCGCGCGCTCCGGACTCAGCACAACATCAATACCAAACAACAGCGCGTCAATAACTGGCGGCGTCAACAATGAACATGCCTTCAACATCTTGAACAGATCAAAGAACTCACGGTTCATCGTGATCAGGTGCGTGGCACTGCCCGCCGCAGTGTACAGGATAATCGCAGTGTGTTGACGTACCGCTCCAGCTGGCTCATATCGCGCCGCACGTCACTGGTCGTCATCGGCGCCATGTCGCTTTTACCAAACTGCGACATGAGCGGAAAGAAGAACGCTGGGCCGACGGTACTTGCGTACCGCTTTTTCTCAGCGGATCGCGTGCCGGCCTGTGGCTTGGCGGCTACCAGGTCCAGTCGCCGCGACCGCCTGGTGACTGTGCCCGAGCCGATAATGCCACTGTCTTCTTTGATTTTGGGGCTGGTGGTCTTGGACACATCGGATATCTTGCCCGCATGGAATCCCCCTTTTGCTGCTTTTGGTGGTGATTTGACCCGGCCACTAATTCGTCCTCCATGCCGGACAGCGTGAGGCAAGCCGTGGATATAGCAGCGTAGACAATCTCGCGGTCCTTGAGCGTCAAATTGCGATCACACGCGCGATCCGCCAAAAACGGCCCCACAGCCTCCGGCGCCCTCACTGCCAAGGCAACCAACGCGCGCACCCGCTCGTGATTCCACTCACGATCCAAATCATCTGCGCCGCGATTATACGTATACAGCACACGGTTGGCCACTGTACCCACCACTCCCGGATGGTCTTCTCGATGCCGCCTCAATGCACTGCGTCAATGAAAACAGCCCTAGCTGAACCATGTCGAGCCCTTTCCCTGCGTGTCTCGCATGTAAAGAAGACAGTCGCGTAGGAACATTGGTGCGCGCGGTTTGACAAAGTTGCTCTGAAGGGGGGATTCGCCTGTGTCTGCTGTGAGGCTGCTTTGGCGAGGCGCAAGTACCTCGAGGCCATTGTATGCCCGCATAAATGTCACCGCCTGATCTACAGCGCTTGCTGGCCCCTCCTCCCCTTCCTCGTCGACTGGCAGCAAAGGGTCCGTATTGGGGGCCGTTTTTTGCATCCACTGCTGCGCAATGGGCTGCGTATACAGCCGCATCTCTGCAATGTACGCTGCACTGGCCCTCACCTCGGGTGGACCACTCTTCGCTTCCCGCATAATATCGTCCAACCCAAAATCCAGCCCCTGCTTCTCCTGATCGTACTCTTCGCCATAGAGTTGCTCTTTGAAACAACACAGTCGGCAACCAGAATCCCCGACAGCCTCGTCACGGCCATGGGCGCGTCGAGAAACCGCGGCACCGCGTGCATAAATTCCGCACTGGAAGCTACTGCCTGCGCATCTGACTCAGACAACGCCCCGATGCACATCATAACCAGGGCGGTCATGGCCTTTATCTCCGTTGCACCGCATGAGTGACGAAATCAGCCATTGACCATTGCGGAATAATCACAGAGATCAGCGAATCTACCAATAGTTGTGGATACACGCGGCTGGGCACGCCCTGCGGCACAACATCCAAGCGCCCTGAGAGCATCTGCAACGCCAGTGCCAGCGCTTGGAAAAACGCCAAAGTTGAAGACGAAGGAAAACAATCAGTAGTTATTGTTTTTGTCTGGCCATAAGGGCAGAGACAACCCGCACAATGGCATCAGTGGAAACATCGCGTCCAGCTGGGCATGCAGCAGTGTGCAGATCGCCAAGGATACGCGCTCGCCCAGCGCGTTGCCGACAGTCGGCTGGGCACTAAGTGCCATGCTGAGCTGCCTGGCGACTCCCGCAACCATGCGCGCCCTGAATGGAACCAGAACCAACCCGACCGCGCGAGCAACTGCCTCCGCCTCCGCCTCTGCTCGGCCACCAGTACCACTGGTATCCTGATCACCATTAAGTAGCAGTCGCGAGGCAACCTCAACGCACAAACTGTTGATCTGCCCGACACGACACATTTTGATCCACAAATCCACGTTAATATCGCTTGTCTCATCAGCCGGCACTACTGCTGCCATTTCAACAATGCAACGGGCTAGTCGTGCAAAATACACAGCGGCGTGAGTGCATGGGGTATTGTTCTGGGGTCAATGCGGTTATATACGCGGTCAGGCACGCTGCACACCAATTGCACGTACTCTGTCCACTCAACCCGCTGTGCTGCTGTGCTTCCGGTTGTGGTGGGTTGTTGTTGGATGCGCTGTTGGGATCGTGCTGGATCAAGTATACCATGTTCAACCGCTTGTTGCACCACCCATACGGCCATCGATAGAGAACTCGTGTGGCTCGCTCGTCCTTGGAATACACCCAAGGCTGACACAACCAAAGACCAGGCAACTGCTAAGTAGCCATGTTTCTGCTGCTGTTGCTTGTCAAATTCTAAATACGGCTGGACGAACTGCGCGAAACCATCTGGGTTATGCTGTAGCTCTACGGATAGTTTGGGGAAAAGACAACGCGTAAACCATGTGCCAAACACTGCAGCACATAGGTGGCAGGCAGCTTATCATCGTACTCATTGAAGAAGGATATCAATGACTGTGAAAGCCACCAGTGTATCCACCAACTGTGCTCTTCCTGAGGGAGTTCCAAAAGATACTTCGGCTCGGCTAAGCCCAACGCCACCAGCGGCGCTTCCGCAATAGCGGCTATCAGCACAAGGTTCTTTGGCATACCATTGTCGCCAGTATTGGCCAGTGCTCCGTCCTTTGAAGCATCTGATACGATCTGCTGCGGTAGTAGTGGCATTTGCGCGATCAATATCGGTGATTGGGCGGATTAAACCTGTTCCAGGTGCTTCTGATAATTCTGAAATTCCTGGAATCTTTATAGTTATCGGTTCAAAGATGCAGAGCCGTTACTGAGGATTAGGCCGCTTTGATGGTCTTTCAATTCTGAGAAAGCTGGTCTGGTGGTCGGAGAAGCGTTGCCTTTGGCTATAAGTTCTGGTGCTGGCGCAGATGTGGTTACACCAGTTAGCAGGTTTTCTAGTTTCTGAAACTGCTGTTTGATCGCAGCCTTGTGTATCATTTTAGATGGAATTGGACGGTGGTGAGGAGATATTGGATAATGTAAAATGATATTTTATAGGTTGAATTTTTATTAGAGAAAATTTTTTGCTATTTATACATTGTTTTGTCATCTTTGACTTTTGGTACAAAATCATTTTTTAATTATAAATATAGTCCCGTGATATTGCATTCTTTTTTTGGATCATTGCGAAACTCAAAAAAGTGAACGACTGCATATTTTCAGCACTGCAAAATTTTTCTAGTTAACCCAACTGTCATCTTTCATTCTCTATCTACAAAAAAACATTTTATTACCCTTCTCTCTTTAAGTTTTACTACTATATTTTTGTTATTATAACTATGGACAATGCAGTCACCCAGCGCGTGCTCCAGGCACTCGAGCTAGTCTACGGTGCCGACACTCCGATCGACCAGCGGCGCGCGGCCGAGGTAGTCTGCCACAACTCAAAGACGACGGCGAAGCGCCAGCCTACGGCCTGCACCTGTGCACCCCGGCCAACGGATACAACGCAACAGCGCGGCACTTTGGGCTACAGCTCCTCGAACACTCGATCAAACAGCGGTGGACGGGCGGCAAATCTAAAGCCAAAACCCAAACCCAAACTAAACTGACACTGGATGACGGCCTACAGCTGCGCGACCGGCTGTGGGACTCATTGCCCTTGGCTGCCAGGCCAACACGATGGAGCCGCAGTACATACGCGAAAAGCAGGTCACGGTCATGGTCATGCTGATTATCCGGATCTGGCCGTCCATGCACTGGACTGACCTGAGCGCGCAGTTAATGCACCTGTACAACATGTCTGAGGCACACCGGGAGATGTCGCTGCGCATTTGGCGCACGCTTGGCGAGGAGATGTTTGTATATGACAGGGATGCCACGGCGACTGTGCGCAAGCACGATCTGACCAACGGCATCGTCGGCGCGCTGCTTCCTACAGCCGTCGTTGCTGAGATGTACCCCAACGGATACCGGCTGACGACGACTTGCCCGATCCAAGGCGCCCGGCGCCAGCGCCAGCGGCAAGAGGGCCGTGGCGATAATGGTCGAGCCTGGCAACGACGACGGCTGGCTGCTGCGGTGGATCCAGCATGCGTGCGAGGTTGCGCAGCAGTTCGGGCAACAGCAGAGCGCTGAGGCACAGCTCGTGTCGTTGGTCGATACAGTCTCAACGTTTATGGAGTGGGTGCCATCAAGGCGCTGGCTGCCACGCGCTTGTCCCGCGGCTGGCGGTGCTGCTGCACACAAGCAGTGACCAGGTGCGGCTGCGTGTCACCAACGCGCTGGAGATCCTGTCACGCCGCTCATCGGGGTCATTGACGAGCGTGACATCGTGCTGCACCAGTTTGCGCAGGCTGAGGCCGGCTCCGCCCTGGCGGCCATGGCGCATGCGTACGCCTCGACGCTGGCGCCGGCGGTCGACGACGCATGGGCCGACGCGGGCGAGGCGCTGGCCACGGCCAAGGCGCTGGCGTTGGCGAGCAGCAACCTGGTGACGCGCATTGGGCGCGCAAAAAGCTTGAGGCCAACAACCTCGCTGCGCCGCAGCTGCTGCTTGAGCTGCTGCTGGCGCTGGCGCGCGACCCGCGGTACACGGTGGCGGCGCAGGCGCTGAACAGCTGGACGGCCATCATCAGACACCCGACGCTCAACAAGCTGCCGGCCGTCGTCGCCACGTTCCAGACGCTGACAGAGCACACAACAAAGACGCTGTTCGGCGTGTGCCACCATGCTGCGCTGGTACTCAAGCGCGGTGGGGTCGAAGCGGCCGGCATTAGCGACGACGAGGCCGACCTGTTCGAGTCGCCAGCCGACCTGCGCACGTTCCTCAACAACGAGGTGCGCGGCCGGTTGCTGGCCATTATACGCAGCATGTGCAACATCGACCCGGCCGGCTTTGTCGGGTGGATCATGCCGTCGCTGCTGCCGGTCTTTGCGCCCGCGTCACCGACGCCTGTTGTCGAGGCAGCCTTCATGATCGTCGACTCGATCTTGTCGACACTCGACGACTTTGAGCAGCGCGCGCTGGCCGATGGCGAGGGGGACTCTGTCATGGAGCAGATTGCACAGGCGCGTGCGCCCTGCTACCAGCTCGGCCACCAGGTTGTGCAGTTCGCGACGGCCAACACAGCGCTGGTGACGCGGCAGCTGCAGATGCTGCCGTCATTCGCCTTTCTGCTGCGGCCGCAGCGATGGCGGCCGGCGACGAGCCGCGCGCGCTGCTGCTTACAGTGCTGCAGAAGTGCGTCTCTCATCTCAAGTTTAATCCGGCGATCGGCGACGTGCGCGAACTGCGTGCGGTGGCGCGGCGCTCAACGGCTACGCTGGTGCGGCTAGCGGTGGCGATCCCCAACTCGCTGATGCTCATCTACAGCGACCTGTCGCAGCTGGTGCAGAGCCGGCTGGCCGACGCGCGGGTGGCCGGCACGGTCAAGGGTTACCTCAGCGAGTTTCAGCTGGCCCTGGTGGCCGGTGCGTCGTGCAGCTTGCCGCAGCGCAAGGAGTTTGCTCGCCCGATCGTGCAGCCGATCATCGACACGTTGCGCGAGTTCACGCCGGCGATGCAGTCGCCAGCCGACTTTGTGTCGTTCCTCGGGCTGCCGGTACTAGACCAGGCGTGTGCCGCGCAGGCATTTCGCCGGCGCACGCCAGGAGCTGGCGCCGCGCGAGACCGCCGCAACCGCCTGTCGCACGTACTGGCAACGTTGCAGATCTGCCTGCAGCGCACTCTGGGCCATGCTGCCGGTGGTCTCAGCCTGGCCGGCGTGTGGAGCGATTACGTCGAAGACCTGGCGCCGGCGCTGCTGCTGCTGGTGCGCTGCCTGCACGCGCTGTGGAACCCGGCGCACTGGCGGCCGATGCCGTGGCAGAGCGCCCAGGCGCAGTCAGCGCTGTTCGGTGTGCTGGAAATGTCGACCGCCGAGCGCCAGATTATTGTCAGCGGCGCGTACGACGCGGCCGGCGACAGCACACAGACGGCAGCTGCAGCTGACCTTTGGCGGCCGAGGCGCGCGCCGTACACAACGCGCTTGGAACTTTCCGCGACCACGCGTACCGCTGCCTGGGCCGTTGATGAACCTGCCCGAGCTGTTCAATGCAGCGCGCATGCCGGGCCTGGCCTCCAACTTCACGGCTGCCTCTTCGCGACGCTGAGGCGCTGGCCCCGCGCCATTGGCGCTTCCTGCTGACCGAGGTCGCCAAGCCAGCGCTGGAGCCGTCGGCAACTGGCCGGGCTGCGCCGGTGCGACCAGGGCGCTGACGCCGTCGCGCAGTTTGTTCCCGCGTGGCTCGCACCACTATTTGATTTTTGCACGCAGAAGCTCAGCGATGAGTGGGCCGTGGTGTTGGCCGGCAACCAGCACGCGACCGGCGACTCGGTGGACGACGACATTGTGCGCGAGAAAATGCTGCGTGACTGGACGCGCGCCTGGAGCCACGTCATCTCCGACCTACTGACCGCTGTGTCGCTGTCGTTCCCTGATGCGACGCGCATTGAGCATGACTTGATGAGCTCAGCACGCGTCACGCTGATTGCCAGCGCGCCCGATGCGGCGGACAACAAGCACATCGTGCCAGCCAACCGCGCTCTGGGCGCTTTTATCCTTAAGTCACCATCAGCCATGCTTGCCAAAACACTAACAGCTGCGCTACGCGTGCTGCAGTTCGCCAAGGACACGCAGGCTGCCACGCGCGTGCTGGCTGCGCTATCCATGCTGGCGCCCTCCCTCGCACTGGTTGCACTAGTCCGCAGTACATGCCGCCGTCGCCAGCACATGCCTCGACAGTGAGTGCGTATACGTCGCGCATCATTCCGTCATCGCTGGGCTGCGAGACCACGTCCGATGCACTACTGTCATGGCTGGCCACCGACCTGGTATCCACACTGGTTGGTCTGTTGTGCGACCCGCATCTGGTCGACCTGCAGGACCACTCGCTCATGCCCTGGCCGACGTCATCTACTTCAGCGCCAGCATGGCCACGCGCATGCCTGTGCAATGGTCATTCCGCGGCTCCTCCGGCGCCAGTGAGACAGGTGACCCTGGAATCGCCCTGCGCCAGGCCCTGCTGCGCGCGCTCCTGCAGCTCATCCCACAGCCTTTGTCCGCCGAGGAGCTCGAGCAGACTATTGAGCAGGTCGCTGTTGAGCCCGAGGGTAAGCGCAGGCGTGCCCTGATGCGCGTTGCTCTGCAGCCTGCACTGGCTGTGGAGAAGAGCCAGATGTTTGGCGCGGAGAAAAATAAGCCTGGAAAGGCATTGTCTGGCCCATCTGCCAATGTTTCGACGTCATGGACTAACGATCTGCGGGACAGTCTGATTCGTTGTTAGACAATGATGACCAGTTTGACCTGTCTGAGATGATGCCCTGAAATATATATACTAATTATAATAATAAATGTCTATGAGGTTTAGGTTGCACAATATGGAATAGAAAAATGCATTTAAGAATGAACTGTTTGTTTTTTATTGTCTTGAATATTTAATATATTTATACGAATTATTCTTATTACACTGGAGATGTTATTGGCATGGTGATTAATTTGGATTGTGGCAGTGTTGTGCTTTATAGCAATAGCCAATCGATAAGTAAGGAGTTTGAAAGGGGCGTGACTTTGATGCTGTGGACAAATGCAGGTGGTGGTTTCCTGCTGTCTCACCTGCATCAGAACAAGGGCTGGTGTTTTTGAAGCCTGATGTTAAAGAGGAAATACTGCTGTTGGCCACAGTTTTGCATTTGTTGTTCTGAGTCTGAAAAGCCTGTTGATTGAGCCAACACGCTCACTGCAATGCTGTATCCATTACTAGAGACCATATTTAAAATGTTGAAACGCTTGCCAAAGATAGTATATATTGAGAATGAAAATGTGCAAAATGTGAACTAAATTGTCTGACTAAATTTTTTGCTGAAGGTCTGCTGGAAAAAAAAAACAAATTTCCAAAGCATTGTAAAGGATGCGGCTAAACTGGTGTTGAGCAGCCTGATTATATGGAAGTGGCTGTTGATGAAGACTTGTTTCATGATTCTTAACCTCAACATGTCAATTAACAGGGCATTGATGGTACCATACAGGATCAAATCAGGGGACACAATAATGACACCTTGATATACCCCTCCTTTCCATAATGCATATGCTTGAACATGCATATGCGAAGAGCATAGCCTTGACATGCCAAGACACCAGTCTGTCTACAGAATAAACAGTTATCATCAATGGAGTGCACAATTGGTAAAGTGCACAATAAAGAAATGAGATACATATATAAGATGAGGCTGGCCCTAGTTCTACTTTTGATTCCATTGATAATAAACACTTTCGTAAATCAACCAAACATACTTTTAACACTAATCGACTAGTACTCCACCCAAATCACCACCCTCTTATTATAACACTGGAAAAGTTACTTTGGAATGCCAAACCCAAAATGACATTTGTCTTTAAAAATAGAAACTACCATGCATTTATTAAAATAATATTTTAACATATAGATTTTGAACATATATTTAGGCTGTTTTCAATGAATTATTTGCAATGCCATTGAAATGTGCGCTATAACAACCATCGTTGTTTTAATATTTTTAAGCCGAGTATTTCTGCAAACTTGCAATTTTATTTATATGTTTCTTCAATTTTTGTACAAGAACCAATTATATTTTTGGAAGCGCATAAAATGAAAATACAATGTAAATTCTTGAAGTGAATGCTGTAATGCTCTAGAAAAATGTGGGTCTAAATTATTATATTCAAGTATCAAAAAATTACTTAGGAAACTGAAAAATAGGGTAGCGTTGTGTGGGAAGCGCTGTGAACATAATGCTGTCCCTTGATGTCAGCCAGAAATAACAGAAGCGTGTATAGCAACCATGAGGGCGATGTTGATGCTTGGGAAGGAAGATGGTAGCTTGGAATGTGTGTTGGACATCACACCCTTTGCTTACACCCTATATTTAAAATAGCAAAATATCTATATTTTTATTTTCTCCATTTTCAAACATGGCTTCTACAATATCTCTCTTCCAAACTTTGTCTTATGATGCTAAGCTTGGATAAAGGCAAACTTGTTGAATCGGAAGCCTTTGTTGATTATGTACCGCCCCAGCGCTTCTTTTGACTTGCCCAGTTCTTGGCTCTGTTCAATTCTCCTCGGCAAAGATATAAGCAGACCCATTTACATTACCAATGAAGTAGCCCCAGCCACTCGCTGTCCCTGTCGATAAGATTGGTATCCATTGGACGCTCAAATCATGCCAGAAATTCAGCAAAGTCAGCAATACTTTTTTGTCTACTCCAAAAGTAGAGTGCATGTCACTGCCCTTGGTCCGCTGCTCCTGAAAAGATGTCTTGGCAGAATATTCGACATTTGGGTGGATGATGAACAAAGGCTTTGTATGCAGATGGTTAAGCAGCTGATTAGTCAAAGCCTCGCCTGAATAACTCGCTCAAAAACTACACAATCGCAGTTATGTTGACCTTGTCCAATGAAAAGTTTTGATTGATTATGATATGACTTTGATAACCGTTTGCTTCCGCTGTTGGAGCAGATGCCAATGATTGACAAAGGCTTGTGCCACTTGGCACACTTGATTTGGAATGGATGCTGAGCGTTATTGCAAATCAGAGTCCGAAAATAAGCGAAAAAAGTTAAATCATATTCGTTTTCGGCGGGACACACCCCAAGGATAAATCGTTGTCAGTCGAGGATTAATTATAATAGTAAAATTATACTAGGGAAATGATATGTTATTAATTATCATCTCATTTTTAAATGAATTCCACAAGTCCCATGGTTGATTATATTCAAACCTAATTTCTGTGCCCTGATTTTGTCGCATTACTGTTAACCACTGATATGCAGATCATATGAGGTCGACCAAAAAGGGACATCTACAGACTGGGTAATTCAATGGTCACACGGATCAATTGAGCAGATCAAGTTTTTGGATATTATCCCTAATATAAGCAGTATTTGTTTTCAACATTATCTCAATTAATGATTTGTCAATATGCCGACCGTAATGGTATTGTCTGCACTATCGTTTGTCAGCCTTTAACTTATCGAATTTAGATAATGCCAGTTCATTACAAATAACATTTGTTTTTTATTTGCTGCATAATCGGGGGCTCCCGATTTGGCAGACCAATCATATTTTTTACTGCGCGCAAAAATGTTACTATTCAACTTTTTTTGTGATTTTCAAGGCACTTTATTTTTGAACATTGGATATTTTTAAGTGCTGCCCCAAGAATGAGGGCGTTAGAGAATGTAGCATAGTTTGTTTGTAAAATAGAAGTCATTTTCCAGTCCTCGCAAAGCATATTTGCAAACTAATCAACATGGAAAGCTCGCCATAGACCAGCAATATCTCGCTCGATCTCGATGCTGACATTATTTCTTATTTTTTCGCGGCATTCTTCTCATTATATTATATATATTCAATTCACACTTACACATTAACACTTTTTAACCATGCAATTGGCTTCGTGGCTGCTGCTTCCAAATCGGCACCAAGGTCAGTGACCATTATCGCTCTGGCATTTCTCAGTCTAATCTGCATACATCCCTCGCTCACAGTCGCAGCAGTTGATGCTCCCTCTGCGTCTTGCGGGCCATCGTCGCGCTACGTCGTGGCATACTACCAGACATGGAAGCACCAGTCAATGATGAACATTGACTGGTCCAAGATCAGCCATGTCAACGTCGCTCATGGCATTCCCACAGACTCGGGCGACTTTTCTTTTGATGGTGAGTGGTTCCTGTCGCAACTCGTGCGCGACGCGCGCAAGGAGCAGACCAAGGTGTCCGTCAGCATCGGTGGATGGACTGGCTCAAACCGACTCTCTACAATAATGCGCGACGTGCACAAGCGCGCGACACTCATACGCTCGATTGGCGAGTTCATAGAAAAGTACGAGCTCGATGGCGTCGATATCGATTGGGAATATGTCGGCCGTCAGGGCTCCAAATGCAACAAATTCTCGGCCACCGAGGACTCGGCCAACCTCTACACTTCCTCCGGGCGCTGCGCGCATCACTCCACACGCGTTTTACGCAGGAGGACAAGCTTATTAGCCTGGCCGTACGCGTGCAGCCATTTGACAACGCTGACGGCCCAATGGAGGACGTCTCGCCATTTGCCGAGTACGTTGACTTTGCATCGATTATGGCATTCGACATCAACGGCGTGTGGAGCAACACTACGGGCCCCAACGCGCCGCTTGAGAGTCAGCGCGGCCGCGGTGCGCCTTACTCGTTGAGCCAGTCCGTCGACCAGTGGCTTGCAGCCAAATGGCCCGCCGAGAAGCTCATTGCTGGCGTCTCGTTCCTTGGCCGTTCGTTGACAACCCGCAACATTATCACTGCCAAACAGGACGCCAACATGTTTGTGCCCTTTGACCGCGACATTCCGCAGGGCGACGCTGAGGACGCTCGCTGGTACGACGTGTGCGAGAACGTCAACACAATGTCAGGCATCTGGCAGTAAAGCATTTGCGCGATCAGGGAATCTTGAAGACCATCAATGGGACCGCCGACGAGTGGGTTCGCGTGTGGGACGAGAAAACAGCACGCCATGGCTGTACAACTCGCAGATGCGCCGCTTCATATCGTACGACGACCCGCAGAGTCTGCAGAAAAAGGTCGAGTATGTGCAGCAGAAGAATCTGAAGGGCATGATGGCATGGGGTCTCCACGGCGACTACAAAGACGAGCTGATGGACACCCTAAACCGCGTCGGCCCGTTGTGCCGCGGTCCAAGATTGACACAGACCAGCCGCTGACCATGTCGTCGTTGGCCTCGTCAAGTGCAACATCCATGTGGTCGCCGACAGTGCCGTTTGTATTCTTGCCAAAGACCACAGTCCAATCTTCGCTATTGTCGTCTGTGTTGCATACGTTGTCAAGCACTCTGTCTTCAGGCCACAATGAGGCAGCTCAGGCCAGCAGCTCGCGGCAGAATCTTCTGAGGCCAAATCGCATTCACCGTTAGCTTCCGCACAAAATGCGCCGGCGCCCTCGGGGGCAGCAGCAGAGTCAAACGCCACGCCTTTGTCTATTCAGGATTCAACCTCGGGACCAGAATTCTCATCGACCATGGTCACAGCCAAGGCCATTCTTTTTGACAGCATTGGTGCGCCTTACATGATGATTGGCGGCACCTCTACGCTAGTGCCCTTTGACCTGGCCGAGAAGATTATGAAGATCGTAGAAAAGACACTTGACTCTGCCACTGCCACTGCTACTGCTACCCTGGCCGCTGTGCCATCTGACCTTATGGGCACCGTACCACCTACATTCTTGCCGCCTATTGCTGAAGGCCCGCTTACCAGCGTTACTGACGATGGGTCTCTGCTTGGTCCCGTGGCTATCCCTGTAGTCGATGGTGTAGACAAGAAAAAGACGCAGCCTGTGCCTAGCTTTAACCCGCCGCAATGGGGCATGGCCACAAATATATTCGAGACTCATGCTTCGAACGTATTGACAAAGTCTATTGATTCCATGTCCAGCATCCCCAAGATTGCGCATGATCTCAACGGGCCGCCCTCTGTGTCATTGGAGACAAATTCCGGGTTTGCCGCAACCTTCTTCCTGACATTGGACCCTAACACTCCAGACAGCAACGCAAACATGGGTGCCACCACGGTCATTCCGTTTGCACAAATGATGGCGTCGGCGAGAAACGAGGCCATGCATGGCACACCCGGGACCATGGCTCTAAGCGTGGGCGCGTTTTCTGTGAGCGCGACAATTTCAGGCGCGAGCGCATCAGCTGGCTTCGGATCACTTGGAGACCATTTTAGTCTCGACTCACTGGTCGCGATTCCTATTGAGTCGTCAATACTGCCAGTCGGCGATTCTGCTAGCGCAGCGGCCGAGCCGACACTAATTTAGTAATTATTTTTTACGTTTTCCTACTTCATTTAATAATCGGGCATAACCACCATTTCTTTTTTTCTCTCTTCCTTGTCTCCTCTCTGCCTGATCACGCACACAAATTAATGTCTATTAACGCTGCATCTCCTTTGGATGTTGCAGCCCACCCAGTGGAAGGACAGTGCCTGGAATCAGACGGCTCTTTTGGAACGGAGACATTGCTGCAAGCCTAAACATACACATCATCTTCAACTGCTTCAGCGAGGGATTGGAGATTTTTGCTCGGTTCACACAACAGTGACAAAAGACGATTGGGACAAATATGCGCAAAATATGGCCTATGTCTATTGTCCACCATTAGGGAGCAAAGCGAAGGGGTAATGATGGCGTGTAGTTACTATTTCTCATTGTTAAACATTTTCATATTTTTAGTCATTGAATTTACAGCGCCATCATCCACACTTAATATGTCGTCATTTGAACACATAAAAGGTAATATATATTTATTATATATGGCAATTAATAAATAAAAGATGAGTGCCACACACACTTGCCATTATTTGTGTGCATTGGCCGCATGGTGAACGGCCGCCGCTCCAAGATAAGCATCACCCTTGAACCAGTCGGTTTACCAATAATATTAATAGCATCGCCACCATTGCCTGCAAAGCGCTCATAGTCGTCGCCATCGTCACAATAGCACCCGTAACTGTAGTCGTCGAGCCAAGCATCATCGTCGTCGTCAAAGTTCTCGCCGTCATCCTCGTGATACTCTCTTTTATCCGGCTGCTGCACCTGCTTGTGCTCCTTGACGTATTTGTGGGTGCAAATCCCGACCCGCTTACATGATCAGCGTACTGCACCAAGCCGTCGTCTATGAGTCACCCTTGAGAGAGTAGCTGATGTCATTTTTTAGCTGAGCGATATGCCACTATCTGCAAATATGTGGCGCAGGCTCGGGCAAATGTGGCCATCAGAGAAACCATGCACAGATGTAATCGGTGTAACGCTTGTCACGTGTTGCGGTGTACCAGGCAGTCAGGTGTTTCCAGACGGATGCAGTGCCTAGTAAATGGCGCTGATCGATCCTTCAAAATAATCAATCGTCTTCATAAAATACCTTGCGGGGCGAGCACAGCCCCCTGCGGAGCATTTGCAGTACGGGAAGCGTTTTCAACAGATCAATGAGCTGTATAAAGTTAAAGTCTATATATTCGACATTCAGGAACCGGATGTTGCTGGTCCATTTGTATCGATCCAGGCTGTAGATGAACACATTCTTGGGGTGGTTCTCGAATAGCTCCAGGCTATGGATCAGCGACTTTACCGCTTTGATGACACCAAGAGTAAACTCTTCCCCTTGTTTGCCCATATGAGTTAGTGACTAGTGAAACCGTTGAATCAGGCGAATGTGGGATAGCCGCAGGTACGTGTTTGGCTTGAATGTGCGGCTGTCCTTGGGCTTGGCCACGAGCCTCTCATGGATTAAATAGAGAGTACTCAAGGGTGCTGCTGTTTCTCGAGCATATAGTTGTTGGAGCGGTAGAATTATAGGGCGTGCGCAAGTACTTGAGTTTGAGAACAGAACAACCTGACTCAATTCTGGTATTTCGAGAAATCGAGGTGACATTTGGTAGCCAAAGGTACTGAGCTTCTCGAGGACAGGATACACGATGGCGCCTGCGGGGTTGGTATAAACTAGATTGCCTGCATGGTCATCAAATCGGTTGATAGTTCGAGCGAACGCAGGGTGCTCGGTTCTGGCGAATTGACTCGAAACCCAAAGCATCGGATCATGGCCGTCGTGCTTGATCGAGGTCACGCAGGCCAGCCACTGCGGTTTACGACAAGTGAGTAGGCATCGACAACTGTCTCGATGCACACTTGACCGACCCCCTTGCACAGGTCGGCGCACAACTATCCGAGAATTAGTCGTTCTGGTTGTTGCGCCTGATGCTGTAATTATTGTAATTAGTGGATATCACGGTCTTGCACATGTCGGGCACCATCTTCCTAATCGCCTTGATCAATTTATCATGTCGCGCTTGCCCAACTCGATGTCGTAGATTTGCAGTCCATACCCTCGGTCAGGTCGACGGTCAAAGTCTGCATGCGGGAAAACAAGTGTCGACTGGCCCGATACCATAATCATTTGCAATAGGCGTGCGTCAAGCGCCCTCTGCCAATTGTGCATCTTGACCCTGACTGCCTTTACCAGATGGTTGGTTGCAAAGTGTGGTGCGCCGACCGTTTGCGGCCAGAACATGAATCGCAGGCCGCTTCGCTCCCTTCCAATGTTAATGTCCAAGGTGATCTCGCTGCAGAACCGCTCAAGCATGATGCTGCGCCAGATGTGGCAGCAGTGCAGAGGAGAGTGGGCTAGCTCCATCTTGTCATCGTATCCCTCCTTGCTGCTGCATCCGACACGACAGGGCCAAGGGCATAGTCGGCGATTGTGCCGACAATTTCGCGCGACAAGTTTTGAAATTACTGTAAATGACGTTGAGCTGGCATCTTTTCGAGTTAAATAAAAAATATAATGGAGTGAAAAGCGTGCGTTTTTACTCATTCAGGTGGGCATGTGTCGGACCTTAAAAAAACTTGAGGATGGCAAGGGCGCTCTGGCTACGTGAATATTGACTTTAAAAAATGTAGACCGCTTGATCGCATGTGATCAAATCAACGGTCTGTCATGTGCTGCCGAAAAGACATTACGAAAATCAAGTGATTTCACTAAACGTGACTTGTCTTGTTTAGAAGACGCGTCGATAAATAGGGCCCCTTCGTGTATATTATCCAGCTGCAGTAACACGTCTTGTTTCTTGGGTTGAAAAAGGATATGTGTGCGTGCCGTTTACTGCACACAAACAAAATATTTGCATTCTGAGCGTTTATTCTGCTTGATCAATAATTTACAGACAAGTAATTCCCGACACATGGTGGATTGAATATGACCACTAATTACAATAAAATGTTTTTTTTTGGAAAACAGGTTCGCACTAGAATAAAAGGGGAGAGAGACTGACAAGGAAAAAGCTAAATATAAAATAATTGAATAAAGAGAACTTGGCAGTAGGCCTGCACTCACATAATGCTGGCCATGTCGCGGTGGTACTGGCGGACAAACTTTTTGAAAATGTTGTCGTACAGCAGTTGCAGGACCTCGGTGTGTGCCTCGTCCATCATGTCGACGGTATACTGCTGCGAGTGAATCAAACGCGTGATGCTCTCTGAAATGCGACCGATAAGGTTGATCTGCAGCGTCGCGCCGTCGGCAATAAAGGTCGAGTAGAAGCCGTAATAGTCCCCGCGCAGCGCAAAGGGCAGAGTTTTGAACGTCTCCATGTTGCCCAGACGGTTCAGACCAGCAGGAGTCTCAACCAGCGTGGAAATAACAGTGTAGCGCACAGGCGTAAACGGCGGGATGCGCGAGATCACCATGATGTCCTCGCCGCGACTATTGCGGCGCTCGGGCAAGTTGCCAATGACGGTTCCACCGACAGCCAGGGTGGCAATGTTTGAGGGCTTGTAAAAGTCAGCGTTGCATTGGGAGTTGTCACCGGCGTCCAGCGTGGTAGGCGCGCTGCGGCCAAACATGCGCAGAATGCCGGCAAACTTGGGAGATCCGCTGCCAAATGGGGCGGTCGACGGGCTGGCGCCGTCGGACATGCCGTGCATGTTAATACCAGTGCATGCATCACTGTTGTTTCCAGCCATATGCTGATGTTGTTGCTGGCCGGACTGGCTGGAGAGGGTGTGGCCGCCGTTGGCAAAACCCATCTCGTTGTTGCTATGGTATGTCGGCGACCCACCCATCATAGCGGCCTTGTCACTGTAGTCAATCTCTGACATGGATGCGCCGTCGCTCAGAGATGTGATTGTATCCGGGTTGCTCAGCAGGTCAGCAGCAATAGGACTGCTCCTGTTGGTGCCGTTGAGATGCAGGCGCAGGGCGTCTTTCTCACTGTACGCCGGCGCGCGGCTCGAGTAGCGCCAACAGTGCTGTCATTCTTGCTGGTATGGCTTGGAGACATGGCCGCGGCGGCAGCCCATGCGTTGGCGCTGTTTCCAACAGTGGCCAGGTTGGGGCGGCTGGACGCACCCTCGCCGCCCATATGGCTGTCTGCAGCGTTTCCAATGTCATCATCATCGTTGTTTTCGCCATTAGTGTTGTCGTCGTTTCCAAAGGTAGGCTCGTCGATGTTGTAGAAGCGCACAGTGTTGGCCTTGAGCACTTGGTACTCTTCGAGAACAGCGTGACTTCAGTGCAAAAGTTAGCGGCGCTGTAGATCTTGAGCTTTTCAAAGAGCTCTGGGTGGTTGAGCACGCGATAGAAGAGCTCCTTGCTGGCAGCGCGGCCCGAGTTGTCAGACCACGTGAAGATGTCAGACTGACGGTACGAGCGAATAAGCGGGAAAATGACCGACGTGAACTGCGACATGTTGAACAGAAGGGCGCACCACAAGAAAGAGTCCCAGAAGGGATCCTGGCCACCAAAACCCTTGTTGGTCTGCACCATGAACATGGCAATGCACACAAAGGTGAACAGGTTGTTGAGCAGAATGTCGTGGCGGATGCCAAAGGCATCCTTGATGGGCCAAATGTTGTATACAATGATGGGCGTAAATACGATGCAGTAGACGGCGGTCATTGCGTACAGCGGGAAGTACTCCCAGACGCCAACAGCGCACCGGGCGTACTTCATGGGCACGATGGACAGGTTCTTAGTCAGGCCCTGGATGACCGAGCAGATGACGGCGGCAAACATTGTTACACCCATCGTGTAGTAGACCAGATGGCGTTCAGTGATTCTGACTTTCTTCTGTGACCACCACCTGTGCACAGCGAACACGCGGGTCTGGAAGAACGTCATGTTCCGTTGCTCCTGGTTGGTTGAAATTTCATTGGGGTCGACATTGCTGCCGCTGTCCATCAACACGCCCTTTCCGTAAAGCTGTGCAGCGGTCATCTGGCCGGCCTTGTTGCGCTCCTTGAGCTTCTGGATATTGCGGAAACTAAGAATATAAAGGCGCATGGCTCGAGCCATCGTGCACGACATCCATAGCATGACGCCCGGATAGGCGCACCATAGGATGATAAAGCAGGGAAAATTGCCTGGCCACACGAACTGGAACAGGAAGCAAGAGTTGACAATTAGAATTGTGAAAGAGCCAATGCTTGTGAGCAGCACTGCGTGGGCGTTGATATCGAGCGTACGGCGGCCTCGGTAGATGAACAGCATTGTAGACACAGAGAAGATGAAAATGTCTATCACTCCGATCCAGAGATAGACGCTCCGCTGCAGTTCGTTGTTTTTGGAGGGTCGCGCCAGCGTGCCATCGGCGAGAATCTCGCTGGTGTCATTACGCTTGGAAAGCCAATGGTGTGCAAAGGACATGGACTAAATAAATAATAATAATAGTTGAGTAAAATGCTTGAGAATATGTCGCAAAAAATAGATATTAAAGAATAAAAAATAGTTATAGTAATCGAAATAGTAGAGAATAATTGAGTAATGAACGAGATAGAAAATATAAACCGAATAACGATGACGAGAAAATATTTTATTTTGGTGGGAATAAAAAAATAGCTCTAATTGCCGGCAATTGACGGATTGGGTGTTTACATATATAGCCTGAGGATGAGGAGAATTTGACATAATGATAATGATAATAATGGCACAGTGGCAAAAGGTGTGCAGAGAAACTAAATAGGAAAATTAAGGAGAGGTTGTTAATGGCGGCTGTATTGGTAGTGGTGGTAGGTTTTTTTTTGGAGTGCTACATTTCTTTATTTTCCCCTTTATTTCCCTTATTCATCAGTTTTTTTTTAATTGTTTCGTTTCATTTGGCTTTGTTAATTTTCTGCGCATTGTGTATTTGTCTTGCTGGTGATAGACAAGCATTTCGATGAATGGGGGGGTGTTTATTTTTCTTACAAAATACTTTTATTGACCTTGTCCCAAAGAATCAAACATTTCCTTTTCCTAATGCATGTTTGACTATGACAACAACAAAAAATAAACAAGCATTGACGAGTATTTATTAATTTCATTTTTTTTGGGTAGCTGAGCAACAATGACCAACAAAAATATTGGCAGGTTTTCTATTTTTTTATTTCTATTTTACAATGGCTCTTCATGATAGAAAAGGATACAGAAAGGAATGATATGGTAAAATACTATAGAAAAGCTGAGAACAGCGTCAATCCGGTGCTCAACAAAGTGAGTTTTTTTATTTCTTATTATATTGTTAAGAAAATGTACTAGCTGCATTAATTTGAAAAAGAAATATAAATCTTGTATGTGGATATTAGATAAAATGACCATAGAAAAGGAAAAATTACGCTTCTCTTTTCTTGTGGTCAAAATTTCAGCAGTGGGTTATGCATGCAGACACAGGTGTGTATTTGCCGGTGGCTTATTTCATTTTGTGTGTTTGTTTAAAACCGGACATGAACACTCGTTACAATAGAAAAACTACAAGAGCGTGCAAAAAAATGATATTAGCAAAAAGCCTCTTGACCAGCCCGCCAGCTATATTTGTGTAGCTTATCCATTTATTCAATCAATGTGAAAACAAATAAACAAATTAGAGAGAAAATAGGGAGAAATAGGGCGTTGTACTGACACTATAAAAAGTTACATTTAGACCAAGGGGGGGAGGGAGTTTCCAATCGCTTTGACAATACTTTTAAAATAAATATTTTTTTGGTCGATAAGCCACTATTTATATTTTTGTTTATTTGGTTTTTTGATTGATTGTGTGTAATGTGATAAGCCATTTTTTTAAATATCTGACTAATATTATGAGTGGCTAAAAAAATTGGATTATATTTATGTGGTGTAAAAGGTTGTTTGATAAAGCAGTATGTATATATATATATGTATATGGAATAAATGGACAAGTTTAGGGTGGTGTTTGTTGTTAATGCATCGATCGTCGGCATTTCTCCATTTGCTTTATTCCAGAAAAATAACTGAATAACATTAAAGTTTTGCTTTTGCAAAGAAAAAAGACGATTAAAAGTGATTAGATTTATTGTTTATTGAGCCAGCAGAGCACAAAAACAATTATTTTTTTTGTAATTCAAGATAATCAATTTAGTATATTTCATGACGTACCATTTTTTTCCTTCATTTTTTTCATTTAATTTATTTTTGCATAGATTCATACATCATGCAGGGCGGAATTGGGAGAGCGAGAGTGGGAGAGTGCAAAGCGGAAACGCGGAATATGTTCCAAAAAAGGAAAAAGGAAAAATGGTTTTTTTTTTTAGCGGAGCGGGATTTGATTGGGAAAAAAATAGTTTAAACCCCAAAAATAGTAAATATAATCTTTATAATATATTTTCTCACAATTTAAGAGGTAAAAAAATGAGTAAAAAAGCAAGGATATCAAGCTTACTTTTTCAAATGAATTCTCTACTGTTCTTTTTATTTTTATTTTGCTATTTTCTGGCACCCACCCATATCCATTCATCACATATACACTCACATACCAATACGCAGTGAATAAAAAAAAGTAAAAAGAGTAAATAAAAACTATAGTTTGATTATGCAGCAGAGCATCGTTGAGTAAAATAATAAGAGGAGACATTAATTATTAAACATTAAGCTAATGTCTATGTAATTCTCTTATTGGCGATTATCATTAAATTGAAAAAGTCAAATGGGAAAGGTCGGGTCAGGTGAGAACCACGCTATTGGTAGTCAGGCAGGCAAACAGGCAAACAGGCAGGCACGCAGGCACGCAGGCACGCAGGCACGCAGGCACGCAGGCACGCATACTGCTGGCAGTTGAGGCCAAAAGCTAAAGGCTAAAAAAGGCCAAAGGCCAAAGGGCAGAAAAGAAAAACAGGCGTGTGTGGAAACAAGAAGCAGAGGAAGAGTGCAGCCTCCCCATTTTTGTACATAATTTCACTTTACTTTTTCACCGTGTGCCAGAGTTTTTTTTCTTCCCTTTTTTGTTTTTCTTTTTCACTCTTACGTTATTTATTTTCTCCTTTTTTGTTGTTGTAATTGTACTGAACAGCATTTCTTGTACCGTGAAACTTGACTACAAGACACCTTTTATTATTACTTAATATTATTGAGACCAATTTGGCCTTTCCTTTTATTTATTCCTTATTAAATTGAAAGATTTCATTTAGCATCCGCGTGGGCCTTCGAGCAATCCAAAGAAACAACCAAACATAAAATAACCACTATCCTTCTCTTTTTTTTGTTTAAAATGTCGAGCGATGCACCCGCACCGCACCCGCACCTCCAGCTTCAGCGGCCAGCGACAGCAATTCACCAGGCATCACTAATTCAGATGACACCAGCCGCGGACGCCACACATCCGCATAGTGCCCCACATTGTTGACGTGCGGCACTGCCTGTACTTTGACGTGATGAACCGCGACGTAGCCGAGGGCACGGTCCTGAAAGTGGGCGGTTCACAGAGCGGTCAGCCAGCAGATGAGCCGAATTGCATTCAAAAGCAAGGTAGTAAGCCGGAGCCACGCGGAAGTATGGACTGAAAACGGGCAGTTCTTCATCAAGGACACAAAGTCATCCTCGGGAACATTCCTCAACCACATGCGGCTGTCGCCAGCGGGCGTCGAGAGTCGAGCGCACCCGCTGCACGACGGCGACATCCTTCAGCTAGGCGTCGACTACCAGGGCGGTACAATGGACATCTACAAGTGTGTGAAGATCCGGCTGAGATTAACCGCAACTGGCAGCGCAGCAAGGAAAACCCATTCCGGCAGCAAGTAATGCAGAACATCCAGAATGCCTACCATGCGATCGGCACCACGGGCGAAAAGGGCGCAGGAGGAGCGGCAGCGGCAGAAAACAGCAACACCGAGTGCTGCATCTGCCTGTACCAAATGGCAGCGTTCCAGGCTCTGTTTGTCGCGCCATGCTCGCACTGCTTCCACTTCAAGTGCATCAAGCCCATCCTGTTCACAAGCACCGGGTTCAGCTGCCCGCTGTGCCGCACGTATGCGGACCTTGAGGCCAACGTCACCATTGACGAGAACGATATGGAGGTCGACGCCAAGCAGCCGGCTGTGCTGCAGCTGCCGCCGCTCGTGCTGCCCGCCGGCATTGCCCAGCCGCAGCCGCAGCCGCAGCCGCAGGCGGCCGTCGATGCGGCCGTCGACGCTGTGGCGGCTGCTGAGAGTGCAGCTGCCGATGGCTCTGCCGCTGCCGCGCCGCTGCTGCCGCCGAGGCCTCCGCTGTTGGCGCCATGCGTGGAGGCATTCCAATGTCGAGCCGCGACGATGGCAACTCGACGCCGGTGCCGAGCGAGCAGCCGGCAGCCGACTCGTTTGGCTCGACGCCGGTGGGCAGCATGCCGACGAATATGACGCAGTTTGGGTCGCTCGCTGGTGCTGAGGACATGCAGCTTGCGTCGCCTATGCGTTCGGCGGCTGAGGCCTGTGCTGCTGTTGGCCAGCCGGCGGATGTTGGCGCGGCTGCTGCGGGCGGAGCTGCGTCGGCAGGCGCCGCTGAAGGGGACGCGCGGACGCGGCGGCGGCGGCGGCGGCGGCGGGCAGGCAGCAGCGGGACCGGGCGCCAATGGCAGCAGCGAGGCGCAGTGAATGTTCCTTCGTGGCTTTTTCTCCTTTATACTATCTTTTCCTTTATGCTTTCTACGTACTAAATCAACTAAATCAAACCACCCTTGATCATTGCTGCAGCTGCGGCAGTGACGACAGCGCGGCTGCTGCCTTGCGCAGAACCTCGGCGGTCGTCAGATGCGCGTTCTCGGGAGCCTTCGCCACGCGCGGCCACACCTCTCCGTGGCGCGGCTCCGCCCTGGCGCACTCGGCCTCGACCGCGCCGACGCCGACGCCGCCCCCGCTTGCCTGCTCAAAGCGCCAGCGCCACGCCCACGCGTCGCCGTGATCCGCATCCTGCACACACGCGCGCGCAAACCACGCACGGGCCTTCTCGACTTTGCCCTCGGCCCAGAACAGCCGCGCAACCATAACAACAACCTCGACGCCGCCGCCGGCGGCGTTTTTGAGCGCGTCGACCGACCGCGCCTTGCGCTGCGCGCGGTCCGCCAGCACAATGCCCTCTGCCCAGAGGCACGCGGCATGCGGGCACTCCTGCAGGGCGCGCGCCAGCGTTGTGCGCGCCACGGGGGCCCCCAGCGCGCGGGCCTCCAGCCGCACGGCCTGCAGCCACAGGGCCGCGCTGCGCGGCACGTGGACGCGCGCCCGCTCGAGGATCGCGCGCGCACGCGTCGGCTGGTCGGCAGCAGCCGCCATCCCGGCCGCCTGCGTCCACAGCGCGACCGCCGTCGGGCACAGCTTGAGCGCGCGCGACAAGGTCGCCTGCGCGTCGCGCATGCGGCCGCCCTGCGCCTCCAGCTGCGCACAGACCAGCCAGAGCTTCGGGCACTGCGGGAACCGCGCCAGCGCGTCCCTGCACAGCGCCAGGGCCTCCTCGGGCCGGCCGGCCTGGCGCAGCAGCACGGCGCTCTTCATCCAAATGCGCGCGGTGCCAAGCGGCCGTGGCCGCCGCCGAAGCGCATCTCGCGTGCGCGCGCCAGCAGCGCCAGCGCGCGCTGCGGCTGGCCGCTGCGGCTCTCCAGCTTGACGGCGGCCAGCAGCAGCTGCTCGGACCCTGGGTTGGCGGCGAACGCGCGTCGAGAACGGCGCGCGCACGCGCCACGCTGCCCTGCGCCGCCCACGCGTGCTTGGCGGCCATCAGCCACAGCACCTCGGCGCCCGGGCAGCTGCGCGTGGCGCGCTCCAGCAGGTCCGCAAGCCCGGCGCCGGCGCCGTGCTCGGCCTCGGCGCGGCGGCGGCGCGCCACAGGTCGGCGCTGCCCGGCTGCAGGTCCAGCGCGGCCGCGTACAGCGCGCGCGCCGTAGCCATGCTCTGCGCCGCCACCGCGTCGGCCTCGGCGGCCAGCGCGCGCGCGCGGTCCTCGGGCGCATCGTCGGCGTCGAACCCCGCCGCGCTGGCCGCACGCACGATCGCGCCGCACGTGCCCGGGTACCCGTCGGCGGCGCTCTGCACAGCGAGCTGCAGCCAGCCGGCGCGGTCGACGGTCTGCGCCAGCGCCGCCACGGCCTTGGCCATGACGCGCAGCAGCACGGCCGAGCCGCCCTGGTGCTGCTCCTCGAGCCGAGCCGCCGCCACCCACACGTCTGCGCTCGCCGGCACGGCGCGCCGCGCGCGGTTGAGCACGCGGCGCGCGTTCTCGCGCGTCTCCAGCTTGGCCAGCGCCAGCCACAGCGCGACGCTGCCGGGGCACGCTCGACGGCGTGGGCCAGCAGCACGCGCGCGTCGGCCGCGCCGTCCTCCATGCTGACCGCGTCCATCCACAGCGCCTGGCTGCCGGGCACCTTCTCCAACGCGCGGCGCAGCACGCGGCGCCGCGCCTGGCCGATCTCCAGGTCCGCCGCCGCCGACCACAGCCGCACGGACTGCGGGCAGTGGCGCACGCCCGAGGCAAGGATCGCACGTGCCTCGGCGGTGGCGTGCAGGCGCGCGGCCTCCACCCACACGTCCTCGCTGCGCGCGCACCGCTCGCACGCCTCGAGGATGACCTTGCGCGCACGCGCCTGCTCGCCGGCCATCTCCTCGACGCGTGCGCGCGCGAGCCACCCGGGGGCGCTTGTGGGGTTCGCCGCCGTGACCGAGCGCAGCAGCTCGCGCGCGCGCCCAATGTCGCCGACCTCCGCCGCACGCGCGGCGCCCAGCGACCCGAGCGACGTCAAGTAGCCCTGCGCATCCACGGCCTCCTTCGGCCCGCCCCGCCCAGCTGCTGCTGGTGCTGGTGCTGCTGGTCCAGCGTCATCCGCAGGACGCTGTCGCGCGCCTGCCCGATCGCCAGCAAATCCGTCGCCCCGCCGCCTGCTGCATCGATGGCCTGGTCGGGCCGTCGAGCCCGAGCCCCGAAACCAGCGTGCGGTCGGATACTTGCGAGAAGCGCTCGCCGCGCCGCCCGTCCGCTGCTGCCTTCCGCCGCCGCTTGGCCCGCGCCGCAGTCTCGGCCACCTGCGAGACCTCCGGAATCCCGTCCATTCCTCCGCCGTCACTGCGCCCAGCTCCTTCTTCAGCCCACGCAGCTGCGCTTCAATCACCGGCACGTCCCCCGTAGGGCTGTGCCGTGCGGGGATTTGCGCTTGCCTGCGTGCCGCTGTTCCATCTGTGCATCGATCTGCGCCCAGACGCGATCGGCTTCCTCGTCGTCTGCCTCGTACCGCATATTGCTGAACAGTCCTTCTTCGTTTTCGGCGTCTTGGAATCGTGCGTCCACGGATGCTGCCAGCGACGCCTTGGTTCCCCGGGCTCTGCTGCTGCTATCGCCTGCTGCAGTGGCGCCGGCGGTGGCGGTGGCGGTGGCTGCGGCTGCTTCGCGCGCTGGCCCGATATCTGACCGAGTGGTGAACCCGGATGCACCGCGCCCGAGCCCTGCAACGTATCCGGGCGGTGCGGCTTGCCTAAGAAATCCTTCGTGACAGAAAACATTTCCTTAATGATTGTATTTATCGGGAGTACACATACAAAGAATAAATATAATGGAATCAATCTGAGAGCAGCTTGCTTTTTTTTGCTTTTTGCTTTTTAATTTCTTTAGTTTTATAGCTGATCTAAAAAATCGCCGTATTTGGGCTAGCATCACATGACTATAATGGAATGTTGCTATTAATTACGCGTTTTAATCTTAATTCTGATCAATTCAGGCTGTAAGCAATGAACCATTGTGAAAACTAAAATCAAAACGCATTATCTTACGGTGGTGCATTCTTTCTTCTTCAAACAATCCTTCTAGAGCCTCTGCATTTATTTAAACGCTTACACGCTAATACACTCCTCAACACATCGGCTCTCTCCGGGTATTTGGCGACCTTTGTGCCACATTATTCTGGGTTTTTTGTGCCAAGGCACAAGCCAGCTAGCTGTAGTAATCGCGCCAGAAAGGATGGGTCCAATAAATCTTTATTAAAACAAAAGCGCAGGAAACCTCCTATTGAGGCCTCCCTGCTGCCATTTTATAGGCAGAGAGCCATAGTGACTGAATGCTATCTCAGCCGCCACTGCATCAATGCGTGCTCGGCATTGACTTGGCTTGCAAGCTCTCGGCTTGACCGAGCTGAGCTTATGTGGTGAGAATCACCACACCAACTGTCTGTCGAGTCCGATCTGCAGAACATGCCATTTGGTGATCAATATTGAGCAGATGCCCAATGTGACAAATATGCCATGCACTGTGCACAAAGTGCCGCGACGCAGCTATTGAACTGATTAAGAAAAGTAGTCGATACATTGCGGATTTTTTTTTTTACGCTTGGATATTAAAGGCAACATGCCGAACTATATTTTCCGCGACAAAAATGGCCACCCTCCCGCTGGTGTACTTTGTCCTCGAGGAGCTGAATTCAATGCGTTTTCCTATATAGTGTTGCCAGACTGAAATATGAATGGATTGAGTCGAGAATCGCGAAACAGTTTCACCTGCGCGCTGATCGATAGACGCTATTGATAAGCAGCGTAAATCAGGAGCATTAATTGTGCCAACATGCTCCATTCTGTAATGCACACGCATAAGCGTACACCACGAAAACAACATTGACTGCAAGATACTGTCTACTCGCAGAAGATCAGTTCCAACGGAGCGCACAATGACAATGTGCACACAAAGCGACTAAATATAAGATGGCTGTAGTATTTAGAAACATAATAAATTTATAATCATAATTTAACATAAAATAGTGTTCACTCTTATAGTAGATACCCGGGCTGTTAAAGTTACAAGACATTTTTCTTTGTTACGAGGCCTAGAATTCAGCTCAAGAGTTCATTTTACGTGACAACTTTATGCTCAGAAGGCATGGGCAAATAATCACCCGAATGGCCTATTATCCGCTATCACTCATTGCCTTTTAGCCAGTCTTTATTGGCTGCGTGTAAAAACATAACAGCAATTTTTTTAGCAACCAAATATTGCAGCTCCGTTACCATTAATTGCGGAATGTATTAAAACTATAAGGTGACTATGCCGAAGAGCAGAAGCAACACGATTTGCATTCAAAGTGCTCGAGTCGGCGCAATCAGCAGTTTGCGTTCTAAAGTTATGCGGACGGTTTGCCCAAAAAAAAAACTTTTTTTACAAGTTTCTTACAAAAATCCACCATGCCCATTATATTATCTTTGCACTAACTTTCTGCTCAGAAAGACTTTTATGTGTTGGCAATGCATTTGCCGGCTGAACACGAGTACTTTAGTAGACAAATTCATCACATCTACGAGATCAAAGTACTTATTCATAGTTTTTAGACTGATTTTTTTGGAATAAAAAATTGGTATATTCAACACACATGGTACATTAATACTGGTATATCAATCAATCAATGCCAGTTTGCTTTTGAGTAATCAAAAAAAAAACGGAGATATTATCCTTTCAGTTTTTTTTTCTTTTTTAAATTATTTATTTAAAATTACAATTGATAGAGCAAAATTTTTGCCCCCTCTGGTAGATAGCATCAGCCTTCATGGACAGTGATGCTGATTGACATTTAGTATCAGCGATGTTAATCATGGCAACCAAAAACAATTGAATCTGTTTATTCACCAAATATATATATATATATATAAATGCGAAATGCCTCTAGATCTTAAGCGGGAGTATCTGTCCTGTTGAAACAAAAAAAAAAAAAAAAAAGAGGTTTACCACCTTTCTACCAAATATATTTTACCAATAACTTTCTTACTTTATCCATACACTCGCGGTGCTCAAAAATGTCCTACTGCCACGCAACAGCCATTGACGCTCAAATAGAAGGTGTGGTTGACGGCTACAAAACATCCTTTACGTTTACATTTCACAAACACGAAACTGTGCAAAAACTTGTCAGTGTCATTTTGGATTACCTCAATATTACCTCCGCCAATTTCGAACTGATGTCTTCAGTTTCTTACGGACGCTGTATAGCAACCGATGCACTGCTTTGCAACCACTTGAATGAAAGATCCAGTATTTCAATCATTTATAGAGCTAGGCCCAGTGCTCCACTTAGCCATGCGCTGTGCAGGATCATCTAATCGAAGGCGGGCGATGAAGAAGAAGAAGAAGGAATAAAAACATTAACAATCAAATTTATTTTTCATTTCAACCAAATAAAAATATGCATAATTTACATAAAATGCAACTAGTAAATAAAAATAAACGTTAATTTGTTTAAAATCACTCATGTTTAAGATTGTGCCCAAATTCTACAAAAATGCGTCAAGTGTGCGAAAATCCTCATTTGATTTGCTGCATGTGGATATTGCATGCGGCAACATGTCGGACGCCGGATAGCAAAATGAGACGCGCACGTGTGATTGCGTGTTATTATTTTTTTTCGTCACTTTAATGATTTTTGGAAACAGCCTCGGCTTTATTTATTTATTTTTATACTTATTTCTGGATTGTATTATTTTTATATTATTTTTGATTGTTCTCTTTAACTTTTTGTTCTCTGCTTTATTATTATTATTATTCTTTTTATTTTTTACAACCTAATGGACTTCAATTTCAATTTCAATCCGCCAGACCCTAATCTTCCCGACCAGTACATTGCGCATGCCAGCGACTTGCTGACACAAATTGTATTTTCGACCCTGCTCGGCGGCACGGCGTTCGTCGCCTTTTGCCTGCTGCGCTCCCGTTGGCCCGACGTCTATGCCCCGCGTGCAAGGCTGCTGTTTGCGGCGCCAGCGCGGATAGGCAAGTCGCTGCTCGGGTGGATCTCCATGACGCTGGACGCCAAGGACTACGACATCATGTACAGCGTCGGCCTCGACGCACTGCTCGTCCTGCGGCTGTTCAAGATGCTCGGCGCGCTGTCAGCTACAGCATCGCTGATAGGTCTGTTGGTCCTAGTTCCGCTCAAAGTGATCTTGGATCCTCAGCAGCAGCCCAAGGACGGCAGTGGCAGTGATTCAGGAAGGTCGCTTTACGAGTCCATCACGACGGCGGCTATGGGCTCCGAGCGGCCGCTCATAGTGCACTTTGCATTCGCCTACGTATTCACAGCCCTTGTGTACTATTACTTTTCGCGGTTCGCGTACCAGGCCATATCGCTGCGGTGGCATTACTTGCTACGAGTGCGCAACACGCGGCCGGCAAAGTCCGTCATGGTCACGGGCATCCCGACAGAACTCGCGGCCGAGCACGAGCTCAAAGATCATTTTGAGCGCAGCGGCTGCGGCCAGGTCGTATCCGTCGAGATAGTGCCGCGCATCGAGCGGCTGGGCGAGATTGTGCGCCGCCGGGCCGGGCTCCTGCAGCTGATCGAGGAGAAAATCACGTTGATTCTGGGGAATCCTTGCACGGCCATTGGCTACGACCGCGACCGGCTGCAGGACCTGCTCAACGCGCATCACACGGATGATCACTACGCCGAGGCATGGCAGCTTCTGCGCCAATGGTCGATGCCGCGCTACAGGCCGCCAAAGGGCGCTCGCAAGCTAGACGCGCTCGTCATGGAGCTCGAGTATCTGCTGCGGCGCTTCCACCACGCCGACGGCGTCATCGGGCAGGTACGCCGCGAGTGGTTTGCCTCGTACGATGGCAGGCGCGATCGCAGCTCGACAGTCGGCTTTGTCACTTTCGCCAACGCCTCTTCGGCGCACCTTGCGGCGCAGTCATTCACGTACGCCCAGCCGTTCAAGCTGCGCACCGAGCTGGCGCCCGAGGCGCGCGATGTGTTCTGGGAGAACGTTGCGCTGCCGCTGTCTCGCGGCTCACGCGCGGCTCTGTGTCCTTGGTCATTTATGTGCTGATGATGTGTATTGGTTCACCATGGCGTTTTTGCTGTCGACGCTGGTCAGCATCGACGCGCTGAAGGAGTACTTCCCGAGACTGCCCGAGTTTGTAGACAAGAACAAGTGGCTCAAGGGCTTGTTCAGGTTCACAACGCCGACGTTCATGCTGTCGCTGATGAACGCCTGCGTGCCGTTTTTCCTGAGCTGGATCGCGCGGGTGTCGGGCATCCAGAGCCGGTCGGGCATTCAAAAATCTGTGCTCAAGCGGTACTTTCTCTTTCTCATTGTCAACGTCCTCCTGATATTCACTGTCTCGCGGACCATCCTGACGGACTACGACAAGTGGATTGAGAACCCGGCGCGCATCCCCAAGCTCTTTGCCACCAGCCTGCCGACCGCCGCGCCGTTCTTTATGGACTACATTATTCTGTACGGCCTCGGCTACTACCCAATCCAGCTGCTGCAGCTGGGCTCGATTTCGCTAGCTGTCTTCCGCCGCATGGTGTGCCGCACGCCGCGGCAGTTCGCCGACGCCCTGCGGCCCAACTACATCGACTGGTCGTTTATTCTGCCGCAGCCCATGCTTGTATTCGTCATTATGGCCACGTACTCGTCCCTGGCGCCGTTTATCTTTGTCCTGGCCTTCCTGTACTACGGCATCGCCTACGTGGTGACCAAATACCTGGTGTACTACGTGTATGCGAGGCAGTTTGAGACCGCCGGCGAGTTCATCATCCCGGTGCTCAAGTTGCTGACAGGCAGCCTGTGGCATTATTACTGCTTGATTATCGGACTGTGCGCACTGAAGGGCGCTGTCGGGTACATGCTGATGCTCTTCCCGTTGCTCTGGATTAACAGGTACTTGCTGTCTGACGTGTCGCGTCAGTTCTATGAGAACGCCAAGTTCTTGCCGCTGGATCTCTGGAGTGTACAGGGCACAAGTCCTCCGCAATCCCCGAGCAACCCACAGAGTGCAATGGCTACCCCGCTGCCGCCACTGCCACCGCCGCCACGCTTGAGGAGGAGGAGGAGGAGGAAGGTGGTTTCCTCGAGTCGCAAGACACCAATGTGCATGAGAGCCATGCAACATCCACAGACTACTTGCTTCCGCGCGCCCACGTGCCTTCGCCCTTTGGCCAGCTTCTGGATGCCATTGACTCGGAGTCGCGCGGATCCGCCACCCGGCTCTGGGAGTACCTCCATACGCGACTGCAGCGGCTCTGGACAGTGGTTTTCAGCAAAATATACATTGACCCACAAGCCGCGCCCGAAATATTCCGCGACCTCGACCGCTCCTACAGCATAAACATCCCCATGTCCTTGGAATCTGAACCCCTATCCGGCACTCTATCTCGTGCGAGATCATTTACTGCAATATTGCCCTCGCTTCATCCGAGGTTTAGCACGACGTTTGAGGACAATGGTGGTGATTTTTTGCGCAATATGCGTGCCGAGTTGATGCTTGGTAGGGACCAGAGGGAGGGGAAGATTAAGGCGGATGAGTTTACGGATTTGAACAGTCGCCGATTTCACTGCTTGACGGCGTGCTTGACCAGGGGTTGGCTGTTTACGAGCATCCCTATCTTATTGGGCATTTGCCCACCCTGTGGCTGCCGATGAAGAGGCAGGAGAATATTTTGAATGAGTGAGCTTCCACCAATACATTGTCGAGCTTTCTGTTACTGTACATTGAAATTGTTCCGTTCCGTTCTGTTCTGTTTATTATGTTTTTTATTTTATATTTTTTGCACTAATAAAATTTATTTATCCTGCGTGGTTGAATTCAAATTTATATTCATTAGCTTGCTTTGTATTTGTCATCAAAAAATAAAGAAATTGCTTATTGTATAAAGGAAATGTTGCTGATGGCCAGCTCTTTATTGTTTGCGAATATTTTGTCCATAAAAATTTTGACAGATTAATCCTGTCAAATACATTTTTTAAGCCGAAAGTAAAATAAATAAATAAAATATAATTAAGAGATTGCTTTTTAACAAAGCAGAAAGCTAGGAAACTAGAGAGTTGGATGCTGATTGCGAGTCTGCCAATTTCATATTTATCTGGAAAAATAAAGTGTAAAAAAGTGTAATTGAAGCTGTAGAAGAGCAGACTCGAAAATGGAATATTGTAAAAAAGAAAAAGAAAAATACCCTAGTCGCAAAAATTGTATATAAGGAGTCTTCAACCTCATCTTTTTCTACTCACCATTATTATCACTACCAAGCTGTTTTGTCTTGTCTACATACTCTTACTTTATACTTATTTATTTATTATCAAAGTTGACTATCATTAAAAGTGTCTGTAACATTCGTAAGCAATATTAGTGATTTAAACGTTGGAATTGGATTCAATAACAAAAAAAACATTGATACAATTTTCAAAGTTGGCAATATAATTAAAAATATATATATAAAAAGCCAATAGAACACCAAATATTTTAGCAGCAATTATTAATTAACTGTTAATGAGACCACATATTTCCGCGTTTCAACACCATCGTTAAAAGAAAAATTAAAAAATAAGTATGAATTGGACCCCGCCCCTGCCAAAGCAAGCGGCAGATACTACTAAGATCTATAATTTGTGTTATACTATTCATATTATTTTTCTAAAAAAAACATGTGTTTCTAAATCAAGTAATAGTAAACAAGATAAATACCTATTCGATATTTTGGACCAAATGAACATATATTTTACAGTAAGAAATAGCCTTTTTTAGCCATACACATGATTTGGATCTTGCAAAAAAGACAGCCATTTTTTTCTTCGATATAATGTGCTGGTGATGTCATCAACACACTTGCGCTGTTGGTTATTTATTCTTAGCTCTTCACTATTTACTTTTTTTATGCTCTCTCGTTCATTTTCTTTACCTTTACATTTTAACCGCGCATAGCTGTTTAAACTGTTTTTATTTACTGAATTTTATAGTTCACATTGACTGGCACGTGCGATATGAGGTTAAATTTTGAAAGCGAAAAAATACAGAACCATGTAACCCGGAAACTGGTGCCAATCAACACATTCGACAACATTTTTCAGCTCTTTTATTTTTCCGCTATTCAGCTTTTCCCACCTTAAAATCAAAGCTTCAGCTCTTTTTTCTCGCACTTTTTGCATTACCTCTAAAAAAAACATAAAAACATAAAAACACCAATTTCAATTTCAACTCAGCATACCAATTTCATCACTTGTATCACTATTATAATATCTCTTGTAATTTACGTGCCGCATTCGGCACCCTTACCATTAGGACACTCGCCGCCCAAAGTTATTTTGCTGCCACGACTGTGGACTACAAAGATACACAGCTACGCGGTTACACCCAAACACACGCACGGCGCACAGAGTACTTTTTTAAAATGAATTTGGAATCGTTTCGACAAAGAGTGCGGTACTTACGAGGGGAGGCGCTTAACAGCTGGCCAGCCCAAATAACAAACGTTCGCCTGCAGGCAATTCCACAACAGCGACAAAAACAACAGCAAGACCCAGCCATCCAAACTTTCTCTGGTGTCCGCGTCTGGTGCACAGGCACAGTGCCCACACAAGGACTGCGCAAGAGCACACTCCTATACAGCGCTGTACCCAGTATCAATTGTGGCGATGACTGCAAGGGCAAGGACAAAGATGAAGATGAAGGTGAAGACGAGGGCGAGGACGAGGACCGCGAGGTGGTCAGGGTTGCGGTATCCCGCAGCGTGTGGATGGACCGTGAGTGTCTAATGAGGGCCGAATACACAGACACCGGTTTATCGCGGTATCTATCGACCAGCGCCGTGGAAAACACAATGTGGCGAGAAAGCACTGACGGGGACTCGCCAGATCTCATTGTGCTGATGGACAAAGGAAGGCGATGGATTATGGGAACTGTAGGGCCGAGTGCTGGCGACATGCACTTTGAAGAACATATAGTGAGAACAGGTGATGATGGCAGCACAAAAGAAAGGCGCGAGAACGATTGGTACTATGTTCGCGGCGGGCCCGGCGGGCGCTTTGTTGCGTTCTCGCGCTCAGGCAACTTGGTCATCTACGATACGGTGAGCCGAAGCGAGCGGCAAGTGACAAATACTGCGGATGCAGCAGTGCAGTACGGCGTTGTCGACATATCGATGGAGGAGGAGCTCGGCCGGTCAACAGGGATTTTTTGGGGCCCGGTCTCGTCGTCTTCGCGAACGCAGCGCTTGCTGTGCGCGCGCGTCGACGAGACCCGGGTGCTTGAAATCGGGCTGCCGGATCTGCCGCTGGACAACAAGATCAATCCGGCGGCAGACCTGATCAACTCTCCCGAGGAGCTGTTCAAGGACGATGCATACAACTGGACCAACGGGTGCTTAGCCGACAGCGAGAAGAGAAGGCCACTGTGTGACTTTCAAAAGTATCCGAGGCCAGGCACGCCCAATGCCACGACGGACTGGGTTGTTGTTGAGCTGGACCACGGGCCAGACGGCGTTATTGAGCACAGGGTGCTTTTGCTTCACGAGAAATTTGGCCTGCAGCGCTTGTTTCCCTGGTGCGAGTACACGGTGCGCGCCGGGTGGTTGCCCCTGGCAGACGGCGGCGTGTGGCTGCAGCTGCTAGACCGCGCGCAGCAACACACGGCGATTGTTCGCATTCCTCTGCAGTGCTTTAGCAAGTGCCCTGAAAACGCCTGCGTCGACGTGCTGTACGAGGAGACTGCGCTGGAGAGCGCATGGATTAACCTGAGCCACTGCCACTACTTTCTCAAAGACTCGTCGCGCGACGAGGTTCGGCTCATTTTGGCCTCGGAGCGCACCAGCGGATTCAACCACTTGTACTTGGTCACCGCGCGCCTGGACGCGCAAGGGGTCGAGACCCTGCGGCATGCGTGGCAGACTATCGAGCCGCTGACATCGGGTCCGTGGTCAGTGACGGACGACGCTCGCCTCTTTGTCGACGAGGCGCACCAAGCAGTGTACTTTAGCGCGCGGCGGCCCAACCCGCTAACGCAAAACCTATTTGTCGTAGGCTACACGCGGCGCGGCAAGCCACAGCAGTTGACGATGCCAGGGTACTCCTACAGCCACTTTGCGTTTGATCCCACGGGCTCATTTTTCTACTGCCAGTCGTCGAACCTGTCGACGCCCATCCGCCACTGCGTGTACCAGATCACCCAGCCGGATCCTTGGGTTTTGCCTGGGGCGCATTGCTTGTGCGTCTTGGAGATTAGCACATGGCTGGCTCCGGCGACGCACTCGGGGATAAGCCGTGCGGGCAGCCGACGGTCGCAGAAGGACTGCATTGTGCACCGGCTGTCGTCCTGCTCAACTTCATCCCTGTCCTCGTACAGCCCGTCGATCTCGAGCATCGCCTCGGATGAGTACTTTGTCGAGAAGATCCTGTCAAAGCTGAGGTCCAGCGGACAGCAGATCCAGCACTCGACACTGGCGTCCGACCTGGCCAAGCTCAAGCGGCTCACACCGGCGTATGTGTCGCAGAGGGTTACAAAGGCCGTGAAGAGCGCCCTGCCATTCTGCAGCACGCCGCCCATTTTGCCCTTGAACCACCTGTTGCAAAGCACTTTATTTTTTCCGCTGTCCAGGCCGGTCAGTGAGCTGAGTGGCGCCAAGGATCCTGGGCTCGGCCGTGGCATCGGCCGCGCGTTGCTGAAAGTGCCCGGGTCTCTGGCGCCCGGCATCTTTGCACCAACTGCGGCACCAGCTGCTGTTTTGGCGCCCTCTTCAGTGCCTGCAGTGTCGGTTCCGGCGCTTGTGTCCCCCGTGGTACCTGCCGCCTCGGTCGAGCCTTGGTCTCTGACTACGGCCACCCGCTCGTTTGTTGCCCAAGAGACGCTGGTCGGCACACCCAGCCCTCAGCTTCCACGCAGCGCATCTGGCGACCCGCTGCCCCGTCTATTCAACTTTGCCGTGCCCCGGCCCAGTGGCGGCTATGACCTCCTCTTTGGACACGTTTATTTGCCGCCGGACCACCAGCCAGACAGCCCCCCCTCCGCGGCTGTGGTTAACGCCTACGGTGGGCCCCAGTGTCAGCTGGTGGCCAACGCGTTTCCTTATCCCCGCCATCGACGCCTAGCGATGCTGACGCGCATGGCGGCGTCTATGGCGGTAGTTTGCGTCGACGGCAGGGGCACGCCATACAGGGGCAGAGATTTTGAGTCGGTTATTCGCGGTAAGCTGGGCCAAACGGAGGTCGACGACATTGTTTGGGCACTCGAGTACCTCGACCACTATGGTATGGCCGCACTGGTGCCCACGCGCACGCAGCCACCCGCCTGGTGCTCCGATACGGTCTCGGCCACGCACACACCGAATGTGCTGCGTCCGCCCATTTTCCCGCCTCCTCCGTCGACCCTGTCGCTACTGTCAAGCGGAGGTGCGTATATCGAAGCGGACTGGGACCCTGTCCCGTCAGCTTGCCAGCCGTTTATCGACAGGTCCCGGGTGTCCATTCATGGCTGGTCCTACGGCGGCTACATTACGTTGCGCGCAATGTGTCTCTACCCGCAGTGGTTTGCCTGGGCATAGCCGGCGCCCCTGTTGTGCGCTGGGATTGGTACACAGCAGCCTACGCCGAGCGATACCTCGGCCTACTGCCCTCCTCGCAGACACTATACGACGATGCAATGGTTAAAATCGGGGTGCTGCCCTCGGATAGATTGGTCTTGGTGCACGGATGGAGTGATGACAACGTGCATGTTGCGCACACTGCTTTGTTGGTGAGGAGCGAGGCGTGCAGGTTTCGTTGTATGCCAACGAGAGACATGGGCTGAGGATGTCGTCGAGCAACGAGCATTTTGAGACACTGCTGGCGTTCTGTCTGTTTTCAAACAACCTGGCGTGAAGTGTATATGTAAGCTTTTTTGTACTAATAACTTTAATAATAAATGTAATTGAACTAAATATGTAATATACATTTAAAATAAGGTGGGGAAATGGTTCATTTTGGAATAATACCCTTTTGTGTACCCGGTAGGACGGGGAGGTGACCATGGGTCAATGTTATGTGTGATTTCGTGAGCATTGGGCGCATTTTCTTTTGCTGGAATAAATAAACGCTAAGTTGTTTTTTGAAATGGTACCACAAGCTCCAGAGGTTGTGAGCTACATTTGGGCGGTCTTTCAATAGCCGCTCCATAATGCTTTTCTTGGTTCTTTTTTTAATGCAAATCCCAGTCTGTGCTTTAAAGTACAGTGAACAGAACAATGGAATGGATATTACTTTTATTTGCAAAAAAACAAAACAAAAACAAAAATATGGAATGGTGATGGAAAACCAGTAGAAAACAAAAACAGAAAGAAAAAAGAATTACGCGGCCGGGGCAGTAGCAGCAGCGACCTCGCCATCAACAGCGGCGACAGCCTGCGCAGCCTCGGCATCGGCAGCCTTGCCAACAACAGGCTCGTAGGTCTCACCATTGACGGTGAGGATCTTCTTTCCGGTCTTCCTGATAATCTCAACGACCTCCTCCAAGGCTTAGTCGTCGTCACAGTTACCGACTGAGCGCCCATTTCGATGTTGATATTGTCTTCGGACTCGCCGCTCTTTATCAGTGCCTTTTTGACGGCACCGGAGCAACCACCGCAGTGCATCTTGACACCAATAACGTGAGCCAGGACAGGAGCGGAGGTCTCGACAGTGGCAGTGGCGGCGTCAGTGGAAGTCTACGATTGTTTTTAAAAAGTGAAATACACAAATTCATGCTGAATTAGTTTTGTTGTTTTGGAGTCGAATTCACTTGCTAAATACGACCAAGGCAGTGAAATAGCGTGGAAAATAATAATACTTGCCATTGTTTGTTGTTGGTGGTGGTGGTGGTGTTGAATTAGTTTGCTTTTGAAAAATAGTGGTTGTGGAAGAGAAAAAGAACAAAGATAGAACAAAATAGCGATGATGATGATGATGTGGAATAGAAAAAAGGTGGAAATGGAATGGAGGGCGGAGGAGTAGGGGGGGTTATATATGTGGATTATCCGTTTTTTCACTCTTGCTTGTTGGCTGGACTACTGGCCTAGCGAGAGAGTGGGAGTGGCGAAACAAAAACAAACCCAAAAAATCGGATTGAGCCAAACAAAACGTCCCACGAACAAGCCTTCAAAAAAATAAATAAAAAAAGCCCAAAAAGGCTCACATTCTTTCCTTCTTTCAGGCAAATTGGGCATTCACGTCACACGTCCGTTTTTACTTTTACTTTACTTTCACAAAGAGGGGAAATAAAAATAAATCATGTATGCATGAGTTTTCATTTTTAATGTTGCTTATACACGTTTATTTTCTACTCGGGTATTATGAGAGCCTAAATATAAAATAGAGGGGTTTTAGCTACTATATTTATATGTACGCCTTGCATTTATTCAAAGCATCCTGCTCGTGGGAGAATATATATGGCTAATAGCAAAAAACTTGACTGTGTATGTATGTATGATTCTCTTTGCTCTACGTAAATTTGCATCTTGCATCCTGCACCTTGCTCAGGGCGTGGCTGCGCCCACCACCACCATATCATAACCACAGAATCAGAATCAATATCAATATTAACCAGATTTCCCTTTCTTCCTTCATTCCTTCTTTCTTCCACAGAGGCAAGCGCACATGTCGCAGTAGCTAGATGCATGAAATTAAATCTAATAACTATGAATTAAATAAAGGAATGTATTGGCTTGCTTCGACTGAGCGCCTTTCCTCGGCCACATATGACAACTAAGCGAAGCAAGGTTGCCAGTTAATGTGAATTGTTTATCAAACTTTTTTATTACTAAATTGAAAAGTTGAAATTAAGATATGAATACTAATTAATTGACAAAGATTCAGCCATCTGATTGTGAACGACAATATGCGTGCGGAATACGTGGAGAAGATTCCACGCCCTGCAATGTAAGCCAATGTGTTGTTGAACTCCTGCACATTCAAGTTGTTTATATGGAAATGCTTAAGCTGCGGACATGCAACCACAGCAGCGAGGCAATCAAGGCTTTAATTGGTCACCAAAAAGGCATTTCGTTGTGGATAGCCAGCAAGTAAAAGTACCGGCCAAAATCATCGCCAAAAGCCTCAATATGCCAAACTAGCTCCGTGGCCTCTACTCCGTCTACGCAGGGCCACTCAGTCAAAAGCGAGCAATGCAGAACACGCAAATAACGCACGCTTCTAATGACCTGAACAATACCTGAAAAACTCAAAAGGCAATCAGGGATCTTGATCGACTGCACCCAGCTGAACACGAGGCCGTTATCAATTGCGCTCAACAACAATTCAAAATTTGAGTATCCGTAGAGCTGAACATCGCAGACCGAAATTGACGACTGTGTAGTCGTAAAAATAGACCATTGTGTTTCAAGTTCCCTTTTCAATGACCCTAGCATAAAAATACGAGGAACACAGTTATACAGCTGGATGGACTGAAGACAAACGAGCTGGCTACGTGTGAAGATCCTGTGCTTGTCAGCAATGCTAATGAAGTCGAGATCTATGGTCAGATGCAGTTTTTCCAATGTCCTGGAGTTGCCTTTGAACAAGACATTGTCAATGTATGGGTACGGGCCATTGAACGTAATCGACTTGAGAAAGCTGGAGGGCGCCATCAAACGAACAGTCGCCATTGTCGCCGCGTCTGGCTCAAATACATCGGCTGCATAGCCCAACTCGTAAAACATAATATCCTCCAATTTATTGTAACACGATGGGACGCCTCGATCGTTGTGCAGTATTGCAAACGCATTTTGCTTGGATAAGTGAGAAACACTCAGAAATCGGAGAGACGAGGCGCTACGACGGATGCATTTAACAAAGCGCGTGTGTCCATATCGGCCGATTAATGAAAAATGGGTGATTTCGCAAAACCCAACGGGTGGCACACAAGTGGAGAACATGCTATGGCCAGTCTCCACAAACGAAATGTCTTTAATGTAGCCAAAAAATACCGATGCCGCAATATCCATGAGAGTGCGGATATCATGGCTAATTTGGAAGTAGAAACCGCCAGTCCATGAAATGGCTACCCCTTCGAGACCCAGAACCACCAGTTTGATTTTGTGCATAAGAGCAGCATTATTACGAATGGCATCAGCAATGTCAACATCGCCAATAAATCCCGCGCCAAGGGAATCATTAATGAATATGAAAAGAGTGTGGTCACTTGGGAAAACAGCATCGGCAAAAGCGATTGCAAAAGACTAAAATACGAGCTGTTCTCCGAATAAAAAGGAAACAAAGAGGCAGACACACATAGTGTACTGACAACATTAATAAATGAAAAACAGACCCATCGAGAGCAATGGGCCAATAGCCGACTGTATATATGAGTATGCTTTGGGGATATAAATATAAATTGAGCCAGCAACAATTTATTTCTATAAACACGGAACGCCAAAGGCGAGACGTATGAAGAATGGATGATGCCAGTTTTCTGTCGTTGTTGTAGATAGTTTAGTTGGTGTTCAGATGATAGTTGATAATGTATTTGACAATGTGTCGAGGCAGAGATTGGAAAACCAGAGGGTTGGCCATTTTAAAAAATTAGAGATTGCGAAAAAAAAGTAAGGGTGAAGAAAGCGTTAAAAGGGTTGAGAGAAAATATAAAAGTGGAAATAACCCCGACGAAGGAAAAATTAGGAAGGGGTTTTATACTTGCAGCCCGGCAGTCTGGTGTGGGATAGAAACAGTCCAGTCCACTTGTTTGTAAACCATCGGTCTCGCAGAGTACCAATGGATTACTGCGCCACGCGTAAATAATTTACACGTGCTGATCGGCGTCATGCGTGTTGCGTGTGATTGGCGATATCCTCGCAGTATTATCAATTTTAAACAATGTGATTATCCATATCAAAATACACACGAGCAAACATGACTCGGACAATTGCCAGAGCATGTTATAAAAAAACAGTTTAGTTGATAATGCGGTAGCCAAAAAATGCACTGCAATGTTCGAGCTGTCTGTCGTTGGATGTTACTGCGAAAAATAAGCCATAAGCAGGCCAGGTCTACGCTTTCATCTAGGAAATCACCGATCTTGGAATTTGGTCGTGTAAAAAAAGCGACTTTAACCAACCAATCATCTTTCATACCCACCCATTTCCTTTCTCGCATTTTTTTATGATATTTTTTACTTTGTAATCGCCGCAATAATTTTTTTGTTCACAAGAGTCATTGCGAGCAATTCAGCGCACGCTCATCGTTTAACGGATGTTTCTAGCATTAGGCTGCCGATCTCGCACAGGTAGCTTATTCACCTGTGCTCGGATAACATCACCACCGGCGACTAGGCAACTTATTTCTACAAAAGCACCAGAGCCGCAATCAGAAACACAACACACAGACGCTGAAGAGAAAACACCGGGCTCACAGCTACGACTTTTGCGCTTGCCCAAATGGGACATTAAGCCCGTAGACAAGGCGCTGGTACCGTCAACCAGGGTCCTAGACGCACCGCAGCACGCAAGGCCCCTTGTGCGCTGGACACAAGAAGAGAAGGACCAATTTGACGGACTTCTTACCAAATACGTATTGCAGCGGCGCGAACCTGGAGGCATCAATTGGGTAAACATATCGAAGCAATTTTCCAGGCGCTCGCCCGACGCACTCAAGGCCCGCTACAACATGATATACCAGGACCTCAAGGCGGGCTATTTGACGAAAATTCTGGATTCCAGTTCGAGCAGAACCTCTCGCTGGCAAACCAAAAGATGCGCAAAGTTACCCGGTGGTCGACAACCGAGGACGACGCTTTGCGCACAGCGGTGGATATCTACGGGCCGCATAAATGGCGGCTCATTGCGGATTTCGTTGGAACGCGGAATTTCTTGCAATGTCATCGGCGCTGGGTTCGGTTAAATCGCCGATGCCAGGCGTGACGGCGCCGCTATTGCATTGGGCGCGATTAGCGCAGCGGCGTGCGAGACTCAATGGGTTACTCGGCAATGTCAGCAGCCAAAACGGGATTGTCGAGCGCAGATCGTCGGTGGTCGCGGCGTTGCTGAGCCAGCAGCAGGAACAGCTATCTGAGCGGAGCAAGAAGCAGGCCAGCCATACCCTGGATAATTGGCTTCTTGATGGCCGTGTACTGATCCTGCCTTTTACGCCCAAAGAGGATGAGGCGCTTCTGCGCTTGGTCAGGACGTATGGATCACGGTGGGGTTTTTTGCCAAATTGCTGACGGCCGTTTTTCAGCCACAAAGGAGAGGGCCGGGGGTATAGACGAGGACGTTAGTGCGACAGTAGTCCAGGCGCGCACAGCGGCTATCGTCAAGAAGCGGTACTACGAGCTGATACGGAAGTATTCCGAAAAAACCGCGAGCTGCACAGAGCAGAATTCAACTGCTGTAGGCGAGTCTGGTGAATCTGTAGGCGAAGGTGCGCTGCCCTGGTGGTCCGCAAAGAGAAGCAGGCGCAAGCCCGGAGATAGGACAGCCAAGCGTGCGATCCGGCGCTGGTCCGAAGAGGAATCCGCAGCCTTGAAGACAATAATTGAGGAGATGATCCAGGGCGAGCACGGATTCATATCGTGGGCCGAAGTCTCTCGCCGCATGGGCTCATACAACCGGTCGGCCTCCCAATGCCTAGTGTACTGGTCTCACAATAACGGAACTCATCTCAAACGCACACCATTTACGCTGGCCGAAGACAAGCTGATCTGGCCATTTGTCGTTGATCAGCAGCAGCGGCCTATTTCGTCCCGATATATGTCTAGTTACCGCGGCCGCAGGATTACTACCAATTATGATGAGGGTGATGGGCGTATGCCGCTGGTGGTCGGCATTGGGTGGCTCAGCACTGGCCCGATGGCTGGGAGGCCCACAGGTATGGTTCGCGAGCGCGTAAGGCGCCTGCAGTTGGTGATCGAGTGGCTGCGGGTGGTTGCTGGGGTGAAGGACGCTGGTTCTCACATCGAGCTGGTGAGCAAGCTGGCCGATTCGCCATCAAAGTTTCGAATCAGCAACCTCCACTCACAACAAATAAATAATTATTATTTATTTGTTCTATTTTTGTCACTCAACAGTGCCCTTTTTCCATTCTATTTTAAGACTTTATTTGTGTTGGAAAGGGTAATTGGATTGTATTGTTGCCGAGACCGGTTGAAATCCTGAATAAGATTGAGGTGATCTGGCTAATGAAAACCATTGCTTATACCGTGTTAGACTTTAGCTGTGTCAAAAAAATGCAAATTAAGGCGCAAGATAAAAAAATCGGAAACGAAGGGCAAATTGCTTTCCTTGGTAGATCCGTACCATTTCTGGGTGGGTATGGAAGGTCGCGATATTATTGTATAATAGTGCGACAAAATGTTCGATCATGGAGCCGAGCTGAAAATACGCACAGGCGCAGCACACGATTGCTCTGCCGTCGCCGTTTCGTTCTTTATGGGCTTGCCCCACTATCCCCACCCAATTGGGATAAGCACGTTTGTTGCAAGGGAATGAGCAGGGGAAAAGGCCGAGGCAGTCGAGAATACACAACCCCCACAATAGTGGAAATTACGTCATCAATGCAGAATACTGTGCTCGAATGTAAATTGTACTTTTTATTGTTTTGGCTTGTGCGGCAGGTTGGCGCAAAGATGACAAGCTGTGGGGTTTCATTGGGGGAAGGGTGTATTGCGCTCTAGCTGTTCTGACAGGAATCAACCAAGAACTAAGACCCGGGCCTATTCGCATATTTTGCCCCTCAGCTGTTTCTGCAACAGAGATCATACCTGCATAGCTATTTTTGCTATTATAGGTTTTGCTTATATCCATTTGCGGAATTGAATCATAATACTATAGAGGATAAAATCAGGCAGAATAACCAAGGTGTCATATCAATATTTCACTTGTCCTCGGACTTTGCGCTGTGCAAAAAAAATGTGAATGAAAATATACTTGCTAAAGAAAGAAAATATTGGGTTTTTTCTTGCTACGAAAATCTATTTTTTGTGGCAAACGGAGTGTATAAAAATGAAACCACACTCTTTCCTACTTTAGAATTTTTGTGTGCAATTTTTTTTCTTTTTTATCGTTTTTTTGCGGACTAAGCAAATCAACAATGTCTGTGTCATCCTAAAAAAGCATGCGCTTTGAATATAATACTTCTTGTTCTGCTTCAGTACACGCAATCCCCGCTCTATTATTATTTATATTTTTCATACTCGCATTTTTATACACCTTAAAAACATTCATATTTTCAGTATATTCACTACAAAAAACTTGTTTTTTATTGCATTTTCACCTTACCGTTTCCATATTCATTCACACCTTATTAACTTTCCAGCATCAAATACTTGCTGATATATAAGCCGATATGAGCAACTCTAGCTCAGACAAATCATATTTGCCCTCGCCGATCGGAGGGGGCGGACAATCGTCGTATCTAAACAAAGATGTTCGGCAGCCATCTGCTCTGCACCCTGCTGATCGGTCTTCTGCATCAGCTAGCGGGCCAAGCACCGAAAGCAGCAATGTACTGCCCACATCTTCGTCCTCGTCATCAGACAATGGTGTCTTTATCAAAGGAACCAACCCACCGCGTCCACCGCATCCACCGCCGCCATTAGCAACAACACAACCGCCGATAAAGCGCGACGGGACGACAAGCCCCAAAGAGCGGCCTGTGTTGCGGCTAGCCATGCTCAGTGCCCAGCAGCGTGCCGAAGCACACAATAACGGAGAGCAGTACCCGCCACGGCACCAGTCAGGTCACAGCCCTTGGAGCTGCCAGCCAGCGGATATTTCGCGCCCCGTGGCCCCATCCAACGCGCCCAAACGAGCACCACCAGACAGCCAACGCCAGCAAAGCCGCTGCAGCCACCGGCTCCCCCGAACGCAGGCAGTAGGCCTAAGAAGAGCCGCTTTGGCAGATTCCCCCAGGTGCTGCGGTTCTCATCCCGCGAATCCGTGCACATCATCGAAGACAACACCAGTAATTCACCCATGGGAGTGGGCGTAATCCCCTTTACACACCCATCGGCATGCCCGTTCCACCAACACAGTCTCTCGGTAATGCCGAGCCCAGCATCACCAATAGTATGTCGCAGGACCCGCCGGGTCTGCGCCGGCGGCTAACAAAGGCCACAACTAATAGCTTGGCGCAGCTGGGCCGTGCATTCAACCCGACTTCGAAAAGCAGTCCCGCTCGGACTCGGACTCCGACTACGGTGCAATGTCTGGCCCCGAGGACAATATGGAGAAACTATTGGAGAAGCACTCAAACAACGCTCTGCGTCCGCCGACGGACAATATTGCTGCCAATAACGCCGATATCACGAACACTCCGGACTTTTACCCCATCAACCCATCGACGCAGAACCCTGGCGTCATCCACGTCAGCATGAGCGGCCACCATGCGGCGCAGAACATCGTCGACTCGTTTCTCGGCACAATGGGCAAGTCAACCCATGAACACCAGAAGAAAACCGCCCAAAGCAAGGATGCTGCCGGCGCCACTGGCACAGACGATGCCACGCCGGCCGACTTGGAGGCAGGCCTTGGCCGGCCAGTGCCCACACGAACCAGCAGTTGCCTGGACAATATATGATGCCACCAGGTCTCGGGCCAACGCCGACATCTCTGCGAGGCGTCTACGCCAACCTGACCAAGCTGCAAGGTCGTATGGTCGAATACCAGAAGAAGCGCGACCAGCGGGTGCATGAGGCCGAGCGCAGAGAACAAAAGCGCCAGTCCGAGGAAGAAGAGCGGAAAAAGCGCATCGATGAGCGCCGTCGCAGGGACTGCTCCCCGCACAACGACGACCGGCTCAAGCGGCGCGCGCTGGATAAACTCGCAGGCATCAGAAACATGGCATACAGCACTCAGGTCAGATCAAGGACAGTATCGCCCTCGCCGGTTTCAATGAGCGCAATCGGCAGTGGCAGCGACCATGAAGGCAGTGGAAGCGAGCCGCCGCGGAACTCGTTTGTTCTGCAGAGTTTCCGCACGATGCCGCGCCCCGAATCCATCAGACATATGGTGGACGAGATTGGCGACAAGCACGCCACTATGCCCAGTACCATCACCAGTATCGGCCATCGACGCCTGGTGTCGCCACGTATACGGTAACACGGCGTCGGCACAGTCGACCGCATCATCGCCCGCAAGAAGTGCCACACAGACGCCCCCACGCAGTGCCACGCAGTCGCCGTTGATTTCGCCGCTAAACACGCCCGGATGGGACGAGATCATAGCAGCTGGAGGCATGCTGACGGATGGCAGTATCAGCGGCCAAGGGGCGCTTGGTGGAGCCGGCTCACGCTTGTCAGCGTTCAGCTCAGACAACACAATGAACTCGTTCGAATCCGAGCGGCAAAAAATCCTTGCGCAGCTGGCCGATATCTTCAACCGGCAGAACTTATTGCTGCTGATCAGCCGCGCGCTCATGGCCTTTGGCGCGCCGCTGCACCGGCTCGAGTCCAACCTGATTGCTACCGCGCTGCACTTGGACATTCAGGCTACCTTTGCCGTGCTGCCGGGAATCATCCTGATCTCATTTGGCAACGGCGACACGCGCACGTCGAGACATACATTGTGCGCACATCGGCTGGCTACGACATGCACAGACTCGAGCGCACAAACCGTACGATTCGCAGGGTGCTCAAAGGCCGCATTTCCGTTGGCCAGGGGGTTAAAAACATCGAGCGCATTTTGGCCACGCCGCCAATCTACCCCTGGTGGGTGATGGTCATGAACTATGTTCTCTGCTCCGCCGCTATCTGCCCGCTGTTCTGGAACGGCAGCTGGCGCGATGCCAGCGTCGCCGCCATGCTCGGACTAATTGTCAGCTTGCTGCAGCTGATGACCGGCCGCTTCTCGAATTACGCCAACCTGTTTGAAGTGTCGTCGGCGTTTATCGTCAGTTTCATCGCTGCGCTGATGCAGGACTACATCTGCTTTGCCACCGTGTCCTTTGCTGGAGTTGCCCTGCTGCTGCCCGGGCTCGCTGTGACAACATCTATCATTGAGATGGTCTCGCGCAACATGATAACTGGCACAGTGCGCTTCGTCTTCGCCATGGCGCGCTGCTTCATCCTGGGCTACGGTATTTCGGTCGGCTCCACGCTGGGCACCCAGGTGCTCGGCCGCTCGACGACCGTCAATCTGCTGGCAGACCAGATGAGCTCGTCAACCGGCATGGGCAACTGCAGCAGCGGGCTGAGTAAGTTCTGGTGGTTTCTCTTGCTTCCCCTGCTCAGCATCTCGTTCACCATTAGCATTTCGGGACATTGGCGCCAGTGGCCGTCGATGATGTTTGCCGGCTGCATGGCCTACACCGTCTCGTATTTTTCAGGCATGAGCACTGCGCTCGCACCCTTGGCGCCCGCCATTGCTGCCTTTGCGATGGGTCTTTATGCCAACGGCATGGCCTCGTTCTCGAACCATCGCTCAGCGGTCGAGCCCATCCTCGGCGGCATCTTGCTGCTGGTTCCCGGGTCGCTGGGATTGCGTACCGTCCTGGCGTTCATCACGTCCAGCGGAACCAACTCGGGCAACTTCTTGTACAACATGTTTGCCACGAGCCTGAGCATCGCCACGGGCCTGTTCCTCAGCGGCATGGTCGTCTTCCCACAACGCAAGAAGCGCGTTGGCCTAATGACATTCTGAAAAGATTTAATATTTTTAAAATAAATACTTTTTCTTGGCTTTGGACAGAAATCCATACGATTAATTTTTTGACAAAAAACTAACCACAAATATCAAAAAAAAGTCGAAAGAAACTCATTTATTGCAACGCCAATGCTACACATTTAAACTTTTTACTTCTTGGTCGACTTGTGGACGTCCTCGACCTTGAGGCCCGGGGGCAGGGACTGGCGGAGCTTCTGGGCCTTCTGAGCGTCGGCGACGGTCAGAGTGTACAGGTAGCGCGAGCAGCGAACCTTGAACTTGACGACCTTACCGGTCTTCTTGACGCGAACGCCGGCGGCGTCCTTGCGGCGGGTAACCTCGAGGAAGTTCTTAATGTCCTGGATCTGCTTGGGCTACAAAATGATCGCAACAATAATAAAAATTGATAGTGTCCGCTTTTAGTATACAATGCTGCCAAAAAATAGTTATCAAAGCTGAAAACCGTAATGCATTACATTCAATTCATTTAGCTGCCTTTTCGGGCACTGGCTCATCCTCCCTTTCGCAAGAGATTCAAATACCAACAACAAAAACTGCGGAATGCAAAATGCGAATGCCACAAGTGTTCAGTCTGACTAAAAAACATGCCTCCACGCAGACAAAAAGAGAAAGAAAAAGAGAAAGCAAAAGCAAACTGGCTGACTGGTCGCTAAAAAAACTGCCGATCAACAAAAAACAATGGTCCTCAGTAATAGCTCTGCAACTAATCGACTGACCAAGAAAAGCCATAACTGCAAGCAGCGTTGGGAGTCCAAGTCATACTGGCAACTCAGACAGCGCGCTAATTGCTTGCAGCAACAGTCGCATTAGCAATGCACAATGATTGCCAGTACGCCAAAAGATCAAGCCCTTCTCATTCAATCCAATAGCAGCAAGCAGCCCAAAAAACTATGCAACTCAGCCAGTGCACAATTGCGTAAAGAAAAAAAGGGTCAGTCCATTCGAAATTCAAAATGCCTGGTTCAATCATTGCATTAATGCAATTTTTGAATTTCGAATTCCATGATTCCAATCTCCTTGGCACAAAAAATACACTGGAAAATTGCAATTCTGCTACTGTTGTTGTTCGTTGTGTCGTTTGCATCCATTCTGCTGTTGTACGGAATCATAGATTCCAAGCGCGCATCCATTGTTTCCGTGTTTCTCTCTATCTCTTTCTCTCATCATCTGTTGCGCATCGTTCGCGATGGATTCGCCCGTACCATTGTAATAGAATATGGATTCCCAGCAAAAAATACTAGATATTTTATATATGTTGGTTAGCGAAGAGGAAGAAACCTCACATGCTTTTGGCCGATGTACTCCTTGAGCAAAAAAATTCCGCCACGCCCAAGCCAAGCCAATTTTAGCATGATTTAAAGCGCGTTATATTTAATTTATACACCTATTTCAACCGCTTTTGTCACTTGCTGCTTGCAGATTGGACCAACCAGCTTAGAAATAAGCTTGTGCGCGCGTAGGCACAGAATACGCACATGAGGGTAAAATATCAATTCAACTCGGCTCGCTGAGCTGATAATGAGGAACCCGTTCTCAAAATTTCAAATGAGAAATGCCAAACATGTGGTATATATTGTGTGAAAAATATTGAATTATGGAATATTGAAAATGCAAAAATGGATTTACAAGGCAAATCCCACTGCAGCAACGATGAAAGTTACCAGGGCCAAGTATCCGCTGTCGGCTTTTCGGACGGCCTGGCCTTTAAGGGTACAAAGTGGTACTCGCTGAGCTCAGGGAACCCTTGGATAACATTATTTTCCTTTTCGTCATCTAGCCCGGCAATCTCCTCCTCATTGCTTGTGCTGCTGCTGGACTTTTCAGAAGTGGTTGTCTTACTGGATTTTCAGCGCTGCTGCTGCTTGTGCTTCTACTGCTCGAGATTGATGAGGAAGATAAAGATGATGAAGACGATGAAGACGATGAAGATGATGATGGCTTGGAATATCGGCCGAGTTGCTGATGAGTAGGTCAGAAACATCCATGTTTGCCAGAGCAGCAATTTGCTCTGCAAACGGGTACAGCCATGTGTAGAAACCCATGGTTCCACCATAGACGCACTTCATATTAGCAGTGGCACTCTTGTACGAATATGTGGTGAGCCCCAGCAAAGCATAAGTGGTTTCAAAACTGTTCTCGTTGTTCGACGAGGAAGATGAGGATCCAGACAATTTTACAGGAGTAAGCACCGGGGCGCCAAAGTCCGCGCGACACGTGTTTAGATTGGAGCTCACGCGTGAGCAAATTTCGGTATCCGCGTTATAATGAGAATTGGCATCTTTACAGTACTGGGTGCTGTCAAAATCACATTCTTGTCCTGCAACTCATCCAGCGTCACTGTGCTGTCCATTGTGCTCAAAGTGGGAAACCCGACTATCTCGCGGGGTGTTGCTATTGTACTTGTCTGCAAATATCTTGACCGGGGTGGCCACTTTCGATGGCACCGCCTTGCTCAGCTCTAAGAGCGCAATATGGTTGTAGTACCCCATTGGAGGGAAATTCATGCTTGAATATGCTTTGGACACAGGGTAAATGTAATTTCCAATTTGTATTTTCATGTTGCTATAGTCTGTGTTAGCGTCGGGTACGGCGTCGACGCAGCTCTGGGCTGTCAGAACAAAATTTGGCGCAATTAGTACACCAGTGCATCCATTTATAACGCTCTCTGAATACCCGGAGTAACATAGACAATGTATTTGTGGTCTGTAATATCCACGATGCCACCTCCGACAATGCGCCGTGAGAGACCGGATGTGCTGTTGCCACTTCCCTGAAATCCAGAGGCAGAGGCAACCACTGCTCCAGCAAAAACAATGGCGCAAGCGGTGGTAATGCGATGATACATAATAAATGGTTGGTTTTGAGCGATTAAAGAAAATATAAATTTAAGTGTTGGAAATGTGTAAAGAGAAAATGAAAAGGCAATTTCGTTTATTAATGTCGAGCTATTGGGCGTGACAACCAAATTCTTTATTTATTATACATTTGCTGTTTTTCGGAGGGAACCATTGACTGCACGAGCTTTTGAAATAAAAATAGCGTTGCTTTATTTTTCTATTTTTCTTTATACATTATATGTAAAAGAGAATAAATAAAGGTATAAAGGAATGCACATTCGCGTGCTCAAAATTTTTATTTTCATTTCATAAAATGGGCCTTTTAATTTCTTTTTTCTTTTTTACGAATAATAAAGACAAACGCAGTGCCAAGTTTGGTGAGTGCGCGCTATTTAATTTATATTATTTAAAATGATTGTTGGTTTGCATATATAGTTTATATACCAAAAAATATTTAGATAAATATGAAAAAATACTTGGTTCATGTCCTATTAAAGTACAATTATAGATATGGCCAATATACCAGAGACCAAATACGAGCGAGTTGCAAATGCAAGTGCACTTCTAGCAGAGTTTGACGCTTCATTAGAAGAACTCGTAGATTCCACTTTCATGTTCATCGGGCTGCTGAATGCAGATCCTGTAGGAAGAACATTGCTTTCACTGGTTTTTCTATAAGTCTCGAGTAAGCTTGTGATGTTTAGGAATGGGCCGCTGTAAGTAATCGAATTGCTGTTTTTGGTAATGGTCGGGCTAGCATTGCTTACTGAAGAGCTGCTTTTGGTTTTGGAAGACTGGAAGCTATCACTAACATGAGACTGGGTGGTTTTAACTAAAGAAGGTTGGTTGCTCTTGCTTCCAGAAGCTGGGTACTTCCAACAAAAGAAGGTTGGTCGCTCTTGCTTCCAGAAGACTGGATACTATTGCTTTCAGAAGACTGGCTGCTCTCATTCAAAAGAGACATGGTGTTTTCAAATTCAGATAAGCTGCTTTCAAAAGTAGACGAGTCGCTCTCAGTGCTTTGCAACTGATAATTATACTCACTATCCAAGTTTCCTAGCTCCCTATTGTTATTGTCATCTACGGTGGTAACATTAGTAATCGACAGTCTTCCATGGTCAGACCAGCAGTATGAACAATCCATGGCAGATAAGCAGAAGCCCGTGTGTAAAACCCAGTGCCATCCTTCTGAGCACAGTATCCATTGGGGTTACCATCATTAATTGGTGAGTAACTCGTAATTCCCAGCAGCACATACGTGGCGTTTCCATTGTCACCGGCGTAGACAGCGGGCCTCCACTGTCTCCCATGCAGGTATCCACACCAGGCGTACCGTCAGTGCAAATAAGAAGGGACCGTATACGTCGCCGAGTTTTTCCTGCAGTACTCCTCGCTGCCACTTTCAAATCCACCTGCATGAGCTCCGCCGGTATCGATTCAATGTCTGTCGGTTGGTCATTCCAAACCCAGCGGCCCTCAGCGGCGTGCCAGTGTTAATAGGACCGGTGTAGATTTTAGTTGCCTTTGCAACACTCTCAGGAACTTCTTTTTCCAAAATAAGCAGCGCAATGTCATGATTCAGCGTGGCCATGGTGAAAATAGGGTAAGGGATGACTTGAGCCACGGAGTACCCCATGTCCGCCATACTGCTGTCAGGCGTCTTGTGCGTAAAATACACATTGTAGTTGGACGCGTTATAGGACGTATCTGTGCTGTAGATAGTGCAATGGGCGGCTGTCAGCACGACGTTTGGCGCAATTAGGCTGCCAGTCAGGAGGAGCCGCCACACCCGGGATGTGGCTTCAAGGAATGCAATGAGGCAAAGTCTGTTTGACCGGCTGGAGTTCCACCAGCAATACGCGCAATGGCCTTGGCTGCCAGTGCCAAGGTATCATCAGCTGTTGATGCTGGACTCGTCATCTCTGTTGCGCCGCCACGGAGACGTTAATACTCAGGGCAATGAATGAAAAGAAAAGACAAATACGCATGGTGGGATTTTTTTGTATGAGCAGTAATAGCAAAGAAAGAATAAATACAAGTATGGCTAAAGTTTATGATATGAAAATGAATAATCAAACAAAACAAAAAGTTTAATGCAAAAAAATGCTCGTCCACAAATCCTGTATTTGAAAAATATAGCTCAAAAAAAATAAATAAAAAAATAAAAAAAGCCAAAAGCAAAAAGAAAAATTATGTTAAAAGGTTCGAATTAAAATACAAAAAGAAAAAAGCTGGCATGAGCATAGTATAAAGAGGAAAAGAGTGAATAAAATAAACGCCAAGGCGATTTTACTGAGTAAAAAGAAATAAGTGAAATAAAATAGCTTTATTTCTAAAGTACAATGGATATAAGGCGGGTACAATGTCCACAGTTATATGTATATATAAAAAATAGCGGATAAAAGGATCCATATCAAAATGAGCTATCGACACTAATGACATTCAAAGTTCAACTAAATAAAAGGTTTCGTTGTGACTGTCAGACTAATTAGCATTTGGCAGCAGCAGTATCAACGAGTAATATGCCATTAACAATAATATGTGCGCCTAATGTTTACTAAATAAAAAACATAACATAAGTATACCACACATATATGCATGTCTGAAAATGTTTATAATACTTAGGAGTTCTAAAACACACCAGTTCATTTGTTACAATAAACCCAAAAGTCTAGTCTTCGAGCAACTGGCGACGCCTGGCAGCCCGACGCTCGGCAGCAGTGTCCATGTCGTCGGCGGCCATCTCGTCTTCAGAGATAGGAGACATCCACTCAGCCCCGCCGCCAGAAGAATTGAGCTGCTGGCGGCGCAGTAGTGAGTTTCGGGTGGACGACGATGGAAGGGGCGGAACCTGCTGGAACTCATCCAGAGCATCGGGACCCGGCCCTTCCTCGTCCTCCTTAATATCCCTCAACATCTGCAACGCCTTGATCGAAATGCTAGTGCGATGCACGCTGCGGCGCACGCTGCTGCGCCTGCGAATGCTCATGAGCTCGCGACGGCGACGCCGCTTTGTGGCCTCGACACGCTCCAGATCCGTACCGGCCATCAGCGACTTGAGAAGATCATCAACGGCACCGTTCTCGCCGCCCATTTGTCCACTCTCAGCGGCATCCGATGACCCAGGAATATCGTCCGAATCCATCGAATGTTCGCTGACTCTTGCGAGGGGTGTTGATCTGCTCTCTGATACGTGACGCACCAGTGGCCAGTCGGTTGGCGCGGTTCTCCTTGACCATGCGCTTCTGCTCGATCTGGGCCTCGATCTGCTTGCGACGCTTTTCGGCATTGCGCTTGCGCTCGCGCTCCCTGTTGTTGTCCTTGGAGACCTGGTTGAAGGAGGCCGTAAAGGTCTTGAAAATCCAAAGAACTCCTCGGGGCCATTGTGCGCGGATCCTCGCCATAAAGCAGGACTGAGTTGCTGTAGGCCTCCTCCATCGCGTTGAACTGCGACAAAGCGCCTCATACTGCTCGGCGGCCTCGACGACAAAGCGGCGAATGGTCAGCAGGAAACGATCCTGAGGGTCGGACGCTGAGGTCGCGCCCGTGTTGCCGCCGAAATTGCTTGCGTTGCTCCAGAAGACTCGTTCCCGACTCGCCAGCGGCTCCCCTGTAGCATCAGCCACAGAGCCGTCACCGCTAGGCTTGTCGCCTTCCATGGCAATCTCCTTAAGCTCCTTTTCGCGCTGCTCGCGCAGCAGCTCGAGCTCGCGCTTGGCCTCGGCCAGACGCACGCGCATGTCGCTCAGCTCAGCCTTCATCTCGGCGTGCGACACGCGGCAGCCCGAGTCGACAGGCCTGAGCTCCTCGAGGAATTCCAGGGCCCCGGGGAAGGTCTCCTCAACGGTCGACGCGACGAAATGCAGCAGTGTTGTCTTGTTGTCCTCCGCCTTGGTATCCATCAGGCGGTTGAGCGACGCAATCTTGAATCCAAAGGCGCCGCCGCGGAAGCCGGAACCGTTCATAAAGTTACCAATGGACAAAACAACCTCGAGCACCTGCGGGAAATGCCGGCTGGTGGCCACGGCGTGAGCGGCAGTCATAACAGCGGCGACATCCTGTTGCAAGTCACGGAAGTTCTCAGGCCAGGTTGCCCATGTGGCCGTAACGCGTAGCCTCTGCTCGTACCGCCACACCTTCATAGTCTCGAGAAAGAAGCGGTCCGGGCGAGCCAGCCGCTTGCGGTCTGGCCGACCCTGGTATGCCGTCAGCAGGCCGCGCTCCTCGGGCGTCGGCACAAAGGTCAAGAGCTGCTTGAGGAAGTTCTCCGTGATCGTCGCTGTGTCCATGCGCAGGAGAGCGCGGCGGATATCTCTGAACGAGTACTTCTTCATCATTCCGAGCATGATGTTGATGTCGTACATCCGCTTTGTGTCGAGCACCGATATCTCTGCCTGTTCCTTCTCCTCACGCTCCTTGCGCCGCTTCTCGCGCAACGCAAAGAGGTCGACAGTCTGCTTGGCAGCAAACATCTTCTCCAGGTGCTCAAAGGCGCCCGTAGAGTGCAACGTGTCCAGGACATGCTTCTCCTTGACGCCAGCGCGGTCCTCCAGCTTGGACCACAGCGAGGACTCGATGTTCTGGTCGTTCATCTTGTCCCACTGCAGCGCCTTCAGCTTGACCTTGGGCACATAATGCAGCTCCTTGCGCCGCAGCGGCCCAACAGCGTTGCCCCTCCGGGTGGTGGCGGCGGCGGCGGTCCTCCACCACCCATCCTCGGCACCATCGGGAATCCTGGCGCTGGAGGCGGTGGTGGTGGCGGCGGTGCCGTTGTATTGCCGCCCGGCTTGGAAGAGCGCAGCTGCACGCCCGCTAGCGCTGCTAGAGAGGGCCTGTTCGCTGGGCTCGCATCCGACCGCATAAACGGCGGTGGTGGCGGTGCTGGTGGCGGCGGCGCGCCTGCCAATGTTGCGCCTGCCATGCCCGGCGGCAGTGGCGGGGCTGCAGGAGGCGGTGCTTTTCCTAATGGTGGCGACATCGAGGGTCTGATAAACATGGGTGGCAAGGGCGGCGCTGGAGGGGGCGGTGACACGGAGCCTGGCACAGATGGGCGAGCTTCTGCAGCGGCAATGCACCAGCCATCGATGGCAGTGGCGGAGCAGGCGGCGGCGGCGCCGGCGAGGATGACGACGACTGCGTCTGTGTCTGCAAGTCTGGCGGTGCGGTGGCTGCTGGGTCGAAACCAGCCGCTTCGAACTGTTGGGCACTGGGCAAAGGCACACTGGCGACAGACGCAGCAGCTGCTGACGCCTGCGCAATGTCGGCCGCGCCGATGGTGTTCTTCCTGCGCCCAGCTTGCGCTCAAGCTCGGAGGCAAACTCGGCCAGCCGCGTCGGCGCCGAAAACACCGAGTCCATGGTCACTGTGCCCATCTTCGCGCTCGTCGGCGTTTTTTCGCCAGGCCTTGCCGGCTCTGGCAGCGGCGCTTCGAGCACCTTGGCAGGAGGCTTGGCGCTGCCAACCTTGCGGACGGGCATGCCCTGGCCGGCCTCCAGAAGAATCTGCTCAAGCACTTGGCGTGCTTCGGTCATGCGGTTGAGCTCGGGGCGCTGGCGCTTGAGCTTCTCGATCTCGGCCAGCAGCAGGTCGTGGTTGAGCACAATCTCGTCGGGGTTGTGCTCTGAGGGCTCGAGCGCAATGCCGCTGCGCAGTACCTCATTTTCCAGCGTCAGGTCATCCTTGAGCCTGCGCAGCATGTCGTGCTCGCCGGCCTCGTCCTGCAGGCCGAGTACAGCTGCTTGAGTTGTGAGTCCTGCTTGGCCAGCTTCTGCGTGAACTGGTCGCGCAGCTCCTTGATCTGTGTCTGCAACGCCTCAATCGTGTGCCGCGACATCCGCAGCAGGTCCTCCAGCGCAAAGATCTTGGTCTTGAGCGTGCCCACCAGGCCCTCGGACTTAAGCGAAACCTCGAGCTCCAGCTCGTTCTTCTGCCGAGTCACCTTTCAAGCTGCTCGCGCAAGTCCTTGGCCTCGCGCACAGCCTCCTCAAGTTGCTCCTCATTGGAGAACTTGTCGATGATACCGGCTACGCTTACGCCGTACTGCGTGGAGAACGACTCGCCGGCGCGGTTACCGCGCGGCCGCTCGTCCATGTCGTTCTCGCTGTCGTAGTCTGACGGCAGCGTCTCACCATTGCGGATATCCATGACGACCTGCGTGGTAATCTCGTCCAGCAGCTGGAAATACCGCGCCTTGTTCGCCCGGCCGCCGTCGGCACTGTTAGCTGCGCCAGGTTCGGCGACGTAGTCATCGCGTAGCAGCAGCAGGCGCTGCAGAATGGACAGAAAGTGCTCACGCGACCGGTCGTCATCCTCGATCTGGGCCAGAATAGCTTGGAACACCTCGTCATGGTCGGTCATGTCCTGCATGATCTGCTGGTTGTAAATATCTAGCACGTCCGTGTGATCCTGCTCGGCGTCCTTGTCGAACTTGTTGATCTGTAGGGAGATCAGCGGGCTGTCAAACCCACTGCGCAGCTTCTTGATGATGCGCGACAGGCCGGCGGCGTTGAGCTGACTGCGGTAGTGCATACGCATCTCTACGTCGTCGGACACGCCGACCACAGCGTTGACAAAGATCATGCTGGACAGGATGTAGTCGATCAGGTCGCGGTCGGCGGTGCCGCCCATCTGACGCAGCTCCTCGGACACGCCGACTTTGCTGCCCATGCGGCCGCGGCCGTCGATGGCCAGCTCCAGAGCGCGCATCCACGGCTCGAAACGCTTCTGCATCTCGCGGAACTTTTGCAGCTTGTCCAACCCCTTGAGCACAGTGGCGTGGCCCGATGGCACGTTGAGGTAGCATATGTACGTCAGGATCTCTGATATCAGTCGCCGCGTTAGCAGCGAGGGGGCATCAATCGAGAAACACAGGTTGTGCACACCGGCCGGGTTGCGCAGGACGTCCTGGGCGCCGCACTGGATGTTAACCATAGACTTGATGCAGCGGATGATCTCCATCTCCTTGGTAATGTCGTCGCCCTTGCGTGTGCCGGCGTGGTTCAGGATGCCCAGGCACTCGGTCAGCGCCTCCAGGCCTTGGATCTCAACAAACTGCTTGACCCAGTTAACCGGCTGTGTTGACACGCACACGCGTAAGTGTACCAGCATCTGCTTGGGTAGCGACCGGATGTCAGTCTCGGTCAGGTACCGGTAAAAGTACTCGGGCGCGTTGCCCTTGCTGTCCATCTGGAACGACTCGAGCTGCCGGTGCTGCTTCAGGAGCTTGAGCTTGTTGGGCACCGACATCTTCTGCATCTGCATGCGCTGCGCGTCCTTGATGTCCATCTCGTCCATCAGCCGGCCCAGCATCAGGTTGATCTCCTCTTCGCTGATCATGTCCGGGTCATACTCCAGCGACGCTGCGGGCGTGGGCCCGCCGATGGCCGGGACTCCGCTGCGCCGCCCGGCGCCGCCTCCGCCGCTGATACTGATGTTGCTGGCAACTGACACTGTGCTGGGCGAGTGTGAGAACTGGCCGCCTTGCCGCCCGCTGACGCCAGCGCTGCGCATCGAGTGAGTCGAGTATGTCGAGTCGCGCTGGTCGCCGCTCATGCCGATGCTGTTGCTGATAGCATTCGGCACTACCGACGACAGGGGAATGCTCCCCCGACCCCCGACAGTGCCACCGCCGCCAGCAGCCGAGCTGCGAGTAGACCTCAGCGATCCCCTCGGCGTGTTTCCGCCCATGCCTCCGGGCACCTCGTCGGCGCTGCGCACATCGACATATCCGCTCATATGGCTGCTGGTATTCGAAACGGTCGATACCGTGCGCTGCGACGGCGTCTGCAGAGCCGTTGGTGTCGAGTCCTTGTCGTGGTTGCGTTGCCTCCCGGCCATACCTGGCGCTGGCTGAAACATCTCGCCCTGCTGCACCGGCGTGGTCGACCTGTTCCCGTATTCGTTGCTGCCTGTGCTCAACTGCGAACTGCGCGCACCGGGCACCGCGCCCGTCGAGCTGTGCGATTGCCGCCGCTGCTGGCGGTACGACTTGTAACGATCGCGGAATTCCTGGTCTCCAAAGCTGTTGCTTGGGTACTCGCCCTGGCTTGGACTGTGATGTTGTGCTCCCGTGTTGCGCATCCCACCGCTGCCATTGCTGCTGCTGGGAATGTTGGTCGCATGCTACCAAAGGATATAAACGGCTCCAGGTTGTGGATGGGCTCTGATATTGTCGCCGGGTTAATGCTACCCGTGTTGCTAGCGTTGTTGGCGCTGCTACTGCTGTTGTTGCTCGTGGTGCCTGCGCCCGGAGCGCCTGGGCCGTGGGGCGACTGTGGAACACCCTTTTTGCGCTTCCAAAACTCCATCTACAAAAAGATGGATAGAGAAAACATCACAATGCTCGTTGGTCAGTATAAATATCAAGCAAAGGGTAAAAATTATGAAACCAACTGTGAGGTCATGCGAGCGGCGTTTTAAATCGCCCAAAAACGCATTAGCTTTTCTTGTACCTTTTTTCGTCTATGCTGTCGCTAAAATGCGAGGGCGAGGGCGAGAGGCGAGTGCGGTTACTATGCGGTCCTTGTTTGGTTGGCGCTAGAGCTGTCGGAAGTTTAAAAATAATAATTGATAAAACCAAACCGCAACACGGCACTGGTCCTGGTCACTTTTTAAGGAAAACAAAAACTCTACACAAGTAGGGAAACAAGACAAGGCGAATTTCGGTGTATCCAAAGTATCGAGATGGGAATGTTTTGGTTCCGAAATGAATAAAAAAATAAAAAATAACGGCTAGCAATGCAAATAAAGAAATGTCGGTTGTTCCCAGTGTGGCTCGTGTCGTTGTTGCTGCGCCTGTGTTGTTTGCTGCAAGCGGAATGAGACCAATAAAAAATACTAAAAGCCAACTGAAACAAGAAAAAACAAAACCAATTCGGGAAGCGAGAGAAAATAATAGAGAAAAATATATTTAAACACAAACACACATGGTGCGTATGAGCAGGCCTGGTGATTGAGTGCAATTGGTGCAGTGTTGCTGTTATATTTATTGCAGTGACGAAAATAGGGCGTATTCATCCCATCTGTTTGACCAATCGCCACGCGTCATTTGCATGTTTGAAGAAAGGCAAGCATATTAAATCGAGCAATCGGTGTGCGTGCGTGTGTTTGCTTGCTTACGTTGCTCTTTTTTTCAGACCCAACTGTTTGTTCAAAAATGGGGGTGCGTATAATAGGGCCACTCCGACAGCTGGACGTTGGATTGAGACATGCACAGGTCGATATCGCATGGCAATTGAACGCACTTACCAAGCACTTTCTTTTATTTTTTTAAAAAAATTGGATGTAAACTGGGTATAAAGTGAGCGCAAACACATCAAGTGCATATGTTTGCTTTAGCAAAATGCCAGCTCCAATGCATGCTATTCTGCACATTTCACGCATGTAGCATACATTTTGTTCTTCCCGGCATACAAGAAAGAAGCAATGCCAGCCAGCATATGATTTGTAGTGCCTTTTTTAAAATAAAAATGCAAGACCGTGTGAGCGTGTATGCGCGTGTGGTGTGGCTATTTTGTTCGCAGACGAAGCAAATCTCGTTTTTTTCCGCCATTTCGCCATCGCGCCGTTTCGCTCGTGGCTCGGCGTAATCATCAAACGTGGCATAATTTTCTGCCAATCAAATTGAATTGCACGTGATCTTATCGGCTGGCAATGGAAAATGGGATCTAGTTTGCCTGAATCAACCAGGCTTGTGCGACGAATCTTCCTAGAACACGAAGAGGAAAAACATTGTGCGCGCAAAAAACGGCGAGTCAGCCAGTCAACGCGGCAGCATTTTTCTTTTTCTTCTTTCGTTAAGATTCCTTTATTTTTCACTTTTGAATTTCAGCAAATCTCACATCCACTCCATAAAAATGATTCCCCCCAACTACTCCGATATCTGCAAGCCCGTCAACGACCTGTTCAGCAAGGACTACCCATTCGGTGCCGTCAAGCTCGAGGTCAAGACCACCACCGCCAACGGCGTTTCGTTCACCGTCAACGGTGCCCAGGACATCAAGTCGGGAGCCATCATTAGCGAGCTCAAGACCAAGTACGCCGACAAGGTCAACGGTCTGACTTACACCGAGTCGTGGAACACCGCCAACCTGATCACCGGTCAGGTCGAGGTCGCCAACAAGTTCGCCAAGGGCCTGAAGATTGAGCTTTTCGGTTCGTCCGCCCTCAACTCCAAGTAAGTACATACACAAAAAAAACACTGTCGAATATCGCCCGAGTAAACAAGGTCGATTTGTTTATCGGACTAGTGTCACCACCACTTCAATACCTCACTACACCTCTGTGGCTGATCTCCCGATTATTTATTACTTCTTTTATTATTTTGTTTTTGTAGCAAGCGCGCCCTCCGCTCCAAGATCAACTACCAGCAGGAGAACATCTTTGCCCGCGTTAACGTCGATGCCCTGAACCCCGCCGTCACCGCCGATGTCACCGTCAGGTAAGTTTTGCGCGATTGCGTATCATGTATTATGTGTGCCTTTTTCATCCTTAATGTATTGTCGGCAAGCAAAGGGCGATTCATTCACTAAAAAAGATTGTCTTGTTGTATTTTGCACACTTATTCCTTTGTATCGTGTAGCCGCGAGGGCGCCCTTGTCGGTGCTGAGCTCGCCTACGACGTCAACAGCGGCGCCGTGACCAAGACCAACTCGACTCTTGGCTACGCTGGCCCCGACTACCTGCTCACCCTGCAGGGCAACAACTCGCTCAACCTGTTCCAGGTCGCCTTCTACCAGCGCGTCACCAAGAACGTCGAGGCCGGTGCCCGCGCCGTCTACGACTACAAGAACCCCGAGGGCGGTGTCTCTGCCGAGATCGCCAGCAAGTACATCCTCGACAAGGATGCCTACGTTAAGGCAAAGGTCGACAACGCCGGCCGCCTGGGTCTGTCGTTCACCCAGCTCCTGCGCCCTGGCGTCAAGCTTTCCCTGGCTGGTCTCTTTGATACTGCTCGTCTTCAGGAGAACACGCACAAGCTCGGTGCTGCTCTGACCTTCGAGGCTTAAGAAGAACTAATCTTATTATTATCGTCTTTCCTTTCTCAATCATCTCTTTTTTTGATTGTTTAAAATATTGGTTTTAAATTTTTAAACGTAAACATTTGATCTAGACTTTTTTGTGACTGCCAATTATCCGTCTGTGCTATAAATATGCACCCAGCATTTAGCCCGCAACAAATAAAAAAATTAAAATATTAGCAGCACTATTGTTTCAAATAATTTTCAAAGTCGCAGTAGTATGAACACCAGATGTTTTCCCACAAAAATATAAACATCGTCTCGTCTTGCATCACACGTCATAAATAGCTTAGACATGGGCGCCTAAATAAACTACAAGGACAATGGTTATTATTACATAGTAGAATCGGCGTAGCTATGGCTTCAGTTGTTGAAATTGACAATGTTTGGCAAAGTTCGGAAGAGCTAGCAAAAGAAAAAACGGAGAGTCCTGGGACTCCTTAAATATAAGATGCGCGCGAAGCCCATACAAATTAATCAGCGATTTTATTTTTTGTCCTCTTTTTTCCTGTGTATTTTGCAAAGTCCGACGATATATATCAAATCAAATCAAACCAGTTATTATTGTACTATATCCTATTCTTCATTATTAAACATATGATGTCCGGCCTCGGCAGCTCGCACAACAGGGTGTCAACCTCGGCATTTAATCACAAGCGCGGACCGCCGCTGTCGCGAGTGTTTGCGGTAGATGTGCACGATGTCGACAGCGACAAGTTCCAGGACTCTCAAAACGCCGGGTTCAGTTGGTACATCTCATGACCACGCTCCTGGTCTCCCTATCGGCAGTCAACATCGGCTGGTCGATAGGGATAACCACTTTAGCAAATCCGTGATCTGCAAATTGCACCCTACAGGCCTATGGAAGCACAATCTGCGAACGAGTTCCCCGACCGCATTCCGTTTAGCGAAAGCGCCTGGTCGGTGGCCATTGGCATTCTCTCTGTTGGTGGCCTCATTGGAGCTCTGATTTCGGGCGCAATCGCGACAGAATCGGGCGACGCAACGCGTTGGTCATCAATAACGGTTTTTTCTCGCCGGCTCTGTCCTGATGGGCACCTCCACAACGGCACTGCATTTTTCGCTCGGCCGCTTCGTCATGGGCGTAGGCTGCGGCGTGGCATCAGGAGTGGCCACCATATATGTCGGCGAGATTGCGCCCATTCGGTGGAGGGGATTCTATGGCACGTTTTTCCAACTCGCCTTGGTGCTCGGCATCCTCATTGCGCAGCTGGTCGCCATGTATGTTACAACTGGACTGCAATGGCGCATTGTCGTGGCGCTACCCGGTGTGTTATCTGTTGTTCAGATTGCGCTGCTCCCGCTGCATGTTGAGTCTCCAATTTACCTGATTAAGGCCCGCCATGTTAACGAGGCCCGCCATGCACTGCTCAAGTTGCGTCGCGGCTTTGATGTGTCCACAGAGTGGCAGGAGGGCTTGGCTTCGCTTGACAGCGGCGAGGCCGACACGTACAGCATCTCTGTTGTTGCCCGAGAATCGCCTGTTCAGAGCGAGCCGCAGTTAGCTAATGCGGCGCAGAACGACAGCAATGCCACGATGAAGTATATTGCGGCACAGACCCAGCAGCTAGCCAAGATCTCCCCCTCCGGATCTGCTTCTAATCCAGATAACTCCTCGCCGACCGTTTCGACATTGGCCGCGCCAGAGGCCAGGTTTATTCCGCCGATCAGCATATGGCACATTGTATGTGGCCGCACCCGCGACGATCTCAGACACCTGGTTGCATGCAGCTCGGTGCTCATGGCGCTCCAGCAGATGGCTGGAATTGCAACCATCTTGTTTGGCGGCAACGAGATGGCCAACGCAGTCTTTTATCCGGAATTCCCTTTGAGCGCGCCTTGGACATGCATCCTCATTTGCCTTACTGCCCTGCCGGCCATCTTCCTCTGCATCCTGTTGGTAGATAAACTGGGCCGCCGGCCATTGCTTCTGGGCAGTCTCGGTGGAATGGCGATTTGCAGCATCCTGGCAGCCATAGGCATGATCTTTAATATCGGTGCGTTGATCATTGCGGGCGTATTCGTGTGCTACTTTATGTTCAATTTCGGTCTGGGAACTATCCCTTGGTTTTTTGTCTCCGAGAGCGTGCCCGCGTATGCCCTGGGGGCTACCACGGTGCTGGGTTGCTCACTGAACTGGGTGCTGGCCACTATCCTTGGTCTCTTGGTTCCTATCATTGGAGAGCAGATCCAGGCTGCTTGTTTATTGTTATTGGGTGTATTTGTATGATCGGATTTGTCTTTGTCATGGTCTGTGTACCTGAAACTATGAACAGATCAGTGACGAGAATTGTCGCGAAGCATGCTGGACCCTTGCATACTGTCATCAAGTTTCACACCAGGGCAACCAAAAAGATGTAATTTTTTTCAAATATTTTTATTGTTTCTTTTTTTTTAAAATTCCGTATATTGTTATTTTTGTATATTGTTTTTTTACGTCAGTGTGCTTGTTTGTTTGGGTTTAATTTAATTAGCCATTCAATTTTAATGTACATGTTCTATTGTGTGCGAATGCAAATGCGTGCGTGAGTGTTCATGTGAGCACAGGCACGTTTAATTTTTCTTCTAAATATTGTCAGAAAATATGATCTACATGTTTCTGTACTTTGCAAAATTATTCCATGTGAAAACAACTGCAAAATTATTCCATGGGAAATAAAAATATTACATAGTTTGTTTTCACATGATCAATTTTTATATAAATAAAAAATTGGGTGTTGCTGGTTTTTCTGATCCATCTTTTTTGGTTTGTTTTGCGACCCGTGCTAATAGAGCAAATAAAAATCCTCAGTAAATCCACAAACATTATGCATATAATTTTTGCGTTTAAATTTTTTTTGGTTTCAGTGTGCTTGTAAGAAAACCAAACAAAATATATAATAAAATATCGTTGTCATCGGAAGCACACTGCTTTTTTAAAGTGAATATAACAAGCTTCCAAAGAATATACTTTTTAGGCTGCAATGGGATAGAGTGCACATGTACACAATATGTTTGATTATAATTATTGCTTTGTTTTCAACCTTGTCAGAAATAAAAAAGAACATTCATAAATGCACACTTGTCATTTGTCATTTGATACACAGCTGTTTGGAATAAGTGCATGGATGACCCAGAATATTAGCTTTTACCTTTGCAGTGTATTGTGGCCAAGTGTAATTTATGTAGGATATCTTTTTTCTCAAAGAGACGCGCTATCAATACAATGTGGGGTGGTGGAAGGATATATTCAATACCAACCAATCAACTGCTACACGCGAGCTATTTTTTTTGGTATTCCAGAACCTATTTTGAATGTTTTTTGTGTGGCATATTTGTCGGCAGGTAAATACTCAAGTTTTGATAAAAAAATCCATTTCATTTTTGTAATAATGGCTGAACAATGCACTGTTCTTGTCTTTTCAGCAAAAAACACAAATAAGCGGCTTATTTGGGTTGATGTTTAGCATATGCAAAGATAAAAGAAATCAAGCAAGAGGTTTATTCTTACAGAATGAAAAAATAAAGAGAAAAATAATCGACACTGACATTTGCACCTGTCAAATAGAGATTCTATATAAAGCAAGACATTATTTGTGCTGGTTCAGATTTTGTCAAAACATTGCTAATTTTTTTATATTTTTTATTCGAGAAAAAGCGAATTTCTGTCACTGTAATTTCAAGTATCCATCGAAGGCTTGCTATATTTTTCATTTTCAAAGCATATTTAGAAACAAACGCGGCACTGGTATAAACAAAAAAGCAGGCTTTACTATTGTATTATCAGTCTTTTCTCTCCATTCCTCTATTTCTCCATAATTATTTTTCATATTTTTGATTTTATTCTCACTCTTAAACCTCCCCCTTTTTCAACATTTTTTAGTTTTGTAAATGGCGGGCAGCGTCGAAGCACCAAGTATCATTTCGGGGCGCAACCCCATTGCCTACTCCGCCAGCAACCCCATCGTCCTGTTCATAGTCCAGCTCCTGATCATCATAAGCGTCTGTCGGTTCCTCCACCTATTCCTCAAGCGGCTCAACCAACCAACAGTCATCTCTGAAATCATCGGCGGCATTCTTCTCGGACCCACAGTGCTAGGCCGCTGGAAAGCATTTACAGCCAACGTCTTTCCATCGGAGTCCCTAGTCAACCTCAATCTCATGGCGAACTTTGGCCTGATCATGTTTCTGTTCATCATCGGGCTGGAGCTGGACCCACGGATCCTCAAGCGCAACATCCGACGCAGCATCATGATCAGCGTAGCCGGCATGGCGCTGCCCTTTGCCTTGGGTGTAGCAACAAGCTACGCCCTCTACCACGTGCTGCTGAACAACGAGGGCCGGTTCCACATATTTATGCTGTTTCTGGGCGTCGCCATGGCGATTACAGCGTTCCCCGTGCTGGCGCGCATCCTGACCGAGCTCAATCTCCTCAAGACCATCGTCGGGTCAACAGCGATCTCTGCGGCAGCCATCGACGACGTCGTCTCATGGTGCATGCTGGCCTGGTCATCGCATTGACAAACAACTCTACAGGACTGACCGCGCTCTGGGTGCTTCTGGTGGGCGCCGGCTGGACACTCTTCATTGTCTTCGCCGTGCGGCCAGCCTACCTGTGGTACCTTCGACGCGTCGGCTGCCTGCGGGGTCGCGAGCCCTCGCAGTTTGTCCTGTTCCTGACGTTCGTGCTAGTCCTGGTGTCTGCATTCTTCACAGACGCCATCGGCATCCACGCGATTTTCGGTGCATTCATCGTTGGTGCCATTGTGCCTCACGACGGCGGGTTCGCAGTCAAAGTAACCGAGAAGATCGAGGACGTCGTGCAGATCTTTTCCTACCGGTCTACTTCACACTGTCCGGGCTCAAGACCAACATGTCATCGCTTGACGACGGCAAAACTTGGGGGCTGCTGATCCTCGTCTGCTCCGTGGCGTTCATTGGCAAAACTGGCGGATGCTCGGTGGCGGCGCGGCTTAGCGGGTTCTCGTGGCGCGAGGCTCTGACAATCGGCGTCCTGATGGACTGCAAGGGCCTGGTCGAGCTTATTGTGCTGAACATTGGGCTGCAGGCCGGCGTCATCGACACGCGGATCTTCTCCATGATGGTGGTCATGGCGCTGGTAACCACCATCATCACGGCGCCGCTGGTCGCCTGGCTGTACCCGCCCCACCGCCAGACGCGGGTCGAGGGCGCAGACGACAATGGCGCGACACAGGCAGCATGGCCAAGCGCCGCGGCCCGCAAGCAGACAGCCCCATGCACGTGCTCGTTGTGTTCAGCCAGCTGGCACAGGTGCCGGCAATCATGACGCTGCTCGGCCACCTGCACCGGCACCAAAAAAACCAGCAGCAAAGCCACCGGCCGCTGCGCGTCTTCGGGCTGCGGCTCCTAGAGCTGACCGGCCGAGACTCGTCGATCATGCAGCAGTACGAGTCCGAGCTGCTCGCGGCCAACGACCCCGTGCTGTCGACGTTTCGCGCGTTCGCGCGCATCGTGCAGATGCCCTTCGACGCGTCCCTGGCGTACAGAGACCGCGAGCGCTTTGTCGACTGCGTCTTGGAAAATGCGCGCGACGCCGGCGCTGAGATGACCGTGGTGTCGGCTTTCGGGCGCAACAGCAGCACCAAGGGCGGGCCGCCAGCGGTTGTGCCCGGGTGGTTCGAGGGCATGGGCTGGGGGTTCACGGCGGAGCAGCAGGCCGAGTTTATCGCCGCGCTGTTCGCCAGGGCGCAGGGCACCGTCGGCGTCTTCATCGACTGCAGCGGCACCGACGGGGCTGAGGGAGCCGGCCGAGCCGACGGGGCCGGCCGAGCCAGCGCCAGCGCCAGCACCACGGGCGCGGCACCAATGCGGGAGGAGCCGCTGGTGGTTGTTCCGTTCTTTGGCGGCGCCGATGACCGCCAGGCGCTGCGGCTGGCATCCGACCTGTGCACACACGCGGGCGTGCGCCTGCTCGTCTGGCGCTTCGTCAAGGCAATGTGGCGACGGCCAGCGACGTTGTGCTGAGGGAGGACCGGTTCCCGCGCGGCCCGCGCCAGCGTTTGTGCGCAGCAGCCGGTCGGATCTGCTGCTGAACCGGGCCGCCACGCGCGTCGATGATGAAGGCGGCGCGGCGCTTAAGGACGAGGCAGAGGAGCGCAGCAAGGATGCCGCATTTCTTGCTGCGACGCTGGACCCACGCGCTGCCGCGAGCAGGCGCTGGACCAGGCTGGACCAGGCGCTGGGTGTTGTGCCCACGGCGCACTCGGCGTCGGCGGAGCCGCCCGGCGGCGGAGTCCGGCATAAGCTCACGCAAAGCTGCGTCTGCGGCCACTGAGCCAAGCAAAGGACGCCGGGCCATCGCCATCCGCCGAAGCTGCTGCTGGTGGCGGGCCGCGCGCCACGCGGTTCCCCAATGCGACCATCGAGACCATCGTCACGGGGACGCCTCTGCAGACGCTGCTGCTGCGCGCGCGCCAGCTGTCCTCCGCCGACCTCATTGTGTGCGGGCGCTCGGTGCGCGGCGGCCTGGCGTATCACAACAACGAGCAGGAGCTCGTGCGTATACGCCGGCGGGCCACCGCCATACAAAGCTCGAGCGGCAGCGCGCGCTGGGCACGGTCACGGAGTACCTGCTTGGCTTCGGCGCCGACGCCGGCATCCTCGTAGTGCAAGGCTGGCAAGAGGCACCTTCTACAAAGGCTTGAATAATTGAGCAGTTTTCGGGTCAAAGACAGTGGGGATTTAAACAAATCTATTTAGAATATCCCTATGCGCTCATTAGCTGCGCAAGATCAGCCACAGCGTCGTTCACAGCACTCTGGTGCTCCTCGTATCCCTTTGCCTCGGACTCTCTCAGCTGCCTCCTTGCTGCTGCTGCTGCTCCTCCGTCAGCTCCGCCGGCTTTCCGACACCGCGCAATACCTCACTTACGCCACAGTCCTGCGCTGCTCGGTCCAGCTCCATGCGCACGGCTTTGCGGCCGGCGCTGTGTTTTGTTGAGAGGGACTTGAGAACGTCTCTTTGCTTTTTCTTTTGGAGAACGGGGGTGGCCTTTTTGATCACCATTTTCTTGTGCTGCTGTGGTGGTTTGGTCGATGACTGGACGAGCTTACGCTTGAGTGCTGTCTTTTTGACTGTTTGCTGCTGCTGCTGCGGCTGCTTCTGCTTTGTGGTGCGACCGGCCATTTTCAATATAATATAATTTTGTAGATATATAGTAGTTTTTTTACTATGTAACAAGTTGCAATATGTGAGATGAGAGAGAGAGGATGAAGATGAAAGAGAAAAAAACAAGGGTATTTTTCTTCTATTTTTTTCTTTTTTTTCTTGGGTGGTCGAGCCGAGCCGTTTGCAGGCTTGTCGCGTTCACACTACATAAAATAAATGCGCGCGTGGGATTAAAAAAGAATGCTGAGAATAAATGCTTTTTTCCCTCTTTTTTTCTCGCGCACAATATATTTAAGCATTTAAGGGAGGTAAACGTTTTTTCTACTCTTATTTTTTTTTCCTTTGAATTTTAGATTTTTTTCTTAAAATCAAATTTTTAAAAAACAACACCCCTTCAAACTCCTTTCCTTTTTTTGTTTACATTACCTTTTATACATATATTTTTCCACTTCAATCAACCATTTAAACACTCAATCAAACCCAGTTTTTTTATAATTAAAAATAATATGGCTACGAACAATATTGGCACCTCCAACACAATAGGTTCAAACACAGTAGCCAGTGCTAATTCAGCTGACGGCTGTGGCCCTGTGGTCACTCCGATACAGCAAGCGGCAAAACTGGTTGAGAGCAACATACAATCCGACAGCAAGTTTCCGGCGCTTTCGGAGCTTTTGCAGGGTAAGAGGAGAAAAAATATAACTGGATAAAACATTTAATTCAAGCCCTTATTTGAAAAAAAACTAATTTCTTGTCCACCGCTTATAATTATTCTTTTTTAGGTTCGTCATCCGGCGACTACGAGACGCCGCTCCCGGCAGACTGGCAGATCGTCGGCAAGCAGCGGCTGATTCCGCTGCCGGATGCGCTGTTTGAGCAGTACGACCTCCTGGAGTGCCGGTGCTTCATGGGGCTGTTCCCGAGATCCAGCGCGCGTGGATCACAGTGGACCACCGGCTCTTCCTGTGGAACTACCAGGACGAAACAGACTTCTACTCGTTCGAGGACCAGGATCAGATCATCGTCAGCGTGGCACTGGTGCGGCCGCGCAAGGGCGTCTTTGTCGACACTATCGAGCACGTTTTGGTCGTAGCCACGCCGCTCGAGGTGTTCCTGCTGGGCGTCGGGTACTCGGCGGCAGGCAGCAAGGGCGGCAGCGTGACGCTGTACGCCACGCAGATCAGCGTGCCCGCGACGGCGTGGCAATGACCAGCATCGTGGGCACGGCGACGGCCGCGTGTTTATGGGCGGCAACGACGGCGCGCTGTACGAGTTCGCGTACCAGGCGGAGGATGGCTGGCTCAGCAAAAAGGCGCGCAAGATCAACCTGACGGCCACCTTGGCGTCGTACTTCATCCCAACATTCCTCGGGCGTCGTACGGCCGCACCGCACCGGCAGTGGCTATGGCGGCCGACGCACAGCGCCAGCTGTTGTACGTGCTGGCGCAGGACGCGTCAATCCGCGTCTATTGGCTGGGCGCGCACGGCAGCGAATTCCACCTGGCACACCACCACCGCACCGTGGCCAACGCAGCAGCGCTGCTGTGCCCGCAGTTCAACGAGGCACCCGACAGCTTTGCACTTGTGTCGATCCATGTGTGCCCGCCGGCGACGGCCGCGCGCTCAGCCTGGTGGCCATCACAGGCGGCGGCGCGCGCCTGTACTTCTCGACAGAGCGACGCATGCAGCGGTTTTATGACGCGCCGTCGGTCCAGCACCAGCAGCAGCAGCCCGAGGTGTTTGAGCTCGTGCACGTGCGGCTGCCGCCCGACACACAACCGGCGCTGGGCCGCATGCTGCCGAACGCTGCGCGCCCCAGCCTGCGCGTGCACACGGCGTTCTACGCGGCGGGCACGGTGCTGCTGGCGCACACGTGGAGCGAGGACCACGACTCTATCCTGGCCGCCGCCCCGGCGTGCGCGCCGATCCTGGCGCGGATGGCCAGACAGCCGCGCGCCTCGCTGACTGAGTACTCGTCAGCGTCGCGCATCGAGGGCCGCACGTGGGCGATCGCCGAAATCAGCAGCGGCAGCGGGCCGAGGCACTGGACGATCTGGCGACCACATCAGCCGACCCGCTGCGGCGATTTGCCGTTCTGACCAACGCCGGCGTCAGCATTGTCGAAAAGCAGCGGCCCGTCGACATGTTCCGCCAGCTGCTGTGCTCGCCGCAGCAGCTGGACGTGCGCGACTTCGTCACTGCTTATGGGCTCGTCGAAACGTGCGCCATGTGTCTGACGCTGCTGTGCTCAGAGAGCGCCGCCGCCGGTGGGCTGCAGATGGACGTGGCGGCGGGGGCGCGCAGGTTCTTCTTTGAGCTCGGCGGCGTGCCGCACCGGGCAGGCGACAGTGCTGGCGCGTTCGGTGCGTTCGAGCAGCGCATTGTGCTGAGCGGGCGGCACGACGGGCTGGCGCTGTTCCTAGCCAGGGCGCTGCACCCGCTGTGGACGCAGCCGGCAACGGTGCTGAAGAAGGACCAACAGGGCGGTGCGCGGCTGCACGTGGGTGTTGGCTCGGCGCTGCTGATGGACGTGCAGGACCGGCTGCGGCGGCTGCAGCACTTTATCAACAACAACCAGCGCTTTGTGCCCGACCAAATCAACCAGATGCCCGTTGGGTCTTCTTCAGCCTCGGGAGGCGACACGGCGGCCGAGTGCTGGCGCGCAGAGGCCGTGTCGCTTGGCGCACTGTACGAGCTCGTTGTGCGCTCGGTCGAGGCCATCTCGTTCCTGCTACTCATGTCCGACTTTAACCTGCCGGCGATCACAGGTGGCCTGCCGGCTGCGTCCGCGCAGGCGCAGAGGCTGCCGCAGCTGGCGATGCCGTTCAACCAGTTGGTGTGCACAACCGAGGGCCAGCAGTCGTGCCGCGACCTGATTCTCACGCTGATCAGCTCTCAGCTGCGCCAGAACATTACCATCGACAGCATTAGCGACGTACTAAGCAAGCGCTGTGCGTCACTGTTCTCCTCTGCGCATGTTGCTTTGTACAAGGCGCTGGAGTCGCTTAAGCTGGCCAAGGAGACGCAGGAGGGGTCGCAGGTGGCGGATCTGTGCGCCGACGCGCTGCATCTTTTGGTGCCGATTGCCGGGTCGCTTGGCGTCGACCAGCTGGGTGAGATTTGCGGGACGCTGGAGGCCCTCGGCCAGTACACTGCGCTGGTGTCGCTGGCGCTGGCATGCGCTGAGCAGAGCGACCCAAGGGACGACGCCGTGGCATTCTGGCAGGACGGGGCGCCCGCCGGGGATGCGCGCGAGGCGACGTATGCTAAGCGCATGGCCTGCTACCGCTGCATCATCGATATGCTGGCGAAACACCCGAGCATATCCTTGCGTCGGCGAACACTGTAGCAGCGGGCGGAGTCGATGGGCTGTTTCAGTTCGCGCTGTTTGATTGGCTGTTGGAGACCGACCGCGTCTCGGTTCTTTTCCAAATGAACCCGATGTTTGTCGAGCAGTATCTCTTGGTGGAGCCGCAGTCTGTAGAGAAGGGCGATATGCTGTGGCACTTTTATATCCACCAGGGCCGGTTCGGGAGAGCCGCAGTGGTGCAGCGGCATATGGCGGCGGTTATGGATTTGTCGCTGGAGAAGCGCCTGGAATACTTGTCCTTGTCGATCAGTAATGCCAAGATTGCGCTGGACCGCGGAAACACCAGTGGCGATGCGGACCAGGAGGCGGCGGCGGCAGAGGATGAGGGCTTGGCAGCAGTGCTGCGGGACACGGAGGATCAACTAGAAGTCGCCCAGGTGCAGCTAGAGATCCAGCAGCAGCTGCGCACCAGCACATACTCTGTGCCAGTGCAGGCGCTTAACGACAAACTCTATACGCTCTCTGAGCTCTACGAGGAGTTTGCGCAGCCGCATAAAATGTACGAAGCGATCCTGTACATACTCAAGGCAGCCAACCATGACGATGCGGAGCTGGTGCAGGGTACATGGCAGGTGATTCTGCGCACGGCTGCGGATGGGTCTCCGGCAGGGTTATTGGCGGCAGCGTCGAAGGTTACGGCGCTCGGACGGAGGTGTATCCGTCGGCAGCGGCGTTCCCCGTGGCGGTTGTGGCGCGGTTACTTGTTGATCTCAGCGTGGAGCGCCAGGGTGAGTATTCCCGAGGATTTGTCTCGGATTGTTTGCTGAAGGCGTTGGTGCCGCATTGGGCGGTATTTGATGCATTACAGACGGTGTTTGCTACAGTCGCGGCTGCTAAGGAGGAAGGCCTCGTGGTAGAGTTGGTTGTTGGTGAAATTGCCTGGTGTGTGGGTGATTGGATCAAGGGGTTGCAAGGAAACGATATTGGCGGTATAATGATGAGGTGGAGGGTGGACTGAGGGACGGAGGGATGCCGCTGGTGGCTGTAGATGAGGCCCTGAGCCAGCATATTGTTAATGCTCAGTTGCGGAATCAAACACAGATTAAACAGGAACTGCAATTGGTTCAAGAATCTCTGAGACAAATGTTTTAACAAAATTTTTTCTTTGAATTGAATTAATAACATTTATTTATTTATTTTTTGTTGGGTTGGATTGGATTGGATTGTCGCGATAGATGTACATGAACATGAAGCAATATTCATACATTTTATTCCACTCAATATCTCCAACATAAATCCTACCATTACATTACATTAGTTTATTCATTTCATCATTCTTTTTTCCCAGAAAAAAAGAAAAAGAAAAAGTATTGGTTGATGGCGACCAATTGATTGGCCAGTATTAGCTGCTCCAGCCAAACACAATCATCATAATCCATATAGTGACCAAGCCACTTTATATATTTCATATTTACCTTTTCCAGTGCATAGATAGCACATATATTCAATACACTTTTATACATAGCATATACACTACACGTTTACAGAATGTCTCTCTCAGAATTCAGCAGATCTTTACTTTCAAACTTGATTTGATAATTCATTCTATTTCTATTTCTGGTACTCCACTCATCAATAATCAGGTTTATTCGCCGATATGTTAATTTTTTGTATCATTACATCCAAATTCGGCTATTTTCACTTTGTCAATCAACTTTTGCAATAATTTTTCTGTTTAGCTGCGAGAAAGAATAATAGTTTAAAATTGGCTTTGCTCTGGTGCGTACACGAGTGTTTTTCTTCTCCATTACACTGTTGTTTTTCCTTTTAGCTTAAATACTTTCCACTATTAAACCATTTCCTTTATTCTGCTACCATTTTTATTTGTAATGCAACTCAAGTCAGTTTTACTCCAGGCTTTGCTCGTCGGCTCGACAGTTTTCTCCTCTGCCAACGCTGCTGATATTGACTGGGATAGTCAGTGTGCACTAGCTGGAGTCGCCTACAATTGGTCAACTTTCAGTTATAATATGATTATTAAACGTCAGGTTATAGCAGCTATGCTGGCCAAGAAGCCTACAACAAAGTAACTGTTTTGGTTAACGCAGCAGGTTTTACTTCTGAGCCCAATATTCAGCTTTTTAATCAAGTCATTGCAATTACTGGAACCGCTTATATGGATTCAATCTTTTCTACTGTTTTTATTGCTTATGCGAAAATTGCCACCTGCAATCCTTATATTTCAGAAGTTGCTTCGACTAAGACAGACACCGAGGCCGAAGGCTCTACCGAGACCGAGAGCTCCACTGAGAGTGAGAGCTCCACCGAGACTGAAGGTTCCACTGAGACCGAGACCGACCCTGTGTACAAGTGCTCGGAGGTTACTATCACGTACACCAGACCGCGCGTTCACACTAGTTTTGTGTAGACCCAGCACAGCATATTCAACCTTTATCATTTTTTCACGTATACTTAATACAAGTTGCATGCGCTTATAAATTCTAAGTATTATATTGTTACGCAGCCCAAGGATATGGAGGTAGGCGCTGAGGGAAAAATCATGAGACAGATTCCTACCAGCTTGCTGATAGATCTGATATTGACCAAATTACAGGGGACTAAATCAGACGCCACTGTTGACATCCAGATACACTGTCTGTCTCAAGATAGATGCGCTGAGCGCATAAATACAGATACACCAATAATGCCATATCAGAGACCCGGGCTACGTTCATAAGGACCAGTTCTCGCGAACGGAGTACACAACTGCCGGTGTGTGCCACAAAGACATTGAGATACATATATAAGATGGGGTCGGCGATATCAGCACTTTAGGAACACTAGTAATAAAACACTTTATAATTTAATACGTATCCATTTAATACGTATCCATTTAACGCTATTGTAATAGTGCTCCCCACACACCCCCTTTTACATAACAATATAACATAAAGTTAATGTAAATGTAATCGTCTAAAACATTTAAAATAATGATCTGGAGTAGAGTGCATTTGCGTTTCATATGGATTGCAGGATCCCAGCTGTCACAAAATGCATTACAGGTAAAGCTGCATGTCAGATGTTTCAAAAAGCAAACAAAAAGCTGGCAAATTTCAGAACTCTCAAGAAAACAACAGGAAGGTCGCTAATATTCTTTTGTAAATTTAAAAAAAACTGAAAATTAATGAAAAGTATTTATTCCATATCGGAAATGTCAAAGTCGATCAAATCATTGATTCCGATTTCAAAGTCTTCCAATTCGACTTTTTTCGGTGCAGAAATGGAAGGCGCGGAAGCAGGAGGTGGTGGCGGTGGCGGAATCACTCTAGCAGGAGACCGGGAATCAACCTCCATATGTGTATCCTTTCTCTCTATAGCAGCATTGGATGACCCAACGCCCAGATCTTTCCGGGTCGCACTCACCATATCATCCCTGGCCTCTACAAACACGCTCTTCATGACGGGCCTCTCCCGTTCTCCAGAAGCCCGCTTCGCTGTATCCACCGCCAAAGCCGCCAAATCGGCAAGCCCCTTCGCAAACATCATTAAATCCTGTGCCGAGGGGACAGTAGCCGGTGTGGAAATGGGCAGCGGTTTTGATCCAAAAGACTGTCGACAATTATCATTTTCTTCATTTGGCCTCATGTGGATGCCAGCGGCCGCCGCAGTCATTCGATCTAGATTGTCCTGGTGTACTACCTGGCTCATATGGAATCCAAACAAGCTGCGGCTCCTGCGCTCACTGCCATTTGGTCGATCGTACGGCTTTCTATCCTGGTCTATGTGGGGAGACTTTATCGTCATGCCCTGATCTTTTCTTTTTCTGTCCCGCCTTTGCTGGTAATTATGGTGGTGCTGCTCCTGTCGCCGGTGTTTGTGATGTTGCTGGTGTTGCTGCTGACTTGAGCTACGGGTAATATCCAGTGCTGCTGGCCGTGCTGTTCCCCATATGGATATTCCGACTGCAAGGTTGGATTTGCGCCTGAGCTGCCGGCTATTTCAAATCCTGTTGCCGTACTGGTTCGGAGAGGCTCCTCTGACACTTTGCCCTTTGATTTGCCAACAATGGATATGCCTTCGCTTGGTGTGCGCTGCTGCTGCTGGTGATGGTGTTGGTGTTGATGACTATGAGGCTGCTGCTTCTGATATTGCGGTTGTTGGGTTTGCTGATGTTGATTATGTGCTTGTTGGTTAGCCCTGCTATCTTTATATCCAGCGTCTTGGCCTTTGCTTTTGTTCTGTGTTGACCACGTTTGCTGCCACCCATTCTGGATAAATTGAAAATATAAAGTTTAAAGAAAATTAATGAAATGAAATGCAACAAATGGAAGAAGAAAGAACATTGGTGCAGGCTTCAAACAAAAAACTCGAGTTTTTGTTTGAAGACAAAGCGAGAAATATCTCGCCAGTTGCAGTTGTGCTTTTACTGCTTGCTTCCAAGGATGAGGACGCATTCAATTTTATTTATTGTGCGGGAGATCAAATGATCACTAGGTAATTAATCAAATAAATCACATCCTTCGCTTGAGGTTTCGCTCGCTGTATTTTTTTTTGCGCAGCAGATTTTGGACAGTTGCTTAAAACCGTTGCGGTCAAATTTCAAACCTTAAATACACTTCTCTTTCTCTGCTTATTTACTTTTATTGTAAACTTTTTGTATTGCTCTCGCAACCTGCTTCATTTCTCATTTCTCATTTATCTATATAAAATAATATTTTTCACTCCCTCATTCCCCCTTCAGCAGCGCGTTTATTTATTCACCTACTAGCCACAAATTCAGCATTACTCTTTTTTCTTTAAAATGAGCGGATCTGTTGTATATGCATCTCAAATTTCCAACAAAAAACTATGCAAACCCTTTGTTTCACCATCTAGGGACAAACCCATTTCCATATCCACTAGATCATCAGCACGGCCAACGCACTCAAACGACCTATTGCTCGCCCGTTGGGCACGACGTCCAAGCGGCTGCGGATCCGCAGCAACAACGACGACGACGACGACGATGATGCAGAGAAGCGGGAGGACGCCATCTTGCTTCCAGGAGTTAACTACAATGGCATGTCGAAGAGTGTGTTTAAACCGTTTAGACCGCCCACCAAAATAAGAAAGGATGGTGACGAGGAAGACGCAGATGAAGCGATAGCTGACCAGAGCAGCGCAGATGGCAAGCTTGCTTTTCGGCCGTTAGGCATGCGTCGCCGGCTGAATATCATCCGTGGACCGCGGTACAACCCTGATACAGATGACGCTGTCGTGCTGTTCCGTCCCGAGGATGTACTATCACCCGTGCCGCCATCGCCATCGTCTACAAGCTCTGGGACTGCGCAGGCAGTGGTTCCTGTGGCCAGCAAAAAGAGGACACTGAAGGAGATCCTGGGCTGTGGCGGCTCCAGCGGTCCCGAGGAAGGCAAGCTGGTTGCTGTTGTCGTCGACCCTGTGCTCGGGCGCAAGCTGCGTCCACATCAGGTCGATGGCGTCAAGTTTCTGTACAACTGCATCACTGGGTCCATATACCCCAACGCGTTTGGCTGCATCATGGCTGACGAGATGGGACTGGGCAAGACGCTGCAGTGCATCGCTCTGCTCTGGACGCTACTCCAGCAGTCACCCATAGCGGGAAAGCCCATCATTGAGAAGTGCATTGTGGCGTGCCCCTCGAGCCTCGTAAAGAACTGGGCAACGAAATAGTTAAGTGGCTTGGATCCACAAAAATCTCGCCCTTGGCCTGCGACAACAAGGGCACAAAGGACAAGGTCACCGCCAGTCTGCGCGCGTTCATGTCTGCCAGGGGTCGCCGCGTCATTCACCCGGTGCTGATCATTTCGTACGAGTCGCTACGCATATACAAGGACATTCTGAGCGCCTCGCCAATCGGCTTGCTGATGTGTGACGAGGGCCATCGGCTGAAGAACTCCGATTCACAGACCTTCCAGGCGCTTAACGAGCTGCAGATCCAGAGGCGCATCATTCTTTCGGGAACACCCATTCAGAATGACCTGTCGGAATACTTTTCGCTGTTGAACTTTACCAATCCTGGCCTGCTAGGCGACACACAAGAGTTCCGTAAAAAGTACGAGATTCCGATTATGCATGGCCGCGACTCCATGGCTACTGAGGCTGAGCAGAGGCGGGGTGACGAGGTTCTTTCCCAGCTCAACGCCATTGCCAGCCGCGTCATCATCCGGCGTACGAACAACCTACTGTCCAAGTACCTGCCCATCAAGTACGAGCACGTTGTTTTCTGCCCTCTGACGGAACTCCAGACCGATCTGTACGAGCTGTTTCTCAAGTCCAAGGATGCCAAGGCGGCGATCGGCGAGGGCGGCAAGTGCTCGCTGCAGACTATCATCAGCCTAGGCAAGCTGTGCAACCACCCGAGCCTTCTCGACATTCGTGCCTCTGTCGACGGATACGAAAAGGTCACTCCCCCAGCCTACTTTAGCGACAGAATGGACAGGGATTCTAGCGGAATGGCAGGCAGCAGAGGCGCGCACCGGTCAGCTACGCTGCGTCGGACTCGCGCTCTGCGGGCGACCGGCCATTCCATCCGAAGTGGTCGAGCAAGATGGCCATGCTCGACCGCATGCTGCAGCAGATCCACAAGGGCAAAGAGAAAGACAAGATTGTTCTGATTTCAAACTACACCCAGACTCTGGATCTGTTTGAGGGGCTCTGCCAGGCACGCAACTTTGGCCACTACCGCTTGGACGGCACTATGACGATCAGCAAGCGACAGACCATTGTGGACCGCTTTAACGACCCGTCAGACCCGGCATTTGTTTTTCTCTTAAGCTCAAAGGCCGGTGGCTGCGGTATTAACTTGGTTGGCGCTAACCGCCTGGTTCTCTTTGACAGCAGCTTCAACCCCGCCGAGAACCTGCAGGCCTGCGGCCGCATCTGGCGCGACGGCCAGAAAAAGCCCTGCTACATTTATACGTTTGTGACGACGGGCACAGTGGAGGAAAAGATCTTTCAGAGACAATCGTATAAGACCTCCTTGTCCACTTGCGTGATTGACGAGCAGGAGAATGTCGAGAGGCACTTTTCGAGGCAAGAGATGAAGCAGCTGTTCCAGGCCAAGTTGAGAGGCACGACCGCATGCGAGACGCACGACCAATTCAAGTGCAGGAGGTGCGTCAAGGGCCATCAAGCGATAAAGGCCACCGAGCCGATGGATTTCGCCGACCACAACTCGTGGGACCATTTTAGCTTTAACGACTGTCACAAGTTGCAGGACCAGCTGCTGAAGAGCTGCATGGGCAAGGACGTGTCTTTTGTGTTTCAGTACAAGAGTCATTGAATGTTTTACTATTTAATTACGACAATACTTATATTTTTATAATATGCCTCTCATACCCCCCTTCAAAAAAGCACCATTTACATTTTTATACATATTCAAGAAAATGGGCATGTTTATTGGGCTCTGTTAATTCCTGAGCATTCAGTGAAACCACACGGTGATTAATAACTAAATATATATTAAAAAATATATTATACGCGCAAAGCTCAAGCATAATACTACAAAACAATACATACTACGAGGGAAATAATCCTTCCCATGTCTTGACTACAAGTTGATTTCTGTAGAGCTTTTTGAAGTCGTACATGCCATTTGTGGTCGGAAGCCAGATTTTAGCAATATCCTCGGGTGTTTGATACTGTCATCTCTGGGCAGAAAATTAAGCAAGGGTCAGCGACAGGTTCTCCTTTGCATGCTTTTTGTCGTGTTCCGCTTTTAATGGTTGAGCCTGCCTTGCTCTGCTAGTCTGTGGCATTGTTAATATAATTCTGGCTAATCTTTTGGGATCCACTGCTTCATTATTATAATAAATCAAATGGACATAGTTGGAAATTTTCTCAACTTAGAGTTTCTTTTATTGAGTTGCCTACAGTCTTGTAGACCTGCTTTATTGTGACGTCGTCATCAAAGCTCAGGCCCAGCTGATACAGGTGATTCCACTAAACGAAATATACATGAATATATTTTTTAGTATTATAGTGCTGCTAAAATGATAGATATGATATTTCGAATTGAAGAGAAGTGAGAATATGGGAAATGGCCAAAATGTTTTCTACAATTCGGATAAATTCCTGGTGCTATACCCATGCCAAATACAATGTATGTTTAGCTTTAGAAAATATCTGCAATATTCATTTGACAAACTTTAAATCAACCGCCAGCAGTAGTCTTATTCTTTTTAGCTGCTTTTTTATGGGAATCGAAATACTCACCCCTATTTTGTCAAAAGCGCGCGCAAATATTTATTTTGCAGATATTTATGCGTAAAGAATTCTGCTTTCAGCATAAAAACCGACTGCTAGATCTTGCGACAAAAGACGGTAAATAGATTACTTGTATCCAGTCTTTTTAAAAATAAATATGTAGTTGCTATAAATAAAGGCAAATACTTTTTTCATTTTGATAAGCATGGATAAGCCAATATTTTTTGTTTGATTCCCAGTGTTACGCAGCCCGAGGATATGGAGGTAGACGCTGAGGGCGAAAATCATGAGACAGATTCTCGTCAGCTCACAGATGGATCTGATATGGGCCAAATCACAGGGGATCAAATTAGGCGCCACAATTGACATCCGGACATACTGCCTGTCCCGAAATGGAGTGCCGGCGCAAGAATACAGACATGCCAATTATGCCATACCAGAGACCCGGGCTACTTTCATAAGGCCAGTTCTCGCAACGGAGCACACGACTGCCAGTGAGTGCCACAAAGACAAGGAGATATATATAAGGCGAGGCCAACGATAATAGCACTTTAGAAACACTAGTAATAAAAACCTTATAGTTTCACACCCATCTTTTTAACACTATCACAGTAGTGCTCCTCACACCCCCTCTTACATAACATCGGGATCTTGTAAATCAAATGGTTTATTAAATTAAATTGCTATTGTGAATAATTGTATTTATTGTTTAGAGAACAGAAGAATGAGCGGACATTGTATAGTACCCTATAGCTCGAATAACTTATTTTAACAATAAATTGCTGGTTAATTATTAGCTTCACTTCGTTCTATTCTAGGACTAAAGTCTACCAATTAACCAACCTACATTTATATTGTAGGTATTCCAGGGCTGAGCGCAGCAGGCATAATTGCATTTTCATTTTTTATTTACACAGCGATACAATGCACAATTGGTCTTTTTTGTCTTGTTAGTGCATAGCACTCATAATATAATACATATACACATACACTTCGCGTTCGCAAATTCCGGATTCCAATACCTATCAAGAATGTCTCTTTTGCAATACTTTTTTGCTTCTGAAATTTAACAATCCTGGATTGCTGGTGGACAAGCACAATTTTTGTAAAGATAAAAGTATATAAAAACCGAATCATACAGGGCCGCAATTCTGTGGTCACTGAGTCCGAGCAGAAGCTGAAGAAAGCGAACAAGATGTCTTTGCGGCTTAAACCCATTGCCAACCGTGGTACCACCCAACACACAATCAATATATTTTCAAGTACCGTGAACGAATGTACTGGAATGTGTATCTTATTCCAAAAAAATATGTGTCAAAGCATCTAATTATGATGCGACGCTGAGATTGTGAAAATGTGTTCCCAGTCCGTTTTTGCAATAGGCAAGATGCACAGAAAATAGAGCGCACAAATTATGCATTAGTAAGCAGGCCCAGATCAGGAAACCATTAGGTAAACCAATAAGCGTATTTGTCAGAAATAAAACATTGTAAGATGTGGATAACACCTGACAAGTGCAGATTATTTCCAATGTGAAAGTTCGCATTTACAAAACGCAAGCCCCACGTATTTTAGCACTTGTAAAAAAGCAAGTTTGAACCCCTTTTTGTAAACTCGATTGATATTAGATTGTATGTGCTTTGCCATTTACTTTTTTCTGACACTTTTTCACATCCCTCATTAAAAAACTAGTCTGGATAATTGATAGTGTCAAATTCTATATAAACGCCCCTGAAATCTTCAACTTCTCATAGGTGTTCTTATCACTATCATTTGTCTTGTAATTCCCTTATCTTTATTCAACTACGCACATCAGCAGTAGCAGCAGCAGCAGAAAAAACTAAACCATGACCAAATTGATTTCAATCGTCGGAGCTACCGCCTTCAGGGCGGCAGCGTTCTTAAGGCACTCTATGCCACCGGCAAGTATAAGAGTCGCGCTCTCACTCGCAATCCCAATAGTGATGCGGCCAAAACCCTTCTGAAAAATACCCAGATATTGAGCTGGTAAAGGCTGACGCCGACGATACCGCTCCATTGCGCCAAGCATTCCGGGGCGCAGACATTGTTTTTGGTATGACGCAGGCCAATATGATGGCCAAGGAGCAAGACCCCACTCGCAACGAAGAGTACGAGCACGGTAAGGCCATCATCGATTCTGTTATTTCCGAGGGCGTTAATTCTCTGGTTTTCAGCACTCTCGACTCTATGAATACAGACTCTGGCGGCAAGTACCCAGGCGTTAAGCATTTTGAGAGCAAGTACAAGGCTGGGTAGTATCTGTTGAGCAAGTCGGATCAGATCCGCGGGTATTTTGTCAACGCTGGCCTCTATATGGAGAACTTTGTGCGCTTCTCGCGTCTTTCGCCAGAGGACGGTAAGACCGTCGAGTTTACGTTCCCGCTGAAGCCCACCACCCAGGTGCCGCTGTGTCGCACATTCTAGACCACCCGAGGAGAACCTTAGCAAGGTCAGGGAGGTCAGCGGCGGCTACTACGAGGCTCAGGAAATTGTCAGTGCTTTAACTGAGGCTACTGGAATTCCGGCCCGCTACGTTCAGCTGCCATACGAGTATCTCGGTGTGGAGGAGGCAGTTCAGATGTTCAAGGGTATTGACGCCTTTGGGTCCTTCAATGGCAGAGCTGAGTTATTGAGCGCAACAAGCTTATTGACTACAAGTTCACCACCCCTGTCGAATTCTGGAAGAACCGCGGATGGACCGGTCCCGCCAAGTAGACAAAAGTTGAACTAGCTGACATTTGTCTGTTTTTATTTCAAATTAAGAGTAAACAAAATATCATCAAAACTCGTGCTTGTTATGATTAGATATGCCACCTTGAATTTTGTTTTGACCGACATTTTGGTGAGTGCAGATATGGAGGACGCGCACTATGTTTTTCTTCGTAAATCAAGTTTGGCTTTTGCAAATGGCAAGCCAAATAAATTATAGACGCTGTAATTGTTTGATTTGATTTTTTTTACATATACTACGTCACTTGTTTTGGATTTCCATCATGAGATCATTTGGAGGTCTTTACAGAAAGAACAAAGGGGATCCATGCATCTGTCCTTGATTTTTTTATGTCAATACGCCCAACAAGCAAGCAAGCAGGCATGCAGACAACACATGCATTTGATGATAGGCGAAAAATATTTAGGCAAATAACTAGGTGTGGTGTGAAGTGAAGAATAGGGCTGGAATGAAGACAATGGCATGTTTCACTGCCCCAAGCGTCAGTCTACTGCCTCCCAAGGAAACATTTTATATTCCAAAAACAGATTACCTATGCTCAGTTCCCAACTCACTTTCTGCGATGCCGCATCTCCATTGTTCGACATATATTATTGAAATTGGGTTGAAGGACAAAGAAAGTCCATACCCATCTCTTTTGCTGCTCTTTCTTTTCATCACCTCACTGTACATTGTCATATTTTCTCTATTTACTTCACACCACTCCTTTCTTTATATATCTAAACATGACCGTCACAACTAGCCCGCACAGCTGCTTCCCAAAGAGTGTATCTTGACAATCCTGGACTACCTTTGGGAAGACGCACAGCTGAACAGGTTCTACGACCGGCGCAGGCAAAAGTTCAAAGACTATGACCAGACACTGGTGCACCAGACCCTGCGTATCCGCAGCATCTCACCACTACACGTATGCCACAACTGGAGGAGCAGCTGCATCTCAAGGTACTTTCGGCACACATTACTGAACATGACTGCCCCACAGCGCGCCCCGCTCCCCCACACAGCAGTACCACACATCGAGCGACTGTATGTCATTCTGAGCAGCACTGTATTGCCGGCAGCAGCCTGCCATTTTCCTTGCCCCGGGTGCACTCGCTCGGCATATGCGTCCTGGACAGCAGCAGGCGTGGTCACCGAGATGCAGAAGTGACGTTTACCGAGGACTTGCCGCAACTGCAGCGCGTGTGGTTTCAGAGCCTTGGCCGGGTCAGCGCAGAGGCAAAAGACATGCTGGCTGGGTTGCGGCAGCGGGGTGCCATGGTATGTGCTGTGCACCTGTGCTTTTCTGGACAGCAGGATGTGCACGCAGTGGGTTTGTGCACGACAGCTGCGAGGGCTCGAGTCACTGTGTCTTGGCCGCATCTCCGGTGCCACGCTGAGTGACCTAATGTACATCTCCGCAGAAAGTAAGCATGTGAAGTACCCTCGCTTACATCGGTTAGTGTTCTCAGTGGATATTCATGCGCACATCTACTCGCGCACGCCCACTCTGCCATCGTCGTTCCCCAGTCTGCAGGAGCTCTACTACGATGATTCGCATGGCGTTCCGCGCGAAGAGTGGCATGCGCCCTTGTTTGATACCCTCATTAAATACTCAGGCCATGAGCTGCGCTACTTGGCCTTCCCCATCGTTTACAACACACAGCGCACAGTGAGCAGCACAAATTGCCCGCGCTTGGTCGAGTTGAGGCACATAAAGTGCTGCTGGGCGACCGGTGCATGGAGCTCTGAGCAAATCGACAGCGACTCGACCCGGGTTCTCCGAGCCATTGGGTCGATTGCCACGCTGAAAAAGTACGTGCACCCGTCGTATATTGCTCGCTTGTCGGCGATTCCTGATGTGATGGAGTGCCGCGGACTGCGATATTTGAATCTGTTTGGCTGGCCGCTGACTGTGGCGGATCTCGCCTGGGTGGTGCAGACGTTTCTGAGCTCACTGTGCTGCGAGTGACTTTGACTGAGCGCACAGACGCCGAGCAATACACAGAATGGTTGAATTGTGTGGAAATGGCGGTGGAATGTTGAAAAGTGTCAAGGTGGGCTTGGCCGATGGCAGCCAGCTGAGCGCCCAGGATATGGAGCACTTGGCTGACTTTATGTGCCAGTTGCAAAGAGGGTGTCAGTTGCGCTGTTTGGCATGGCATATGCGCACATTGCAGCGGCTGTGGCTGCGGATGAGGCACATGTTTTGCAGTCGATAAAGATGACCAACATGGACTTGTCAAATTCTAGGGAAAGCGGCGGCAGCAGCATCACCAGCAGCGGCGCCCATACACCGGCTAACTGGTGGCCAATGGCAACAGCAAATGGCCGGGCAAATGCAGAGACCCGTTTGTCTATGAACAACAGCTGGCATTTGGTCCAGCAGCTGCTGATAGGCGAGTGAGATGGTGGCATTATTATTGGGTTTATACAGAATTCTTTAAAGGTAAATATTACAAGTAACAAAAAATAAGTTTATATATATGTACAAAGCACGCTGGCGCATACTTTTATTTGTCGTGCAAATCCGAGCTATCGCTGTTATTGGCATTATCCATGACCATGCTGCTGTTGACCTTATCATCATGGTTTTCCTTTTCGCCGTTGTCATTCCTCTTGTCCTTCTCATTGTTATCATTTTCAGACTTGGCAAGCGCAATGTCGATCTGACTCTCATTAATACTCGAAGGCTCCCTACCGCGCGACCTCTGCGTACCAGGCAGCAACCTCGTCAACCGCATCGCCGCGCCAGGCACAGACTGGTACCCGCGATTGATACACCCGCCGACCGCTCTCGGCTCCCTCTGCAAGCTCAAATCATAAATGCGATCATCGTCATAGCCCTCGCATTTGTCCCATTCCTCAATCAAGTACTGCTGCAGACCGGGGATGGCCATGGTAAAATTGCCGCTATACTCAATTTGGAACTTTTGCAGCTCCTGGATGATGCTTGAGAGCTTGTAGCACTTCTCAAAATTTATGAGAATCGATGGACTGTGGAGATCGACGTCGCGGCGGGTTGCAAAGAGGGCGCAAGTCTGACCAGTCAGTTGCACCTGAGCCTTGGGCGCGCCATCGCCGTCGCCGTTGCTTTTGTTGTTGCCTGGGCTGGTGCTGTTGATACTGCTTGAGCAGTTGCTGGATGAGCGGTTGTCATCATCAATGGTAGGGAGCTCGTAGCGCCGGTAGGTCGGATTGCCGTCATCGAGAAACGTCAGGTCGGTCAGGTACAGCCCCAGAAAGGGCAGCAGGGGCGGTTGGGACTTGCGTAGCATTTCGCGGTAATTTGCGTAGTTGCGGTCCGGATCCATAGCCTCGTGCAAGCGGCGACCCATGATACCGAATTTACTGGGTAGCAGTGCCCACGTCTTTTTGAGCCGCATTACGGCAGCGCAGTATATCGCTGCCTTGATGGCCATGACAGCATCGTAGTTTTTAAGGGCCAGAAGATGGATGCCCAGCTGGATAAAGTACTTGAGCACACGGCATCGGCGCTCTGGGGTGGGCTCGGAGAGAATGGTTAGGGAGGCCCAGCGGGTGATCTGCGTGCACCATTTGGTCATTTGTCGCACGTTGACGGCCTTGGAGAGGGCACCGTGGCTGAACTCCTTGTTGAGGAGCTCGAAGGGCTGGATCTGGCAGAAACAGCTGCTCTCGATGATTGTCAGCTGGCAGGCAACATCCATCGGGCTGACATGCATGATGTGCGAGATGCGCCGGTACGCCTCAATCGACAGGTCCATGCCGATCGTGGCCATCAACAGGTCGAGATGTCTGGTTCGTCGCTGTTAAATGTATTGGTTGGGCTGACGGTACTTGGCGGAATATTGTCCTCCATCTCACTGCTTGCCCTCCCTTTCCTCGTCGAGTCTACTTTTTGCCTTTTTGTCCTTGTGCGTGCGCTTTCTGAACAGCTTTTTCAAATACCTGGGCGCTCGCTGCGATGTTGCGGAATATTCACGAGCTCTTCGTTGCTGCTGGTCAAGCTGCGCTCATCTGTATACGTGCGCCCACTAAGTCTGTTGTGCACGCTCTCGCGCTCATCGGGCTCTGCCTTCTGATCAGCCAACATGGAGGCGCCAGCGACGGACGGCGGCTCCGCTGATATGGATCTCAGCGCCTTCAGATCAACGTGACTGTATTTCCTCTCGACAAAATGCAAAAACTTTATGCATTCCTTTGCGCTCGACCCATGCCGTGAGGGCAAATATCATTGGCCAAGTACCCGCACAAAAACGGCAAAATCGCTGAATCCATGCACGACCACCAGTACCGCTCGTACCACAGCTTGATCGCCAGGAAGACGCGGTATCGAATCGGGTTCTGTACGCGCTCCTGCCATAGCCGCATTTCCTGCGGTGACATCTTAGTTGCGGGTGCTTCGCGCGCGCGCTCGATCAGGGCCTCGGCCAAATCACATTCGGTGGCAAATGACCGGAAGGTAAGAAAAAATGCATTCGTAAAGTACTCGTTGTGCTGCTGCGCCTGCGTCAGATACATTATGAGCCCTCGCCAGGTACCGTAGCTAATGCGCCCGGCGCTGTTGAGCAGGATGTCGTGCACAGTGTAGGCTTTCTCGGGTGCCGACTGCTGCATTGGCTGTGCGTGGACGGGCTCACCAAATATTTTTGCCAGACGGATATCCCGTAATGGGTTGCCGCCACCACCGCCGCTACCGCCACCAGTGCGGTCGGAACGGCTGAGTTTGAATGTCTCGCCGATGCGCTCGCGTTTGCGTTGTTTGGTTGGCCGTGCGTCGTTGGTTGGCGAGATGGCGAAAATGTGGGATTTTTGAGCAACGGGTGCGATATTGTGGCCGCGAAGACGGCTTAACTTTTCGGTCTTGTGTGTTTCCTTGGTTGAAGTAAAATGCCATATGGTTGTTTTTAATGTGTTAATATATGAATAGAGCTTTATAGCTAAAGAGTATACTGAATCTAATAAAAAAATTAAACCATTTTGATGCTTTTTCTATGTTCTGTAAGAAAAAACCCTCTCATGAAATCATAGAAAAAAGTGAAACCTTTAGTGCTAAATGGATATATTTTTCTTTTTTGGATCAGGGTTCAAGTAACACCCGAAAGCCTGGATAAATAGTGGCAAATTGCGATCACTAACCTTTTCCATGCGCCCAACTGTAGAACGATTGGATCAGAATAATAATGCCTGACATCGGGAGTGTTGCGTCACAACGGATACTCGAGAAAAGTGGTCCTTTTCATTTTAATCTTTTTTGTAAATACTTTTCCAGTTTTTTTGCATTTTGCAATTTGCATTCCATTGTTTTTAGCCGCTCCAATATGACTCGCTCGGCCGGTATTCTCACTGTAAGTGACAACTGCTCCAGGGGCCTAGCCACTGATACAAGCGGACCGCCCTCCAGCAACAACTCCAAGCTAACAACTGGACAGTTGTCCACACAGAAATAGTCCCAGACGACAAACAAAAAATCGCCAGCGTCGTCACAAAATGGAGTGCGACAAACTGCCAGTTGATAGTCATTGCGGGCGGCACTGGTATCTCGCCCAGCGACGTTACAGTCGATGCCATCGAGCCGTTATTCAGCAAGCGGCTGCCGTCGCTGGCGGTGGCCATGGTTACTGGGTCTCTGCGCATCACGCCGATGGCTGCACTGAGCCAAGTGACAGCCGGCGTAGTTGGTTGCTCGGTGGTCGTGGCTGTGCCTGGGAGTAAGAAGGGCAGTGTGGAAATTTGCAGCAAATCATTAGTGTTCTCCCGCACGCTGTCGACACTGCGGCAGCCACACAGGGACCAGGCATTTGCACGTGGAGCAGCCCAAGGAAAAAACACCAGGGTCCAGTGCGGATGTAGCCGACCTGACGACGCCGACGATAATCAAGCCGAGACGATTGGCGATCAGGGTACAGTGGCTGGTAGGCCGCGCAAGTCACAGCACCCAATGGTGAGCGTGGAGAGGCGCTCAGGATGGTCATTGGCAGTATGCAGGCGCTGCCGCCAAGGGATATGCTTCTCAGCGATGTGCGCCCGGGCATGGTCTGGCGGCCGCTGTGGAGGCGCAGGAGCCGTGCCCGCGTACCGGGCATCCATCATGGACGGCTACGCTGTTGTGGCTGCAGACGGACCGGGTGACTACAAAGTCATTGGGGCCAGCACAGCTGGAGGACTTGCCCAGGCAGCGCGATGCCGCTGCGTATGAATACCGGCTCGATAGTGCGCGTGGCTACAGGTGCGCCGGTACCCGAGGGTGCGGATGCCGTGGTCATGGTCGAGGACACACAGCTGCTGCAGGCCGACAATCAGGGTGAAGAGCTCGTGGTGAGAATCCTTGCAGGTGTCCAGCCTGGACAGTACATCCGCCCTGTCGGCCATGATGTGTCACAGGGGGCGGTTTTACTCAAATCTGGGACTGTCGTGTCGCCTGTGGGCGGCGAGATCGGCACCATGGCAGTATCTGGGAACCGCACCTTCAGCGTGCATACGGTGCCGCGCATTGCCGTCATGTCCACAGGCGACGAGCTGTCGGAATCTCCTGGTGAGCTGGGCCATGGTCATGTGCGCGACAGCAACCGCCCGCATTGCTCTGCGCCCTGCGCGCGCTGGGGGTCGACGCTGTGGATGCTGGCGTGGTCCATGATGATCCCGCACTGCTGGCGCGCAAAATTGCTGAGACCCTTGAGGACTGCCATGGTATTATCACAACTGGCGGTGTCAGTATGGGCGAGCGCGACTGGGTCAAACCCGTCGTGGAGCAGCATCTGAAGGGCCGCATACTTTTTGGTCGCGTGGCTATGAAACCTGCCAAACCGTCGACGTTTGCCGTGCTGCCTGGTGGCAAGTTTATCTTTGCCCTGCCGGGTAATCCCGCATCAGCAATGGTTGCCTTCCATGTGTTTTCTGCGCCGGCATTGCGCAAACTCTCTGGTCACCAGAAATATGATGGAGCGCGGTTACGGCCGTGTTTTGTGGTGCGGATATGGCTTTGGATGGCGGAAGGCCTGAGTTTGTCCGCGGGCGGCTGGCGTGGAGCTCTGGCCGGGATAAGTGGCTAGTGTACGTGACGGATGCTCATCAGCAGAGCAGCAGGATGCCCAGTATGCTGAACACTAATGCACTGGTCGCACTACCGCGTGGATCGATGTATACCTGAAGGCGTGTGCGGGCGACCAGGTCAATGTCATCGTCATTGCACCACCGGCCTTTGAATAGAACAAAAAAAGTGATTTAATTGTCGCTATTTGCTTGATTTGGTTTGGCTGTGTTTAAACCTCGCCAATCGCCTTACCAGTTTTGTTTTTTGCCTCGACAATGAACATTTCAGATTATTCAATTATTTCTGTATTCAGCCGCTGTTATATTTGTGTGCCCCTCGTCACATTAACTTTTGTAATATTGCAAAATAACCAATACTACAATTGTCCTTATTACCTCTGGCAAAATAATAATAAAAACTGCTCCTAAATTTTCAGTTTTTCTTTCAAAATAATATCTTGGTAAATGAGTGCAAAAATACGACAACCAGAGATCTTATGCGAAGCTAGCAACTAAATGGAAAGTAAGGTTTGCGTTTCAAAAATCACACTTCAAAGTTGGTGAGCTTTTAAATTACATAGGAATGATCAAATCAAGTGATCAGTGTATTTTTCTTACCTTCTGCTTTCTTTTTTTGCACGCAGTCAACCAAAAATAAACAAGCCCGTACTGGTTGCCTTCAACCATTTATTTATTTTCCCCTCTGTTCGCAAATTCGTGCCTATTTTTAAAAATACACTACCTCATTTATCTTTTACAATGGCAAAGTCTTTAAATAAAAGCAAAAGCGATAGCAAAGACAAAGACAAAGGCAAGTCCGCAAACAAAAAGGGCCGCGTGTTATCTATTAGCACAAAGACGGATCGGCCGACCCTCGCCGCATCTGCTGCTGAAAGCAGCGTCACAGAGCCCAGCAGCAGCAACAGCATTGAAGACGACATTACCATCAACAACAGCGACAATGAAAACAGCAGCAATGAAGACAATGACAGCGAGGACGAAAATGAAAATGACGGCGACAAGATCAGCGTAATTCCGCTCGCATCGGGCCGCGAAGAATACCCGGAGCCGCCAATGTGCACCTTCAGCTCGCTGGGCCTCGACCCCTGGCTCATCAACACGCTGGGCGCCATGTCAATCACCCAGCCCACCGAAATCCAACGCGCCTGCATTGGCCCCATCCTCCAGGGCCTAGACGTCATTGGCGGGGCCAAAACGGATCAGGAAAGACCGCAGCGTTTGCGCTGCCCATTTTGCAAAAGCTCTCCGAAGACCCATACGGTGTCTTTGCCGTTGTTCTTACACCCACCCGCGAGCTTGCATACCAGATTGCCGAGCAATTTGCAGTCCTGGGCAAAGGCATGAACATCAAGGTCACAGTGACCATTGGCGGTATTGACATGATGGCGCAAGCCATGGAGCTCTCTCGGAGGCCCCACATTGTTGTGGCAACCCCTGGCCGGCTGGCCGACCATATTGAGAGCAGCGCTGGGGCGGTGCACTTCAAGGGTGTCCAGTACCTGGTTTTGGACGAGGCAGACAGGCTGCTCAGCGACACATTTGCCAGCGACCTCGGGGTCATCATGGACGCCATCCCGAAGGACCGCAAGACGCTCTTGTTTACGGCCACCATGACGCCCAGCATTCTGGCTCTGCGTGATCGGCCGAGGGACCGGGCGCCGTTTGTGCACCTGTGCGATACGCGCGAGAGCACGGTTTCGTCACTGGTGCAGAACTACATATTTGTGCCATCGCACGTCAAGGAGGCGTACCTGGTGCACCTGCTTATGTCCAATGTCTCGCAGCTGGAAAAGCGCGCCTCCGCCAAGCTCGAGGACGACGACAGCGGGCCATCAGACGATGAGCGCGACGACAAGACCGTGGGTGGCGAGAAGACCGTGGGCAAGGACAAATCCATTATTATTTTTGTTGGCCAGTGCAAGGCAGCCGAATCCCTGCGCGTAATGCTCTATGAGCTCGGGTTCCGCGTCACCGCGCTGCACTCCAAGATGGCCCAGCAGAGCGGCTCAACAGCCTGGGCAAGTTCCGCGCCCAAGCCGTGCGCATCCTTATTGCCACAGATGTCGGCAGTCGCGGGCTGGACATTCCCTCGGTCGAGCTGGTCATCAACATGCATGTGCCCAGGGACCCCGACGAGTACATTCACAGGGTCGGACGAACCGCTCGTGCGGGACGCGGCGGCAGGGCAGTGACCATTATGTCCGAGAGGATATTAAGCTTGTGCATAATATCGAGGCCCGCGTGGGCAGGAAGTTGGAGGAGCTGGCAATATCCGAGCACAAGGTGTTGGAGGGCATGGGCAAGGTGCTCGTGGCGAAGAGAGCCGCGGCTCTGCATCTGCTGGATATTGATTTTGGCGCTCGGGACAAGATCAGGCAGAAGAAGCGCGGAGGCAGCTCGGATCACCAAAAGAGGCCAACACCATCAGCCAAGCGATCCAAATAAAAAATAACAAGTATTTATTGACTGGTGCACATCAATAGATGTTTGTGAAATATAAGTGGATGTTGTGATTCATTTGTTAAAAATAAAAAGAACAAAATTAGACTAAGAAAGAAAATTAGACAATGAAAATAGAATAATAGAAACTAAAAACAGGATTATAAACAAAAAATAGAGAACTAAATAACAAGATAAAAATATTACACGGTGCTCGCAGCCTCCTCACTCAGTTGGTAGGGCGGAGGATACGCGCACACATAGTTGCCAGCAACAATGCTGCACTTCACATCGGACGAGGCCAAAACAACATCATCCGAGATCTGCGCATAGCAGGGCAGTGAAGACGACACACCAACGCCAGCCCCGGCAATTCCGTTGAGTGCCTCGGGCAAAACAACAACATGCGAGGCCAACGTCACCGCGCAACCTCTCCCTCAGCGCTTCTCACACAACATTGACCGAAAGCTCATGGGCCACTGAGAACACTGCCGAGCCAGAGCTCGCCTGAACACCCTTCCCCAGGGCCAGCTGCACCTGGGCAATCGAAGGCATCGAGAGCTCATCGAGTGACTCGCCGAGCGACTCAATAGTCTGGGCATCCATCCACTGCTGCTGCTGCTCATCAAAGCTCTTGCCGATCGCCAGCAAATTCACACTGTCGCTGCTCGCCCGAGCAACAACTGCTCTTGTTTTGTGCGTGCAGTTCGGGGCAATCCGATATGTGATTATTTCTGACAGTGCGATGCCTAGCTCGACAACCTCTAGACTCCCACCGCGCTGATCACCTTGATCATTGTGATCATCATCGATGCGCGTAACATAGGCTTGCAGTTTGGTCGGAACGCCCAGGGCGAGCACTCGGGAGATAGCGTAGACGGAGATTTTCCACCCGTTGCCGACCTTCGCCTCCATCACAGTGAGGTCATCGCCAAGGCGGTCAGTGAGGGGAATCCAACCAGAGCTGGCAGATCCCTCTCAGCTTTAGGCGCCTGCACCATACTGATGCACACAGGCTCGCGACCACCACCTGCACCCAGGATCTCCGCATCCCCGCCATCAAGTGTACCGCACTCCACCCAGTGGGGACTCAACAGATGCCGGCAACCCTGAGGGCAGGGCGAACTCGAATGCAAATCTGTACTCTCCAGGCATCAGCATCCCACGCTCGCCAGCAACTGCAGGATTTGATCCTCCGACGCGCGCCATATCCACAAGGGCATGCCATTCTTGATTGTGATCTTCAGAGGAAATGAGCGTGTGACTGAGATCTATGCAGCGGTGGCGGATGGTGTGTTCGGTGCTGCTGGGCCCTTGGCCTTGCCGCCAGTCTAGCTCTGGGTTCCGGTAAGGCTGACTGTGAGGGCTTTGATTGAGGTGGGCTTGGTGATGGTCACGGAGAGGTAGCCGACGAGGAGGTTTCGCAGACCGGTGCCCTGTTGTAGACCACCTGAGTGGTCTGTGGGTGCAGCTTGAGTGCAGCGCAGGGGATTGCTGCCATAAATTGAAAATAGCCATGCTTAAGAAAAAAGAATATGAAAATTTAGAGTATTTAAAAGAATAAAGGGGGTGGGAAAGGGGCAAGGTATGGTATATAAAATATGGTGAACAGAAAGACTTAAAAAGTGCGAGTAGTATGAAAAATATTAAATAGAAAAAAGTAGTCGGTGATATTTTACTATTTTATGAGTAAAATAATAGAAAAGTTTATAGGCGATGTTAATTCAACGGCCGGACAAAAAAGAAGGGGGGAGGGAACTGGACTTATATATAATTAAAAATCGAGGCAAAAGCCAGGTTAGCCAAGGCAAAGGCAAGGCAAGGTCAGCCAAAGCAAAGGTGTCGTCAAGAAAAAGGTAAAGGCAAAGTCCAAAGCAAGGTTGTGCATCTGACTGCTTTTTTAACGAATGGAAAAAAAGAATAATAGAAAATATTACAATTTATTTTCGGCTTGCAATCAAGCAAAGAGTAAGAAATAAAATTGAAAAAGAGGGTGGAAAAAAAAACTTGATGACAATTGAATTGCCCGAAACTTGACTGAGAAGCAAAAATAAAAGCTAATTAGAAATTGACCAAAACATCAAAGTAAGAAAGAGGGAGCGAGGAGCGCCACTGAATGGACGAAATGGCCGCATTTCTGAAATTACTTCATAGGACTCCAAAAAGCAAAAATAAACCTGTTATACTAATCCACCAAACCTTCTGTGGGGGCAAAGGGATTAATGTACATGTCTGTCACCGAATAATTTTACTCTTTTACCATGCACAGTTCTCAACAATAACCAAGTGTAATTCTGATAGTAAGAGTAAAAAATAACCCAACATTGTCAAAGCATTGGGGGTGAAAACTTGAAACAAGCCAATTTTCATCCGAATTCTTGCTTTCATCGATAGAAATCGATTGCGCAACTGTAAGCCAAGCATGCACAAATTAACGCAATGCTATGGAATGAATTTAAAATATTTTCATTTTCAATTTTGCCAATAAGCATCATACGTTTAAAATTGGCCGATTGTATCAAAAAACACTGCACTTCAGTCGGCATATTACGGATAGAAAATTATCCGATACACTTTCTTCATTGGCCCATCGATTTCAAATCACTAAAAATATAGTGCGCAAAAAATAAATGACATTCCAGAATGGGCGAGCTACAAAAAATGTTTGGTTGAAAATGGGGTAGACCCTTTTTTGTATACCCGCCTCATTCCCACCCAATCACCCACCAGAATTTTTGTTTGGTTTGACGCCAATCTACGCAGTATTTTCCAGGTTGAAACTGTATTTTGGTATTTTTGTAATTGGTTCCGGAATGGGATTGATTGACATTTGTGTATACAGGGGCGCCTCAGCTTGAACTTGCCCCAGTATACACTGAGTTCCCAATAGGGCAAACACACTCTAACTCTAGCTCACTTTTTGACGCCAGAGCACATAGCCTGTCAATTACTAAATGGCGCTTAAAACCGCTTAAATAGTGCACCGAATACTAGCGCATGGCAAGTGTAGTGCAGATGCACCCTTGATATTGTGTGCGGATACTCCCAATGCACACATACGTCATGAGTGCTCGGAATATCAAATGGAGAACAGTTGATATTCATTTTAAAAAGAAACCGATGCAAAGTGTGCAAGAAATGAAAAATGAAGAATGACGTACATATCTGGCATAGTGCAAATAAATAAACGTATCAGAAAAGAAAGTAATTTTAGTTTTTATTTTGCATTTCTACTATGTTGTATAGCAAAAATAATTTTGGTTTTTTAGTAAGGAGTGTCGACAAGCAGAAACTCAATAGGAGCACGCCCACAGTTCTCCAGAACCAGCTTGTCAGTCAACTCAATTCGACGCACATACGCTGAGTCTCCAGGTTTCAGGCGATTACTGTATCGCCATTAATAACCAGCCTACCACCGTTCAACGCCGACTCCACACTCATATCCGACATAATAGTCTGGATCCACACGCGCCGCTTCCCGGCCCTCAGCGGATTATACATTTTCCTCAAATTCTTCTGTTCGAGTCATTCAAATCAGCCGGCTCAAACTTCACCTTCTCCAGGCTGTCCAACTGACACGAATACACAAATATATCCTCTTCGAGTAACAATGGGTCAACGCACGCACGGGAAGTCAACTGCGGGTCATCCATCGCCCACTCCCCCTGTTGATCCGACCCTGCGGCTTCTAACGGGTCAACCAGCTCGGGGGTAAAGTAATCAGGGCGCGTAAACATCATCGACTGCGACATCATGTACGAGGAGCCTAAGGGAGATACCGCGCCAGTGCGTAACTCCGAATTGCTGCCACTTGTCGCGCTGGGTGGCACTGCTGCTGATGTCACTGGGCCGTATATCTGGTCGGTATTTCCGTAGACGGACGGAAGTTGGAGGGTTGCGCGACAGCCAGTAAGTAATTATGCTTGTCTGAATCTGCGACATGCCGGATCTCATGCCGGATTTCTGCTCGCCCTCCACGGCTCGCATCCGCATGGTTGTCGGCGGCCAATGTCGGGTCCTTGGCGTGGTCCAGGGCGGAATCTATCCATAGACGCATGATATGCGCGCGGTGAGTCTTGCTCGGATTGCGCACGTATATTGACGCGTCGCGGTTGGTCGATGACAAATGCACGGTACCCTTGCTCAAAATCTTTTCGCCGCCGAAACCTAAAGTTGAAAGAGGAAAAAGTGAGAAATTAAAAAAGAGAGGAACAATTCATATTAGTATGACGTAGGTGGATGCATAATTCATTTCATTCAAAGAAACCAATTGTCTTGAATCAACGTTGTAGCGAGGCATATTATTGTGTATGTTTTCTTACCATTGTCGTAGAGCAACGTGCCATCAACAATGTACATGAGGCACTGGTACCCAGGCTTGTTTTCGAGTGGCAGACCGACATCTACAAGTAAATTATCAGAAGAAAAAATTAAAAGATTCAAAAATTGGAATTAGTCAAATCATGCATACCGCACCATACCAAAATAAATCAAATTATATATGTCAGGCAGACAAGCGGATACATATGTGTGGGAACCAAAAATAGACAATAGTAAAAAATGAGAAAAAGCGCAAGACATTCCGAATAGGCATGAAATCATGAAATATATGCATAAAGACACTCTCCCCAATGGCAAAAATAAATTTATGCACGGCAAAGCACAGCGCACTAAAACGAAATACAGCTTACAACAACAGCGTAAAATTACACACGCATACGCAGAACAAACATTGGCAATTCATCATTTTGGGTGGGTGGTTTTTATTTGTACTTACCAGGTGCAATCCAGTCCTCGCTAGCCTTATACAGCGGATACAAATTACCCTTAAGCGGGAGCATCGCATTGTGAGCCGAAGCACCAGCAACCTTATTAATCAGGTTGACAGGCTCGAGACAGTGAATCAAGTTTGTATACTTTGTGCGGTTGTGGCGGCGCTCTTTATACCGCAAGTACGCAATCTGAAACTGGCCCTGAGAAACGTACGCATCAGCTGACGGACGTCTAATCCATGGTGACACCTGGATGCCAGCCGTCATGCCGCCGATCATCTGCGGAGCCCCGGCCATGCCCGCTTTGTGAAGCCGCTGCTGATGTTGCTGGGGCTGCTGTGGGGGTTGCTGCGGCGAGCTGGGGCGCGAATGAGGTCTCGAATGGGGTCTCGACTGAGGCCTAGAATGCGACGACTGCCGGCTCGGGTACCTCTGCGGATATTGCTGTTGTTGCTGTTGCTGTTGCTGTTGTGGTGAATGTTGCGGAAGATTCAACGTATACAGATTCTGATTTTGGGGCGAATGCGAGTACGCCTGGGGGCTCTGCTGCCCAGAAAGAAATCCCTGCTGAAACCGATTATGATTTTGCTTCGGCATAGGTTCCGGAATAGTCATTGGTATCGGCATATTTGAGGGCGCCGAAAGCGGTGACTGGCCTGGAAGCGCCACCTGTTGCTGAGCCGGATAAATCAGCTGGGGTACTGGCATTTGCTGGCCATACATCTGCGGACGCGCACCACCGTTGGCTGCTTGCACGGCTTGTTGGAGCTGCTGCAGGTTTTGGTACTTGATGTTGGGTTTTTCATAGTGCGCAATTGCCGGCGAAATGGGTGCGCTCTGGGTTTGTGTCTGGTCAAAGCCGCTGTGCGAATGTTGGTACATTTGGGGCCTGTTTTCAAGCGAGTTTCCGTAATGCCAGCCTGCTGGTTTTATCATCATTTGCTGCTGCTGCTGGTATAGTTGCTGGTCCTGCTGAAAAGGTTGAATTGCACCAGGCGAAACCGCGGCTGGTATGCATTATATGGCATAGGTGTGTATGCAGTTCCAGCGCTCAACAGTGGTTGTACTGGTAGTTAGCGGGCATCGTGGCTGCTGCTGCCAAAGGAGGAGGCATGTTTAATGTCGCTCCCATGCTGACGTCCGGGTATACGTATTGTCTCCGAGAAGGGGTTCCTGCTGATGAATTTGTGCTTTGCAGCTGCTGTTGTTGCTGTTGCTGGGTTTGCTCTGCAGTATTTTCCGGTGTGTGATAGCTATTTCTATATGGCTGTGGTCCTGGTGCTTGTGTTGTGTTGTTGTTTTGTGACATCTGAAGGTAGCTATCAATGCTTTTGTGATATGGCTGCATAAACTGTACACAACTATGAACTGTGAAATATTTTTATGGTGTACTTTTTTTAAGGGGCCGTAAATGGTTGAATAAGCTTGGAAACAATGAAATGAAAAATTAATAGAATAAACAAGAATAAAAAAGATAGAATAAAAAATAAGAAAGCAAAGAATAAAAGACAGGGGGGAGCCACTTGCTTGAGATTATCAAGAAAATAAGCAGACAAAAACAAAAATAATAATTAAGAAATAGTGGCAAGAAAGAAAAAAAGTGAGGGAAAAGTGTGAATAATATATGTATTTATGTCTTGGCACATTGAAAATAAATGGGCATGAGTAAATAAAATTCAATTAAAAAACCAAGCAGTCAACTTGTTTTTTCTTTTTGTTTACCAACGAAAAAATTCAAAGCAACATAAACTACGTGTGTGTATTTAATTAGTGTATCTTTTTCTGAAGAAATGAAAGCAATGAAAAAGGGGTCGTCTACCCCCTCCCTCCTTTTTCTCTGACCGCCTCTCTTTTATTTTTTCTTTTTTTTTCTTTTTACCATAAAAGATGTGCGAAGTGCAAAATGTCAGAATTATCCTTGCACATCTTGTGTTCTTTAGATTGTTCCATTTGGCTTGATGTATCGTGTGTACAAATGTGAAATGAGCTTTGTAAATTTTCTTTTCCCTCTTTTTTATTAACCTCAGCAAGTCAGAAGCCTCTAAGTCAGTTAAACATCAACTATTTTTCACGCACGCACGCACGCACACCACGGACACAGATACAAGCTATTTTTTAATTACTCTTTTTAGAAGAGAAACAGTATGACTAAAAAAGCAGAAAAATATAAGTCCAAGAGAATAAAAATACATTAGTTTAGTGAATATTTCTCGAACCAACTGTTTATTTTACTTTTCTTCCCCAGTTTTTTTTGCGCGCAGTTAAACAAAGTACTTGGCAAACTAATCACATCATAAGTAAATTAAACTATTCACTGAAATACAGCAATACCTGTCAAAATATTAATTTGTCAGAATATTTTCGGAATAATTCAATGAGAATAATATGCTCATGGGACAATGTCAAGCCATTTTATTTCAACCACACCTTTTTATTTATTTTATTTTTTTGGTTGACTGCAAAGGCGTGTGATGTTTACCGAATAGAACAATGGTTTCCACATGATTTCATCGGATTTCATTTTCCAATAACAGCACAAAATATGAGAGAAAGAAAGAAAAAGGGTGTAGTGACATGAGGAAATGACCACAGAATAAAAAAAAGCCCAGCAAAATTAATTCTAGTGGTCAGTTGACTGGATGGATGGCTTATTGAACGATAACATCGAGACGAGTCGGGCATGGGGTGAAAGTAAAAGCGTGTCTGCCACAAATCTACTTTTTTGTTGTCGTGTTCGTTTTAGTTCTTTTTTTGATAAATGGCTAGAAATAGCTAAACAATTGAAATAATTTAAGCAAGCCTCAGTCAACGATGTACATTGTGACCAACTCGTTATATTTTTTATGTGCATGTAGTCATGTCATTATTTACTTTTTTTCTCACTTGATACTCAATTCACATCTTTTCAGGACGTCGTCCCACACCCAAAGGCACCCCCTACATTGTTTTGCACTCCTACTCCACGTGTCAACTGTTTGTCCATTTCAAGTGGGTTGGTCAAGTTGGGTTTTTGGGAGAGGGTTTTTTCCCGAATAAAAAATAAAAATAGCTCATATGTAAGAGAGAGAGAGAGAGAAAGAGAGAGACAAGGAGAAGGTTCCTTTACATCTGCATTGTCATGGGCACACACTCATGATCTGAATATCCTATTAAAAAATTTCAGGAGAGGAAAGTGCAAATTCCAATTTACACCCTGGATTACAACAAGCAATTCCCCTCTTTCCTGCCAATTTAATTTTCTCAACATGATTTTTTTAATGAATTTTTTTCTATGAGACTTATATTTTCTCTTACCCACATCTTTTGAAAGCGCAAAGTCATCGTTTATTTATTCTTTAAAAGGCAAGCCTCCCCTAGTTGACTGCAAGCAAGAAAATGTGCTGAATATTTATTAATTAATTTTTATTTTACTTCCATTCCAGGGGATATCCGACGTAAAAAAAGTACAAAGATGCAGACTTTATTATTTTTTCTTTTACTTGTGCAGTCAGCCATTCATGTGAAAGCCGCATTCTTCAATTTTACATGGGTATTCGCAATATCCAAACATTAAAATCCAAATTATTAAATCAAGGCCCATATCAATTTCTTGATTTTTCGAATAACTCCAACTTGTTGTGTTAATGAATGCCAGATAGAAAACAATAAAATAAAAAGTGTAAGAACAACAAAATGTAAATAAAGAAAAAGTAGTTATAGAGAAAAGAAAATGGGTTAGAGATAGAGAACTATGCGCAAGAAAACAACATCAACAAAGAAAACGACTACCACACCGCCACCACCCCAGAAAGCAGCAGTGGCGGCAGTGGGGCAGTGGCAGTGGCAGTGGCATCATTTCACTGGGCCTTTATTAGATCGGCGCAGGCAAGTTCTCATAAGACCAGATACGCGCACGGCAGTCACCCGAGCCAGTAGCAAAATACGTCTGTGTAGGCGACAGAGCAACCGAAATAACCGAGTTCTTATGCCCCTGCAGCATGCATTGGGTCTGCGACGTGCGCGGGTCCCAGAACTGCACACCGCGATCCTTGCTACCAGACACAATCCAGTTGCCGTCAGGCGAGTAAGCAACCGAAAGCACAAAGTCCTTGTGGCCAGCAAGAATAGACCGGCACATCACCATGTCATTCGGACGGCCATTAGGCCCGTAGCGCCCGAGATCCCAGATACGCAGGGACTTATCCAGCGAGCCCGACAGAAGTGACTGGCCGTCAGGCGAAAAGGCCACTGCGTACACAGAGTCCTTGTGCCCATCGATGCGCTGCAGCGGGTGGCCTGTCGATACCTCCCACAGGCGAATCATCTTGTCCAGCGACGCGGCGGCAACCAGCTTGCCGTTAGGTGAAAACGCCACCGACGTGACGCCGGCGTCCTTGGGTCCCATGTCGTCGATGGAGAACTTGAACATCTCCTTGCCCGACTCCAAGTCCCACAGCCGCACAGTGCGGTCGCCCGACCCGGACAGAATCATCCTGCCGTCCGGCGAAAAATCAAGCGAGTAAATGTCCTGGTCATGGCCACTGAGCATGTGCCGGATTGAGCGCATCTTGACATCCCAAATACGAATCTGCTTATCCTCGGCACCGGTAACCAGGTACTTGCCGTCGGGACTGAAGCACACAGCGCGAATATACAGGTCGCCGTTCTTGGGCGCGTTCTCATCAGCCAAGACGCACTCCTTGGCTCCCGTTGCGACGTTCCAGATCTGCGTTGTGCGGTTGCACCCGGTCGCCAGGTACTTGCCGTCGTTGCTGAACTTGACACAGCACACTACGCTGGTATGGTCAAGCGTGTGCACATGCTCGATGTTCAGCGTGCGCGGCAATTTGGGGTTGAAGATGACAAACCAGTCGGCGCCCTCGCGCTTCAAGTTGGCCGGCACAGTGTCTGGGTCGATGTCAGCGAGCTGGCTGCTGGTCACCACGCCCTTGCTGGGCATGATGTTGACGTTGCGCGCAGACTGCGTTGGCGTCTGCCGGCTTCCCATCTGCACTGCGTTCTGCTGGGCCTGCTGCTGAGCCTGCTGGGCCTGTTGCTGCTGCTGCTGCTGAGCCTGTTGTTGGGCCTGTTGTTGAGCCTGCTGCTGCTGCTGTGCCTGGCTCGGGCCCATCACGCTGGGCTTGCGTTCCTTGCTGACCCCCGCCGCCTGCTGCTGCGGGGTGGCCGGCTGCCCATGGCCACCAATCGGCACGCTACCGCCCGGTCCGTAGGCTCCAGGAGGGCCCATGTAAGCGCCAGGGTGCGGCTCGCCGCCAAGGGGAGGCTGTCCGGGCGCCATTGCCGAGCCATTAGGGCCGCCGTGGGGACCAGAGGAAGGAGGCATACCGCCGTACATTCCGCTAGGACCCGGGGGCATGCCCGAGGTGTGCGGCTGGTTCATGGGCATCGGTGGCTGCTGCTGGACCTGGGGACCAAGCTGCTGCTGCTGCTGCTGCTGAATGAAGGGACCAGGGGGCACTGGTGGCCCTCCACGCGCCTCAAGCTCACGGCGCAGGCGCAGAATCTCCTCCTCGTACTGCTGCTTAATCTTGTGGTGCGCGCGGTCAAGCTCAAACAGATTCTGCTGTACCGCCTGAATTTCGTTGATTTGGCTGGTTACTACAGAATTTGACAAGAAAAACAATTTTATTTAGCAATACACTAACACACTAAACGCGACGTAAGTTCAAAAGCTTTGCTTTTTTCTCTAAGAAATTGACAATTTCATGCAATCCTACTTACTTCTCTGCTCATACTCGTCCTTGAAAAGCCTCATGTTAGAAGCCTCTTGGTTAAGCGAGTCATACTCTGCCCTTAACGCTTCCAAAAGCTCAGTCACTCGCGACGACAGTGGAGCAGATGGAACCATCTGCCGATGATTGTAAATGTTTGACATTTATACAGCAATAAATGAAGAAAAAAGAAAACCAATAAAAAACAACAGGGGTTGCCAGTACTATGTGTCTGTTGGTCCGAGTCACCCTTAATTCAGATTGTTGTGTCCGTACTACTGGAATAAAAAAGAAAAGAAAAAGAATGAGAATGAGAATGAGAATTTTTTTAGTAATATAAAGAGTATAAAAATATAAAAATATAGAGCAAACGCGTGTACGTGTTTTATTTTTTATTTTTTTATTTTATTTTTTAGTTCAGTAAACAAAAAAATTGAGTGTGAAAAAAGAAGGAAAAAAAATACGATTTTTATAGTGAGCAAAAAAAAATTGGCCGAAAAAAATTAGGTCACAAAAAAGCGCGTGTTATCGAGAAAAATAAGAAAAAATATTGAGGCTGGGGAGGGGGGGGGGGGACAAGAGGGGGATAAAGATACAAAAAAGTGTTCCTGCAAAGAGGTTCTTTGTCCTGTCGTTTGCTTTGGAATTAAAAAATAAAGTACATCTCATTCATCCCTCCCTCTCTCTTTTATTTTTTTCTTGCTTCCGCACTCTAATGACAACAGGAGTAAAAATTTTTTACAACTGCAGGAATTTTCTATATCCGGACAAGTAAAAAAACCCGAATATATATATATAAACGAGGGACAAACTTACCAGCTGGCTTTTTTATTTATTTAAACAACAGCCAAATTTCAAACTAGAGTAAATTGTGAATTAAAGTTTAAAAAGAAGTATCTTTTTATAAAATAAATAGCTAAATTTTGAGCTGAAAAGTAATTGAGGGTTTGTTGAGAATTTGAAAAAGAAAAAATGGAAAGTTTCTCCGAGACACTGGGCTCTCTCTCTCACTTGCTTTTAATTACGTTTTCATCCCCAAATGTTCTATTGGCCTGCAATCCTTATTTTATTTTTTACTGCTTCTTGGCTGGACAATAAGCTGGTGGGGGGGGGGGGTGGTTTATCCACCCTTTTCGCCAACCCATCTCGCCATATTTTTTTACCTTGTTGCTGGAAGTAAAAGAAATAAAAATGGTTTTTATTTATGCCCGTCTTCTAGTTAGTGCCTTATCAGTTACGTAATCGGGACCAGATCAAACCAAATCGAACCCAGGGCCCTAAAAGCCAAACAGAATCATTAAATAAAATGTTTTGTGCTTGGGTTCAAAAAAAAGCAAAAAGCAAAAACGAAAATACAAAAAGACTGATGCATTTCTTGAGGCGCACTTGGGATTGCTCTGAAAACCGATTCAATATATATACAACCCAACTGGCAATGCACCAACCATTTACACGCGTGCGTTGGGAACAGGGGGATGCCGCTGCAAGAGCTACAGGGCTGCAAATGCAATATGAGCTGCATTCATAAGGGGAAACAAAAATGACAGGGGGGGCTGCCGCCTGCAATGCAAGTTGCACGGCTGTACAGCCCTCGCTTAACCATCTGCCGCCTTCCAAGCTGCATGCTCACAGTCTGCAGGCGTACAAGCGACATAACAAAAAAAAAGGGATTTGATTGGCAAAAGAAAAAAGTGTGGGTGATTTAATTAAACTTGATGCTTCCTGTTAATGTCGCACAGCGTCTTGTTCGCTTGCGCCATATTGACCACAGCATTGATAACATCATTGAGCCTGGCCAACTCCCCGCGCAGCTCCCTATTCATGTCCATCTCCTCCCGCAACTGTTCAAGCACGTCATCATCACGTCGCCGGTCACCGTCACCGTCACCGTCATCGCAGCCGTCAACCTCGCGTCCCGATCCGCGCCGATCTGCAGCAGTGCGCCCCCCGTCTTTCGCACTCTGCAACTGCTGCGCATTGGTCTGCAGCCGGCCGTGGTGAAGCCGCGCAGACGCGACGCGCGACAGCCCGCCCTCATCCGAAACGCGCCGCACCCCAAACGGCACAACAGGCGACAACGACGTTGACGGAATATTAATGATAAATCCAGACTCGCCCCTCGCCGGCGGCGTCCGCGCCGCCAAAGACCCGCCAAAAGAAGCCGCGCGCCGCGCGCCCTCCGCCAAAGGCCGGCCGGCAATCGCACCCACGAAAGCGTCTGCCGCAGGAGAGGCCGGCGCCAGGTGAGCCGGCGGCTCGGCCGGGAAGACCAGCGGCGCAGCGTCAATCTCGTGCAGCAGCAGATCAAGCTCCGGACTATTGAAGAACCTCTCGTCCGCCGGATTAAACGCCGCCGCCTGCGCCTGCGCCTGCACCACCAACCGCGCCCCGTCCGCCTCCATCTCAGCAATGTCCGCAGAGGACGCCTCAGCCATTCCACCGCCATCCTCGACGGGCCCCAGCGGTGGCCCAAACAGCGTCGCCAAGCTCGCAGCAGCAGCAGCCCTCGGAGCAGCGGCAGAGCGGACAGACCCGGGTGCATCGACGCTCAACTCTCCAATCGCCCCAAGCGGCTGCTGCTGCTGCTGCCGCTTCCTGCGCATCTCGGCAACTTTCTCCCGCTTGCGCAGGCTCTCCGCCCTCACCGAGTCGCGCTGCACAGACATTGGAACCGCCCCCTGCCCCGCAATGCCGCCACCATACCCAATGTCGCCCGCCTCCAGCGGCTGTACGTTCGGCGTCGTGTCGAGCTCGAAATCGCAATCCTGATGTACACCGCGTCGTGAGCGTAGGTTCGTTTGCTTGGGCGGTGTTGCATTGCGGTTATTGTGCGTATCAGTTTGCCAAACTTGCTCAATGTGCCATCAGGCTTGTCTGTGTGCGAAGCGTAGTTGCGCTGGTCCGACATTATTGTTTAAATACAATGGAAGGGTGTGTAGGAAGTTTGAATATTAGGAATTTGACAGTAATACGAAGAAAAAAATGAAAACGGTTATGCAATGCAAAGCAAGAGAAAATAAATTAAAAAAGGTAATGTAAACAGCGCAGAACAAGTGTTTGTTACAAGTGGAAAAGTGTCCGACAATGTGATACCCGCCGTTTATTGTTTATTGTCTGTAAAATCAGCGGATTAAAATCAGCAAAGTCAACTGATATACCTTTTTTCCTCCAGCTTTTAATCTCAAGCGCAGATTTAAAAAAAGAAGCAAAAAGCAAAGAGCAGAGTCGTGCTTGTTCTTTATTTTTCTTCCTCCGTCACAACATAAAAATTAAATTATAAAGCCGTTTTTTAATTGAATTTCGTTCTCTGCTCAGCATTCGGCCGCTTCATTTGCCATTCAAAAAGCCACCAACCCCCTTTTTTAGCCATGCTCCGCCGCTTTGCCTCTGCACACACCCGGGTTCTCTTCAACCACTGCCAGCACCAAGTGCTTCGGCCACAGCAAACCACCACCACCACCACCACACACGCCCAGCGGCTCTTCTCGTCCAACAGTCCCGCTAATCTTGACAAGGAGATCGAGACAATCACAGATCTAGCGACAACAGCCAAGGACGAGATGGAGTACGCCGAGGAGTCGCGCAACTCCGTGTACTACAACGAGGACAAGATGACTGCGCACGAGGCTGTGGATGAATTAACCTCAGCGTATAATGACTTGTTGGAGCGCATTTCGGATGCGGATAAGAATATTATGAGGGCCGGATTGGAATGCGTATCAAGGAGATTCAGAGTGCTTATGAGATCATGTCTTTGAACGATCTTGAGGACTAGAAGGTGGGGGGAGAAGATGTGTTTGTTTTATATTGTTTTATATTGTTTTTTATTGTAATAAAAAATATGAATAAATTTGGGTCTGACTGTAGAAGCCATTGTCGGCTCGGTGCTTATACTCAGCCGCAGCTCCGGACCTTTTGCCCGAGCCAACCCCGAAGGAAAAGGGACCCAATCCACTCTTCCTTTGAACAAAATTCGTCACTTTATGAACTGCGGCCGCAATCCAATACCCTATATCCTTTTTCTTTTCCTTTTTCTTTTTCTTTTTCTTTTTCATTATCCTTTTCTATTACAATTAAGGCAATAAATTACAATTATATATTCACCCATCCACTCACTCACCTGCTTATATACATTTGTTACTTCTTATTATTTCAACCTACTACAGCTACCTACTGCGCACCGCCATCATGTCCTCGCCGCCACACAGAACAGCCGCCGGCACCCTGGCCGCCAAACACGACGCGGAGCTGATGATTCGCCCGAGGTCAAACTCTCCAAATTTCTCTCGTACGTTCTCCGTCACGGCGCATCCAAGGAGGGCCTAACCCTCCGCGACGACGGCAGTATTCTACTGAGCACCCTCCAGCAGCACAAAAAACTCCAATCCACGACATTCGCACAAATCAAGCACATTGTAGACACAAACGACAAAAAGCGCTTCACTCTTTTTGAAGAAGAGGCGAATGAAGTGGGTAGCACCCGGGTATGGTATATTAGGGCGACCCAGGGTCATAGCGTGGATATAAAGGCGCCACCTTTGGTTTTGCTCACTGAGGAGACTGTGCCCAGACATATTATTCATGGAACAACCAGGGAGAAAGTGCCTGTGATTCAGAAGGATGGGCTGTCGCGGATGCAACGGACGCACATTCATTTTGCTACCGGACTGGCCGGCGACCAGGAGGTTGTCAGTGGAATGAGGAAGACCTCCGATGCTTTCATCTATATTGATTTCCCCCGGGCGATGCAAGATGGGATTGAGTTTTATGTTAGTGAGAATAATGTCATTTTATCAAGGGATTGCGTGACTCTGGCGTGATCCCAGCAGAGTACTTTTCAAAGGTTGTTTATAAAGATTAAATCTATATTGTTTATTGTTTATTATTTTTGCACTGTTTTTGAGATTTTTTTTCAGTTTTCAGGTTTTGTTTACGTTTTAAAAAATATATACATTTTTGTTTGTGATTTTTTGTTTGGCGGCGCTATTCTACTGTTTTTTAATTGTTTCTTAGTCCAGAAATTACAAATACATCAGACGTAACTGAGAAAGAAAGAAAAAATTATATGAAAAATTAATCGATTGGAGAAAAATAAAAAACGTTTTTGCTGCTCACTGTTTACGTGTTACTGTGATTACCTTTTATTATCATTTTTTATTTACGATACTGATACTGGTTTTCCTCGTAGAATAAAAATTATAAACCAGTATATGGTCTACTAGAATCAACACGCAATAAGACCGTATTGGAACCATGACAAATGGGCTGGTAGTAGTAGGTTATTGAAATGGAGGGGGGGGGGTGGTGAATATTTTTTTGTTCTTTTTTTTTGCAAGCCCTTAGTTATGCATAATCATAATTCTTTTTTCTTTCCCCACACACATTCACAGCGCCATTTAAAAAAGGGGCCGGTTCATTATTTACATTAGCAGATTGCTACAGCTATCCCCCCTCCGCCGTGAGATCATTTCCACTGCTTTAGCGGCTAATGACAATTCAAGGCCAGAATAAAAACAACAACAAAACAACATTTGTACTTGGGGGAGGAGGTATGGATTTAGTTACTATTTTCGAGTTATCAAAAAAAAAGCAGAAAAAGAAGCTTATTACATCCAAGTTGGGTACACTGAGAGCATAAAAAAATGAAGAAATATACTGCAAGTAACTTGTTGACGTTTTTTATTCTTTCGATTGTTTTTTTACCATTCGGTTACGTGGTGGGAGGAGAAAAATAAAGTAGATGAAAAATACTGGATGACAATGTTGTATTCGGATAAACATAAGACTTGGTCATTTCGGGAGCACCGGTATTGATTTCAATGTTTTCATTTCATTTTATTTCTTTGTTTTCTTTGTGTCAGTGGAAATTTTATTGTTTCTGTTCTTACTATTTATTCACAATTTTTGTCAGTGTTATATTCACTTGTTGAATTCTTTCTTATAATCAATTATTTTGCCATATTTGTTTGTGGTTTATTTTATTTTTTGACTCACACCTTCTAACCACTTTTTTTCCATGTATTGATAACCACGGAAAAACATTTAACACAAGCACATATTAAACATAATATTAACTTCTTTTTTTTTTTTTTCTTTCTTGCTCGCACTCGTCCTTACATATCCTTCCACAAGCATATCATTTATCATTTATCCTTCTCATCCACCATATTTATCAATTCGCTCTAACCAACCCAAAAAATAATAATCCTATGGATTCGCTCAATATTTTCGACAAGCAAATACCACTCGGCAGAATCCTAGGAATGGCAAGCTCGGAGAACGGAGCCGCAGACACCTGTTCGACACCACAAACCTTGAGCCGATTAAACACGGCCACCTCCACCGTCTCCGCCTCCTCTACCGCCATCAACAACATCGCTACCGCACACATGCCGGCAGTCCCATCCCTAGACATGTCGCAGCTATACCAGTTTTCCGACATGAGCTCCCTGGGACTCTCACAACATCTGCAGAGCAGCTTTTTGACATAAGCAAAGGCAACGCATCCACCAGGAATACCCAGGCCAAAACGAGAGCATCGACCAAAACAATCAGTTTTTAAAAGACTGGGTGCAGTCGTTTATTTCGCAAGCGCCCATGTCACAGTTCGCCGACATGCACCACCACCAGGCAACCATCCGGATTTTAAATCCGCAGGCGGCTCAACCAACGGTCTGACAACATCATCGGACAGTGACTCAGATGATATCTCTAAATCCCTCTCGTTCTTGCTCACCCAGCAGCTGGCCCAGAATAATCAAGGCAACATGCACGCGCAGCAATTCGCCCAACAACAATCCATGGATAGCAGCAGCAAAAAGTTTTCTGGAATTCGGATAATACCGCAGAACATGACTATAATACGGTGCTGTCGGATATTTTGGAAAACGCATATGATGGCGGCCGTCGCGTTATCAGTATGCCGAATCCGCTCGGCAGCCTGTCCCTGGATATCCCAATTAACGCGCCGATGCAGTCAATGGTCGGAATGGAGATGCTCGCTAATAGTCAGCGCATGATAAGCAAAGATATGATGTATGGGGGGGCAACCCACCAGCAGAATGCCTTTGTGGCGGCTGCGGCTGCGGCGTCTGCGCGTCTCAGTGCCAGCAAGTCTGTCGGTGGCATGCTCGGTTTCCACAATGACCTGTGCTCAATATCGGCTGACAAACAGATGGTGTCAGAAGCATTGGCCTCTGGAAACTCCCAGTGTGGGTTCGACACAGCAGAGGGTAATTCCGGGCACTTGACGGCGCTAGGAATCTCAGGCACCGAGCGCAGGCAAGTATCCGGCCTGAACGCAGCCATGTACGCAACCGGCGCTGGCATCAAAAACAAACCACTCAACGCACCCTTCCCCATAAAAGCAAAGCGCGGCCGTCCGCCACTAGCAGGCAAGCGCAGCGCAAGCAGCAGCGGCATTGTCAAAATCCACGAGAACTTGAGACCTGCCCGGCGACTCCAGAGCCAACATTGTCCTTGAACCTGCGGTTTGCGTCAGCCATGGCAGCCAGGAGTATCTGCAATTCAGGCGCCCAAAGCCCGCGCTTCGACCACTCCACAGGGTTAAATGATGTCTGCGGCACATCCTCTCACGGCACCGCGACACCAACCTCTGCGTCCTCTGCGCTAATCCCCCACCGCGTTGACCGCCAACTAGCCGCCGCCGCGCGCCCGCTCCTCTTTGTGCGCCCGCGAGACAAAGGCGAGCAGCCACGGCGGCGCAAGCGCCGTTGCGTATCCACCAATACTACAATGTCCTCTGACTTTACCACCGACAGTATGCTTGGAAGCACCGGGACCATCGAAGATCAGGCAATGTCCAAGGCCCTAGCGCTGGGCGGTGAGGACGGCCAGAACAACTTGCAGTGGCAGCGCGTATCTGAGCAGCGCCGCAGAGACGCCATGCGGGAAAATTTTGACTTGCTCAAGCGCATGCTGCCACAGGCATACATGGCCAGTGATGATGGCAGAGAGCTAGCACGCCCGGTTTTGCTCGCGCGCTTTTTGCGGTGGGTTGATGATACACTGATTGAGATGGCAAGTTTGAAGGCGGAGGTGGCGCGCCTGCGCGTGGACACGCAGAGCCCCGGTATGGCCGCGGATATGTGGCCTGATAATACACCTCGTGCTTTCTCAGCACCGGCAGTTATTGATGCCGCACCGGTTACTGCTGACTCTGGTGATTACCAGATGTCTGCATTTGCTCAGCCGAGCGATGGTTCAGATAACCAAGGGTCGGCCTAAAATATTTAATTTGGCGGAGATTTCAAAGTCAAATATCCTGTTTTCCTATTTTAATTATTCGTTTTTTTGTTACAAGTTTTGCCATTTTTCGCTTGTTTTTTATTTTTTGTATTAATTTATTAATAGCTATTTTTAAACAATGAAAACTCTTGTTGCTATCAACACCAACAACAAACTATTATCGGGCATTGTGCTTGCAAGCTAGACCGCTATCAATACATTAACCACTCATTTTGTTCTGTATATTATGAGAAACGGCAACAAAAATAAAATAAGCAAAGCAATGACACGCTTGCCAGAAATGTTCAGAATATCCAATATCTCCCCAAAAGGGGAATTTTGTCGAGGCCAATATCCACAAACACAAACACAATTGTTGACACTTGATTTTTACAAGCCACTTCTTGTGTGGCAAAAATAAAATTACATCTCCTGATTCCATTCATTTTTCTTTTCCACAAACCTGGATATAAGGAAGAGGGTCGTCTAAATGAAAAATTAGGTGGTCAGACTTAATACACAATCCTGTCAAGCTTCTGGCCTGATTCTGTACGCACGCTTCAAAAAATACCCCCGAATTGGTTGTTTTTTAGTGGCATATTTCGAAACTGAAAAACGTTGATAATATATTGAAAATGTGGGCTACATTTTTGTGTACTTTAACATTCCCTCTCCCTTTTTTCTTTACTAACAGCATGGCTCGCCAAATGGCAATGTTTAACAAAATGGGGGGAAAGTGGGGAGTGCAAGAGCCGGAGAATGTTTTACAAAAAATGAAGTATGTGGGGGAGGGGGGGTGAAGATTTAAACTGCGTGGAATGTTTGAGAAAACGCCGTAACAAAAAATTTCATCACCAAAAAAAAGTATTTTTATTTCTGCTTTGTTATTGCACTGCTGAGGCTTGGCTTCTAGTTAAACAACAATGAGAACTGCCACACAAAATAAAGAGAAAAAACATCAAAATAAAACAGAGCAAGCTACATGGGCACATAATCTTCATTCCCCACTTGATATAGAAGAAATAATAGGTTAGGGAAAAAAAGTCATTTCAGTTTTCTTCAACCGTCCCTCGTTTTTTTAATCGTCTGCTGCTGTTGTTGTTCCCGCTGTTGTTCTCCTCCACCTTTCTCTCTTTCCTTCCAATTTTTTTTTGCTATTTCTCGATAATACAATATTCTATTATTTTTATATATTCCAACTCGCACACATACCTCTTCTTTTGCAACACGTCTTTTGCAACAAAAAATTAACGCTTAATTTTCACATTTACACAAGACACTTGTTTGTGCACTCGCTTTCCTGGTCTTTCACAGTAAGTTTTCACTACATTTTTATTACATGGTGACTCTCGGCACGTTCTGATTCACACATTACTTATATGGCAGGCATTTGTGAATTGTTGTTGCGCAGCTGAGTAAGCAAGCGGGAGTTGAAAAAGGGTCCTGCATCTCTATGCACCCATGTATCATGTTTTTATTTCCATTCTAATATCTGCAATATCCGCACTCATTTTGCTCCCTTATGCTTTCTTTTTAAAAATACCTTTTAAAATTAGACTCGTTCAGACTCTGCGCCTATTCTCATCCCCAGTACAATTAAAAATGAAGTCTACTTCAGGCAACGCCGGTGGAGCCCAGAAGAAGAAGATGCATGGCTATGTGGGGTTCTCCAACTACCCGAACCAGATCCACAGGCGGTCGGTCAAGAACGGCTTCAACTTCACCCTGATGGTCGTCGGTGAGTCTGGTATTGGAAAGTCGACTCTAATCAACACGCTGTTTGACAGCAAAATCTTCTCCGACCGCGAGGAGCTGCCGCCGAATGCCGATCCCATCAAGGGCGTCGATATCACGTCGATGAGCGCTGATATTCAGGAGAACGGTGTCAAGCTCAGACTCACCGTAGTTGACACACCCGGCTTTGGCGACTCGATCAATAACGAGGACGCTTGGCAGCCAATTCTCGAGAACATTGAGTCTCGCTTTGACGCGTACCTGGCCCAGGAGAACCGCGTCAACCGGAGCAAGATCAGCGATAACCGTATCGACGCTGTTATTTACTTTGTCAAGCCCACTGGTCATTGGTAAGTTAATTCGTTTAGTTGCTTCTTTTTTATTGGGTGATATTGTTGGCGGGCTGACAATGTGCGGCTTCTGCTATTATCTCGTTGCTCAACCTTTGTTCTTGTATTCTGCAGCAATGTTGCTGGCTTGGTGGTGTTTGTTCTTACTGATTTATTGAATGGTCTTGCGCAACAACAACAAAAAACAAACGAACCCTCTCTTGTTCAGCATAATGGCGCGCAGACCACATAGCAGTAAACTGGTTTGTGTCAATGTCCAGTTTTATTTTTAAACTGCCTTGGTTAACTAACAAAATTATTTTTACATACCGTAACTGTTTCAATGGCTGATTTGATTTTACTGTAGCCTGCGTGCCATTGACATTGAGTTCATGAAGCGCCTGCATACCAAAGTTAACCTCATCCCTATTGTCGCCAAGGCCGACACCTTGACCGCTAAGGAGTTGGAGCAATTCAAGACCAAGCTCCTGGCTGACATCAACTACCATGGGATCCAGATCTTCAAGCCCGTGTCGGATGAGTTTGACGACGCAGAGACAGTTGCCGACAACCGCAGCATCCTGAACAAGATTCCATTTGCCGTCATGGTAGCGAGAAGTTTGTCGAGCGTCCCGACGGAACCTCTGTGCGCGGCCGTAGCTACCCCTGGGGTATCATCGAGGTCGAGAGCGAGGAGCACAATGACTTCATGAAGCTGCGCCAAATGCTTCTGCGCACGCACATGGAGGAGCTCAAGGACTCAACGGATATTGTGCTGTACGAAACTACCGCACGCAGAAGCTCCTATCCATGGGCCATGTCCAGGACAACGGTGTTTTCCGCGAGTACAACCCGGTTGTGCAGATCGAGGAGGACAGGCGCGCGCATGAGGCGAAGATGAACAAGATGGAGGGGGAGATGACCGCTGTGTTCCAGCAGAAGGTGCAGGAAAAAGAGTCCAAGCTTAAGCAGTCCGAGGAGGAACTGTATGCCCGCCACAAGGAGATGAAGACGGTGCTGGAAAAGCAGAGATCAGAGCTGGACGAGAAGAAGAGGAGGGCCGAGGCCACTGTTCGCCCTACTACGCCGATGGAGCAGCAGACTACTAAGGGCAAGAAGAAGAATATCTTCAGCGGTTTCTAAACTGTGCCCTCCCCCACCCCTCTCTTCTCCACACGCGTGAATTCCTTTTCTTTTTTATAATTGAGGAGACCAACTGTGGCCTTTTCGCTTGGGAGCCCGCCTGCTCCGTGTTGACATTTTGCCACTGCCAATTTCATCAATTTCATTTTCACAACTTTTTTCTACTTTTATTAAACATTTAATTCATTCTCTTGAAGCCACAGGCTCGGTGCAGATTAAAGCAGTGTTAATGTGAAGCACGAACCATAGAGCTTTTAATGTGAAACATGCATGTTTCACATATGCATCTATTTTCTCTCTCAGTTGCAACTTGTTGGTGCGCTTTTTGCCCATAAGGAGAGCCACGCAACATTGCGTTCTTGTGCCCCCAAAGCCGACCCCGACCTTGAGGGGCCCCTTTGTTTCCTGATAGCAAAGCGCATTATTCTTTTTATTGGCTTGCAACTTGTTCATTCAATACTTATTGTTTAAAATAAAAAGAAATGGCAAGCCAAGCACGGCGACTGGCAAACATCCGGTTGGTCACATTCGATATTTACAACACACTCTACATGCCAGCAGAGCCAGTTGCCCGAACATACGCGCGGCCGCTGTGGCGCCATGGACTGAACATAGACGAGCACAATGTTGCCGCTGCATTCTCTTGTGCCTACAAACAAACCCGCTCGCAGCTTCCCAACTACGGCTGCAAAATGTCCATGACCTCGCGGCAATGGTGGGAGCTGGTGATTCGGCGCACCTGGATCGACGTGGGCGTCAACTTATCTAACCACCCAGAGCTAAAGCCCGAAATCCCCGTCTCATTGACTACTTTGCCACCGGCGCTGGCTACGCAATTTTCCCTGACGTGCCCAGAGTTTTAAAACACCTGCGGCGCAAGGGTATTAAAATCGGCGTTATCTCCAATATGGACGAAAGCGCCGAGCACGTTTTGAAGCACTTTGGCATTCGCGAGTATTTTGACTTTGTTATCAAGAGCATATCGGTTGGAGTCGAGAAGCCTGCTGCTGAAATCTTCGAAATGGCCTTGATTGCGGTTAATATTCCAGCGTATGATTCGCTTCACATCGGAGATAGCTACGAGTTGGATTACCTGCCAGCGACAAAGGTGGGAATGAAGGCGTTGCTTGTGCGCAGGGATACTAAGGAGTCGTTTGACCTGGAGTCGACCAACTCCATCAACAGCATTGGAGATATCATCAAGATGATATAGCTTTGTGGGGGTTAGTATTTTGTTGTGTAAATTTAGTTATAAATGTATATTTTTGACTTGATGGCTTTTGCCAGCTATAGCTCCGATTGTGGTTATGTTCGTTGCGCATATCTGATGTTCTCACCGCTGTTATGCACAGATCAATTCGGCAAGAACATTGTCTTTGTTATGTTGAATAACTACACACGCATATATAAAATTAGGCACTATCAATCATTTAATTTAATTGGTTTATTTTACTTTCTAAAACCAACAATACAATTGCAAACTGTGTATTTTAATACAAATTCATACTGAGCCAAAATTGATTCATTGCGCGAGATATAAAATAATTTAAAAAAACATGGACTATACAGTTAATAAATGTGACTGGCATCTACCGTATAATCTTGCCCGCCATGAGCTCTATTGCAGACATGACTACATGCCCCTATAACTAAAAAATATTCTAGGGCTGGTGTGGGATTATCCAGACCTGGGTCTAATTGACTGGCGGTGGAAGTATCTGCCAGGGTGTTAGTAAAATTAAACCCGAGCACTCGATCTCCCAGCTAGAGCATCAATCGTGGCCAGATAGCTAGTATGCATATCTATGTTAACGAGTGAATTGAATAACTAGACTAAATTTATATTCTGTAAAAATTAAGAAAAAGAGAAGGGGGAAACACATTTTGTTATGTTTCTGTGCCTTTGTATTTCGGCTAGTTGCCAAAATACAAAGAGACAAAGTTGGCGACAAAAAAAGAGGGCCAACATCGCAGATACTGTCCAAGCGACAATGCTCACCGATGAACAGCAAGCCAAGTTGGTGTCCACGTTGGTGGAAGAAGTGGACAAGCAGCTGATATATGCGGAACCTGGGCCCGTTCAGTCACCGACGTGCGTGCAGTCCTCGTTGGGCATGGTTTCAGAAGCAGACAGTTGCATCACACTGCACTAGCAGTGAGATTTCGGTGGTGGCAACGACTATCAAGATCAACTTTCAGCCGGATTTCCCGATTGCTTGGGGCAAGAGGCCGATGAACCTGACGCCAGATCAGAGATCCAAGGCCAGTCTTAACTTTAAGCACAGCTGCCAACATGGTCCAAAATGATGGCAAGGTGTTGCTCTATGCCAGGCTGAAGAATCACGAGATCAAGGAGGTGGCCCCCTTTTACGATTTCAAGCAGGAAGCATATAACACTGCCGCCAGAAAGATGGTATACAATATCTCAAAGGTGTCGAACTCCATCGCTGAGCTGCTGGTGAACGAGCGCGAATATACGGAGATCTGCTGGCGGCTGGCCCACGAGGGATGGCCTATCATGCAGGTCCAGTCAATTACCGAAGTTGTGGCTAATGTTTTCATGTTGCGGGGGGGGGGGAGGAAGATCAAGAGAACTTTGGAGCGCTGGAAGAGGGAGGCCTCCCTGCTCTACGCCAAGGTTTACGTGGCCAACTACTACAACTCTATTTGTAACAATAATGTATTTCTCGATTGATCTTGGCGGCTATGACGAGTGGGTCCATCGGAAGCTTATATGTAGGCACTATTCGATGTTTCTTGTGTATTTAAATATTAATATTGTATTTTCCTCCATTTTTCTTGTCTGCCAACGGGTCTGCTTGAATGGAAAATAATGAAGGCAGGCAGCCGTGCTGAAACGGCTTTGCGTCCCTTTGGGGTTTGTTCTGATCGAATGTCTGTTCCAGCATTAAGATTAATTAGATCAAGTCTCATCCGCGCCATTTGATCGACCTGCCTCTATTTTTATTTTATTTTTTGAGAGCAGCATGTGCTACGTTTCTCTTTTTTTCAAAAATAATTTTTTTGCATTTCATTTTACTTTGTTTAAAAAAAACCCCTAGACAGACAATAATGCAATGGACGTGGATTTGCTCGGCGACGACATCCCCACTGCGGCCACTCCATCAACTGCCCAGCGGACACTAACCCCGCCCTTTGGTATTCCATTACGAACCTCTCTCGACGACCTCCTGCTTCTCTGCGACGAAGACACTCAGGATGGGAAATTGCAGCCGGCAATGCAACCCCAGCGCAATTCCACTGGGGACCAGATACTCTCCAGCACAAGCGACCCTGCTGGTTTGGACGAAGAAGAGACCGATGATTTCGGGGACTTTTTACAGGGCAATCAGGATTCGAGCGAATTCACTAGCGGCGCAGTGAGCGGAAATGCGTTGGGACTTAAAATGGGAGATTTGAAAGTGAACGAGAAGCTAAATACAAAGCTTATGGAGTTTTTACCGCTGAAGCTGCGACCGCCGAAGGATGGAGTTGTGTGTACTGGGGTTCCGAGGAAAAGGAAAAGAAAAAAGGCATTTCTGTGGTGTTGGAAAAGCCTAGGCCGAGCACGGTCAGAGATCCCAAGGATGCCGCTGCCGAGGAAATACTAGGCTGGATGGCAGCAGCAGCAGCACCAATTCCAGCTGGCGGTAGTGATGCAGGGGCGGGTGATGCGATTGGTGATGCTTGGGAGACCGCAGCTGGTCTGCTGGGCGGCAGCCACTTGGGACACCACATTGGAGAAATCGCATCCAGACTCTGCAACGTAATACCTGCGGATACTCCAGCAGCAGAGCAGGTTACGTATGAATTGAACCAGGTCGATGGCTCTGGTGGTGTTGGACTGGTTGAGTCTCCTGGTCCTTGGGAGTCGCTAGCAGGCAATTTAGAGTCCGGGTTGCAGGATATGCAGAACAAGATCTTGAGCACTGTATCCGGAGTATTGTTTGGCCTTGGGCCGGGTCTTCGGAATTGAGCAACTGTGACTCAGAGGGGGCAAATGATGTTGATCTGGTACAGGCGTACCTGCGGCTGGCACAAATTGCTAAAATCCCGACCAACCGGCTGACATTGCAACAGACGAAATCGCTCAATTGTAGGCATTACTGTTTTTCTTCTTCACATTTTCAGTCATATTATTTACTATTGCTGAATATAGTAGGAAGAGAACTTCAAGTTGAGCTTGCAGGTTATTGTTGCTGGACCTCGGTCAAACGACGCTCTGCTAGCGCAGCGCGAATCGCAGTAGAGCTGACCTTGAGCGCCGTGTTTTCGCTAGAAACAGCAGCGCCGCACTCCTCATCCAGATCCGCAGCAGCATCACCAATGCTGCTGTCTTTTCCACCAGCAGACGTAGTAATGAGATCAACGGGCATCAGCTCCATCGGCACCATACCATTCTCCTTGCGCCTCACATTCAGTACACTCGACCCACCCAAAGTCTCTTGCGAAACCACCAATGCCCCAATTGTCGAGTCCGTAGCAGTCGGGCCATATGATCCGCAATCGGCACCAGCTCCACAACAATATCCTCCGAACCTTGCGCAAAAACATCAAAACATTACGCTCTCGTGTGCGGTAAGATTGGAGAAACTCCTTGTGCTTTTTGTTTTCCAATAGTGCATCGGCAGAGATTCCGCAGACTATCCGGTGGGTGGTGGCAAGAGCTGTGGCGGTGAGGAGGATTTTGTGGCCGGTGTGCAGGTGGTCGAAGGTACCGCCGACGGCTACGTGACGGTGGGTTGTCCAGGGGAGTGGGGCGCGGAGGTTGTCTGGGTGGTGCTCGGCGTGCATGTAAACTGGGTTTGTGGGTTGGTGGCGAGCTTGGCAGAGCGCATCCTTCGGGCCACCACGCTGGACACACCAAATCGTCGCCTATGTGTTGCAGATTAACGAGGAAGAAAAGCAAGGTCGATTAGTCTTTTTGTAGAACAAAATCACTTAAAACAACATAACAATACGTGAACATTACAAATAATCAAAACCAAAATCAAGCTCGCTCTTACCATTGTCACTGGCCGCCACAAGCGTAGTGCAGCCTTTGAATTCTTCCATATCATCCACCGAGTACGCGCAAAAATCCGCCGGCACAATATCCACCGAGACTGCGCTTTTGTTGCGCAGCGCCCGGCCCATTGCAACAGCATACAGGTCGGCTATCCGCCGCTGCATCAGCGACCAGCCCTTAACCTTATCCACGTGGGGAATATTATTGAGCGATATAAAACAGTGAGCTCCTCCGTCGTGCGGTCAACGGCAGCGCGCAGGGCATCGATATGCTTTTGGGATGGTGCTAAGGAGAGATCTGTCTGGTGCAAGAGCAGCAGGTGGCGGCGTTGAATGGAGTCCATGAAATTGAATTGGGTGAATTTTTGTACACCAAGTTTAGAATAAATGCAAAATAAATATGAAAAATAAAAAATGAGAAAGAAGTGATGAAAAGAGTGCCTTATCGATTGAAATCGATCGGCTGTTGTATTCGCAATAAATGTGGCGTGTACTTTTTTTTTAAAAAAATTGGCATAAACAAATGTCCCTCTTTTTTCCAAGGTCACAGAGTTGTGCAAGATTGTCTGCGACAAATCGGTGTCTTGGGCAGTTAATTGTTAATTGTATTATACTCGATAATAGTTGTTACACATTTCAATGAAGGCCGACTTGAGGATGCTCACCAAAATAATAGCGTAGCTAAGAAGGATGGTCCTGTAGAAGTATGTAGACCTTGTTACCTGCCGTTCTAAATGGAGGATTGTACTGGTCGTATCTTAACATTTATTCATGAACATAACGTTCTCAGAGATAATAGTCAAGTCTACGGAACATTGAAAGTTCAACCCAATATATGTACAAATATGATTCAGATATGTGAGTACATTTCAAGAATATCTGGCCTCCTCCTAATTTAACAATTTCAAGACAGATATTTACGCAAGATCTTCTTTAGCTAACTTGGAGCTCTCGTTTTATTCCTAGTGGTATCCAATAAAAATCATTTGTTCCTGTTTATGATTTTAACATGCGTTTTTTGCCATAAATTAAAACCAGGGTCTGCTACTTTGATCAATTGTCTGTATTGGTAATCTAGGCTCTGGTATTGGGGGAATAGCTATCAAAAATATTTGGCATTGAGGGTGAAACAGGCACTAATGCCGTCATCGTCATCATTATCACCTCAAATTACTAGATGCAAAAAAAAGAAGAGTCATGCTAATGCATGCTGGGTGTGTGGGTGAGACTGGGCTAACCCTTGGGGTCGTGGCACATATGCATCCTGTCAAAATACCAAGCAATGTCAAAAAATTGCGCTTCGCTTGGGTGAGAATTTTCAAGCCAATGCGGAAATTAATGAGCAGCGCTTGGCAAGAAAGTGGCACAATATCAAATGTTGACGGGAATTTTTTAATTGACTCGTTGTTGTTGTCATTGACAGCTCCAAAAAATCAACTCTTTTCTCCACTCTGCTCTGCTCCCCCCTTATTTTTTTATACTTTATAATTTTTTTGTTAGTCATTTTCATGAGCAAGTCGCATTCACACACCCGTACACTTTCGATGTTTGCACCTCAGATTGCCGCTCGGCCACCATCGTCGTGCAGCTCGCTAGAACAACAGGATCCACTGCAAACACGCGAAGAGCTGGAGGCAGGCCAGGCCGAGGGATCTTTGCCCCCAGTCTTCTCACCCTCGCTGCACCTGTCGCTGCGCAAAGACCACAAGTTCTCAACCAGCAGTAACAATACTTCCGAGAGTGCTAGCAAGCTATGCGACCTCCACCCCCATGCCCCGACCAGCCACATATCAGATAGCAGTGATGACACGCTTCCTCCATCTCCGTCATCATCACCATCACCACTGGCGGCAAAAAACCCGAACGATTATGCCGCCAACAACAACGCTGACAACGAACGCAGTGGGCAGTTGTCCGCAGCCTCTCGGGAAAGCAAAAGCCGGGGCAAGCGCAAACCAGTGCAGATATTCTTTCGCCCACAGACGTCAATACTCGACTACACCGAGCTGATGTACCAGGGCAGCGACCGGATGCGTGGTCTGGTTACTTGCTTCTGGACCATTGTTGGCGCCTACCTCGTGTCACTGCTGGCCTCGCACTACGAGAGCAACGGCGAAATCATGTCACTCAGCCTGGGCAGTCTGATATTTAGCCGTGGCATGGATCTTATGCTCAGCGACTTGGCTCTCGTCGTGTCGACTGCATTTGTCGTACCGCTTGTGCGCATCTGTTGGGTCGGGTGGCAGAAACCCGGGATTTTTGACCCGCATAGCCGACAGTCAATGGCGATCCAGGCGTTGGCCGAGATCATATGGCTGGTCGTTTGGTACTCATGGCAGGGAACCAGGGGCTGGCCGTGGTCGCAGCGCTGCTTTTTTGCGCTGCACACAATGGTTAACTGGATGAAAATTCACTCGTACACAAGCACTAACCGCAGACTGGCTGGCATCCAGCGCACAAAGAACGAATTGATCGCAGAGCAGAAGCGCTCCCTCGACGAGCAAGACAATTCTACCAATGATGAAGGCGCAGACTTGGACTCGGAGATGCCTCACTAGAAGCCGAGCTTTGCCCATATACGGTGCGCTTCCCGGCCAACCTGACACTGGGTAACTACTGCATGTTCCAGCTCTGTCCAACATTTGTCTATGAGCTCGAATACCCGCGCACCACGCATATCCGCTGGGGCTACGTGCTTGAGAAGCTGGCCGGCACCGCAGGTATTTTTATCGTCTTCTACGTTGTCGTCGCGCACCTGATGATTCCGCATTTGGAGCGCATGCCCGAAACGGGATCCTGCTGACCACAATGCACTTGACGGGACCGATGGCTACCTGCTGGCTTCTATTCTTCTTTATCACTTTTGATTCCATTGCCAACGGCTTTGCCGAGCTCACAAGGTTTGCTGATCGCCGCTTCTACGATGACTGGTGGAATGCCCGCGGGCTTGACGAGTTTTCGCGCAAGTGGAACCGCCCCGTGCATATGTTCCTCGCCCGCCACATCTACATGCCCATGCGGGAAAACTGGCACATCCGAGACTTGTCTTCTTCTAACAAGAGTTCTCGTGGATTTCTCGGTCGTTTGCGCAGAAACGTGCCTGCTTCGGTTGCAGCCATGGCTATGACATTTTTCTTCTCGAGTATTCTCCATGAAGTCACTGTTGTGGTTGCTTGCCATCGGTGGAATCACGGAATGTTTTTCTTCTCGCAGATGATGCAGATTCCGCTGATCATTATGTCAGAGAAGGTTCTTTGGTTCAAGAGCAGCAGGCGTTACGGAATTGGCTATTTTGGTTGGCCATGGTGTGCTTCCAGCCGCTCTCCTATGCGCCTACACGTTCAAGGCATTCGAAGACAGGGCTCTTCAGGTGAATGCCCTTGTTAATGTTGCTGTTGTTGCTATTGCTGCTTAGACCGGTTAGCTGTAATTTTATAAAAAAAAACTCAAAAGTCAACGCAACCCCGGCCCAACCCAGCACCAAAAATATATATACTTATTTTAGATTATATTTTTATTATATTTATAAAATTATCACACGTGAAAAAAATATAAATATTTTGTCATTAATTAAAGTTCAATATAAAAAAATTAAAATTAAAATGTCAGAATGAGCCAAGCTTGAACCGCATGAGCTCAGAATACAAAGCGCCATTTGACAGCAACAGGCCGACAGCAATACTGATCGATGTCGACAGCATAGACATTGTCAGCGACGATGCCGACGTATCCTCCGATATGAAAGAAATAAACCCCCTAACACCAGTACTCCCCGGAACCAGCTGAATAATGCCAACGAAAACAATATCAGCGTTCGTCGCACAATGAACACCCTCCCGTATACGTTCCCAAACACGCCAACTGCAAAAGAGGCCAAGCCAGCGGAAATCGGCTGCATGACCTTGACTTTATCGCAATAGGTCTGGATGACCAAGCCGGCGGACGCAGCGAATATCATCGCTGGCCATTGTTTCCAATGTACCTTGAACCAGATGCTGAACCCGATGGTGCTCAGGGGAACAAACAGGAACCACCACCACATAGACATGGCTTCGCACGAGGAGTAGCTCGCGAACCCCATTTCCTGACCCTCCCGACCCAAGGCCGCCATACCCAAATTGTAGCCAACGACGGTGCCCCACCCAATCATAAACGAGGTCATCGTGGCAGCAATCAGCCGGACCGCTCCGCAAATAATATTGCTCGATGATAGCTCCATCATGGCCAAAGCCAGCCCGAGTCCCGGCAACAGGTTGATTGTCGCCGCCATCGGCACGGCAGCAAAGCAGATGTGGTCGGACAGAACGGCAGTGACCAGAGCGACGATCAGCGGCGGCAGGACATTGAGCAAATACCCGACGGTCAAATATTCCGAGCTAAGCTGCTCAAAAACACCCGCGACCAGTCCCATTGCGCCCGAAAGTGCTGCCTCCTTCCATGTTCCATGGAACAGCGTCGCTGAGACGCAAAAAGACTGCACAAAGCACACTGCCACGCGAAGATACCACGGATACAAGGGCGGGGCAGCGAGCAGGGCCTCGATATCCCGAATGGACTCGTGGACGGTGGAGTTCCCCTTGCGCAGCTGCCTGGATATCTGGTTAGCCAGCTCCAACCTGTGCATATCGTAGCTGTCGGACGCTCGCACAATATGCGTCTCCGAAGAATGCGTATCAGGATCGCCGAACGAAATGAGCGTCAGTCCGGGGATAGTAAAAAAGCATGCTTCAATGTCCAGGTACCGGGCGACCTCCAGGAGGTTCGCCTCCATTCGGTGCACCGGCGACCCGAACGCATGCCATGCGCGCGCCAAGTGCATGAGGAAATCCTGCTTCTCGAGTATCTGCGCAATCTTTTCGATTAAATCCATTCTCTCGTCAGGCAACAAGGGTGCGCGGGTATCGGCAGAATGCTGAATAGTTTGTTGGCCCGGCGATGAGGCCGCGGATATACTACCGCCAAGCTCAAAATATCCGGCAGAAAACCTATTGTCTGAACGCATCAAGGAGCTCTGGGTGGATGGCGGCGGGATAATGCCGTTTTTCGCCAGAGCCTCCGGCGTCATCATCAGGGCACTGACGCGAGCTGACGAGTAGCTTTTGGGTAACCCATGTCCGCTGCCAATACCAGGCGAGCTCCTCCCACCACCAGTTGGTGGCTTGCCCAAGATTCCTGAATGCCCTGTCGCCTCTCCATTTTGCTCACTGCTGCTGATATCTGATCCGCTACTGCGCAAGCCGCTATTCTGCGTAAACGACCGCAGCATATTTGGCAATGTTGCCCATGACTTATGCACAGATGGGGGCGACTCTGTGGTAGCAGGGCGCTTATTGCCTCGTGCTTTACTGTCCCCGATGAACTGCTATTGGTGTTGTTTTGCTGACTGCCTGTCATGATACTTTGCAGGCGAATCAAGTTACTCAGTATGCCACCAGCTTCGGACCGGCCCTCGAGTCTGCGCAAAAGGTTTTTCGCACGCGTTCGTCCGTCTACCCTGATGGATATGGAGTTGTTGTCTTTGCCCATTGCAGCCAAATAGTTTGCGTCAAAATTAGATGTCGCCACAGCGGGATTCTGGTGGCCTTTTTCGACACCCGGATCTGCGGATTCTGCCACCGGGCTTCAAGCATCCGGGGGGTCACCGATCCGCTATTTAACGGTGAAATATCCGGTGAGTCTCCGGGAGTAGCAGCCTCAAATATATGGTGGTGGCGGTGGGATTCACTGGATGGCGCACTCATGAATAGGCCGCCCTCATCCTCGCTTTCCGCAGACATCACGGTGATATGACGGTGCTAGGGATACGGGATCTAATGGTGGCGAATTAAATTGCGGTGCTGGGCTGTTGGCGTCGTCAAGTTGGGATGCGTGCTGGAGGGGAGACGATATGTCGCGGATGTTGAGACCGTAGAGCATGGTTTCTGGCCTGCGAGCGTGCTGCTTCGGCTGCAGCGGCAACGGGGAGTTGCTGGAAATAGCATTATTGCTGGTGGGGCAGTGGGAGCAGAGGGATCAGACTGAAGGTGGTGGTATTGTGTCATAACGCTGGTGTCTGGTATGCCGGCTGCTCCGCGTAGCTGGGATATCCGCGGTGCTAGCCGTGGGTGATATTGCGGGGAATTGATGGATGTGGATGATGTGCGGTGGATGTGCTCGTGGTTATGTGCTGTTTGGCAGCCCCATTTTGGTCATCGTATCCATATGCAACTTTTATAAAATAGAGGGGAGAAATAAATAATACAATATATAGATGAAATATGAAAGATGAAATAATAAGCAGCCAAAGAGTGGATTAAATTTTTTGCCTTTCCTCGAAGAAAAAAAGAACAGTTTATGTTTATATACAAATAAAAAACCAGCGAGTACAAAAAAAACAGAAAAAGCCCGCACTAACTGTTTTCACTGTATAACAAATAGGGTTATTATTGGGTGGTATTTTGTCAACCAAATAAAATATCCAGACATATTTTTCTTTAACTTCCAAAAGAAGGTATTTTTTCCCAAAATAAATTGATAAAAATATCCTCCTTAACGCTGTTTTTTTGTCTCATTGGACTGAGAAATAAACACAAGAAATTTCGCAATAGGTTTTCCTTATTTGGAAAACGTCTTCCCAATTTTTAGGTTGAATTCTACATAGAATCAACGGGGGACAGCGTAGATACAGCTTCAAAATATATATATATATAGTATTTTTTTGTATTTCACTTGCCATTTCATATATCGTTTCAATATCTGATTTCAGCAAAACCAAAAAAAACGATTGCCAACTAAAAAAATTATATTCACTATAATTCAATGTGACAACAACCATGTCTGTTCTTCATCCTCGACACAGTTTCTGGAACCATCCTCAGCAAAATGGCGTGACCCAGCGCTTCTCCTATTTCTCCTGCGAAACCTAATCTCTTTCCGAACCTCCAATCCAGCAAACAAAAACAAAGGCGAAAGCACAACCATGACCCATTCGACGTAATCCAGGGGTACAATCTGCAGATGCGCACTAACAGGTGGGATGATCGACGCAAGGACCACCCCAAGCAAACTGCAGCTCACCCAAACCAGTCCAGGCACATTGGCACGGGCCCACCACGAAGGCCGATGATTGCGCATACTCCGACACACGCCTCCTACCCTCTCTCCATCGCGGCCGTTATTATCCAACAGCACGGATTCAGTAAATGTTTCAGCTGCTACTGCTGAATCAGGCTTGTTATTATTAGTGCAGCTGTCATGCAGTCGCAATGGCACTAGGGTGGTGCGCATGGATGTTCCGAGCAGACAGTGGGCGAGAATCCACGTCAGAAACGTCAGCGTCGGCGCCACAGGAACCACCGCCCAGGCAGGCAGCAGCAGCGACGGGACGATCAGCGGCACCGCGCAAGTAACAAACAGAGCCAGGGCAAACCCCACCACAGCACGATCGCCACGATAACTACGCCCTAATCCACCCAACACCCCGCCACCAGCATTCTCGCGCCGATACCCCGGCACCACTGCCGCACGTGCCAGGCGAACCCGGGCCAGCGCAGTCAGCTCAGTCTCAGCCTCGCCACGGGCTCCACCGCACACGACCCCCTCCGCGCGCTCATTCAGCAATGTCCAAGTGGCGCCCAAGTCAGCAAACACCTCGATGAAAATAACCTGCACGGGCGTCAGCGGACTGGCGGCCTCAACAAGCAGCAGAAAGGCAAACAAAAGCACCAGTGCGACTTTGCAAGCAAGGTAGAACACGACGCATTTCTCAGCATTCGCGCTCATTCTCCTGCCCTCACGCAGCGCACGCACGACACCGGAGAACCGGCCAGAAAGCACAAGCAGCCCGGCGGCATCCATCGCAATGTCCGCTGTGGACGGGTTGCCGCCCATACAGATTCCAACATTTGCCAGGGTCAGTGACGGAGCGTCATTGATGCCGTCGCCGATAAATGCCACAACCTCGCCGCGCGCCTGCAGCGCATGCACCAGGCGCAGTTTCTGCTGCGGCGTCATACGTGCAAACACGTTGCTTTCGTCGATGAGTTGCGCGAATGTGCCGGATGAGAGGCTGCGCTGTACCATTTCGCCTGTGATCGCATGCACTTCGCTACCAATGGGGCCGGTCGCCGAGGCGGAGCCGGGTGCTGAAGTGGCGAAGCCAGTGGAGCTGTATATCGGCTGCTGCTGCTGTCGGGGGCACTCGGAGATACCGACGGCGTTGGCGACGGCCAGTGCAGTGCTGGGGTGGTCGCCGGTGGCGATGATCACGCGGATCCCTGCGTCCTGGCACTCCTTGACCACAGGCCGCGCCTCGCTCTGCGGCGGATCGTAGAATGCAAATGCACCGACAAAAATCAAATCACTCGGCAACACCGCCGCCGCCGCTGGCGCCGTCGTGCCCTGGCCCAAGTCCACCGCCAGGTTTGCTGCTGATCCGCTCAGAGCACTCCCATCGCTTGCGTCTCTGAATCTGAACGCCGGTCCATCCCCAAGCATACCCTTGGAAGCACCCGTGGCACTGCCAGCCCTGCTCCCCGCTGGGCTTTTGATAGGCGGCGATTCCTCGGCAGGATTAGGAATGGTGCATTATGTGCGTGGGACTCCGGGTACAGCGGCTTGTCGGTAATCGCCACGGCGTAGGCAATGATGCGACTGCCGCCGACGGCGATGTCCGTTGCACAGCGCGACAGTGTCTGCGAAAACAAAGCGGTCATCGGTTCGATCCCGTCAACGTCGCCGGTCCTAATTCCGTCGGCCGACAGGGGGCTGCTGCCGGTAGCCCGCCAGACGCGGGTGCATTTGGGAAGCAACATCTCGGGCGCGCCCTTGATGACCGTCCAGTGCTTCCCCGCCAACGCCAACAAATCCTGTGCTGCAATCCTCGCTTCTGGGTCAGCGTCCATATGGCGCGTGCAGTAGGATACAGGCACTTTGGCATGCGACCGCGTGCGCGCGGATACGCGCTGTGTCGGGTCAAATGTCAGCTCACCGGTGGGTTCCGGCAGTCTCTGGCAGATAACGGTGATGGCATCGGAGATGATCCGCATGGGAATACCACCGGTATCCGGATCGCGCGGAAGGTCATCCGTCAGAGTGGGATCACTGCCACTGATGCCGCCACCAGGGAGGCTTTGCAGGACAGCAGAGTTCATAAAGTCCTTCCCGAACCCACGCACCGGCTGGAACGGCGCGGGCTGGTGGCCACAGTGGGAAAAGCTCCTGCCAGTCCCGCTGGTCCCGCTGCTCCTGCTTCCAGCCCCAGTTCGGCCAAGGTTCTGCTTAGTCAGTTTGCGCTGCACCGCAGATAACAACTGGGCCAGCGGCCTGCCCTCGAGTGGATCAACGGACAGGGACCAGGCGGCATACAGGGGCACAGCCAGCGCCGCCGACCTTTCACTCACAGCAACAGCCTCCGGCGTAATAACCTCAACTGCCAGCGCCCCGCCGTCTCCAGGCTCACCCCTTGTGCCCACCGTTAAAATCGACGACACCACAAGCTGATTGCGCGTCAGCGTCCCGGTCTTATCCGTCACAATCACTGATACACTGCCCAGGGCGTCGGCGGCGGCCAGCTTGCGCACCAAGAGCCCGTGCCTGGCGAGTACCCGGGAGCCCAGGGCCAGCGACGCACGTGCAATCAGCGGAAGCTCCTCGGGGATCGTGGCAAAGGCCAGGCTCATGCCCATCAGTAATGCGTTGCGCCAGTGCATTCCTTGCGCCAGCCCGGTCACCGCCACAAGCGTGCACAGGATGATTGCCACTATGGAGAGTTTATTGGCTAGCGCACGCATCCGCAGCTGCAGCGGGGTCAGTGACAGCCGGCTGCTGGCGCCCCCGCGGCTGGCTTTGTTCTGTGCCTTGCTGAGACTCGATGCCACCAGGGTGTGGGCGCCGGTAGCCACGACAATGCAGACGGCGCGGCCCGAGCTAACCTTTGTGCCGGCACACACCATGGTCGGGGGTGGCAGCGGCAGCGGCAACGCCAGGCGCCGCTCCGCATTAAGCGGGTGCCCGGTCACATCTGGGCACGCGCCCAGAGCAACCTTGTACGCGCCAGCGGACTCCCCTGTCAGTGCGCTTTCGTCAGTCGAAAAGCCATGGCAGACAGCGACCACGGCGTCAGCGGGCACCGCCTGGCCGTGCGCCAATACGACGACGTCGCCGGGCACCAGCTCATCCGCCCTCACAACGCCCTCCTCCCCGCCCCTCAGCACGGTGGTATTCAGCGGCACCGAGTTTCTCAGCTCCGCCAGCGTCCGCTTGGCTCTCCACTCCGTCCACACTTCCATTCCAATGACCACTAGGATGGCCGCAAGCATCGTCAGGGCGTCCCAGAACTCCCCCCACAGCGAGTAGAGCACCCCGACGGTCAGCAGCAGAACCACCATGGGTTCGGTCATTTGCTCGAGCAGTACAAGGGGGAGGAAGTTCATCTGCTGGCTGTAGTTGATTGGGATGTTGGCTCCAAAGTACACGAGCCGGTTGTGTGCGTCCTGGGGGTCGAGACCCTGGGAACTGTCGACGCCCAGATTGTCGGAGACCTCGCCGAGGGTAAGCCCCAGGGCTGCCACTTGTGGACGCGGCTGTGGAGGGAGCGGAGATGCTCCAGGTGGCTGACCTCCTCCATGCTTGTGCTAATAAAAATAAATTAGAAAGTGGGTTAAATAAGAAATAATTTATACAATACAATGAAAAAAGAAAGAAAAAAGAATTAATAGAGGGGTTTTTTTTGTTTTTGGTTCGAGTGGGGCTTTTGCAAACGGGATATGCAAGTAAAAAGAAAAGGCGTTCTGCGCTTAAAAGGGTTTTCTGTTTTGTTTTCATCTTGTGCTTTCTGCTAGTGTGCCGTCCTTCGTCATCATTCCTTTTCTCTTCTTTTCTCCACACGCATATTTTTATTTTTATTTACCGTTATCAAATTAAATCTCTGATACCCGGTGACACCAGCCAATCCCTTCCTTTTTTAATTTAAAAATCAAATTAAATCAACATTATTAAGCACAAGGCTAAATACCATACTCATTGGCAGAGCTACCCTACCAAAAACAACGACAATAAATGATTATTACAATAATTTTTTTATAAAAAAAAACCAAACAATAGATAGATAGATAGATAGATAGATAGATAGGCTCAAATACCCAACTTTCAAACAAACCCCCCCTCCACACATACAAGGATGTCCTCAGATCCATCATCACCCATTCAACTATCACCCTACGAGCGGCTTCGCCTCGAACCCGACGACCGCATCGCAGTGATGTCTCTTCTGGTATCGCCGTCGGCGCGCTCCTCGGGGGGTTTCTCGGCGGCCAACATTCCGGGCGCCAATACCTAGCAGAGCGCGCGCACCGTTTGCCCAACACTGTCCAAGGCTGGTTTTTCTACCAAAAGTGGAAAAACTACCGCGTCGTGCTCGGCGCAATGAAAGGCAGTGTGCGGTATGGGCGAAAGTGGGAGGCTGCGTCCTGGCGTATGCGTTGGTGGAGGCTGCGGTGGATCGGGCGCTGGGCGGCGCGCAGATCGGGGCTCGTTGGTTGCCGGGCTGGCCACGGCTGTGGGGGTGGGCAGAATTGCAAGGCTGCCCAGGTCCAGTGCTGGAGGGCAAGGCTTGCGGGGCTTGGCGTCGGGATGCTGACCGGCGCGACGCAGGACGCCGTGCATTGGCGCGCAGGCAGACCGCCGGCGTACTTGGTGTGGGCGCAGCAAAAGAAAAACGAGCTGATTAAATAGCGATTTTAATTAAATTAAAAAACCAACATATAGAAAACAACTAACTACTAATTCTCTTCTTCCTCGTCCGAAAAGCCCGGGTTGAATTTAAATTGTGGGCGCTTGGACCTGTTCGCAATTCTCGCGCGGATCTTCTCCTTCCTCGCCACCTCCTCCCAGTCGTCCTCACTGCTGCTGCTGCTATCCTCGCCGCTGCTGTTGGTTTCCGCGCGCTTGCGCTTAATGAGCTTAGCATCGGCAATGATGGCCTCGAGCGTCTGCCCAGGCGCCCTCGCCCCCGCCCTCGCCCTCGCATCGGCAGCCATGCGCGCAGCATCCACCAAGGACTTGTCGCGGCCAGCCAACATGCGCTTCGCCAGCAGCGGGTCCTTGGCCAGCGCCTCAAGCACCTTGGGGTCGTTGATCTCCGCCATCAGCCTCTGCTCCTCCTCGGCCATCTTCGCATCGCGCATTTGGTACCGCTTCAGCTTGCGCTCGCGCAGCTTCTCCTTGGTCTCCTTGGCGTCCGCCCAGGCCTCTGTGCTGTTGCTCTTCTTTCTCGTCTTGCGCTCCTCGTCCTTCGCCGCCTTGTCCTTGCGCAGCTGCCTGCGCAGCTTCTCCTGCTCGCGCTCGGCCGCCAGCTTCTCCAGGCGCTTGGCCTCGCGCTTGGCGTCCAGAAGTGGATCGTGTCCGTGTCAATCTCGTACCGCACGAACCGCCCGGTCGGCCGGCCGCGGAACTCCGGCATGCTCGGCAGATGCAGAAGCGCAAAGCCCTTGGCCACCTCGATGATCGGCAGCTCCTTGAGCCGGAAGATAAACGTCGCCTCGTGCTTCGAGTACGACTGGATGAAGGAGACGAAGGCGAGCTTGCTGCGCGCGTAGATCTCGCGGTCGCTGGCCGCTAGCGTGCGCAGGTGCTCGAGCAGCGCGTCGCTGCGCGTGTCGGCCGGGAACGCGCGGCGCAGGGCCGAGCGCCTTCTGCGCCGGGGGGGCCTCTTCTTGTCTGCGCCGTCCGCGTCCCCGGCAGCGCCGCCCTCGCTCCCGGCATCCTCGTCGGGGTCCTCGCTGTCGCCGTCGCCGTCGCTGTCGCTGTCGCCGCTGGCGTCGCCAACCACGACGGCGTCGGCGGGCGCGTCCAGCGTGACGCCGCCGTCGGCGTCCTGCCACAGGTAGTCGGCGGGCGCCATGGGGATCTTGCGCAGCGCCAGAAGTCGACGTACGTCTCCTCGGACCCCGGGCTCAGGAACACCAGCGCCTGGCCGCTGCGCCCGGCGCGCGCCGTGCGCCCGCACCTGTGCGCAAACGACTTCGGGTCGGTCGGCGGGTCCCACTGCACGACGCAGTCGACGTCCGGGATGTCCAGCCCGCGGCTCGCCACATCCGTGCACAGCAGAATGCCGGCCTCGCCCGGCGGCAGCGCCGAGAACGCATCGAACGTCGCCTGCCGCTTCTTCTGCACCATCTGGCCGTGCAGGGAGTGCACGGAGATGGCGAAGCTGACGTTGAGGAACCGCCGCGTGCGCTCGCGCTCGTCACGCATCGCGCGCTTGCCGCCGGGCACGAGCTCGGCCACCGGGGACAGCAGCCGGCGCAGCAGCCGGTAGAAATAGTCCACGGCCGCGCACGTGCTGAAGTACACAATGTACTTCTGCGCCCCGCCCAGCTGGATGTGCCTGAGGATCTGCGCCAGCTTGCGGTCGGGCGGGCTGACCAGGTACCCGATGCGCAGCGTGGACGGGACGCGGCTCTCGGACCCGCGGCCGCTGCGGTCCTGCACCTGCACCTGGACGCGCACGGGGTTGCGCAGCCCGGTGCGCACCAGCTGGCCCAGCGCATCGCTCATTGTAGCCGAGAAAAGCCCTGTGCGCCGCTGCTTCGGCAGCACCGAGAGAATGGCCGTGAGCGACGCCTCGAAGCCCATGTCCAGAAGCCGGTCGGCCTCGTCCATGACCAGCACCTCGAGCTTCGACGCCGACATGGTCGGCCGCCCGCGCACCCCGCCCGACGCCGTGATCATGCCGGCCTTGGTCTTCTTTCCGCTCTTCAGCCGGCCGCACAGCACGTCCTCCAGCCGCCCGGGCGTCCCCACGAGGATGTCCGGGCCGATCTCCTTCAGCAGCGACATTTCATCAGCCGTATTGGTCGCTGACGACGATCCGCCGACCACAAGGTGCGCCTTGAGCTCCGCTCCAGTCAGATCCAGCAGCTGGCTTAAAACCATGAAAATCTGCTTGGCCAGCTCGCGCGTCGGCGACACAATAATGGCGCCGACCTCGTTGTGGTGCAGCCGCGATTTGCGCCGCTGCAGGAGCGTGAGCACGGGCAGGAGGAACGAGAGCGTTTTGCCCGACCCTGTGGCGGCTTCGACAATGACGTCGCTGTTTTGGAGAAACATTGGGATTGTGGCCTCTTGTACCGGGGTCATGTTTTCGAACCCCAAGCAGGCGAGCGCTTCGAGAAGAGGGGGGCTGAGTGCCGGCTGCAGTGTGTCCCAGGCTTTGCCGAACGTTGGCACCACCGACTCGGACATTTAAAAAAATATGTGTTGTTGGATATTAAATGTGTGAAAAAGAGAATGTTGAAGTTTGGAAAAAGAAAAAGATAATTATTATAGGTGCGGGTTTAAAAAATGGGTTGGAAAGTTTTGTTACTTGATCTTTTTTCTTCTTTTTTTGGACGGGTGATTCGATCGTGTGATTATGCGATCAAGCCTTTTTTCCTCTTTTCTTTACATGGTGGGAGGTAAGGTGGTGCTTTTTGGTGATGGTTAGATGATGATACACAACAACCACTGCATTTTTCAATTCAATATCGATATCCGTGTTAGTCACTTTTTGTCGATCCCGCCACTCTTCTTTACTCCACTCTAGTACAGATTAGTTTCGGTTTAGTAAAAAAAACTTTTTTGTGCACTAAATTAGTAAGCTAATCCAACCTTCACAACCCTCCCCCCCAATCAATCAAGTAAAAGAAAATGAATGTGCGACAAAAGATAAAGGCTAGGATAATTTTTCTCACGCAAAAAAAATAAAAAAAATAGACGACGACGCCAAAATGTCAAAATTAACCGATGCTTCGGTACTCACCAATGCACAGATCCAAAAAAAAATTACAAGCGCAAAAACGCAGCAATTCTTCAATTCTTCAATTCTTCAATATAATCTCTTGTTACATTTTATACTTTTTAATACTTTTTTTGCACTTTACATCTTAATCAATGGCCGACTCCCGCCAAACCCAGCGCACAACTGCGCCAGCAAGCCCAACACAGTGCAAAATTCCAGCACCGAGCCCAACATAGCGCCTGATTCTGACACCGAAACCCCCACCCCCACCAGCACCCCCGCCAGCACCGAGCCCCGCTCATTCAACGCGCGGCGGCTCCTAGGCAGCGTCATGAGCTCAGCCGCGCGCACAATCCACAACCTCGACCGCGCGCCCACCCACCCAGGCCAAGCAGACATGATGAGCAACGTCGGCCATATCAAGCTCAAGCCCGACCCTGCAACCATCCTAATGGCCGCTGGATCGCAAAACCCGCCGCCACCGGACGCTGATCTTGAATCAAATCACGGCGAATTGTCGATTAGAAGGCCCGGGCTGCTGTCGCATTATTTGCAGCTGATCAATATGGACCGCAACAAGGGCAGCCGCCAGCAGGCGTTTCCTGATCAAGCCAGAACCCATACGGCGAGAAGAGCGGAAGCAGAAGGGCGCAGCGACACCACAGACACTGCAGGCATTGCAGATTCTAGGGAGTCGCCAGGTGGCATGTGGCTGGACCTCGAAGCCCGCCAGCCGCGCGTTTTTTACGGTCTGCGCCGGCGCAGCCCGTGCGATCGCGCACACAGGCCTCGGCCAAACGGCGACACTCCACCCACACCCAGACACACCCACAGACAGCCGGCCGGGCTCCGGCTTCTTCGCCGCAATCAATCGCCGAGCCAAGCCAGGAAAAACCACCGCAACATCGTCCGGCATCGGAACTCCACTGGCAGACACCCCAGGGGTGCCCTTCCGGCACCTCAGCGAGGCACTGCCCTGGGCCACTTCGCAGCGACAAATGGCATCAGCTTACGGCACGCCGTCGCCACCGCACATGCATACGCGGCGGCCTAGCATGTCGTCGTTAGCCGGCGACGTCAGCACGCTGCCGCAGTTCACCATTGATAATTCCCCGATCAAGGACTCATTCATAGCCATGCGGCAGGAGCAGGGCGACCACCAGCGGCAGAATATCGTACATGCCATTGATATGCTGCTGCTCCACCAGCGCTTCCTCGTGCTTATTTCCAAGGCATTGATGATGTACGGGTCGCCGCTGCATCATTTGGAGGATAACCTGACGCGCACAGCGCGGCTGCTGGACCTTGAAATGACAGCGTCGGCGTTTCCCGGCCTCGTCATGCTTTCCTTCGATGACTCCATTACGCATACCTCGGAGACTAAGCTGGTCCGGTGCAGTAATGGCTGGGACATGCACCGGCTGGACCAGACTAACCAGTTGCTTCGCCGGTTGTCCATGGAAATACCAAGGTCAAGCAAGCGGTGACCGAATTGGAGCTCATCATGACCGCACCTCCGATCTACGCCTGGTACTGGCAGGTATTGAACTGGGGTGTGATCTCCTGGTCCCTCTGTCTGGTCTGCTTCGGCGGGTCCTGGAAGGACTCGGGTATTTCCTTGGCCCTCGGCCTCATCGCCGGAATAATGAATATGGCCGCGGGAAAGTTCAGCGGATACACGAATTTTTTTGAAGTGTCAGTATCCATAGTCATGGGGATTCTCAGCGCGGCACTCGCCGGCTGGGGTTGTTTTGGCGCCACATCGCTGTCGGCCACCGTCGTGCTGCTACCCGGCCTGGTTATGACCACAGGCGTCATTGAGTTATCCTCCAGACACATGATTGCCGGAACCGTCCGCATTTTCTACGCTCTCCTACTGGCCTTCATTATCGCCTATGGATTGCTAATCGGCGTCGAGATATATAACAAAATGGCCGGCCTTCCTGTCCTCGAGGGCGCCCTCTTAGACTTATCCAAGTGCGAGGCCATTACCAAATGGTCCTGGTTTGGCACCTTCCCCGCCGGCATCATTAGCATCAGTATCCTAGTCAACATCCATTGGAAACACTGGACCAGCGTGACAATAATCGCAGGCATTAGCTATGGAATTTTCTGGCTCTTCAAGTTCCACCTCGGGCTTGACGATCTCGCCCCCGTGGTTGCTTCGTTTGTGCTCGGATTGACGTCCAATATGTGGAGTAAAGTGACTGGTCAGACGGCGTATATGATTTTACTTCCTGGTGAAATGTTTTTGGTTCCTGGGAGTGTTGGGGTTAGGGGTTTTCTTCCATGTTGAGTAAGGATGGAGGGAAGGGCGCCCAGCTGGCATTGCAGATGATCACTACTTGCTTGAGTATCATGATGGGTCTGTTTGCAAGCTCGTTTGTCGTGTATCCGCGCGGAAAACAGCATTCTGCCATGCTTACCGTATAGTGATAAATAACATAGATAATTTAATATGCATTTACATCAACGATTTGGTTTTATTATTATTAAATCCATATAAACAAAAAGAGTTCATTAATCCAAATCTTCGTGAATCATCTTATTAAGACTGGTGGGAAACACATCGGGAACAACCTTGGAATTTTTATTTTGTGTGTTTCCGTTGTGAAACTTGTTTTTGACAAATTCTAATGGCTTGTCAAAGGCACCTTGCTGATATGCAAATAAAATTTGAAATAAAATCGATAACACTAGTAGAACAAGATTTAAATTTGCAGCGCAACGAGCTAATCTAAAAAAGCCAATCACTTTCAAAAATATCATTAAAAAAGTTATAATAGCAAAAAAAATTAAATATTAATAATTAATAATTACAACATTAAAACGTTAAACTATCAGAAAAAGAAAATTTGAGAGGAGTTGAATTAAAAAAGATAGCTTCCAAGAAAGAAATCACAGGTCGGTAGACATTTGTTCGCATTCCCTATTTATAGGATCTCTTCATAGCTGTGGTTCGATAAAAGACATTGTCACATACATACAACTTTAACTTTGACAACAAAGTCGTTTGCAATAAAAAAGCACACGTTCGATTAAAACCCATGTCATTGTTTTCCATTGTAAATATAATTCATCAATAATAAACTTTAATATCACTGATAAAATAAATTGATTTTTGAATGTGATACCCAAACTACATTCCGGATTTATCTTCCCGCCTTCAAACATCAATACCGCCAAGCATCGTTACTGTTGCAATACCCATTCCGATATTACTGGCTCATATCAAATGCCAACAAGACCTTTAAAGCGCCGCCCACACGGCGCTGCTTTTTTTAGTTTTAAATCAGTCATTTGAGACGTCTACTTGGGATCCCCAAAGCTTTTTTAGGCTTCTTAACACTAAAACAGTTCATGGTTGGTGCTGTTGTGGATAGTGCTATTGATGATTTATTAATAATATGATTAAAACCTACTGAATAACCATTTTATTATCGACTATTGGTCTACCGACTTGGTACTTAAACCATTTCTAACATAAGTAAACCCAGATGTGTTGCTAGTTGTGGACGCCAACGTACAAAAGCAACGTACAATATCAACACCCTTTGATTTCAATCAGAGTTTGATAGGGATCAGTGAGACCGATAATTAATCCTACTGCGTAACAACTTTGACCAGCAGGGCGTAGCTGCTGACACACCATAGCTCCGGCGTGATCAAAGCCCTTCTCTCTAGCGCTCGTCGTCTGGATGATGACCAAGAACCCATGCGTGTAGCTCGGACGGCGCTATTCGGCCATGAGGATAACAGCGCCATACCCATTCCTGAATCCAATATGTCGCGACCCGAAGATGAGAGCGTCCCTCGAATGATGATGCCGGCGGCTTGATGCCCGGTTTGCTTATTAACCGCAAGGACACCCGGACAAATGCCACAGAGGAGTTGCTTGCAAAGTGGGCTGTGGTGTCGCCGCAAGTCGATGGACGAATCAAAAATATATCTTCCAAAATTGCGTCTACAGCTTAGACTAGTTGCTTGTATTTTTCCAAGGCATAGACTGTTCAATATAATAGTAAAAATTAAATTAAATGAAGGCTTGTCAGTAAATTCAAATGTCACAATCAACGCAAAACTTGACCTGCCTCAGACGATCGGCATGCTGTCTGAACTCCTCAGACTCAATCAACAATTGTGTGTCTTCTTGACTCCAATCCCTATAATTCAAGGTTGCTATGCCGAAGTAAGGGCATATCAGTGCGACCAGCAAAACAGCTCTCTCATAAGAAAAGGTGGGGTCACTAAAATATGCATCCCTCGAATAAACCAGTGAGTGAAAACTCGTCCCAGCGGATAATGCGCGGCATAAACTTCGCCAGCCGTTTTGTCGGAATAGCCAAGGGCACCCACATCAGCAATGTCAGAATTTTATCAACTTTGGGCTTGCCAATATTACTGTGGAGCGTCTTCAAAGCAGGCAAATTCTTGAGCAACTGCACCATGTCAGAAAAGTCGAGGTGTATCTCGGGCATACTGAGCGACTGGATTCTACTGGGCCATGTGTCTGACCGAACACCAGCAATGAATGCACTTACATTAAAACAGCTGTGTAGCTCCAATGTGCTCAATGAGGTTTGTGCTGAGCTGATGATTTTAAGTGCAAAGCATGTTGCTGCGTCATTGGACGCATAATGGCTAGAGTTATAACGATTATAAAGTTGAAGGTGGCGGAGCCTTGGATGAGAGTTGGTAAATGTGCGACGCTCTTCAAGATTTCTGACGAGATCCGGGCTCAGAGATAAAGACAAGTATTCAAGTGTGCCAAAGTTGCCTTTAAGCAAAATGTCATCATAATGGTAAAACCGCTTAGATGTGCAAAGCACCTGAGGTTTGGAAAGAGTGCAACTTGTCCCAGATTGGGTATAGCTGAGACCGGAAAACCGAAAGAAACAGTGGTATATATTAAACCCCAGCTTTTCAAGACCGGATACACTGTTGCATGAACGATCTCATCTTGAACTAGACCAATCGCCTCATCACCATTTATGCCATTACATTTTCTGTAAATATCAAGCAACCGCAGTGTCGTGCACTCCTAATAAGTCAAAAACTGTCTTCTCTGGCCGCCTCCCAGGAATACTTGATGCGAGTTATCCCAGGCAAGTAATCCGTGCTCAGCGCAAATGGGAACCCCCCACACGACGCATCAACGGATATCTGGTCTACGCCCTGGCACAAACTGGAGCACACACTGTCATCATAGGTTGTTTGTAACTCTGTAAGAACTGGAGCCAAGCCGATCACAGCTAAGTACAACCCTGCGCATATTGGGAACCATATATCTGATGTCATTAGCAAATCTGCTAGTGTTTTGTTTGTACAAATCCACATAACTGCCATAATTATAGGTGAATTGTTAAGCACGAAGTTCAGGGTGTGTGCGTGCAGGAAAACTAATTTTCCATTGAACGAATTAAGAAGTGCCTTAGATGCATCCCCGTCAAATGCAAACCCCACGAATCCAGTCTAACCTTGACCACCTTGGTAACTTTAATCCACAAGAACTGGGAAATAATCGAGTCTGATGGAATTCTGGTGGCTCTAGGTAAGCCAGATAGTCAGACGAGCTTATGCGAACTGCCTCTATCCTACAGACGCGTTCCAAAGTAGTGACACGCCAGATATGGCAGCAATGCAAAAGCTTGTGCGCAATTCATTTGCTCATGAGAGTATTTATATTTATTATACCCCTCAGCTGGACGAACACAGCATATATAGTCGAAATTGCGTTGACAATATTCCAAGGAAGAGTTTGGAATGATGATAATTGAGACTGCATTTTTGTAAAGGCGAAAAATATTGGAAAACGGAATGAAAGAGATGCTCTGCAACTGCGAGAAATTTTGCAGCTTTATAGAAAATACAAGCATAATTGTATTGTCCAAGCTGCATTCCGAATTTATCTTCCCGCCTTCAAGCATCAACATTGTCAATAACAACACTACTGCCACAATATCCATTTCCGATATTCCTGGATTATATAAAATGTCAACAAGACTTTTACAGCGCCGCCCACACGGCGTTGCTTCTAGTTTTGTATCAGACGTTTTTCATACTTTAATGGTTCAATTCTACCGGTACACCTATATCCAGGTGCTATATGGATATCATTGTTTGTAAAAAGTTAAACAATTATTTAAATAAAAATTTTAAAATCAATGAGCCAGATCAAATTTAGACAATAAAAAATGTCAACATGTAAAATAAAAACAGAGGACCATTACAAGTCGATAAAGGTGCATTTGCATATCTATCCTTTGGTATCAACTGCTAAACCCAATCAAAGCTATGAAAATGATAGCTTATTTGAATTTGAATTCGATATATGCATATTTGCATATTTGCATCTTCGCAGGTATGGAATGATATCAGAGCCCCAATTTTTTTTGAATAATTCAAAAGTATATTTAAGAAAACAAACACCCTCATTATTTTAAATGTGTTCACCTTTTTATTATTCGCAAATACATGCTTTATTTACTGAATATTTTACTACACAAATGCCTGGGCCTTTGACTCGTTTTCAAAACATTCCGTTTGACCTGCCGCTGGTGTTGCTAATGATTTTATCAATCGCCGGTGCATTTACTGGTGCAGGTCTCACTGCGGCTGGCGCATACTTGCTGTCAAAATCAGTCCTTGATTTTGCATACTACAGTATTCCAGTGAATATGATTGTTCTGGGCCTTATTGTTCTCTATGCCGCCGCTGTCGGCACAGACGGAGTGCTGTACACGGCCAAGGACACATGCGCACGCTCGTCATAGTCATATTTTTGGCTCTTCTCGGTGAATCTTGGCTTTTGTTAAGAACCTCTCTGGAGCCTATCACAGTTGAGCGCGACTTGCACACAATGTGGCAGAACAAGTACAATGATAACAAACGCCAGCTTCTATGGTATGAGCATTTTTACGGATGCTGCGGTTTCAAGAATGCAACCGATATGCCAAGTTCAAAGCAGTGTGATGACTATGCAGTGCTGGACTATCCCGCGCACGGTTGCCTGCGGTTCATGCGGCAGGACGTGTTCCACCACAGCAAGCTGGCGCTGCAGTGGTGCCTGCTGGCTATTGTCGTGCAGCTTGTGGTCATTGCGTTTGGTTACAGCTTGTACAACCTAGTCTTTACCGACGACACAACGTGGCTGCCCATCGAATCGGCCGACATCAACGTGTACGAGAGCGACGTGGACGGCTTTGGGGGCAGCGGCAGGGGCGGCACGCGTGGCGGCAGCAGCAGCAGGAGATTGGGTTTTTCTGAGGCAGCAGAGGGGTCGAATGCCTCGGCAATGCGCGAGCCAGAGACAGGCGCCGACCCAGGCACAAAGCAAGCAGCGAAAGCGCACGATAGTGAGACCGAGGCTGACGAGCCCTCACCCGAGTCGCCTGCATCTACGGCACACCAGCAGCAGCAGCAGCAGCAAGAGGAAGAGGAAGAGCAGCAGAATGAATCGCAGGATGATGGCGGCGATGCTGCCGCCGCCGCTGCTTCTTCTGTTTCTGCCGGCGCCCCACCCAGCGCAGCCACAGCAGCCACGCCTGCCGCCAAGCCAGCCCCGAAGCAGAAGGGCAAACACAAGAACAGATGAGGCGATGAGCTTTTTGGGGTGAGGGTAGCATTTGTAGCATTTATATTTCTCTCAGCTTGGTGGCGTGGCTTTTCTGGCCCTTGGGCCTTATTCTATTTTATTTTGGCATTTGGTATATTGTGTGGGGGGGGGGATTTTCAATATTATTGATATTTTCAATCGCATTTGGCGAATGGCAGCAGCGCTTGCAAAAACAAAAGCCAAAGAGATTCCGCTCTGAAGCGGCTGCATTGCGATCCTCTCGTGTGTGTTGTTTCTGCCGCCGCCGCTGGCTTTTATTCATGCGTCGCTCGAAGCGGCAAGCACGAGGTAATAATGCGCGCTGCGCTGGTTGGACAGAAACAACACGTCACACACGCGCATCATCCCTGTGTGAATTTATAAATGCGTCTGGCAAAATAGGGAATAGCTCTGATCCACAAACAAAGGCTTATAAAGGCGAGCACTCGCGGCTGCAGACAAAAAGACAAAATATACTTTTGATTCTGCTTTTATAGCCTGTAACTCTTCCAATTTTTTTTTACAATTTTTGCTCATTGTTTTTTCGCACACTCCATCAAGCACAACAAAACAAGTGTTCATTCAGTTTTTTTCGTACACCTTTAGATAGCCCACCACTTTTATTTCACCATGTCGTCTGGATTTAGAGAATACCTCGATGCGATTTCGGGAAGTGGAATGCTCAGAGTGATCCATATGGTGCTGAACGGCGCTGCTGCTGCCGCCGGCATATTCCTGATGGTCACTGGGGTCGCCGGGCTGACCGACATGTACAAGACATTTGGCGGCATCGCGATGCCGCTGACATGCGCCATTCTGGGCGGCCTTGTCACATTCGTCGCGTTCCTCGGCGTCATCGGCGCTATTAAGCGCAGCGAGTACATGTTTGGCACATACTCCGCGCTGCTGACTATTCTGGTTGCTGTCCAAGTGATTGCGCTGATGATCGTATGGCTGCGCCCTGGGCACATCGAGGACCGCTTTTCCAGCGTCTGGGAGGGCCTGTATGACAACGACCAGGACACCATTCGCTCGATCGAAAAGGACCTTAGGTGCTGCGGATTCAAGAGCCCCGTCGACATGGCGGTGCCCGCAAACTGCTCGGTCAAGAAGCACTATGGCTTTGCTGTCGGGTGCCTCGAGCCCCTACAGCACCAGTGGCACGCGAGGCGCAAGTCGATGCTGTGGGCTGGCGCGGCCATTGTCAGCGCACAGGTTTTGTCGCTTGTGATGGGTGCCGAGCTCGCCCGCCGTTACAAGCGCGCCCGCGAGGGCGGCTACCAGCGCGTCCCCGCGCGCAACGAGGGCTCGCCTTTACTGCGCGCCTGAGCCAAAATAAAGCCAAGCTAGGCCCAACTTTTTCTTTGTAATTCTCAAGTGTCTAAAATAAAAATACAAATCATCATCACATTATTATCAACTCAAATCCAACTGTGCGCGCTTGGTCAGCCAGGTCGCCATGCTTTTTTCCAATTAAATAGACCGTCCCGCCAAAAGAGAGCACAGCAATAAGTCCAAAGCTTGCGGATAAACAAGGCATTTGGCTTTTGTTATATCCTAACCAAGTGTATGTGGGAAGCCCTGTGTTGTTGCCCAACTGGATTCTGAAGCTGCGTAGTGATATTACATATGCACTACTAATATGTAAGTTCAGTCAAGCCATACCCTACTAGCATAGCAAATGGGGGAAAATGGGCGGAAATGGGTGGCAAATGAGCAGCAAAGATTGCCATCAAACAAAGCAAATCTTGCTGCTCCAACGGGTAAAATTTATTAGTATTTGCGTTGGAAATAGTAGTGTGCCATATTTATCAGCAGGAAATAAAGTGCTTCAATGATGCCGAATGCACATGCAAAATGCTGGCAGAGCTAATTGTTGCAGCAAACAACCAAGCACCACAATTATGTCGGGCAAGCTGCCAATTTCAGTTGCGCCTGAAACTCAGAGATAGCACCGGCATGAGCACCTGCACCCGCAGTAAAGCTGACGCATAGTGTCTCGCAGCTGTGACAGTTGCTGCAATATTGCTTGGCGACAAACGTGGTTTTACACATTTATGATAAACTAGAAGAGGCTAGATTTAATTTTAACCATACGACAGTATGTTTTAAAAAAGCCAAGGCCAAAGCCAAAGCCAGACATAAAAAATAAAATATAATTAAAATGGCGACCTGTAATTGACCTTGGCCATGTCGCCAGCAAAGGCGCGCGCATCATTCTAGGCACGCCCAACCTCGGCAGGATCGTAGTTGTGCATCCTGGTCCATTCTTTGGTGAGGTCTGGAGGATGGGGGTGGGCTCATCAAAGTAAATAAGGTCGATGCTGAGGGTGGTGGCTGCGCCATCGTGGTTGGGTCCATCCATGGTCCACAGATGGTTGTCGAGCTGCTGCCGCTGCCACCACAGACAATCCACGTTGGCGTAGTGGAGCATGAAGGCCCAGTCGTTGGGGCTGTGAGCTGCGCCCATGTTGCCACCTATGTGGATGTGAACAACAGCGTGAATTGTGTTTTCTATGTCGCTGCGGAAAGTAGCCATATTGCTGTTCTTCTGGACAATCGTGCGTATGTACTCAGGCGAGTACCATACACCCATGTTGCCGTCATTTGAAAAGTTACGCACAAGGCAGTGGCCGCTGGGTTGCTCACATCGAGACGCTGGAATAGGCGGCCTGGTTCTGCTGCGCGCTAGTGATACCGACGGCAGACATGCTAATGGCAGCTATCGTCATGACAACTGAAGATTGTTGGAATCCAGGGTTCAGTGAATGTTCTATGAACGTGGACAGATAAATACTATGTATAAAGATGTATTAAATATAAGTACTATGTACCGGAGAGATGGAAGTACAGCTCTGTTATATGTGTCACTGTGTGACTATTGATTGAATGCTTTGTCTGGCTAAGCAGCCAAGACTGGTTAATCAGTTGATCGCGATCAACCCATATGAACATTGTAGCTTCCATATACCATACAATGTCTCGATTGTAGCACAATTATAATTGTTATTTCTGCAGTAAAACAAATAAGCAGTATATAAATAACTGGTTAGTATTATACTTTTTTAGTCGTTTATAGAATTGCTACTATGTATAAAGGATGTATACTATAGGCAATATGCACTGGGTAAATAAATGAAAAACTATGTGTCACCGTGGCTTAAAAAGGTAAAAAAAATTGTGGTGTGGCTATGCCTGTCTGCATCTGGCTCTGGCAGATCAACAGCAACAATAAGGGCTGGCCTATCAGTTGAATTTGATTAACTAGTACATAGCACAAAATGTTTACAAAAAGTAGGCCTGTATTCAATGTCCTTATTTGGGATATCATTATCTGTTGGTTTCGCTAAATGGTTTTACTATAGATTGCTTTATTACTCTTGTTAAAAATACAGTCAATAGGTCCAGCAAGTAAAGGTAAGGAGACAGTCACAAGCAAACCCTGTAAAGTAGGAAAGTAAATATACTAGAAAACAGAGTATCCCGTCCTCATGACAGAAGCGCCTCAGTATATATGGAAAACAAACTATGGCAAGTGTGTGGAATCTCCAGCGCCGCTCATATGTAGACAACTAGCATAACAAACACTACTGTGATGCACCTCGAAATTACATCAATATCTGCTGTTATCATTCTTTGGCAAAAACATATTCAATTATAACCACTACGTGGGTTGCAACTGATGTGCTCAGAGAAGGGCGTCGGCTAATGTCCTTCATCTGTCTGGTGCATTTGTGCGCACCGACGGGTTTCAGCCCGGGCCACTAAACCGGGTTGCAAACGCCCCGTGGGGTGCTCAGCACTACACTATCTCGAGTTTTGGAAAAATGTATACCACCAATTTGCCCTTTACAATTTCAGCAAACTTTTCCAATGTACACTTTGGATCACAAACAATGCAGTTTAGCAATCCAGGGTTAAGCGGTGAATAGTAAACACCATCTTTGGAGGAGCAATTTATTGCTTTTTAATTGAATAGATCACCAAGCGTCCTATCAAGGGGCATAGCTTTGTTACCTTTATAGCTTTCGCTTTGAATTTATAATAAAAAACTAATAGAAAAACTGCCGCTTGTATAGGGGAGGTTTTTTATATTTTTATATTTCCTTCACAAGCTTGTCTCACTCATTTTTCCTGTATATATTTTATAGATAACTTCGGCCTGTTATTTTACATAGGGTTAACGTTAATGAGTGCTGGTTTGACCATCATATATAATTGAACCAAGTTCATTCTGTCATTCATTTCAAGTTTTCTAATTTGTGTATATTATGATTCACGTTTAAATGTTTTATTATTCTTGGCTCTTTTTGCGACAAGTAATTATTCTCCAGCTTAATAGGAACCCAGCTTATATTGTATCCAGTTCCAAATGAATCGAGCTGATGACCATCAAGTATTTTTTGTTTGACATCCCCAATTGTTTTGTTAATATCCATTGCACAGACAAAAATCTCTTTTTAAATAATACATATTTAACGCCAGTGTTCTTTTCTGCCCGGGCGTTGCATATGCCAGCTCCAAAAACATACCTGCAGGGTTTGTATTGTCGGGTTCAGGTCTGCCGAGATTAGGTCCAAGGCCCATGGTGCTTTAGGTGTTAAAATAATATAACAGAGACAATAGATAAATAAAAATGAAAGCAAGAAAGTAATTAGCGAGGCTGAAAATATCCCAATAAATGTATTTGTAGAACAGCTATTTTGCGTTAATGTTATATTTCAATTGATGCGGTGGTAGTAAAGCTGCTGCACACTAGGCTACAATCGCTAACGCAAAAATGGAAAATGGACGTTTCCCCTTCTATTTTCTTTCACGCTTATTAGTTTATAATTAAAAATTGTCCTGGAAATGTGAATTGTAGAAAGGCAGCCAGCAAGCGCAGCTTTGTTCTTGCGCCCAGGTAATGCTTGAATTATTCTACATGCTGCACAATGTATACATGGGGGTGGAAATGGGCAACTGAATGAAATATAATGAACTTGATTTTTTTCTAATTAAACCAAGTTTTTTAATTTTTAAAATAATATTGCCGACAAATGCTAGAGGATGTGACATTCATGCATTAATTTTACATACTATATTATTTTAAAATGCTAAAGTTGAATTCAGTCATATTTTCTTGCGTTAAAAATAAAAAATTAATGAATATGCTAGCGTGAGTATATTAAATTAAACCTATATGTCAGTACAGGGTAAATATGTTATATACTTGGCCAAAAAACAGCACAAACCAGTTGTATACGCAAGTTGTCACCATGAACTAAACGCACAAAAAATAAATAGCGATGTGAACATATAGCAACTAGTCTTTTTTACTTTAAATCAAGTTTACTTTGCGGTCAAATACAGACATAATAACCTGATCGGCTCGGCGTAAAGACCGTCCGCCAGCAGTCATTCCATTCAACAGACCCCAAGACTCCTCAGAAGCCGCAGAATTCTCGCGCGGCGCGCTGCCTTCGGCACCAGGCAATCTGAACACTGAAGGCGGCAGAGCATCCTCGATCGGCGCACCAAGGAAAACCGACGACGAAGCCATCGAATCAGCATATCCGCCGACAGAACCCGCGCCAGACGACCCATTAGTTGATGCGCCCGAACGGCGCAAACGGTGCTTGTTGGAATCGCCATGTTGTTCGCCCGTGTATTTGGCTTTGCCCAGCGCAGTGATGTCTGTGGGCTTGGATGCCCAGGGGTAGGAGTGGCTAGTGGAGTGAACAGGCTTGAAGGGGCGGGAGAAGAAAGATGATGGAGTTGCAAATTGTCCTTCACATTTAAGTACATCGTAGTAGGTTGGGTTGTGCTCGTCGCTTTTGTACTGCTGCTGCTGCTGTTCCTGCTGCTGTTGCTGTTCCTGTTGGTCCACTGGTGGTGATTGCGTCCCAGTGTGTGTGTTCGGTGCACGCCTGGCGTATTGCGACTCACTAAGATGGTGCCGTGTGCCGATGGGGGCGGAGGTATGACATGTCAAATGGCAAATGGTAATAGTGAATAGCAAAAATGAATATAAAACTGAATGGGCAAATAAAAAACAATTTCCCTAAAAAAACTCGGAATGCGAAATACAAAAACACAATGCACAAAAAGCCATTCTATGGGATAAACACATCGCACTAATTTTTTTTCAATTTCAGCAAAAACAAACGATTAAAATGGTAGAACATATATGTACTCCAAAAAAGACGTTAAATAAAAAGCTTAATTTACGCGTCAAACCCCATCCGACGGATATACTCCAGCTCATCGTCCGCCGTCAAAGCATCCGAGCCAGTCCAAATCATTGAGCTATTCCTTGGCTTCCTTCTCGACTCCCCAGACTCCCTCCGATTGAAAATATCATTAACCCTCAGCGGCTTCACCCTCCCAAAGATGCGATCCGGATTAACCCGCTCCTGATTCATTAACCCGCGCGCCAACTCAGGTGTCGTAGCCCACGAAGGAATCCTAAAGTCATTCTTGCGCTTAGGCGCTGGCGAAAACTCCTCATCAGAGTACTCGTCGGAATAATCAGACTCGATTTCTGGCGGCGAGTTAGACCCATCAGGAATAATTGATGTGTAATTGCTCACACGCCCGCGCGGCAACGGAGTCACCATATTAGCAGCCGCCGCCGTAGTAGCAGCACTTCGCTGTTGTTCTTGTTGATGAGCCTGGTGCAAATCGGGAGTAGACTGCATGCGAATAATGCTGGGCCCCTCTTCTTAGCATCCTGTTGCGATACACGCGTTGATGCACCCTCATCATCCGAAAAGAACGAAGACCGGAATGACGAGACCCCGAAAGCCTGCCCTCGGCGATATTGATCAGCCGCTTCTGCGACCCCAGCTGAGATGGCCGCTTAGCCCCTGCCGCTGCAGATGAAGACATATTGTTGTCCTCAAAAGTCCCTACCGACGAGCCAGATGAAGACCGACTATCACTGGTGCGGCGCAAGGGTACCGCCATGTCCTTGTACGTGGGCATGACTAGCTGTGCCCGGTTCCCACCGCCATGCTCCGGCCGAGGCTGATACGGTGTCTGGGGACTGTTGACGTCATAGGGACTAGCAATAAGTGTCTTCTTCTTGGCCACTGGGTTAACCGTTGGTGTCTCAGGATCAGCAGCGGAAGCAGCAGCGGAAGCTGCGGCAGTGGGTTGAACCAAGTTGGTCTGAGACTTCCAGCTGGACGGCGACAGCATCGATATGACTGACGAAAGACCCCATCTGCCCGAATCCACCGAATCCGTCTTGACACTCTCAGCCAAATGCTCCCACCACTCGATCTCGACCCGGCATTCGAGCGAACAGGCGCCTTACCCTTAGAGGACATTGTAATAGCAGTGGCGGCACTGCCGCTGGTACCGCCATTGCTGCTGCTCACAATAGGCAGGGGAGTTGGGCGAGAACGACGATCAGACGTTTGCGAGCGCAAACTAGACTGGCTAGACGGCCGCGACATATTCGGGCCTGGCCGCGCAACAGACTTGAACAAGGGCTGCTCGTTCGCCGCCGGGGCCACTTGGTGTTTGGTAGCAGCAGAAGCATTTATCCGCGCTGCCTCAGCCTTACGTGCCGCCTCGCGCATCGCCACTGTCGATGACTTTTGTCCAGCACCAACAATCTTGGAACTCGGAATCTTTCCAATTTGCGATTTCGCTGCGGCCGTCATCGGCACGCGCTTCACAGGGAGCTCCACTGCCGATGACGAAGATAAGGAGGACGAAGCTGAAGAGGAATACGAAGAGGCAACAGCTTTGTAGTATTTTGCGCAGCACCAGCGTACCCGGGTCGCATGGTCACCACGGGATTAGCAAACGCTGATACGGGCCCGGATGCGGCCTTGCTCGGTGCATCGGTAGGTTCAAACTTGCGCCTAAACTCTGCCACACGACCAGGCCCAGTTGCTGTCGAGGAGCTCACCGGCGCACCAATCCGCAATCCGCCAGCACCAGCATACCCTGCGCGAGAATCGCTGCGTGGTGGCAACATTAGCGACACCTCGGGCTGTGCCGGAGTGGCATCACGAGTATTCTGCGACGCTGTGGCACTAGTTTGTGTGCGCAAAACGGGTTTCCGCGAAATTCCTGTTATCGGAACAGTGGTATTCACAGCATGACCCAAAGCCGGACGGGTCCGGCCCCTTCCCCTGCCACGACCCCTAGCCAGCGACGACGCCGTGGGTGCCATCAGTCTGCTCTGCGGCGGCTGTGGCAGCTTAGACGAGGATGACAATCCTGGATGCGTGGCCTCCACTGGAGTGGTCCGATCAGAGTCCGAGAGTTTGCGCTTCGGCGGTGAGCCCGCAGACCTCCTCATACCCCGCCCTCGGACACGTCATCACAGCAAATGAAGAAGAGTCGCCGCCGAGCCGCACATCCATGGGTTGCCGGTCTATGACTAGTCGACGAACAAGTCATCCGAACGCGCAATTCGGTCGACATATTCCTGGTTATCATCGCTCCGCTGCCGCGATCCTGCCTGGCTATCAAAACCGTCGGGACCGACAGGGCTTGGCGGCAGCATCCGTGAGACATCATCGATATTGCGAAGCATAGTCTCTATATCAGACCCCTCAATAGGCGCGTAATCCTCCGCCGAGGTATGCATAGACGTATCACTCGCCGAATTCTCTTCCGCCTCGTCATCCTGCCCCAAAGGCTCTCCCAAAGCCTCGGGCTCTCAGAGATCGCCCCTATTGTCGTATTATTGCGTGAAAATGCAATTCGAACCTTTTGGAATTTGTCCCGCACTTCATCCTCAGACTTTGTCAGCTCCTCTCCTCCCCCTGTCCACCACTACCGTCATCCTCGCCCGAATTCAAACGGAATGAAAGCTGGTCCGCGGTTCTAGCCGAAAAATCAGGACTAGACTTGACCGATGATGGCGCCGAAGATAACATAGCCTGCTGCTGCTGCTGCTCCCGATACTGCTCCTGCCGCTTCGCCTGTAAGGATAGCCCCCGAGCGCCATATTGATCGTGCTAAAGGGCTTGCTCTTCTGCCCAGCCTCTGCGCACGCTCGTGGATGGGCGGCTTCGGCGGCGAGTTGTGGTGGTGGTGGTTCAGCAGCATGTCGCGCAATGTGGGCACGGGCGCGCCCAGTGTGAATTTTGGTGGGTTTGTTGCCAATGGGCCCATCTGCCCTCTCTGGTCCTGGTTCTGCTGCTGAGGTGATGTGCCACAGACATATCAGACAGAGCCGACATGGGAACTCCGGTGATGCCATAGTCATATCCGACGAAGCCGACATTGGCATCTCCATAGCCCGTCTCTGCAACTGCAGCAAGTGATGTCCATTAGCCAGAGCCAGACCTGAAGCAGAGCCCTCCTCCATGCGCTCCAACTGCTTAACCGCCGCCGCAGTCTTTGCCGCCGCACTATTACTCCGAGCCAACCCTACAGCGGCCTCTGCAACCCCAGCACCCTGGCGAATAGTGGCCAGATACGGAGACTTGGGAGGCAACATGCCCATTTGCGCAATAGTCATGTTCAGGGTATTGCCCTGGAGCGTCCCGTATTGCGAGCTACCGCGTCTCTTAGGCATCCGCATCCCCAGCGACTGGATGGTGGCTGTGTTAAATTTCGAACCGAGCGGGGAGAGCTTGAAATTTGGTTTGCCTGCGAATACGTCCCGAACATCCATACGCGATCTGCCACGGCGCTTCACCGACGAAGTCTTGAGCGCCTCCGAAATGGCACTAGACAAAAAAATAGAACACAAAAAAGGTTGGGAGGGAAGCGGTGCTTTTTTAGTTTGCAAAAAAAAGCATGGGTTTGTTTACATTTAAAATTTGCCAGCTTTTTCTTGAAAAAAAACTTACATGTGAGGTTTTTTTGTGTTTTTCATCCCGGAGATGCTCTCCAAGTACATGGTCAGCCACTGGTCGTTTTCCTGTAATGTAGCCTCCAATCCTGATATTTGGAAATAAAGGCATTATCCCAGTCGCGCTTCTTCCCGCCTAGCCACGAGCCCGCCGCTATTGAGGACAAAGAGCCCGCAGTGCTGGTATCCGAGGCCATTGACCGCACAGTGGAGTCAAGGTACTGAGTTTGTTGTTGATTTTGAATCTGGATTTCAGACATTTGAATTGAAAGATAAATATGGTATAGAAAAAATAAATATAATGCTGGGTAATAAAATAAAATGAAAGCGAGAGAAAGAGAAAATTACGTATCAAAATAATGTTTTTTGTTCTTTCCTTTCAAAGATGGATTGAGTGAGAACGACAAAAAAATGAGCAACAAGCAAGCAAATTTACAACGCGTTGATTGACAGGTGAAAATCCAGTCAATTGAGCTGATTTTTTATTTTTGTGTTTGTGTTTGTCAGTGGCACTCGGCAATCGTGCATATACCTTCTGTTTGTTGACATTTTGCGAGTGAAAATGGGAATAGGGAGGGGAGGGGAGCGCATTTATATATGCTATTGGCAGTATCCTGAGCGATTATCCCTTGAAAAAGTTAAAGGCATGTAAAGGTTTATTAAAGATTGATAGGATAAAGAAACACGTAAGGTTAAAGAAAAAAGTTGGAAAAAACCAACTAGCTAAAAAAAGACGAAAAAAGAAACGGAATCTTACATTGCAACTGGAATGCAAATGTGGGTTCAAAAAAGAGTGTAAAAAAGAGGGGGGATAGTGGCTCACAAAACATATTCGCGAGCAGTTCCCAAACTGAAAAATGCAAAAAAATAACACAAAGAAGCGCAGTCTTTCCTCGAGGGGGTGTTAGCGATGGCATCCGATAACAAATTCCGGAACCTGGGGAAGGTACGAGTATGAGCTCAGCTCAAGCGTATACAGATCATCAAAAACCTCCTGGCCGTTATACCCGCCATGCAAGAACAACCGGCCATCGTGCAGCGCACACGCGTGGTACCCGCGCGGAATCGGCGCCGACCCGTAGATCATCCGCGTCTCCCACCGCAATGTATCCAGCTTCAGCATCAGCACCTGGCTGGAGTAGTCCGACCCGTCGTGGCCGCAGATGACAAACAGGTACATGCCAACCAGCGTCGCCGAATGTGCCAGCCGCGTCAATGGCGGGTCGATCGCCACGTGCGACCACTCCAGCGTGTCGAGGTTCAGCAGCGACGTGTCCCCGAAGCACTCCTGTCCGTCGGACCCACCGAACACGACCACCTGGTGGCCCACAAGTGTCGACGTGTGGTACCGCGCGGAAAAGGCCGCCCGCCCGTCGTCTCCACCTCCTCCCACTCATATGCGCCCCCGGCCAGCGGCTCCGCCCGCACCCTCCAAAGATCGTTTAGCGCCCGGTGCCCGTCGCCGCCACCGAACAAGTACACAAACCCATTGTAGTGGAAGCACGTGTGCGTGCGCCGCGGCGACGGTGCCGCCGGCCCGGAACGCGCACCCGCGTCCACGCGTACGAGCGCGTGTCCAGCACAAACAGCTCGTTGAAATACTGCGTCCCGTCGCCGCCGCCAAATACAAACAGCCGGTGGCCGACAGCGGTTGTCGTGTGCGCGCGGCAGGGCGGCACGTCATCGCCGGTTGTCTGCATGCGCGACCAGAACATCGTCTCTGTATCCAGCACGTACACGTCGCTGTAGCACACAGTGTTGTTCCATCCGCCGAACACATACATATTGGATCCGATGATGCTGACCGTCTGGGACCGCATCTTGGGCGGCCGCGCGCCCCATGTCTTTGCCTGCGACCAGTACATCGATGGCGTCGGAACACGCGCCTCCACAGTGTCCAACCCGGTATCCATCTGCCGCGGCGCAGCCACGCCAGGATGCGTCGTGTTGGTGTGTGGCCGCTTGTGAGCGTCCCGAGTGCTCGTCCGCTTGGTCCCGCTGCTGTTCGTGAGTGATCGTGGCCCCGACAGGTTGCTGGCTATCGCCACAGTACGCCGCCGTCAGTGGTGTCGTCGCCGTCGTTGTGCCCGTGGGCTGCGTCCGGATGAAGAAGCCCGGCCGCTGCTGCTGCGGAAGCGTCGTCGCTTTCGTCCGTCCTTGTGTCCTGGAGGAGCGCTGCTCTCAGGCTGCGCAGAGGTGCACGCGTCGTCATGCGCGAGGCCGTCAGGGCCGCCTGTTGTCTGTCCATCGCCACGCTTTCTGCAAGCTGAAGCGTTGGCAGCGGCACTGAGGGTGGCAAAGAAGAGGAAGAAGCCATGAATCTAGAGTAAATAAAAAAGGAACGAGGGTTATTTTTTGTATATATAAGAAGGGTAGATGGAGAACAATAGCAGTAGTAAAAAAAGTAAAAAAGTTTGTGTATGGGTTATGTGTCAGAAGGAGGAAAATAAAAAGGTTGTATTCGTGTTATGCCTGTAGTTTGGTGCTGCTGTTGCTGTTGCTGTTGCTGTTGCTGTTGCTTTTGTGTGAGTATATAAAAAACAAAAGTATAATATAAGGCCGAGATAATGCGGATAAGAAAGTAGTAGAAAGTTAATAATAATTAAAAAAATATTTTTTTTGCAATCACACAAAAAAAACTATAAAATAGGAGTTGAAAATAAAAAAGAAACAATTAAACGCTAGAAGGGAAAGCGGGGAAGAAAAGAAAAAGAAAGAAAAATGAAAAAAGGGTTTCAAGCAACAGAAAATAATGGTGGATGCATATTTATTTGTATGCACTCGCCACCATTCCAAACACCAAACACCACCAAATAAAAATTCGAGAGTTCCGCTGAGCCTTTTTTTGCTTTTTCTCAATTAGGAAATACACCCACGCCAGGTGGTGGGGGGATCGGCGATTGGTGATTACGGCTGGCCGGCAGGCGGCGCTGCTATTTAGAAAGGAAATGCAAAAAATGGAGGAAAAAAATAAGCAAGTTTTTTATTGTTGTTTTTGCTTTGTCGGCGAAATCCCGGGATCATTCCATTACTTGTATAAAAATAATGCTGCTGCAGTCATTTAGCCTGTTCAAATAAAAAATAAACTTTTGTCATTAGCGTAGATCAAATGCGCATGTGTTTTGGTGGCACGAAAACGCTTGATGTTTAGATAAAGATTTTAACAACACAGCCGCAAACAAAAAAGCAAAACAAAACAATAAAGTGACACATACACATCATTATCATTATCACTATCGTCATTAAAAGCAAATTAGGTTTAATCAAGAATACAAGTTATAGACACATTCGAAACAGCAATTTGATTTGTAGAAATCCCCGTTCGACTCTTTCTCTCATCTTTTGAATACTGCTTTTGCTCAGCTCAATATTGATCAGATCACCACAATCAAATCACTGTAAAAGGTGGTGATGGCCAGTAATGCTATAAATAGCCAATCACATCACAGTACAAATACGTCGCCAATTTCGATTGGCCCTGCCATACAAAGGCCAAAAAAGCAGAATCCCCCAAATGCACGCGTGTAAAATTCAAATATTCAGCGTGTGGGCGATTAGCAAGCGGAGCAGGCAAGCAGCAGGCGGGGGGAGAGGGGATTTTTTTCTTCCGCCAACTGCTTTCGACTTTCCAAACCTCCCTCCACACCCCCTTCTTTCTGGCTGGGCCTAGCTGAAATGGAACAGAAAAGAAGAAATTACGCGTTCAAACGAAAGCAAAAAATGCATTTTCGCCTGCGTCAATGACAAAAGTCGCAGTTTTCTCATTTGGCCCAGTTCATTTTCTCGCGTTTAAAAAATTGCAGCTTATGAAAAGAGGAAAAAAACGTGATTGAAAGCTGGCTTGGCAGAAAATAAACCAAAAAAAACCAACCAAAAAAATTGTATTTTTTAGCCGTTTTTTCTATTTTGCAGTACTATTTCCCCTTGCCAAAAGATTTTTTATTCGGTTTTTTTCGTCCTACTTACACTGTAGGCTCTTCCTTACTTATTTATAACGCTTATATACTTCCTGTGTGTTTTCTCATACCAAGCAGTTGCCACTCCCGTTGTCCTTTAGTACCTTTGCTTCTCGTTCTGCCTTGAAAAAAGGTCCTGGAAAGGAGTACGGAACGAGCCTTGAAACGCGCTTGAAAGATAGGGCCTAAAAACAGCCCTTTTCCCATTTTTCCTGCTTATTTTTATTATTTTTTCTCACAGCCTCCAAAATTTTCTTTATTTTGGTTTTTTTCCTCTCCCCCTCCATCCAACCCACCCTTTTCGCATTCGTTTTTTCTATTCCATCACATTTTGTTTTTACCCGCGTGTCTTGCCTGCTGACACTCATCACGCTCATCTCTTCTCCCACTCATCCAATCACATCACATCTTTTTTTGCACATTCTTTCCTCCCCCCAACCCCAACCTCTATCCACCGCACATCACGCCACATGATTATTTCCGCAACTAAATTAAATCAGCTAAATTAAATCAACAAATCAATCACACACACTTGAAAACACCCATACCAGAACAAAGGATGGCCAATGCGCAGCGGTTTCGAGCGCGCAAGGTGGACCTCAAGCGGTCGCTGCCAGTGTACCGGGCCTCTGACCTCGATGACCTTGAAGACGATGACAACCGGCAAGTAGACGCGATCGAGACTGGCGTGGAAAAGGACGAAGAAGCCGAGCACCATTTGCAAGCCGCCATCTCCGCTACACTGGCTGCAGCATCGGGCTCAGCACCGTGAAAAGCGTCTACATCCCGACACCGGATGCCTCGCAGGTGACCAAGGAGTACGAGGCGCTGTACGCGCGAGCATTCTCCTGCCCGCACTCCCTGATACGATCGTCAGAGACGGTGGAGGAGAGTTGCGCGCCGATGTATTGCGCTGATGATGAGGATATGGAGTGGATCAAGCGCGTGGGAATGGATGTCGGCGTGTTCGAGGCCGCCATGGATGCCCTGGAGGCGCTCACCCGCGATATGATCTTCACCTGTGTCGAGGACGTGCCCACGCTGGAGTATCTTTTGGAGTACGCCGCAGAGCGCGACAGGCCTTTGGGGAAGAAAACCACACAGGCCATTTACGACTACTGGAGGCAGCGGCGGGCGCAGAACAAGTTCAAGCCCATTATTCCGCAGTTGCAAAGGGATGACTGGCGCACAAGGCGGAGATTGACCATTTGTGTGCTTCCGCCGCCGTGAAGTGCGCCAAGGCCGCAAGACGCGGCGGGCGGACCAACGGTCGCTCGAGCAGCTGCGCAAGCTGCGCATCAACCTGGCCTCCGTATCTCAGCTTCTGGAGATGTGTGGGGAGCGCGAGCGTGAGAAAACGCAGTGGATTGAGTGTGCCCAGGAGGTTGCTCAGAACCGGCGCAAGGTGCTGAAGATGCGCCGGAGGTTGAATGTCTCGGGGGACGGCGACGACCTCTTTGTGCCTCCGCAACAGGCGCTGCAGAAGAAGCGAACGGTGCAGAGACCGCGCGCGGCGCCAGCAAGGAAACCCCGTGTGACGGGCGTTGCCATGGCACAACAGTCAGAGGCCGGGGTGCCGCAGCCGTTTGTCCTGCCTCGCACTGTGTCTGTGCCCCTGTATCCGGTCCCCAAGAGGTACGGTGCGATGGGAGAGCGTATTCGCGCGAGGCTCTTGTCTTATAAAACCAAGGTGTCGCAGGGTTGGGTGGATTCGACTTTTGCTGTGCCGGCACAGAGTGGGATGTTCTGGAAGCCGCCATGTGGCGAGGCGGAGGCGTTTAGGCTGCGCGTGGGTAGGCTGGAAGGCTTTTTGTCGACCGGCGGAGCGTCAGGGTGGCTGGGAAGGATGGCAGAGGGTGTGTTGTGCAGAAGCTGTTAAGGCCAGAGGATTATGCGAGGTTGCAGCCCAGGGTGGTTACAGCGTCGCCTGTGGACTCGGTGCTGGCCGATTTGTTGAGGCCGTTTACTTTTGGTAACGCGCTGTTGGGCCAGCCTGACCCTGAAAAGAAAGAACGGCCGCAGTCACAGCAGCAGCAGCAGCAGCAGCAACCACAACAGCAACCACAACAGCAGCAGCAGCATGACGCAGAGAGCGTATCAGCCGGATCCACGGTTCTTGAGGACGGTACCACATCTAATCAGAACTCTACCAAGCACCTAATGTTTAATGTGGGGTGTGCTGCAGCTACAACAAATTAGCTGCAACATTTTTTCTCATAACGAATTTTTAATAATTAAACCTTGTATCATCTAAACCATCTATGAAATGTCACCTGTAGTACACCAATTAGACCTTGTGACATAAACGATGAGAATGCCGCATCTGGTAGGGTGCTATGTTTAGTAATTTGCATGTCATTAATGTATTAACATGTTAACCTGTTTAAAATTATTTCACATAATTGTACTTTTTGAATGTAAGAGTAGGGCATAGGGGATGAATAAGACACGAATGAAATAGCATTAATGTCATGGATGGCTTGTCAATTAGCTTTTTTTGTTGATGAGTGCAAAAATATGAAGTTTAGCCTTCTTTATACAAATCAAGTATGCCTAGTTCTATTCAGTTGCCCATTTCCACCCCATGTATACATTGTGCAGCATGTAGAATAATTCAAGCATTACCTGGGCGCAAGAACAAAGCTGCGCTTGCTGGCTGCCTTTCTACAATTCACATTTCCAGGACAATTTTTAATTATAAACTAATAAGCGTGAAAGAAAAATAGAAGGGGAAACGTCCATTTTCCATTTTTGCGTTAGCGATTGTAGCCTAGTGTGCAGCAGCTTTACTACCACCGCATCAATTGAAATATAACATTAACGCAAAATAGCTGTTCTACAAATACATTTATTGGGATATTTTCTAGCCTCGCTAATTACTTTCTTTGCTTTCATTTTTATTTATCTATTGTCTCTGTTATATTATTTTAACACCTAAAGCACCATGGGCCTTGGACCTAATCTCGGCAGACCTGAACCCGACAACACAAACCCTGCAGGTATGTTTTTGGAGCTGGCATATGCAACGCCCGGGCAGAAAAGAATCACTGGCGTTAAATATGTATTATTTAAAAAGAGATTTTTGTCTGTGCAATGGATATTAACAAAACAATTGGGGATGTCAAACAAAAAATACTTGATGGTCATCAGCTCGATTCATTTGGAACTGGATACAATATAAGCTGGGTTCCTATTAAGCTGGAGAATAATTACTTGTCGCAAAAAGAGCCAAAGAATAATAAAACATTTAAACGTGAATCATAATATACACAAATTAGAAAACTTGAAATGAATGACAGAATGAACTTGGTTCAATTATATATGATGGTCAAACCAGCACTCATTAACGTTAACCCTATGTAAAATAACAGGCCGAAGTTATCTATAAAATATATACAGGAAAAATGAGTGAGACAAAGCTTGTGAAGGAAATATAAAAATATAAAAAACCTCCCCTATACAAGCGGCAGTTTTTCTATTAGTTTTTTATTATAAATTCAAAGCGAAAGCTATAAAGGTAACAAAGCTATGCACCCTTGATAGGACGCTTGGTGATCTATTCAATTAAAAAGCAATAAATTGCTCCTCCAAAGATGGTGTTTACCATTCACCGCTTAACCCTGGATTGCTAAACTGCATTGTTTGTGATCCAAAGTGTACATTGGAAAAGTTTGCTGAAATTGTAAAGGGCAAATTGGTGGTATACATTTTTCCAAAACTCGAGATAGTGTAGTGCTGAGCACCCCACGGGGCGTTTGCAACCCGGTTTAGTGGCCCGGGCTGAAACCCGTCGGTGCGCACAAATGCACCAGACAGATGAAGGACATTAGCCGACGCCCTTCTCTGAGCACATCAGTTGCAAACCCACGTAGTGGTTATAATTGAATATGTTTTTGCCAAAGAATGATAACAGCAGATATTGATGTAATTTCGAGGTGCATCACAGTAGTGTTTGTTATGCTAGTTGTCTACATATGAGCGGCGCTGGAGATTCCACACACTTGCCATAGTTTGTTTCCATATATACTGAGGCGCTTCTGTCATGAGGACGGGATACTCTGTTTTCTAGTATATTTACTTTCCTACTTTACAGGGTTTGCTTGTGACTGTCTCCTTACCTTTACTTGCTGGACCTATTGACTGTATTTTTAACAAGAGTAATAAAGCAATCTATAGTAAAACCATTTAGCGAAACCAACAGATAATGATATCCCAAATAAGGACATTGAATACAGGCCTACTTTTTGTAAACATTTTGTGCTATGTACTAGTTAATCAAATTCAACTGATAGGCCAGCCTTATTGTTGCTGTTGATCTGCCAGAGCCAGATGCAGACAGGCATAGCCACACCACAATTTTTTTTACCTTTTTAAGCCACGGTGACACATAGTTTTTCATTTATTTACCCAGTGCATATTGCCTATAGTATACATCCTTTATACATAGTAGCAATTCTATAAACGACTAAAAAAGTATAATACTAACCAGTTATTTATATACTGCTTATTTGTTTTACTGCAGAAATAACAATTATAATTGTGCTACAATCGAGACATTGTATGGTATATGGAAGCTACAATGTTCATATGGGTTGATCGCGATCAACTGATTAACCAGTCTTGGCTGCTTAGCCAGACAAAGCATTCAATCAATAGTCACACAGTGACACATATAACAGAGCTGTACTTCCATCTCTCCGGTACATAGTACTTATATTTAATACATCTTTATACATAGTATTTATCTGTCCACGTTCATAGAACATTCACTGAACCCCTGGATTCCAACAATCTTCAGTTGTCATGACGATAGCTGCCATTAGCATGTCTGCCGTCGGTATCACTAGCGCGCAGCAGAACCAGGCCGCCTATTCCAGCGTCTCGATGTGAGCAACCCAGCGGCCACTGCCTTGTGCGTAACTTTTCAAATGACGGCAACATGGGTGTATGGTACTCGCCTGAGTACATACGCACGATTGTCCAGAAGAACAGCAATATGGCTACTTTCCGCAGCGACATAGAAAACACAATTCACGCTGTTGTTCACATCCACATAGGTGGCAACATGGGCGCAGCTCACAGCCCCAACGACTGGGCCTTCATGCTCCACTACGCCAACGTGGATTGTCTGTGGTGGCAGCGGCAGCAGCTCGACAACCATCTGTGGACCATGGATGGACCCAACCACGATGGCGCAGCCACCACCCTCAGCATCGACCTTATTTACTTTGATGAGCCCACCCCCATCCTCCGACCTCACCAAGAATGGACCAGGATGCACAACTACGATCCTGCCGAGGTTGGGCGTGCCTAGAATGATGCGCGCGCCTTTGCTGGCGACATGGCCAAGGTCAATTACAGGTCGCCATTTTAATTATATTTTATTTTTTATGTCTGGCTTTGGCTTTGGCCTTGGCTTTTTTTAAAACATACTGTCGTATGGTTAAAATTAAATCTAGCCTCTTCTAGTTTATCATAAATGTGTAAAACCACGTTTGTCGCCAAGCAATATTGCAGCAACTGTCACAGCTGCGAGACACTATGCGTCAGCTTTACTGCGGGTGCAGGTGCTCATGCCGGTGCTATCTCTGAGTTTCAGGCGCAACTGAAATTGGCAGCTTGCCCGACATAATTGTGGTGCCTTGGTTGTTTGCTGCAACAATTAGCTCTGCCAGCATTTTGCATGTGCATTCGGCATCATTGAAGCACTTTATTTCCTGCTGATAAATATGGCACACTACTATTTCCAACGCAAATACTAATAAATTTTACCCGTTGGAGCAGCAAGATTTGCTTTGTTTGATGGCAATCTTTGCTGCTCATTTGCCACCCATTTCCGCCCATTTCCCCCATTTGCTATGCTAGTAGGGTATGGCTTGACTGAACTTACATATTAGTAGTGCATATGTAATATCACTACGCAGCTTCAGAATCCAGTTGGGCAACAACACAGGGCTTCCCACATACACTTGGTTAGGATATAACAAAAGCCAAATGCCTTGTTTATCCGCAAGCTTTGGACTTATTGCTGTGCTCTCTTTTGGCGGGACGGTCTATTTAATTGGAAAAAAGCATGGCGACCTGGCTGACCAAGCGCGCACAGTTGGATTTGAGTTGATAATAATGTGATGATGATTTGTATTTTTATTTTAGACACTTGAGAATTACAAAGAAAAAGGTTGGGCCTAGCTTGGCTTTATTTTGGCTCAGGCGCGCAGTAAAGGCGAGCCCTCGTTGCGCGCGGGGACGCGCTGGTAGCCGCCCTCGCGGGCGCGCTTGTAACGGCGGGCGAGCTCGGCACCCATCACAAGCGACAAAACCTGTGCGCTGACAATGGCCGCGCCAGCCCACAGCATCGACTTGCGCCTCGCGTGCCACTGGTGCTGTAGGGGCTCGAGGCACCCGACAGCAAAGCCATAGTGCTTCTTGACCGAGCAGTTTGCGGGCACCGCCATGTCGACGGGGCTCTTGAATCCGCAGCACCTAAGGTCCTTTTCGATCGAGCGAATGGTGTCCTGGTCGTTGTCATACAGGCCCTCCCAGACGCTGGAAAAGCGGTCCTCGATGTGCCCAGGGCGCAGCCATACGATCATCAGCGCAATCACTTGGACAGCAACCAGAATAGTCAGCAGCGCGGAGTATGTGCCAAACATGTACTCGCTGCGCTTAATAGCGCCGATGACGCCGAGGAACGCGACGAATGTGACAAGGCCGCCCAGAATGGCGCATGTCAGCGGCATCGCGATGCCGCCAAATGTCTTGTACATGTCGGTCAGCCCGGCGACCCCAGTGACCATCAGGAATATGCCGGCGGCAGCAGCAGCGCCGTTCAGCACCATATGGATCACTCTGAGCATTCCACTTCCCGAAATCGCATCGAGGTATTCTCTAAATCCAGACGACATGGTGAAATAAAAGTGGTGGGCTATCTAAAGGTGTACGAAAAAAACTGAATGAACACTTGTTTTGTTGTGCTTGATGGAGTGTGCGAAAAAACAATGAGCAAAAATTGTAAAAAAAAATTGGAAGAGTTACAGGCTATAAAAGCAGAATCAAAAGTATATTTTGTCTTTTTGTCTGCAGCCGCGAGTGCTCGCCTTTATAAGCCTTTGTTTGTGGATCAGAGCTATTCCCTATTTTGCCAGACGCATTTATAAATTCACACAGGGATGATGCGCGTGTGTGACGTGTTGTTTCTGTCCAACCAGCGCAGCGCGCATTATTACCTCGTGCTTGCCGCTTCGAGCGACGCATGAATAAAAGCCAGCGGCGGCGGCAGAAACAACACACACGAGAGGATCGCAATGCAGCCGCTTCAGAGCGGAATCTCTTTGGCTTTTGTTTTTGCAAGCGCTGCTGCCATTCGCCAAATGCGATTGAAAATATCAATAATATTGAAAATCCCCCCCCCACACAATATACCAAATGCCAAAATAAAATAGAATAAGGCCCAAGGGCCAGAAAAGCCACGCCACCAAGCTGAGAGAAATATAAATGCTACAAATGCTACCCTCACCCCAAAAAGCTCATCGCCTCATCTGTTCTTGTGTTTGCCCTTCTGCTTCGGGGCTGGCTTGGCGGCAGGCGTGGCTGCTGTGGCTGCGCTGGGTGGGGCGCCGGCAGAAACAGAAGCAGCAGCGGCGGCAGCATCGCCGCCATCATCCTGCGATTCATTCTGCTGCTCTTCCTCTTCCTCTTGCTGCTGCTGCTGCTGCTGGTGTGCCGTAGATGCAGGCGACTCGGGTGAGGGCTCGTCAGCCTCGGTCTCACTATCGTGCGCTTTCGCTGCTTGCTTTGTGCCTGGGTCGGCGCCTGTCTCTGGCTCGCGCATTGCCGAGGCATTCGACCCCTCTGCTGCCTCAGAAAAACCCAATCTCCTGCTGCTGCTGCCGCCACGCGTGCCGCCCCTGCCGCTGCCCCCAAAGCCGTCCACGTCGCTCTCGTACACGTTGATGTCGGCCGATTCGATGGGCAGCCACGTTGTGTCGTCGGTAAAGACTAGGTTGTACAAGCTGTAACCAAACGCAATGACCACAAGCTGCACGACATAGCCAGCAGGCACCACTGCAGCGCCAGCTTGCTGTGGTGGAACACGTCCTGCCGCATGAACCGCAGGCAACCGTGCGCAGGATAGTCCAGCCCAGTGTCACAGGCTCTTGGAAAATATGAGTAATCTCAATGCGGCCAAGTAGCCCGATAAGATCATCAATTTTTTCTCCAGCGGCGGCTGTTCAAAGATATCATAAAACTGCGCCATGCCATTTTCCGCGTGTGCACTTCAACCGCCGAACAGTCGACCAATCGACATCTTCCGCATGCACAGCAGCAGAGCCGAAAGTGTATTGACAAACTTGTCTGCCGTATTGAAAAGTTATGAATCGAAGCGGCCAAGTGCACAAGGTCTTTAACATTGCTGGCAACTGCGCCCGTGTTGGGTGAGCACCCGTTCAAACGAGAAATGCATTCGATGCCAACAAATTCTACTGAATTGCTGATGTGCTTTGTCTGTCAACAGAATTTTGAACGCTGCCTTTTAACGTAAGCTCTTCGCATTTCAAATATGTGATGGCCAATGTTTAATTTTCGATGAGTTCCCTGACCGACGTAAGACGGTCTGGGGACATTAGCCGACACAATCAGCAGGAGCTGTCCGCCCGCTTTTTTTGTTGCCGGACAATCTAAATGACAACTTCCATAGCAAGACTCACTGCACTAGATTCTAACAGGCCAGAAAATGATTATTCTTTTAATATTTCATTTTCTCCTACTAATTTTTTTGACCGATTAATAGATCCAAGGTCTCATCAGCCACTGCTGACTGAAGGAGCCTAATACGTTGTTAAGTAGTTTTAAATATACACAAGTCTATATGAATACGATTACAAAAGCAAAAAAACATTTAACAAAGTTAACTAATTGAGTTTGGCCCGCGCAAACGCCCAAGCATGGTGCGCATAGTTGTGTCAGACTCTGCGGTCATTTTGATAAACCTCAAAATCTCGACACACAGCGAGCGGTTCTCCGCCTCCACAACTCTCCGCAAAAGCAAAAGCACATTGGGCTCGATAACCTCGCGCCCTTCCAAAAGAGTCTGCAAAATAATCAAACACTGCGTGGCAGTCTCCAGCTTTCCAGCGGCCAAACAGCGCTGAAAAAACTCCTCTGGCCACCCAAGCACTCAAACAAACAGGGCCAGAACGCAGCCTCCGTCTTGCGTGCACAATGCACGACGACCTCGTAAAAGCATTGGAAATTCTCCAGCATCGACACAACCCTACGCAACAGCTCCCTTTGCTCTAGGGATTCGTGGAGCAGAATCTCCATGGCGTGGCCAAAAAAATCCAAATGCTCAAAACACGCAGCATACAAAGCGCGTCCTGCTCAAAGCCCAACGAGAGCATGCGCTCAAGGACACCGGGCAGGTAAAGCTTGGCTCTGACAGGCAAGTGCGCCAGCCCGACGACGCCCTCCTCCAGTGTCCAATCCTGGTCGACGCCGACGGCCATCCCGCGATCGGCGGCAATGGCCACGGGGTAGAACTCGGGCCGCACGTGCATTCGCACATCCATAGTGGCCGACCCGTCCATGAAGTCCTCCAGGCTGATCAGCGCCGCGCACAGCTCCGAGCCAGTAAACCACCACACGGTCGAGTGCATATTGCCAAAATGCACGCCGCTAATGATGACGTGCTCAGCCCGCTCAGCCAACACGCGCACCTCCTGCGTGAGACCATCGAGGACGCAGAGGCGCGCTCCCTCATGGACAAGGAACATCGGGCGGCGGTCAAACCGCGCGCCGGGCACCCACTGCAGAGACCGCACACGACGCCAGCAGACATTGGCACCGCGCACATCGACGCTGCGGCTGAATGACACGCGCAGAGAGTCACCCTGTGCAAACACGTCGTACTGCCGGACACGCAAGTCTGCGCACAAAACAAGCAGCAGGGCGTCGTGGCAGCTCACGCACAGCGGGGCAACGCCGCCTAGCGCCTCAGCATGCGCAGTGTCCAGGTCCAGTGCGCCACGCGAGCCGCGTGCAAAGAAGAGCAGCTGCGGAAGGCCGTCCACGGTGCACGCGGCAACAACGTGGTTGCCGAGCCACAAGAGCCCCGAGACGCGTAGCGATGCCTCTTGCTGCCGCGTGCGCAAAAGCCGCCACGCACCCGTCTTGATGCTGACTACCGCCAGCCCGCGGCGGCCGGCCACAGCCACGTGAAGCCCGTCGCCGGAAACTGCCGTATGCTCCGGCGGCCACCCCCACATGGCCATATAGGCGCCGGGCATCTGCACAACGCGCCACTGCAGCGCCACCACGTCGCCTGGCGCTTCCACGCCAAAGCCACAGTCATGCAGAAGCAGCTTGTCGTCCGACACCAGGCACACCCGCGTGGCCTCGCTGGCCACCGCTGCTGCCGCCGCCGCCGCCCCGGCGCACCCCAGCGACGCGCGCGCAAGCGGCAGGGCGTCGGCTGTATGGCCCATGGCAAAGACGCGCAGGCGGCCCCAGCAGAGAAACCACGCTGGGGAGCGCACCCTGCTGGTGCTCAGCTCGTAGCCCAGCGCCGAGCGCACCGTGACGTGGCCTGACCGGTTCGCGCATGCTATAGCGTGGCCGTCGTGCGACCACGCCAGTGCTGTAATCGCCGAGCTCTGCATGCCGCGCAGGTGTCTGGTCTCACGCAGTAGTCCGGCCTGCTCGGCAAACAGCAACATGTCGCCGGCCCTGGTGCCGACCGCCAGAACGCCGTTCATAGCACTGTACGCCACAGACGTCGCCGCGTGTCCGGCCGCCACTGTGAGCGCGCGCCTGTATCGTGCTGTGCACCCACAGTGATCCGTCGCTGAACAGATACGCACACTGCTGCTGCTCCACACCCACCATGCACACGAGCTGGGCTAGGGGGTCCTCTGCAACTTCGCCCACGACCATTGTGTGCCTGATGAGGCCATCCCAGGCGATCCTTACGATGCGTGAGCGCGTGGCCACCTGCACGCCGTCGTCCAATGGCAACGCCAGTGCGCACAACGGCGACCCGTGCTCCTCCACCAGCAGCGTCCGCTCGTGCACCATGCTCCTGCCCCTGATGCCTCCCTCCTCGCCAACACCCTGTGCCCAGTAATGCTCGGTCCTAAATCGGTACTCCAGAGCCTGCTGTTGCTCGCTGCCACCCACCACCGACACTTCGTAGACCTGCCCCGACGTCAGGACTACCCACAGAAGATGCTCCCTGGGATGCCACACCACGTCGATCATGCTGCCGTCCACCTCGTCGTATTCCAGCTTGCTGAGCAACACAAATGGCTGAAGCTGCCAGAGATACACTGTCTGCGAGCTGATTCCCGCGAGCAAGCGGCCAGAGGGTCCCATGGCCCACTTCATTTGTTCACTTTGGGTGGCTGGCATTGTGGGCGATGTGCCGCTGTAGGTTGAGCTGCGTTGTCGGGTTAGACCTGGCGCCCTCTGTGGCTTTGGTAATTTTGGCACTTCGTGCCCGAGCACCAGATGTTCGGCGCAATTGAGTCTCCAGTACATTAAGTTTAGGAATTACAATACAATAAGAATACAAAAGTTAAAATACACAAAAATGAATATATAAGTGAAACATAATAAAAATAAGCAAAATCAAGACAAGGAAAGTGAAAGTAGAAGTGGGAGACCGGATTGCTGGTAGTTTAGTTAATCGTCTTGTTAATCGCCAATTTAATCTCCGCATACATCCAAAGAAACTACGAAAAAAAAACAGGATTTGAAAACATCGTTGTTGTTCATGTCGTGCTCTATAAAATGTGGTCTAAATCGATATATTCAAGTCTTAAAAATACTTAACTGAAAAGGGCAGCGCTGTGTGGCAGCGCTGTAAACATCATGGTGTTCCTTGATGTCAGCCAGCAATACAAATGTGTATATGCCATGATGCGATCTGATTCTTGAAAGAAATAGGCTGAATGTGTGGCCACAGTTCACCAAAAAAATTGTCTTTCTCTTCACTTTTTTATTATAAATATCTTATATCCTTTTTCTGTGGCTAGCTTCACTTCACTTCCAATTGAGATTATCCAGCAGATTTTCGAGCTTGTAGTCATTATCCTTAGTCGGCACTCGTATTACAAGTCCTGGAAGCCAAATCACACACTTGTTTCTGTGTGCCCCACATGGAGGCCTCTTTCTCTTGCACTTCTTTCTAAAAAGCCATTTGTTGAAGCCGATTTTTTTGCTGATGCCTACATAATCTCGGAAGATAAAACGGCAACTTCATAAACACTGCCGCTCCCATCTCTGTCCACAGCCTCGCATGCAACACCAACGCACCCTGCATTGAATCGCCTGGCTATGGTCACCTAGTAACTACCATGGAAATATTTGTTTCCTGTTTAAACCTACCATGCGACCAGGCACTCAGGCTTGTTATATCAATACTCGAGAAGAATAGGGTTCAAAAGTGATCCAACCTGAAAGCCCTAAAGTTATTAATTGGCGACTATAGCAGAGATGTTGAAAACCCGTCGGTATCAGCCCCAGAATCCAGAATTCTACCACCCTCAATTGAGCTCTCCATTGCTCGGATGATGCCGCATGTTACCAATCTTGATGTCACAACACGTTCTAATAGTGACCAGCAGCCGATGACCCACTTCTTGTGCGAGCTCTCCCCGCGGCTGCATACGCTGGTCAAAGCCATTCATCTAACTTCCACATGTCCTGTTCAGTTTACTTGTCAGCTCAAGCACCTTGGCATGCAATATATTTCTGAAACCCTTATGCAGAATACCCAAGTATTCTCGCAACCACTGAAGACTCTGTCAATGAGCAATGTGTTACCGTTGTTCAAATGGGACAGCTTGTTCCATACGATTGCATCAGATGATTCTATTCAATTTTCCAGCTTGGATGTGCTGGAATTGGAGTATCTTCAGGAATGTTTTTCCTTCTTTGAAGATCGTGCTGTTAAATTGAATTTCGATAGCACTGGACTGCGGGCTGCATTTTCTGGTTTCAGACACCTCAAAGTTGTATGGTTCATTCTTAGAATGACATACCTTGCTTAAGTGCATTTAGAACCATCTTGAGAGCATTTCATTGACAGGATATTTTCCCAATATCTGTCGCTCACGGACTTCCTGTATCGATTGTGCACCGCTTGAGGATTTGTCTTTATTCGGGATTAGGTTATATAATACTAATCCTGGCTCCGAGTTCCAAGAATAACCAACCAGTTGTTTGGCCATAACTCTATTACAAAAGAGGTCATATTTTTGGTTGGCAGCGGGAGCGGCGACTACCAGTCTTCTCTGGGCGCATGGCCTGCTGCGTAGACCCGTCTGATTACCCTGAGTGTGTCGTGTATAACTCTAGATCACATTGTCGAGTACCTGCCAAACTTTCCGGCCCTGCAAAAACTCTGAAATTTTGGATTTCACCACATTGTCCAAATGTGCTGTTCCTGCAACAAATTTGAATACACTGACTGAGCTTATACCAATCCACACACGCCTTAGATGCTTAAAATTATGCGGAATTTGGATATAATGTCGACATAACTATTGCGGCTATAGTAAGACTTGTAGTGCGTATCCACTTGCTGAAAAAGCCGAGTATTTACAAATTTTACGTCAACAGCTGCAAAAAATATTTAGAAAACTTGGCACTGTTTATGCGCACATGGACGAGATTCATGTTTGGGTTATTTAGCTTTAATATTAAAATTCGATAATTGGTTTGACCTACTATTTTTGTTAACTAATTTTTTTGAATACAATTATATAATAGCATCAAAACCTTTTGAGGCGACACTCGATCATTCGAGAAAAAACATTTCACATTATGAGAATTTCAATCATAAAAAACAAACGTTAGCTTTATATTTGCCTCATAAATAACTTGATCAAATTAAATTAAATAGTTTATTTTTTAACTCCAGATATGTTTTTTATAAACAGAAGCATTTGTATCTAAATATCACTTCAAATCCAAATAAATTGAAAATTAGCATTGAAAATGCAACTGTAAAGTCAACAGTTTATATGTTGTGGTTTAAATAACAAAAAACAATCAATCAGAAAAACCCGCCTGCAAACATGAGTAGCGCTCAAAAAACACCTATTCTACTATGCTTCATCAATTAAGATCGCAATGCCAAGCAATTGCATAATAAGCATTGGTCCACACATACATGATTTGCAATGCAAATGCAAATGCAACGAATGGGGATGGGGTAGGGATGGGGATTGTATACGGTCACCTGCCCTCAGCTCACTCCGCTAATCAACAACTCTTTAATTGAAGACTGAAAATGCGTTTATGTTTTGTATTAAAAATACAACAAATGTTGTTTATAATAATTGAAAAGTTGTATGAAAGAAACCAAAGACTACATAATTTACAAAGAAAAGTACTACTTGATCAACATTTAGTTTGTTTTATTATGTTCCGCTAAAAAAAGTGCATACATGTTATGTTATTTTTATTCTATTAATTTACAATTTTAAAAGCAGATCATATCTGATTTACATAGTTTAGTGCAGCATACCTGTTATGCACACAGACGAATTCATGAAAAATGCCAAACATCAGCATTGATGATAGCACAGACGTTGACCATTTGGAAAATACTATTATATATTTGGCCTTCGTGTTCTGTTTTCTTTCTAACTTTATCTATTTATTTTTACACGTTTTCTAGCATATTTGTTTTAACTTTAACGACAATAGATTTTTTAACTTTATAATAATGGCGAGCAACAATCTACTTTCAGCACCAGACTTATTAGCTTCTTCAACAAAAGCAGATAAAATTGTGTTCTACCTATCGCTTGGCATAAGCTTGTTGACACTTTTTCCCATCACCTATGCAATTTGGTTTCGGAATTTCCCTCCTATTAAGGCGCAGCACGTAGGCATGACAGTTGCAATTGGCATTGGTGGCATCATCTTTAACATTTCCAACAGCATGATGCAGGGCGTGCTTGGATTTGACGGCATTATTGGGTACTGCAAGTTCTGGGGATCGTGGACTATATTCACATTTGGCCTGGGCGTGCTTCTGCCCGCCATCAACATGCGTTTGTTGCTATTCCATCGCGTGTTTATTACTGGCAACACACCAGCTTTCTCCGACAACAACATTATCAACTTTTTCCGCCGATTCTGGCTGTTTATTGTACTCTGGTTACCAACACTTGTCACTAGCATTGTCATTTCGTCGCTTAAGGGTCGGCGAGGAGCATGGAATATGGAAGAATACGGGTTGCGCGACTGCACATTCAGCAACGGCTTTTTGATATGGATTTACGTCTACATATTTATCACGGTTTTATTCTCATGGGTGATCTACCTCCGTATGCGCAGAATTGCTAATGTGTTTGATGGGTTCGCACGGCTATATGGACTCTGGCCATTTGCACGGTTATTTTTATTGTCAGCGTGGTCATAAAACTTATCAAGGGCTCAAATTCGCCCTGGGGCCGGATTGTTATTGTTGTGACAGACACAATCATGATTAATGGCTATACCTGGATAGTGTTCGGTCCGCCAATTATTGGGCACATATTCTGGCGCAAAGAAACCATCCGCACTTTGCAAAATGCTTCAAAGGGACAATCTGCTTGTTCAACATAAGCGTGGCGTGAATATGGTATCCAATAATTACATCAAGACAGAAGAGAATCTACGAGCGAGCTCAACTTATTGCTAATGGTTGACAATGTATTAATTGGCGGCCTGGTAGTTGTAGAGTACATATCCTTTATCTATTTGTGATTGGAAAATCCAACACATTTTATTTTTGGCTCGTTGAGCGTGCACATTGTGTCTTAGTCCTATTGAGTTTTAATAATTTTATTTATATTTACTGTGCTTAACAATTTCATATTTATTATAAATTACCAGGCTGTGCAACACGTCGGCCTTTGGCAAATTTGGTAAAAGATATAATCTGAGAACAATGCTAAATATATTGGTGGTCTTTATTAACTTGAATAATACGCATTTAAGCATAATTTCATGCTATCATTTTTGAACTGTTATTTTCTTAATATAGCCATTTAAAACGTATATACATGCCACCGAAAATCAATTCATCAAATGTTTTAGATAATTATAAATCTCATTTTTAATGAACTTTGAAATTTAAAAGCACATATAGGTTGTATATAATTTTATTAAAAATGACAATATAGCCTAAAATAGTATGCTAGGTTTACACAGAACTAGTGTACACGCGCAGTCTGGTGTACGTAATAGTAACCTCCAAGCACTTGTACACGGGTCAGAACTGGTCTCAGAGTAAATATTTAAGGTATCTTCAGTCTTGGTTTTGGTCGAGCTCTCAGTCTCAGTCAAACTCTCGGTCTCGGCCGAGCTTTCAGTCATGGTGTTAATATCTGCTGAACCAACTTCTGAGAAATAAGGATTGCACTTATTACTATCTGCAGCAACAACAACATGGTAGGAAATGATTAACTTCATATAATCAGTTCCGGTAATTGCAATAACTTTGTTAAAAATAACGAGGTTAGGCAAAATAGGCAAATAAGGTCCGCCAAGTAAATTAATTACTTTTGTAAATGCTTCATTGCCAGCATAGGTTTTGATAGCTTGCATATTAGTAAACATATTTATACGGAGAACCGGCCAAACTCTTTTAACACTATCTTGCACACACTGACTATCCCAGTCAATAGTAGCAGCTTAGCAAAGGAAAAAATTGCCAAGCTGACGAAAAGTGCCTGGAGGAAAACAGACTTGAGCTGCATAGTAATTAAGCCAAAAAAAGTGTTAAAGTAATTTAATTGAGGAAGTTAACATAAAAAATAAAATAAAATACTAAAAAGGATAAGAGAAAAGCATTAGTCTAAACATAAAAACAAATTTGGTAAACAATTTTTTACACTGGACATAAAAACCACAGCAATACAGACGATCAGCAAAATAAAAATAGCCGAATTTGGATAGAAGATAGAAAACCATTCGCAAAAAGTCCATAAATCTCATTTTTAATGAGTGAATTAACAAAAATAAAATAAAATGGTCCGTATAAGCAAATTTGGAGTGAGATCTCATGCAATCAAATAGCCGATTAAAATGAGAAATCACCGCAACAAAACAAAATGTTTTAATCTATCGGTCATATTTTTAATTACATAAAAGGCCGAGCAACCATTTAATTACTGTTCCCCAGACTTTAACTGTTCGACCCAATTGTCTATTATTGGAATATTTGGTATTTGGTTGCGATTAAATAATGTTTGGTATAATCTTTAAATGTTGAAAAATCTGTGTATGCGAATTGGCGCTCTATACTTGAATATTTAGACAATAAAAAATAGAGTTGTTAATTTGGCAAGTGGAAAACGGCCTCAGTCTCTACATTCTATGCAATAAAACATGATTTGGTAATCAATTTTGAAAATATTTTGGATCAATAGATAATAAGCAAAACTATTACGATTATAAGCGTATATTTTGGAACCAAACAGAACCTTCAATTGTACAATGCATTTAAAATATTTTCTATTTTGTAATTGTAGAATCCAAGTAACCGCGTAACAATCACATTATAACTATTTTTGGGCTGGTCTCTGAAAATCACAACAATCAAATCAATTGCCCAGACTCAAAAACAAGCAGCAGCAAATGTCTTATCTTGCGGATCAGCTTTACATGTGCTGTCGTATTTCTTTGCTCAAAATAGTACATTCTATATAACTCTGACAGAAAACAACTGATTACAAACAAAAGATGCATGACATCTAATGTTTGGTTTCTTGTTTTCTTGCAATAAAAGCCAGAATTGGTAAATAATAATGTATTATTTTTCTTAAACAAGCAAACAGCACATTTATTACGGATGCTTACTTCTTATTTTCTCTGTCATGGAACAATGTGCTTGTTTATTGGAAGGTTTATTAATTGTCTGTTCAAACATCAATTGTTTATGTTTCAAATTGAACCTCTTACCCGGGTTGACTAAATGTACATTCCAATTTTTGGGACAAACCTCGCCAAAGAGATATATTATTTCATTATTTGGCTTGCAAAAGTTGGCCAACCACATGTTTGTATTTCTTTTGCAAACGAAAAAGTCATTTTCACTTTATTTCACGGCACAAACAATGCAATGTTGACAGGGATTCGTTCTTCAAACTCTAGATAATATATTTTGTCTCTATTTTTGGCAGTTTGGGGTGTTTTTTATCACCAGAAACAAGCCTATTGGTGCAAAAAAGTGCAGAATATATTCCATGCTGGCAAACAACAACAATGAACACTGTTTTTTGCATTTTCCATATATTTTCCAAATGGTAAGCCTGTTTTAGTTTTCTTCCTTGCCCATCCATTTGGACGTCACATTTCATATAAATAGAGCCTTCACTTCCCAAGACATTTTTTTAGTTCCTCATCCCCACCACAATTTTTTACAACAATATTTATCAATTACACTTTCCACACCATGTCCCCTATACGTGATATACCGCCAGCAACCGCAAATACCATTTACTTCCTTTCAGTTTTTTTATAAACCTTTCATTTGCAAAATCTACGGTTCACATTTTTGCATTTTCACTTTTAAAATACAACATACGCCAGGAAATGTTTGAACAAATCCACAAAGGCTTTCCGCGTCATATCTTCTTTTGTAATTCAACCAGCTCCTCCTCTTCACACTTTGTCTTCTTATTACACACTTACCCCTTTGCTCCCATCTGCCCTTACAAATACCAAAAAAATAATGTGTCCATGGATCTTGAAACATTGTAAATATTTTTGGGGTTTTGTTAAATTTCTTAACTACATGGCAACACAGCTTATTACAAGTCTGATCAGCTTGCAATGCTGTAGATGCAACTCATGAAAAAACAGACAATATAAAGGCATAGTAAAAGTATGGAGGTAAGGATCTAGGAAGCGTGAAAAATAAAAATAAAAGCAATATTTTAGCACTATATAACAGCCACTAAATTATACTCATTACGTGTTTATTAATTTTGAGCTGCTGAGCATTTTGACACACTTGCCAATGCGACTCTGGGCTACACATTCAGTCCATCGTCAACTTTTTTATTACTTTTTTTTCACAGTGCTCGGTTTATTGCTAGGATCAGCGCTTTTGTATATATAATAAAAAATTTTGTACATAATTTGAAACTTGAAAAATAAAACCCTTTTTACTGACTTTTGTGCCAATTTTTGTGTTCAAAATTGCACATTTGACGGATGAAAGTGAAAAACTGGCATTCACAGAGAAGAAAATCAGTACAGTGTTATCGAGCCATTTGCCCAAGTTGGCGCTCGCAGCAAGTTCTCCAAGACTAGATGTAAGGGCGAGACAGCATGTTTGTCTAATATGAAAGTCCTCACGCACTTTTTTTTAGCATATTCATTGTCAAAGATCCTGTGAGCAGCGTCTATCGAAATTCAAAGTATAACAGTATGACCAGCTTAATAATAATCGGCTATGCTAAAAAGGCCAATGATATTGGTAAACAAAAAATATGTATACATTTTTCAAGCCCGCCGAAAAACCCTTGGCAATCATCCTGAACCATTTGAAAATTTGTTCGCTGGAGGACAGCAATACTAAATTCCCGAAAGTAATGCTGCCAGAAAATTGATCAAGCAATTAGATCAAAAGGGTGAATCATGCACAAGTAGGCGTCATGTGCTAAAAAAATATTAAAAAATGCCAAGGCAATGGTGCATTTTTGATGTTTATCCTTCTACTTGCAAATTTATAACAAAAAAACAGCAAGAGGTAAAAATATATAAATAAAAAAGGAGGGATGAGAACATGTGGTATGTTTCCTTTTTATTCAATTTTTTCTCATCAATCCTTTTTATTTTATTTTTTTTCCGCACTATCTCAACATTTACATTTCGAATGCGCGCTCCGGAAAAAAACACGACTCAGCAGCAGCAACCTCTTTCCCCAAGTCTGGCCAAAGCGTCTGCGCTGCAGCTTCCTCCGCCGTCTTACGACGATGTTGCTCTAGACATTCAAGCTGAGCACATTAACAACCAACCATCACCCTCCTCCTTTCCTCAATACACCGCCCTCCCCGACACACTTACTCACGACACCGCACAACCACTACCCTCCTCTGCAGCAGCAGCAAACGAAGTCGAGCCACTTATCGGCTACCAACATATCCACCCAGCAAACACATCCCCCGGCCACCATCCAGCGCAAGTCACCTCACTATCATTGCGCGATTTCTTTGCATCCCTCGAGTACAAGAGATCCTCCAAGGGGTACTCGTCATCAGACCAGTGGCTGAACACAGACCCGGCGGCTCTACTGCGGTTTATCAGCGAGTGCAATGAGCGCCCGCGCGTCAACATTGAGGTCAAGGGCACGCACACGGAGAACAAAGTGGTGGAGAACTTTAGCACAGGGGAAAATGGACAAACACGGCGAGAATCACATACGCAGCAAGAGAGCATCGTTGATTTCCAATTTTCTTTGGAATTGACATCGTATATACATGAGCGAGGCACCCTGTATACTGCACGTGGAAGTGACGGGGAGCCTGTGGATTTGCAGGGCGTTCTGGCGGACTATATCCGGACGGATAATTTTTTGAAGGAAATCAAGGTGCAGAAGAAGGCGATTTGGGACTACGAACTGGTTCGCAGGGAAATGGTGGCGTTTGTTAAGAGCACCGGGTATCCACATACGGTGACGGTGTCGTTTCCGATGGATAATGATCGGATTGTTGTGAGGTCGCATGGGAGGGCTGCGCAAATTTGGAGACATCCGGTTACTAATTTCTTGTGCGTCATTACCTGTGCTTGCCTGGTCGGGTGGCCGATGAGGTATTTTTCGGTGCGGAAGTGGAGAAATAAAGTTATGAGTGACTTTGCTGTTTTGGTATCGCCAAAGGATTTCATTGATCGCAATTCGACGTTTATCCGCAACCAGGTGTCGTGGACCAACCGGCCGTTTTCTGTGTTTGCAACAATGGGCGAATAAGCGATAAATTTATTTATTCATTTTCGATATTAAATTTATTTATTTTTTATTTTTGCTTAATAAACCGAGTTTGTTCATTTCAAGAATCTACATGAAAAGAAGAGACGACAGGGCCAGGGCAACAAGGGCAACCTTGGTGACAGACATGTGGGAGGAGGCGGCAGCGGAGATGTTGACACCGGGGCAGTTCGTGTACTGGTCGTAGTTGGCGCAGACCTCCTCGGTATCAGCGAAATAGTTGTCCTTATCGTTCCTCGTGCAAGTCAGTTTGTTCTCCTCGGCAACGTACTTGTAGAAATTGGTGTTGTATACGGTCTTGCAGTAGCACTGGAAGAGCAGCTGCTGCTGTCTGCTGCTGATATCTGAGCACTTCATGGTTGTAAAAAAATATGTAGGTAAAAAAGAAAGGTGAATGTGATAAGAAAGAGAAAGAGAAAGAGGGAGCGAGAGAGCGAGAGAGCGAGAGAGCGATGTACAAGAAATTAAAGGAAAGATAAAGAAAATTCTGAGGAAGAAGGGGGTTAAATTGAGAGAAAGGAAGAGGAGTAGTGGTGCTTGTGCGTGGTTTTATCTACACAGGATATTTGAGATTTACGCGGATTTAAGTGCTTTTTATCTGTTTGGAAGCGAGGCCTTTTTTGTGTTACATATTGAGCAAAAAAAAACAACAAAAAAACGCATTGAAGTGGCATTGAAGTGGCATCGAAGTAGCATAGTTGTTGCATTTGTTTATGACCCTATCCAAAATTTCCCCTATCGATTCTATTTCAGTGCCGCTTCAATCATCCCCTCCCCCAAAAAAAAATGAAATTATTTCTATTACCGAGACTGAAAAAAAAACCAAGACCGAAGGCTTCAAAGAAAGACAAAATAATAAAGCAGGCGGCGGATATCGGGCCAGCTGAACAAAAAAGACATTCGCAGAATATAGCCAATCACAGCCCGCACAGAACGATGTTTGAAAAGGAGAATGGCATTTCTTGGCCCCGCCCTCCTGGACGGGAAACCGAATGAAGAAGCCAAGTGGGCGGCGCGGTTGGCTTCGGAATTAAAGCGCAAAAGCAATTTGCCAGTCTATCAAAGGGGAAAGGGGAAGAAAAGAAGGAGGGGGAAAAGCGAGGAGTTCCGTAGCCAGCGCAGCCTTCTCATTCGCCCTTGCTCCTTGTGCTGTCCAGCGCCATATGGTCAAGCCCTTCGCGCAAGGCACGCTTGCTCGCCTCCAGGCGCCGCCCCGACGCATCCTCGTCCGCCTCCTCGTCGCCATCCTCGTCGTCGTCAAACGACGTCAGCAGCGGGTCGTTCTCAAGCACGGGCCTCAGCGACGCCTTGTCGTCCCACGCAGCCGCACCCTCCTCGGGCACGGCCACCCGCCAGTGCGCGGCATCCACCCCACGCGCATGCGCGACCAAGCCCGGCTGGTCATCGAAGGCCGCCGAGCAGGCGTAGCACGTGTTCCGGGCGGCCGTCCTGCGGATGTGGTTGATCAGCGAGACCGTGCGGTAAAAGTCCAGGCCCGCGTCCTTGCGGATCCTGCGGATGTCGAGCTGGAACTCCCCGCGCATCAGCGCCCAGCACTCCTCGGCCGACGCACACACCTGGGCCCCGAACAGCGCGCGCGCGGGCACGTCGGCGTTGTCGTCCCAGTCGGCCCACGAGTCGTCCTTGCGGTCGCCGCCCTCGACGTCCGAGTCGGCCTCGCCCTCCTTCTCCAGCGCCTCCCACGACTTGCCGGGCTCGGCGTAGTTGATGACATAGAAGCGGTCGTACAGGCGGTTGTGCGCGCTGATCTTGAAGTGCTTCTTCTTGCGCATGTGCTTGCGCAGCACGGCCGGCGACGTAAAGGTCTTTTCGCAGTACAGGCACTGCAGCGCGGCCAGCTTGCGCTCGAGGATGGCCAGGAAGGCCTCGACGTCAACCAGGTTGTCGGCCAGCCCGATGTTGAAGTTGTGCTCGCGGTACGCGTGGCGGAAGACGTCCTGGCGCGTGTCGCCCGTGTGCTTGCAGAACAGGCACTTGCGCGGCCGCTGCGCCACGCCCTGCCGCTCGGCCGCCTGCGCGGCCAGCACCGAGTCGAGAGCCGCGCGCTGGACGCGGTCGCGGATCAGCCTGTCGGCCTCGCAGGCGTCCGGCCCGACGACGCGCACGCCGTCGTCGCGCGGCGCCACGGCCTCCAAAAGCGCCGGCGCGTCCGCCCACGCGTCGATGTACGGCTGCAGCATCAGCGACATGTGGTTGAGCTGGCGGAAGACCACGCGGTGGGCGTCGCGCAGGTGGCGGGCGGCCTCGGGCTGGCTGCCCAGCGCCGGGCGGCCGGCGCACAGGGAGCAGTGCAGGGCCAGCGGCACGGGGTCGAAGTGCGTCGCCTCGTCCTGCGAGTCCTCGGACTCGTAGGCCGACACGTCAAGGTCGGCGTCGTCGATCGCGTCGAACGCCTCCTCCTCCTGCGAGTCGTCGTCGCGCGTCTCGAAGAACTCGCGCAGCTCGTCGTTGCGCCGCGCGCGGCTGCCCTTGCCCACGTGCACCTGGAACTTGTTGGCGGTCTCCAGGCGGAACCCTGGCGCCGCGGGTGCTGCGGAGGCCGGGCCAGGGCCGAGGGCTGCGCCGGGGGCCGGTGGCGCGCGCGAGCGGCTGCGCGAGGCGGGCGGCCTGGACGTGCGCCAGCTGCTTGCGGGTGCGGCCGACGCGTCGTCGCCGCGCCTGGCGCCGGGCCGGCTGCGGGAGCGGAGCCCGGGCTGGCTGCTGCTGGCAGCTGCGCTGCCGCTGCTGGTGGTGTTGGTGTTGGTGTTAGCGCTGCGATTGCTGCCGCGCTGGGGGCGCTTGGCCGTCTTTTCGGGGACCGTGTGCCAGTCGTCGTCCGCCATGCTTGGGGGGAGGGGGTGGCTGATTGAAGGCAGAAAGAGGTAGAGGTAATTTAATGTAGAGGGGATTTGAGTTAGCGAAAAATAAAAGCAAATGAAGCAGGGGCAATCTCGAGTGGATTCAAAGATGAAAGAAAACCCCCCCCTCCCCCAAATTTACGAATCTGCAATTTCTCTCTCTTTTTGTCACTTGCTAAAAACCAGATCGTTCCCAGCCCTTCTGGATCAACCTTCGTTTCTGCCTGTTTACTTTTATTTCTCTGCCTTCTCATTTCCCTCCTTCCGCAACAAAAAAAAAGCCGCTTTTATTCCAATGAACATTGATGCCCTCACCGAGCAGCGCAGCCTAATGGACTCTGCGCACGCCAGCCTCAAGCACAGCACCGACATGCGCCAAGCCAAAACAATCCTCGACAGGACAGCGCAGACCCGCGCACATAGGCAGCAGGTGCTTGACAAGCAGCAGGAGACCCTCCAGCTGCTCTCTCGCCGGCTCCAAGGCGCGCGCGCCCGCGTGGACTCTGCGAAATCCCAGCGCCAGGCGAAATCCCACGCCGAGACCATGCGCGAAATGCACCTGGAAAAGCAGGCGCTCAGCTTGGCTGTTGAGGCCCAGGCAGCATTGCGCCAGGAGCTGGGCGAGCGCGTAAGCGGCCTGGAGGCCAAGGAGGTTGAGGGTGCTGAGGAGGTCGGGGAGCCCGAGGACGTGCTTAGGCTGATGGTGTATCGCGGCTTGGGCGTGGAACCGATGGTTGAGGGCGGAAACGTTGCTGCCGTGCGGTGCGTGGGCGAGCAGGTGGGCGCGGCTGTGGTCGGGGTTGATGCTAGCGCTGATGCTGGGGCTTTGGCTGCGCAGCTGTGGAGCATGTGCTCGTAGAACCGCTGCTGCCCTTTCTGCGCTGGATGAGAGAAGGAAGGATCTGCCGATGCACGTGATTTTTCTCTCTCTCTCTCTCGTTTCTTTTGTGTGCCCTGCCATCTCTCTGGCTCCTCTTTCCTGGGCGAACCGAGACAAAAGCCCTATCTATCTATCATTGCGCACCCATCTCTGCCTTTCTGTGCACCATCCCACTTTATCTTTTTTTCACACGCGAAAGCCCCTCCCGCTGAAATCTCCCCCCCCTGCGGTTGCCGCTGGCCGCTGGCCGCTGCTCGCTGCTGCCCGATAAGGCATGCACTCTGACCATTTTTGCCCTTTGTTGCGGCGCATTTAGAGAGTCACATGGAAAACCCAAGTCACAGCCGGCAAACTCACTTCCGCCCTGAACGCCGCAAGCAAACAAAAAAGTATAAAGCAAGGCCCGGCCCAGTCGCGTATTCCCCCCCCCTTCCCTTCTTTTTCCCTCCCTCCTTACTTTCTTTTCATTCACTCTACATTATTTTCCTCTTTTTAATTTTATTTATACAGGCGCAGTCATAACCCAATGTCTGGCATAACAAACGAACTAGCCACGAAAATCTCACACTTTGCGCGCTTCCCGCAAACCGGTGTCTCTCTGCGCCAAATGGTCGAGTTTGGCCAAAACCCCTCACAGGGAACACTCCTGCGCGCCGCGCAGTTCCTCCATGACGAGCTGCCCATCCGCCTGGCCCACCGCGTGGTCGAGTTGGACACGCTGCCGGACAACCTCAACCAAATGCCCAGCGTGTTGCGCGTCAAGCGCATGTATATTGATTCGTTCAACGAGCTGATTAATTTCCCAAAGGTTTCGGAGAGGATAAGAGAGGCCGTGCGCGCTGCTACTGTTCAGGCGTCCGGGCAGAGGAGGCATTTGCCAGGGAACCACCAGAATCCGTCTTGCGGGGATAATGCCACGCGTAACTCTTCTACACATTGGATTCCATCGATCCAGCATCGGTAAGTTTATAAATATAACTTGAGGCTGTTTTAATATCCCTTTTTCTTCTTTTTTTGTTCTTCTTCTTCTTCCAATGCCTAAATTATCGTTTTCATTTTTAGTAGTTACCACTATGAGGTCAAACCCACCGAACTGCCCGTCGAGGTGTCCGAGTACAACCGCAGTTTTGTCAAGACCCTGGAGAAAATAAAGCGGCGCCACGATCCCGTTGTCACTGCCCTGGCACAGGGCGTGGTCGAGTACAAGCAGCTGCTGAAGAGCCACACCATCCACCCACACGTGCAGCACTTCCTCGACCGCTTCTACCTGTCACGGATCGGCATCCGGATGCTCATCGGCCAGCAGATCGAGCTGAACCAGCCGCAGCAGAAGCACCGCGACTACGTCGGCGTCATCTGCACACACACGCGGATCGCTGACGTCATGCAGGAGGCCATTGATAACGCGCGCTTCATCTGCGGCGACTACTACATGCTTATGAGCGTCCCGGAGATCGAGCTTCATTGCCCCACAGACCTGGAGTTCATGTACGTGCCGAGCCACCTGCACCATATGATCTTTGAGCTGCTGAAGAACTCGCTGCGCGCCGTCGTCGAGTTGTATGGCGACGAGGCTGAGCGGTACCCGAAAATCAAGGTGGTGGTCGCCGAGGGCAACGAGGACATTACTGTGAAGGTTTCGGATGAGGGTGGCGGTATTCCGCGCAGTGCCATGGAGCAGGTATGGACGTACATGTACACGACTGCGCAGACGCCCATGCTGGACCCCGAGTTTGACCAGTCAGACTTTAAGGCCCCGTTGGCCGGCTTTGGCTATGGCTTGCCGCTGAGCAGGCTGTACGCTCGTTATTTCGGCGGTGACCTCAAGCTGATCTCCATGGAGGGCTATGGCACCGATGCGTATCTCCATCTGAGCCGCCTGAGTGACAACGAAGAGCCACTGGCTTAAGTAAATAATTATTTTTATTTGTGTATACATTTCTTTATTTCTTGCTAAATCAATCTTGATCTTCAAAGTCAAAATACGACAGGCTGTGCTTCTTCTTGTGCAGCTTGGCTCTTCTCTGCTCCCTCTGCGCGGCCAATAGCTCCAAAACGTCCTTCTGCAAGTCCTTGTTTTTCTTGGTCACCAATTTGCTAACGGCGCGGAGTGTCTTGGTATTGCGTTCGAGCTGGAGTTCCTTTTCCGAAAGTTTTTTGGTTACTGCAAGTTCTTTTGGTGATAATGTCTCTATGGCAGTGGTGGTGGATGGCTCTGTGGTGGGGGTTTTGCGCCGGATAAATGCCGTGACGTTTTGTCTGTTACGTTCTTTGCGCACACGCTTTGAGGGTGCACGTTTCATCAGAATGTTGAGCGCTTGGATGGATTCTATGCTGGACATGGTTTGATATTATTATAAAACAAATTAAAGGGAAATAAATAAATTGAAGGAAAGAAAAATAAAATAAAATATAGTGATAAAAAATGAAAGAACAGTGTCAAAATGTATTTTATTTTTCTTCAAGAAAAAAAGCCAGATGTTTGATTGATTAATTTTATACTGGTGATTGTAATCAAGGCTTATTCCGGAATCCTGGTGAGCAAAATGAAATTGAAGAGGAAAAAAAAAAAAAAAAAAAAAAAAAAACGAAGCAACATGGCTGTGGTTTTCTCCACACCAGTTTTTTCTTTTTAAAATAAAAATAAAAATAAAAAAGAATGGGCGGTCTCATTGCCTTAAAAAGACAAAAAGAGAATTTTTTTTTAAAAAAAGGACATTCGTCACTTTGTTTTAATTTTTTATTATTACAAATTGTGTGTTTTGTAGATCACAAAGAAGCGCTAATATGGTGTGATTTTGAGGCCTGGATGTAGTGAAAATAGTGATGTTTCTCTTTCATAAAGTAATAAACGTCAGCACCTCTTCCTTTTCTTTTTCTTTACCTTTTTTTTTCTTTTTCCATTTTTTCTATTTTTTCTTTTTCAGTCTGTAATATTTACTGCACTTTTATTCATTCATTCCTTTAATTTCATTTATTCATTTATTATCTTTTCTTCCACAACACACGCAAAAAAAAAAGTAAAAGGGGGAAATTCGACAATGCTAAAAATAAGGTCGTTCCTCACGCTCCTAGTATTCGCCTCTCTCGGGCTTCTAACCTACACAACGTACCAATACCGGGACAATTTCCGTGACCGCAGCGTCACCAACTTCACCAATGATCCCTCCCCAGAAGAAGACAGCGGAATGTTCCACAACCTCCTCGCCAACAACCTCTCAAACCTTTGGCAAGGCGACACCCACGTAGTAATGGGTAAAATGGCCAACGAAACACTCCGCGCGCAACTCGGCCGCCGCACCTGGTACCTAATGCATGTCATGGCGTCCCGCTACCCGACAGACCCAACGGCGGATGAAAGAGGAGCGATGAAAAGCTTTTTGTTCTTGTTGTCGCGGTTGTATCCTTGTGGGGATTGTGCGCATCATTTTCAACAGCATTTGAAGAAGCATCCGCCGGTGGTTGACTCTAGGGATAAGTTGGAACAGTATTTGTGCACTATGCACAATGTTGTTAATAAGTCGTTGAAGAAACCTGTCTTTGATTGTGCTGTTGTGCATGAGACTTATGACTGTGGGTGTGGGCCGGATAACGTCAGATATAACCCTAAAGCCGTGAACTAGAAAAATGCGTTTTTTTGTCTTTTTTTGGGTGAACTTTTTTTTTCTTTAATCTTACAATTTTTTATTTATTTGCATCTTTACTGCTCAGTTACTTGCTTGAGCAAGCTCCTTTTTTCAGGGTGGTATATGTGCAACAGGGTTGATGAGTTTGAAGATGCTCTGATTTGATTTGCTTTGGGTTTGAGCGCAGCAATACATCACAAGTGTCATCTATTTAAATTTTTCTAATTTTTATTATTCTCAGCATGTGTGGACAAAACAATGCTTAAAATAAATGAGTGGCCTTGCACAGTACTTTTTATTTAATTAAACGGCGTCTTGGTCATAGCCCAGGGTGTTTTAAAAGCTCTCTTTCTTTTGAATTTTTTTTTGTGCATTTTTCTCTTTATTCACCAAATAAATACTATTTTTCATTTCACTACTTTAATAACCAAAAACAAACAGGAAAAAAATCAGCTATGACGCAGACAAAAGGACAGCAGCACACATCCGACCTGCCACCGGCATACTCGACCACAGACCCCAGCGTGTATTCCGACGGCGCTGCTCCCCCTACTGCCACCTATCCTTCGCAGAGCGACCTAAAAATCGACCAAATCGGACCCAAACAACTCCGTGCAACCCAAGGATTCCCCCTAGACCGTCCGCTATTTATCCATACGACAAATATTTCCGGCAGCACGCTCCTCGTGCAACCAGACACTAACATCAATAACCACAATGTGGTTATTGTCAGCGTCGAGGTGGCCTCCCAGGCGGGAGGTATCCGGGATAAATGCGATGTTCTTGTGCATATGAATGCACATGGTGAATATGAGTTCCATGTGCGGTCAAGGTACGCTTTTTGGAGTATGGCGCTTGTCCAGTGTCGGTTTACTGTGAGCATGCCCTTTGGTGCCGGCGGCATGCATCCGGGGGTTAGGACTGAGCTGACAAATGGCTGCATTGATATCGTGCGGCTGGGTAATATGCGGTTCGGGTACGTAAATTTAACCACGACAAATAAGCCCGTGACTTTAACGGACGTGCGCAGCAGACTTGTCCAAGTCATATCAACCAATTCCTGCGTACAGGCTACGGGTGTAATATCCGAAGCCGAGATTTCCCTGAGAACCACGAATGCCAACATAGCCCTGGTGAACTCTCAGGCGCCACAGATCACCGTGTCTTCGACTAACCGCACTGTCACTCTGCAGAGCGTATCTGGACAGGCTGTGCATGCGCAGACTAGCAACTCAAGGGTTGTCTGCGATAACGTCACTGCCGGTGGTGAGATGCATCTTGTAACTACTAACTCTACAGTGTCGACAAATGTTGTTGTGGCAGATTCCCTGCGAATCATGACGAGTAACTCTGGGGTGGAGGGGTCGTGGCGGGTTGGGAGCTATTTGGGTGTTCGCACGACGAATGGGAGTATTACCGCGGATGTCTTGTTTAATAGTGATGCGGGGAGTACCCGTGCAGTTGTTGAGCTTTGTTCTTCGAATGCTCCAATTAGGGCAAAACTGCCGGCGGGATTGTTTCGTGGCTCGTTTGATGTCAAGACGTTGAATGCTAATGCTGCTGTGGTGTGGAAAGGAGGCAGTGACAGTGGCAGTGGCGGCCAGACAGTGGGTGGTATGCCGTTGAACTTTAGCGTGGATGATAAGTGCCATAAGCATGGGACTGTTGCTGCTGCTGATGCTGTTGGATTGGGGCATATGCAACATGATTTTTCGGCAAAGACATCTAATGCCCTGGTCGAGCTTTTGTTTATGTGAGACACAAACTTAGGCTTTACAATATTGGCTGATTTGATTATTTTAATTTATTTAATATGCACGTGGTTTTTTTATCAGTAAATGTTTATAATCGGAAAATTTCTCGGACAATTATTTATTGTTTTTTCTGCACCTTGGCTTTCGTATCAGTAAATAATCCGGCTCGGTCATCATGTAGAAACTGATATAGCTCGGCCCATTTTTCTAAAAGGACCACTTTGCCCTATATGGGATGTTTTTATATTTCCGAAATTTACCTTTATAACATGGCCATGTTATTTTTCCTTCGAATATGGCGCCATTAATTCCTTCATTTACCCTCATGGAACCTTCCTACGACTAAATCCGCTTTCTCGGCCGTGAAATGAAAAAGCCGCGTGTTGTAAATACTACGCATGAACAAAGACAAAGAGGTATAAAAATCAACAAACGCAGGCTAATATATGTACATATGTGTCAGTCGGACACAACCATTGTTATTTTTAAAAGCACTCAATTTAATGTATACTGATACTGACATGTTATGCCCATTTCACCTGTCAGCAAGTTGCAAAATAAAATTAGCATGTGGTCATCCAATAAATTGGTTTTATATTTTTTTTTAAAAAAAAAAAAGACTGTACCGCTAATTTATTTTCCTTCTGGTGGTGTGAGATATTTTTGTAATGCACGCATGCTTATCAGAAATTACAGTACTGTGATAAACCTGGTTTGGAATCACAGAAGTCGTGTCGATCTGTTTTGAACCAGTGTATGTTTTTGTGTGGGAAAGGGAAAACCGCATTTCTGGTGTGAGAGTTGGTCTTGCCGTCTGGAGTTTATTTTTATTAGTTTATTTTTTTACAGTCAATTTGTGGATTTTAAAGCAACTCACAACACTGTTGCAAGCCAAATATGATAAAAGTAAAGAAAAACGAAAATAGATCCAGTAATGTCATCATAACAACAATTGGCAAAGGAATTCCCCTCCCCTCTCATCCCTACCCACTTCTTTCCCTCACACCATATCGACTTGCTTCTTAGTCTGCAGCTCACAAGTTGGCAATAATAACCCGCTTGGCTTGTTTCATTTGTCTTGGTATATAATCGCACCATTTTAATTACAAAGCACTTTTCGCATTTTGCTTAGCATTGGCTGCAATGAACCCTTATTTTTTACAATACAAATATTAACATTTTTCATAAGCCAATTCTTGGCGCGGCCCCTTCCAAATGAAAACTTTAAAAAAAACTATGACAGTGCTTAACAGAAAAATTAAAAGTATTCAATTTTGCTACCCTTGCCATTTTCCTCTCTCCCCCACCACAAAAGCGAAAACGATACAAGAATACAAAATGCTGGTGGCATTATTCTATCAGTGTGCAGCATGAAAGAATAATAAAATAGGCAGGGAGGATAAAATGATCGCCAAATTCTTAAAAAAGACATTCGGTCCCAAAAAGAAAACAAAATGCGGGATTGAGAGAGTGAGTGAGAGTGAGAGTAAGAGTGTGTGAAAAATGTGAAAAAGGAGCAGCACAAAGACCGGCCACTGAAAATCATCGTATTTTTAGATTCCACCCACTCTCGTTTCTGCAAAGCAAACAACAATAATTATTTGTTTTTTGTGATTGTTTGCCTTTTTGCACCCGTTCTTTCTGGTGCCAAGCAAGCTTTTTCCTTTTCTTTTGCTTTTTTCATTGATGGAGGGTGGGTGAACAGCTGCACCTTCGAGAGACTATGGAAAATAATACTATGCCAGTTTTCAGGACGCTAGAAATAACTGGTATTTCAATTAGTAGTGAATTCCCGCTTTTTTCTTTGGGCTTTTCTCTGTATAAATAATAGCGCGCCGTGTACTCGCAATAAAACTGACTTGTTTCGCTCATCCTTTTTCAATTTCTTTTCTTTTCTTCGCTTGCTTGACATATTATATTCTTTTATTTTATTTTCAGCACTTTCCTTTCATCTTTTTTTTGATTTTTGTTCTTGTATTATTGGTGTTTAGTCGCTTATTTGTTCTACTTGGACCTTCATCATCTATCTATCTACACCCCCACATCCCTCCACCTTCTTCCACCCTTACGGACATTATCCTCTAACGCACCGATCACTTTTCTGTACACCCCCACATCGCGCTTTGTATCCAACTGTGAATCGCAAACACACAGTCAAACCCGTACCAACAGCAATCACCAGCTTCCATCACCCCCACCCTGTCTTTATTCGACATATTCGCAGACACATTATGAAGCTTACCACCGCATTAGTGACCATCGCCGCTTTGGTCAGCGTCGGAGTCAACGCCCAGGCGTGCAGCAGCAACGTTGTGCGCAAGGAGATTCGTAGCCACACCACCGCCGAGTGGGCCAGAGTTACCAAGGTAGTCAAGCTGCTGCAGGACAGCGGCTGGTTCACCTGGTTCGCGTACATTCACACGGCCAATTTTGGCACCATCCACGGTTGCGAAATTTTCCTCCCGTTCCATCGTCGCTTCCTCAGGGATTTCGAGTCGGTCGGCCAGATGTACGACAAGCAGTTTGCCCTGCCCTACTGGGATGAGCTGCGCGACTATGCCAACCCCGCCACCTCTACTGTTCTGAGCTCTTCCTACCTGGGAGGCAACGGCCAGGGCGGTGACAGCTGTGTGGCCAACGGTATCCAGGCCAACTGGAGCATGGGCTACCCCAACAAACATGCCTGCGTCGCAAGTACAACAGCGGCACCAAGATTAGCGCCTGGTACTCGCCCGAGTTCATTCAGTCACTCATGTCGCGCTCGACCAAGATGTCCGAGCTGCGCCCCTCATTCGAGTACTCGCTCCACGGCTCCGTGCATCTCGCCCTCGGTGGTGACATGATCATGGACTGGAGCCCCAACGACTTTGCCTTCTGGGTCCACCACGCCAACATTGATCGTCTGTGGTTCGTCTGGCAGATGCAGAACCCCAACCAGAACTTCTGGTCCATCGAGGGTGTCGACATCAAGGGCAAGGCGCTGACCTACGGCACGCTGCTCCCCAACTACAACGAGAACATTCTCAGCACCATGCAGCCCGGCTACAACAACATGTGCTTCTTCTACGACAACGGCAGCACTGTTTCGCGCAAGCGCAGCCTGCACAACAAGCGCGACCAGCGCAAGTGCCTTCACCGCCCCTCCACCCAGATGCCGCCTCTGGTCGAGGGCGTTTTCGAGAACGTCGATGATGTCCCCGTTGCCGCCGATACTTACGTCAAGGATACCATTGTGGCTAGCCTGCCCAAGGATGTCCTGAACAAGTGGTTCCCCACTTACACCGTCATCCCTGCACTGGCTACAACAACACCATCGATAACGTGATTCCCCCGGTGCCGCTCTCGATGACACTGGTGTCCACACCACTACCGAAGAGGCAGTTGTCAGCGACGCCTACACCTCGGCTGCTGTGTCCAGTGATGACGAATACCTCAGTGACGTTGACAGCTCCCTGCCCGAGTACCTGTCCTCCCAGGAGGAGAGCGAGTACTCCGCCATCCCCATCCCCACTGACGAGAGCGAAGTCAGCAGCGTTCAGGAGTCTGCTGTCTACTCCGAAGCATATGTTGCATTTGATTACGAGGAGAACCCCGATATCTACGGCATCGACGGTGTTGGAATCAAGTACCCCATGCCCAACCCGTTCCCCCTGACTCCCCAGTGGGTTGCAATGCACAACCTGTCCCCCGAGGTAATCCATGAGAACTACCAGCAGGCTAAGGACTTTGTCAGGGACATGAACGTTGCCGGTTACCAGTCGCCATTTGCCAAGGGCGGTCAGGACAAGTCTCGGAGTAAATGCACGCACAATCGACAACTGCTCTACACTTTAAGAAAATATTTTTACTTAATTTCACCTACCCGTTCTTCCATTGTTTCAATCAACTATTTTTCCACGTATACTTGTTTTCTTTAATTTTTTAATTTGACGACAATGTTCAAACATCGTACTTAACTTATGACTATTGTCAACCACGCATGATGTTGAGTCAAATTGTGTTTGTTTTAGAAATTCTTTCAGTGTAAATAAATTGATCAATTTGTAAACAATGCGTCTGGACATGTGCCACCTTGCATGTCTCGTGTGCGGGGTAGTCTACAGTAACTTCTTTTTATAATATACGTTTTTCTGGCATCATGTCGGCCTCGAGTTTATTTATGCATGCTGTCGTCATATATATACCAGTGAGATTTCCCCACATTTTTCATGTTTTTACATCATTTAAATGTATTTCTGGAGCATTATCTGGCCGCATTGACAGACATCTACAGTTTATTTTACCATAAGGACCATGCGTTCTCCTCAATCTCCACGACACAACTGTTTCTTCTATATATATTCCAGACTAGGTACATCACCGCCTGTAAAAAAAATACCGCGACTTTGCTGTAAGTTTTAAAAGGCTGGCATCGTGGAGCACATATTCGTCAATATTCTTTCAAAAATGCTTTGCACACCGCCAGCAATATCTTTAGTATCTTGATCTCCACTCCGTTTTGAATTTGTATACTACTTCATCATGATAATCTTGCGCATCTGCACCATCTTCTTTGCCCAGCTCTTTGTGCATCTGGCGCATGCTCAAGGCGGCTGCTCGAGGATTGTCACCCGCCGCGACATCACGTCTCTGTCGCCGCAAGAATGGAACCAGGTATCCAGCGTTCTCCGGCGCATGAACGATGACGGTTGGTTCCGGTACTTTGCTGACATCCACAACCGTGAGTTTGGAAATATCCACGGCAACGATCATTTCTTCCCCTTCCACCGCCGTTTCCTGCTCGACTTTGAGGAGATCGGCCAGCGCTACGACCCTAATTTCGCAGTGCCCTACTGGGACGAGCTGCGCGACTCGCGTAACCCGGCCGCATCCCCAGTGCTCAGCTCGCGGTTTATCGGCGGAAACAGCTTTGGCCAATGTCTTAGAGAAGGTCTACAGAGCGGATGGACAATGACGTATCCTAATGGACACTGCCTGACTAGAAACTATGACAGAGGCAACCAGATGCAGCCGTGGTACTCGCCCGAGTACATCTACTCGGTCATGCAGCGCTTCGGTGACATGCACAGCTTCCGTGAGGCCATTGAGTTCTCACTGCACGGCAGCGTTCATCTGGGAATGGGCGGTGACATGGCAGCAATGTACAGCTCGAATGACTTTGCGTTCATGCTGCACCACGCCAACCTTGATCGTCTGTGGAACGAGTGGCAGTCGTGGGGCCACAGCATGACCATGGACGGCCGCGACAGAGGCGGCAGCTCTATCGGTCTTGGCTCCCGACTGCCGCACTACGGCGATGATGTTGGCTCGACGATGCGTCTGGGTGTCAACCGCATGTGCTTCAGGTACCAGGGCGGCACCAACAGGAGACGGGCAAATGCCCTGTCGATGGTTGCCATGCCCTCTGGCAGCAACTCGTCTGACGCCGACACCAACCTCGGCAAGCTGCCGCTGAACATTCTGCAGAAGTGGTTCCCCCAGGTGGCCCACGAAACCGCGTCGCTGGGCAGCACCAATTCCAACTCGGCTAGGGGCTCGATGGCTTCTGGGCCGGCATTTGGCAGGCTCTGGTGTACCCTGCGCCGCTTTCGAATGAATGGGTGAGCATGCACAAGTTTGACCAGAGAAAGGTTGCGGAAATTATGAAGGACGCTCGGGATTTTGTCGATGAAATGAACCGTGTAAACTACTTGTCGCCATTCTAAAAAAATATATATAAAGCGCATGGCTAAATGATATGCAATATTGTTGGCAATTTCAACATTTCATTTTAAGCTCTCCAATTGGAACAGGCCCAATATTTGGACCGGCAGTCTATTTCCTGATGCACAATATATTGAAGGCAATATTGGTGATTCATCTTTTTATTGTTTGCTTACTATATTACCAGGTTGAAATTTGTTGACAATGTGCATACAAGTTAAAAGCGGATGCGGCAACAATGCGCCGCAATTTGAAATATGTTGGCTTGAACAATGGCGAAAAATCGCGCATTGTAATACAACAGCAAATAAACCCAAAACATTAGAGACACGACAGTATCACGCATCTCCGAGCAAAAATAATTACCGTGTTACTTGATACTTGATATACCTGATGGCTTTTTCCCGCAGTTTCTACAGTTTTTGCATCCACTGCAAAAATACCTTTTTCATATCATGTTGGTATATATGCGCTCAACCCAAAACACAGAAACTGCGCGGGGGCAAATGAACTGAGAGCAAAATTAATGCAGGGAAGTTTGAAATATTAACATGATTGTCCTCATTTTCGAAAAGTGAAAAGGAGGGGCGCATATAAAATTGGCACATATCTTTGTTGCAGAAATCAACGACAAACTGGCTGCAAGAGACTTGTTTTTCTGTTCTAGAAAATACACAACAAAAAATATGAGTGTACTTTTATTACACTTCTACAATAATTCCAGACAAATTCACAAAGGAAATTGTTGTTTACATTTTTCTTTTTCGAAAACCACACAAACAAATGTATATTATTTTTCGATAAAATGCAAACAGCCAGTGAAATGGTCGGAAATGAAAGAGGGAACCTGCTTTAAGTGTGAAAATGAAAATACACTTTCACAGTGGACAAATTAAATGATGAAACGAAATTGCCATTTGTGAATTGTGGACAAACGATTAATTTTTCTGTACAACTGGAGATCTCACAATTGCAAAATGAAGATGTTTTTATTTTTTATCCAATATTTTGGGCGATAAATTTGGCATTTACAAAGCGTCATCGAGTAACTGAAAGGGACCAGAGACGTTCAGAATTGTTGTTTTAAAATTTTTCTTGAAGAAAAATATATGCTTAAATATACACGAAAATACGCGTTGACACCATTTATTTGCGTGTGTTCCATGCGGGCGAAACGCTACCGGCGAAGACGTGCTTGATTTAATCAATCAACAGCTATTTCACCCCTACTCCTGGTCATTTTAAATATGCTGATTGTTGCGTACTAATACTCGCAAATGCCGCGTTTAAAATTATCTTTGAATAGCTTCTGTTTCCGAAAATAGTAGAAATATGCACAAGCCCAATCTATCACTTGACCTGCGCCTCAACCAGACGCGAAATAACAAAGACGCTTCTTTATGCAAAATAAAAACTTGAAAAAAATATGCCAGGGCATTGATTGTTTTGGCATGTGCACTAGTCAGAAGTTTTTTTTTAAATAAACAGCCTATCATAATTATCAGATAAATTCTAGATAACTTGCCAACGATGTTTAAAGCACAGGTCGCGCTTACACCGCAATTAAATCATGTCTGTTGATAATAATGATAACAATTATGATGCCAAACTTTTACCACGAAAAGAAAGACAAATAGTGCACCATGGCCTGGCGTTTTGTCAGGTCCTGTGCGGCATACACAAATACACTTTCAATATATATGCAGGCGCACACGTTCAGACATTGCATGTGCGTGGCAAATGTTTTTATTTTTAGTAATTTGTCATTCACGTCACTTATTGAAAACCCCCTATCCTATACAAATGGGTGTGCGGCTTCCAAGCACAATGCCATTATTGAAAGAGTGTTCAAGTAAGGGAATTAATATTTCGGCTTTACTATATTTTTGTCGTGTGTGTAGTGGGTTCACTAGACCAGCGCTTACTTTGTTTTGCAGTATTACCAAACAAATACTGCTTGTCGACCACAACAAGGGCTCAATGGACCGCCGATAGCGATATTGTCTTTTTTTACTGTTTGCCGTGAATGCTGTCGCAAACACGGCTATAAGAAGTTTATATATAGAAGCGGCACAATTGCGATGGGAAACGGAGGTTTTCCTTTTCACTAGAGAATACATCTAATTGGCGTGCCCAACAGAGATAAAAATAGTTTGAAAATCAGGAAAACTGAAAAAGGAAAAACAAGGGGGGCTGGTCGGCAAACGGGCGCACCATCCCCCTCTCTCTGCCACCCCCCCCCACTCATCAAGCCGCTTGTTTGTTATTTTTGGCCGAGGCTGCCAGCCATTGTCAACCTGTTTTTAGAAAATTTTGTATGGACAGCTGAGCAAAATAAAAAAGTATCTGGAAAACCCAGTACGATTGGCAATATGCACAAACAGAGAGAGAAAAAGGGGAGAAACGTACGACTGCGTATGCGAAAATGGAGCAGGTAAAAATAACGCAGACGGAGGTGCGCAATTGCCGCTCGCCAGCTCACATCTGCTGCTGCTGTTAGAGCAAAATAATTGTTTTGAGTGCCTGAAAAACAACCCAAGGTAGCCCAAGGACAGATGATGAGAGCTTTGAGGAAATCTTTATAAACAGCATTTCTGGCGCTGTTCGTCCACCATCCAATTTGTTTGTGTTGTTTATCAGTTCCTCGGCTGTTTATTTTTCTATATACTTTCTGTGCTTAATAGTTAATATCACTGCTCTTGTGGACTACCTCTTGCCACTTCTCTAATACTTTATTTTTTTAGTCAGCTCATACTGACATCTTCATTGCCTAAACAATGAAGTTCTCTTCGATCGTCATGTCGGCAGCTGCCATTGGCATGTCTGCCGTTGGTATCACCAACGCTCAGCAGAACCAGGCCGCTTGCTCCAGCGTTTACACCCGTAAGGAGCTCCTGAGCCTGACCCCCAGCGAGTGGACCCTGTACAAGGCAATTCTGACTGCTATGCAGAGAGACGGATGGTTTGCCTGGTTCTCGTACCTGCACGTCCAGTGGTAAGTTATTTACACTATTAAAATAGTGATTGAAGTAACCTCATACTTTTCAATTGTGCCACACATAAACGTAACCTGTCGTTAACCAACCAAACACTATGTGACCTTGAATATATTTTTAATATATTTTTGCACTCTAGGTTCAGCCAGATTCACGGTAACAGCCAGTTCTTCCCCTTCCACCGTCGCTTTGTCCAAGATTGGGAGCGCGTCGGCAGAATGTACAACTCTGGCTTTGCCCAGCCGTACTGGGATGAGATGCGTGACTACCGCACTCCTGCCACCTCGCAGGTGCTGACCGCCAACTGGATCGGCGGCAACGGCGCGGGTACCAACCGCTGCGTTACCAACGGTGTGCAGGGCGGCTGGACCATGACCTATCCCAACAGCCACTGCTTCTCGCGCAACTTTGCCAACAATGGCAACCCTACTTCGTGGTACTCACCCGAGTACATCAACTCGCTTGTTCAGAAGAACAGCAACATGGCCACTTTCCGTTCCGACATGGAGTACTCACTCCACGGTGTTGTTCACATTCACCTGGGTGGCGACATGTACCAGGGTCACAGCCCCAATGACTGGGCCTTTATGCTCCACCACGCTAACCTCGATCGTCTGTGGTGGCAGTGGCAGCAGCTCAACAACCATCTGTGGACCATGGATGGACCCAACTCCGATGGCGGAGCCACTACCCTGAACACCAACATTGCCTACTTCAACGAGCCCATCCGCAACGTTATGCAGCTTGGCTACGGTAACATGTGCTACCAGTACTCCAGCAACGTCCTTTCCCGCCGCGACCTCGACTCTGATATTGAGAGCGTGCTTGCTGTATCTTTGCCTACCGATATTCTGGCCAAGTACTTCCCCGAGACTGCCAAGACACACCATATCAATGCCTCTGCTCTGTCGCTGCTGCTATTGCCAATCTTTCCAACTCTGATATTAAGGCGCCCATTGCTGCCGCCGCTGCCATTTTCGCCAACTCTCCCATCGCCGCTCAGGTTCAGAGCCTTATTACCTCTAGACAGCGCAGGCGCATCCCCCGCCCCGCTGAAATTACTGATGCGTGGGCCAAGATGCACAACTACAACGCTGCTGACGTTGCTCGTGTTAAGAAGGAGGCGCGCGACTTTGTCGACGACATGGCCAAGATCAATTACGAGTCGCCCTTCTAATTATTTGTACCCTTTTATAGTATAATACTTTTTCTGTGTCCAAGCTTAATTCTCCTTATATATATTCAAATTTTTCTCATATTGTCTTTATGTTTTGCTTATCTCTTTTTAACATCAATTTTTTTGGTAAAAGGCTTAAAACATGCATTATATTTGTAAGTTTGTTGGAGATTGAAAGGTAGGGAAAATGGATAGACAATTGTGAAAATGTTTTTTCTAATAAGGCGATGTGTACGTGCTGTTGTTGAGCAGCTCGACAATCTGGCAGGCGTTGTTGTGGAACATCTCAACTCTCTCTGGATCAAATCCGTGCATCTTGATCCACTCGGGAGTCAGGCGATCCGGGAACGTAAGGGGCTTGCCCTGCGCGCACCTTTCCTTTTTCTCCTGGTACGCCCTGCGCCTGAGTGCCGAAGTGCCACCGTTGAGGCCAGGGAAAAAGCGGTCAATATCGTTGCTGCCAGGGCGCGCTGGAGGCGGTCGTTTTCGATAGCACGGTTGGACACGTTAGACGATCCTGAAATGGCGGGATTAGAGTTGGGCGCATCTTGGGGCTGAGCTTGTTGCCGCTGCTGCGACACAACGCCGTTATTGTTGCTACCTGGATACGACTGGGGTGGGTTGGAGCTAGAGTCGTAAGTGTAGCAGACATTTCCGAATCCCAGAACCATCACAGACTCGACGGTGGATCCACCGAACGGCACGCTGTTGTCATCGGGGATAATATCCCTGATCGATGCCGGGCCATTAGAGCCGGTTCCGTCGTACATTAGGAAGCTATTGTGAGCGTTCTGCCAGTCCCACCACAGACGGTCAAGATTCGCGTGATGCACCATAAAGGTAAAGTCATGGGCCGCATAGCCAGAGTCCATTTCTCCGGCCAGTCCCAAATGAACGGCGCCGTGGATGCTGTACTCGATGTTCTCGCGGAACCTGGACAGAGAGGTATCGGACCGGATATAGGACGAAATAATCTCGGGCGCGTACCAGGGGCTGATGCTGTTGCCATTGTTCCAGTTGCGGCGCAGGCAGTGGTTATTCGGGTAGCTGAGCTGGGTGTTGGCCTGGATGCCATCAGTCAAGCAGCGATCCTGGTTCTGCCCATTGGTGCCAAGCGCAGTCGAAGTGAGCAGCGGGTCGCTTGCCGGGTTGCGGTAGCTCTGGGTTGCGTCCCAGTAGGGAACGGTGAAGTTGGGGTCATATCTGCGTGCGATGTTCTCGAACTCAATGAGAAAGCGGCGATGGAAGGGGAAGAAGCAGGTGTTGCCGTGGATGCGGTTAAACAGGCGATCGTGGGCGGCTCCAAAGCTTGTAATCAACCCATCCTGGTGCATCCGCTGCAAAACGTTGCTGATGGACCGCCATTCCTGCTGCGACAGGGAGGCAGCGTTACGTCGGACGCGTATGTTTGAGCATCGGGCTGGGCCCTGAGCTGCGCCCAACGCTGCTAGAGTGACCAGTACGAGACTGAGCGAAAGTTTCATAGTAAACAGGGTAGATTATTATATCTTGTAACAGTAAACACGGGCTAGTTTGCAGGACAGATAAGTGCTGTTGGTATTAGAGTATGGCTTTAAAGTATACTAAAATAATGAGTAAACGAAGGGGTATGTAGACAAAGCTGACTCCTGATTTTGCCAAAAAGGCTGTAGTGTGTGCGTGTATAGATACTGTAAATCCGGATGGTTATTTGGTTTCTTTTTTGGCAGAATAAAAAACGCGATATAGAGGGGTAGGGGGAGTGAGAAGGGGTGGATTTGCTTGCAAGATAAAAGAGGGAGAGAGGCGGCAAATGTTGGCTTTTGCTGGACAATAGTGGCTGATGACCCGCTCAAGTTAAATAAATAGCAAATAAAGAGAAGCAATAAAAAAGAAAAACAGAAAGGTAGACGAAAGAAAATAAAAGACGAAATAAAATATATATGTTTCGGGCGCGGGTTGTCACTGCAGGAGACCACAAATTAAAAATATTTAATATCGAGAGAGGGAAAGAGAAAAACATTGAAAATATAGACAATTGGATTTGGTTTGGTTTTGTTGTATTTTGGCAAGCTGAGACAATTTTGTCTTTTTTTCCGTAGTATTTTTCCATTGTTTTCCACTCAGTCCACTATTGTGTCAACATACTGACATTTAACAATCAGGCAGGGAGACAGTCAGACGAGCTCAATATGTTTACTTAAAAAAGTGCCACTGCGGTCAAGATGACATCGTTAAAATACTTTTTTAGGACCCAAAGTCCACCTGCATGTTTACGTTGCATTAAATATTTTCGAGTGGGCAGAAGAGGGAGTTGCCTTAATTGTGCGGACCTGAATAAAGGACCTTTGCAACGCACAAAATATAGGCCGTGCCGAAACAAATCCGCTTAGTTATCTGGAAAAAAAGGCGGCATAAAAATAGAAACTAACATTGCTATCGTGAGCGCATGCAGGACTGGAATTGACATGAGAAAACAGTAAACACAGGTCATTATGTCATTGTTTCGAAATAAAAGGAATAGGGAGTGGGATCGTAATTGTGCGTTGCATCTATTTCATTTTTTCAGACAGTGCCACAGTCTGCATTAATTTACTTTATATATTTTCTCGCCGCATTATAAACATGGCCCAGTGGTATTGTACCTGTGTTAGTAGACAAAGTTAAACAACACACCCCATACAGGTGACAATTTGATGTGGCCAGCGAAATAAAAATAAAAATAAAAATAAAAATTAAGGATGACAAAGCGTTTTAAATGTTGGCTTCCCTTCTAGAAGGATGATATTGTAATTAATTTGGCGCCATCCACTCGCATCGTTCGCAGCGTATTATGCTAGACTTGCTATTGTAAAAAAGGGATACGCGCCATTACCCCTGCTCCGTGTAAAGTGCCTACTATTAGCATGTATAAACATGCCTGATTAAAATATTAAACCAATAAAAAAGTTTCGCTGATATGTCAACAAAACGCTATTGCTTACTTGAAATGCCATTGCGCGCAAATATTGATGTTTTCATTCTGGATAGTATTTTTATATTAAAAATAAATTAAAATTATTTCTGGCGGTTAATAAAAATACATTACCATATTTCAGGCCACATTATAAAATGTTTACTTTGGCTAGTCTCCCTATCCGTTTTTATTCATTACATGCTGCCAAAATTGACATTGACGGGGCTTCCTCGGTGATAATGCGCAGGGAATGACGCTTCGACGCACTGTCTCCTAAAACCCCGCCTTGTTATCTGGCTTTGAGATATGCAGCACTGGGCTGGATTTGACAGTCGGATGGGTGTGCACAAATGTCTTAAAAAAGCCTGTAGTCTGCAAGAAGAAGCCGCCGACAAAAGTCGCCGGCAAGTCAAGCTGGACAGGACCGTTTTTCGACACCAGCACCATCTCCAGCGGCTCATCCGAGTTCAAATGCACCTGGGCGACAATTTTGGCATCGCTCGTGGAGAGATACAGCTTTTTTGTCGGGCACCAGTTGCCCTCAATATTTCCCTTGACGACCTTCACATTGCACGCGGCGACGTAAACGTTGGTGGCGACCACTTCGCCGTTGCATGTGGAGACCTCAAGCGTGCCGGCCTTGACGTTTCCCAGGCCGATGCGCGCATTGGTAGTGGTGGCAGATACTGCGGCAGCATCAATGTCCTTCAGACTGATTATGGCATCGGCGCTGGTGGCGGTCAGGGACGCGGCGCGCAAATCGTCAATGTCCATCCACGCGGCCTTGCCGATGATCTCCACAGCACCTGTGGCCTCGATATCGTGAACGGTGATGTTCCCGTTGTGCGCAGCCAGTTTAATTATATCGGCCGCCACGTCACTGAGATGCGCGGGGCCGTGGCCGGTTGACAGTTCCAGGTGCTTGAAGCGCGTGGAACCCATCATTGTAACGCCAATGGCCCCGTTTGGGATATCCACGCGGATCCCCGGATGCACAGCGTGGCTGATTTTGGAGGGTCCGATATGGGCATGGTGATGGCCACTTCGGCGTTCGTCAAGCCCATGTCCCAAATGCTCCAGTCAACATTGATATCCAGCGCGCACTCGGACCGCTCGTTTATTTGGCTTTTGGCGTGGATTCTGTCGTGGATTGTTGTTGATATGGAGGTGAGCAGGATTTGGACGTGCACTTTGTTGCCCCAACGCGTGTCTACCGCCTTAGCGATGCGCACGTTTGTTGTGCGGATTCCGGGGTGTGCAGGAATATTGGCGACTTGAAATCGTAGTCCAGGGTTAGTGTGGCTGATCGGTTGGTGGTGCGCTCGATTGTTGATGTGGTGCAACATTCCCGTTGCTGTTGCCAGAAAGCGGAAATCCGAGTTTGTTGTGTGCTGTAATCCGACGTTTTCTTCAGACATTATTACTACAATAGGGTGATGTACAATGTTTTTTTGTTATATATTAGAGGAAGGGTTGGCACGTGTATGTGAAATAGAAAGAAGAGAAGAGAAAGAAAGAAAGAGAGGAACTGTTTGATGAGACTCAAGCCGCATGGCAAAGTCCATCCCTTTTCCCCCTCACCTTTCCATTTTTCTCTGCACTCACTTTTTTCTCTGCAGTATTTTTTATTGTAACTTGACTTCCAAGCGCTCCTCAGTTTCCACTGAGGGCTTTTCAGTCAACAGCTCCCATTCTGCGCCCGGGGTATACAAGGGCGGGCGCACAGTCTGCTCGGAAATAAACAGGGCCACAGCAGCCTGCGCCAAGATATAAAACGCTGGACCAACCCAGCTCATCTGCACGAAAAAGTAAAAAGCAAGGATGAACCCAATAACTGTCGACTCGCGCGCACGATAAAACTTGATTTGTTGTTCAGGCTTAGCGCCCAGATGAGAGAAGTAAGGGCGCAGTAGGTCGCGGCTAAAATCGCTCATGGCCAGGAGGGATTTGAAGATAAACAGAGTGGAGTGCTTGGATCCTGGGGAAGCAACAGTGGCCAGGATGATGGCCCCGGCAATCGGGTAGCCGACAAACCGGCTCATCATCGACAGGGCACCCAGGGGCACAACCAGCCAGCCGATCAGGGGGAGTTTCCCTAGATACGAAGCCGCAAGCGTCATCAGGTATCGTTTACCCAGTCTTTGCGCTGTGAACTTTATCTTGGCCCAGCGGAACTTGCGTGGCGGCCATGTTTTCAGCACCCGGGCGTACTCGGGGTCAACTTCCTCCAGCATAGTGAAGAAAATGTCTTCGAACATTTGTGGCCGCGCGTGGATGATTATGTCAAGCCCCAGGAGCGGCAGCGTTGTGAGGAAGTGGTCGACTGCCTGGCGGGTGCTCAGCAACGCCAGGGTGCTCTGCTGGGAGTCGTAGCGGAAAAGTGTGGCAGTTATTTGTGCGCTGTGCGGAGCAGAACGAGGGGGAAGAATATCAATATGTAAATAAGTGCATATGCGAGTACCATGAGGAGCACGGTTACTTTGAGAACGTTGAGGAATTTTTTCTGTACGCGTTGGTGCTTGGATGCAAAGCGGGTTGCCTTGTAGGCGAGTGTCATGCCATGGGCAAGTTCGCCGGCATTCAAGACCATTATGTGGTGTATTAAAAAAAACTGAAAAATAAAGATTTTAAACGCGAATTCTAAAAATGAAGCACCATAAAAAGTTAAAGAAAAGGAAAGGAAAGGAAAAAAGAGATTGGGGCTAAAAAAATCTTGCAGTCAAAGCGCGGAAAAAAAGTGCTTGTATCAGAAGCTGTCTACGCTACTGCCACTGTCGTCTATGCTATCGCTACCGCCACTGTTGTCTACGCTACCACTACCGCCGCCTCCATAGTACTCAACAATTGATGGATGTTAAGTGAATGGTTAAAACCAATTGTTTTTTACCTTTACGGTCTCAACTCGGGCCAAGTTGAACTAATCGTTTGGGTAAGGAGGTCGAAGAAGAGCTGGTTTCCCTTAGCACTAAAGTGCATTCCATCGACAAAATACTCATCGTACCCATCGAACGGATCAACACCAATAAACTTGCGCACCTTATCTTCCACAGCAGTCCACATATCCACACACGGCAGTTTAAAATCCCTGGCGATCTCCTTAACAGCATCAGCATAGAGTTTTGTGTTATTGTTTTTGCGTACCCCCTGTTCACTAGTTCCCTTCCAGGAAACCTCGTACATGCGCTCGCCCAGCGCCGGTGGAGTAACAAGGACAATCCGAGTCTCTGGCGAATAGTAGTCGGACTCGGGATCGCTGACCAAGGAAACCATATAGCGGAGGTTTGCAGAGAACACGTCCAGGGGTACGTGCCTCCAGCTCGGTTTCATTGCCGAGTCATTGGCGCCGTAAAAAATAGTCATTAGGCGAACGGTCGGCGTAGCTCCGGCAAAAGTGTCATCGCGGCCGGCCATTTCGATACCTTTCTCAACGGCAGTGTGGGCTTGGGAAGTACAGATTCGACTATTTTACGTGCCTGCTCTGTATTATATCCGCTGATACCGCGGTTAAGAACGTCCATACGGCGTCTATAGTGGTGTGAGAGGAGGGATACCCATCCGTTGTTTGTGGAGTTGCCGCCGAGTTGTGTGATGGAGTCGCCTAGAGCCAGAAACACGTCGTACATGCCGCCGGTGTAGACTGGGTTGGCCGTGGGGGCGGTTTTTAAGTTGGCGCTGGCGCTGGTTGCGGGTGTTGTGAGGGTCTGCGGCTCGCTGCTGGTTGCGGGTATTGTGACGGTATATGACTCGTTGAACGACGAGTTGTACATGTATAAGTTGCTAAGAATCGACAGGACCAATAGGGAAAAATGGTGTAGAGCGCAGAGGTGCTGCGGTACCACTGCAAGGCCATTTTTGAGACTAAAGAGTATTGAATAAATAAATAGATAGATAGTTAAATATGTGTGTAAAAATAAAATAAAATAAAATAAAATAAAGTAAAAAGATAAAAATAAAAAATGGGAGCGCAATCATGTCTTTGCAGCATGCGTTGGTATGCATTTTATTTACTAAAAGGGATTGCAAATTTGTTTGTTTGTGCGTGACGAGTTACAAAGGGTACAAACTTTTGCATATAATGATTGCATTGGGGTGGTGGTTGAAAACGGATGATCTCGGATTATTGGAAGATCTTTTGAAGTAAATTTTTTTTTGCCTACTCACTCTTATTGTACTGCAGCATTGGTTGGCAAATATTCATTAATTGTAAATCACAATAGTTATTTATTTATTAGCTTATAGTTGGCTATGTTTGGTATATCGAGATTAATTGTTTATATATTAAATTAAAAGTAGATTGATTTGTTCAGATGCACAACCAATTAGTCATTAGTATAAACAAAGAATAAATAAAATATAGACATTTTTATAACCCGATATTTACAGACTCGGTTTGGACTTCATTCAGGCCAAGGTAGCTCAATATCCTTAACAACAAGGTCATACAAAAGCTGGTTTCCTTTGGCGCTGAAGTGCAGTCCATTGACAAGATACTCGTCATATCCATCAAAAGGATCTGTGTTCACCAAGCCACACATCTTGTCTTCTACAACAGTCCACATACCAACACAAGATAGTCTAAGGTATTTGGCAAAGTTTTTAACAGCATCAGCGTAGAGCCTGGTATTGTTGTTATTGCGCATTCCCAGCTTACTGGTTTCACCCATGTACTTGGTATACATGCAGTCGCCCAGGGCCGGTGGAGTAATAAGCAGAATCCGAGTTTCTGGCAAATAATATTCAGACTTTGGGTCGTTCACTAGGAAAACCGTGTATTTCAGGGTTTCTGAAAACACATCCAAGGAAACATGTTGCCGACTGGCTTTCGCTGCAGCATCATTAGCGCTGTAAAATATAGTCATTAGGTGGACAGTTGGAGTAAACCCCAGAAGGGTATTATCGCGCTTTGGATATTTTGATAAAAACACCACTTGGTGTATTTTGTACGGTTCTGGGAAGTATGGATTCTAAGATGTTGGGGGTGCTTCGTTGGTGTTGCATCCGCTGATTCCGCGGTTGAGAACGCCCATGCGGCGCACGTAGCGGTGGGAAAGAAGAGACACATCCATTGGTTTTTTTTTTTTTGGGGGGGGGAGGGGGTCAGCACCATATTGCGTAGTGGAGTTGCCCAGGGTGACAAGAATATTGTACATGGCACCAGTGTAGATTGAATTAGTTGGAAATTTTGGAGTTGAGGCACATTTGTTTGCAAAGTTGCCTGGAAGGGATATTGCCAACAGAAGGAGGATGGTGTAGAATGATAAAGTACTGTGGTGGCACTGCGAGTTTATTATAAAAATTGTGATTTATTTAATAAGTATATGTTGATAATAGAAAATAAATGGTGTTGAGCAGACTGGTGCTGCGAAAGTGGATGTGGAGGTTGAGTTGTGAAACGAGCTTCCATCAACATGCCGATTGACAGGGCATAGATGGTATTATATAGGATCAAATCAGGGGATATAATATTGATACCCGGATATGCCCCCCCCTCATTTCATAATGTATATGCATGGATGCGCACATGCGAAAACCACAACATTGACATGCCAAGCTACTGGGCTGCTCGCAGAAAATCCAATTCTCACCAGTGGAGTGCACAACTGGCAAAGTGCACGACAAAGGCAACGAGATACATATATAAGATGAAACCGACCCTAGTTCTACTTTTGATTCTTTTGATAATGAAAACTATAACAAAACCCAAACATATTTTTAGCACTAGACAACTAGTGCTCCCCTTAAATCACAACAGTGGGATGAGGAAATATATATATTTGTTTTAAGAAAAACTGAAGCAAAGGTGGTATTTATGTTTTAATAAATTCAAAAAAATATGCAGAGTATTGTAGGTGGAACATAGTGGTTTATAAGCATGCGTATTTTATTTGAAGGCTTTGAAAGCTGACATTTGATTTTTTTTACTTATATAAAGGGTGTAATGTTCTTGGCTAGTCAGAACATTCCACATTGTATATTTTGGTTCATATTAAAAAAGATTCAGATATTTGTGGTGCCCAACACACATTTCAAGCCACTATCTTCCCTTTTCAAGAATCAAGATCGCCCTCATGGCCACTATACACATTTCTGTTATTGCTGGCTAACATCAAGGAACACCATGATGTTTACAGCGCTGGCCCCTTTTTCAGTTCCTTAAGTAATTTTTGATACTTAAATATATTAATTTAGACCCACATTTTTATAAAGTACGACAGTATTCAGTTGAAATATGTGTGTGTGTATGGGGTATTTAATATAAATTTGTGGATTAATTAATTAGATATAATGTTTGATCTATTTATGTGGTATATTCATGAGAATTGCATAATAAATAAATATTTTTTACCAGGCACGAATATCCTTTCGATGCAGTGAGGGTTTCTTAGGTAAGATATGTAGTGATCTAATCAACAAATCAAACAAAAAATTTAGCGAATATGTGGAGGGCAAGATTGACATGATTTCAAGGATTGGATTTGACTATCTTTTTGTATTCTGCTTTCAATTTTATTTTAATTATTTTTGAATTTGAACTTTTAATTACATTGAAGCCTTTTTTTTTAATTTTTAATTTTTTTTTTACAATGTTGGCAGCAAAGGTTATCCGGAGGCATACGCATACCAAGGGGATGTTGAGATATCTGAGTACAGAAAAATTAGGGCAGCAGTCGCAGATCAAGACAAAGAGCGATACGTATGGTGAATACCATTTCCGCAAGTCTATTGAGCGCGGAAGGGAGGCATACTCTGTGAAAAACGTATTTACAGCGTTGGCGTTGGCGAGTGGGTGTGCCGGGATATATTTTTACTCGTTGAGTGCTGTGAAGCAGGAGAATTTCAGTGATGTACCGATGCCGCGTGAACCTTCTGCTGAGGAAAAGGCACAGTTTGAACAGGAAAAGCAGCAGTAAAATTTTTTCTTCTATTTGTGATTATATGTTTAAAAAACCGCAGCAAGTGTGAAAAAAAACCTTTATAAAATGATCACTTGAAAAAAAAGGTTTTCTTCTTTTTGTATTGCTCAACAATATTTTTTGTCTTTATTTGTGTACGAATTTAATTGAAAAAGGGGCAAGAAACATTAAGCATTACGCATTAAACATTTATCATTTATCATTTAGCATTTAGAGTTGAGCTAGCACACCGACTCTTATGACTCTAGAAAACACAACCACCGCGGTTACAGGTTTGGTCGCAGGATTAAGACTCGACGACAATGGCTTAGCAGGCAATGCAGGCAATGCAGGCAATGCGGGAAGCGGCATAGCAGAAGCCCCTGCAGCCGGGCCCTCGAAAAGACGGAACAGGCGCGGAAAAGGCAGAGGCGGCAGCGGCGACCGCGGCGACCGCAGCACCAACACCACCACCATCACCGACGGCAACGCCAGCCAGCAGCAGGACGCGCGCGAGGGCCGCGGGCCAAAGGAAAAGGAGAACGAGAACGAGAACGAGAAGGAAAAGCCCAGGCAGAAGCAGAGGCAAAAGCAGAGGCCGGCAGCGGACGCCACCAGGGGCCGCGGCCGCGGCCGCAGCGGCAGGAGCGTTGGCGGCGGGCGGCAGTTCAGCGGCGCGCTCACGGGCAGCGAGCCAAAAGAGGAGGCGTCGCTCAGCTCGTCGCTCGGAGCGCAGCTGGCGCAGAGCTCGTACGAGTGCATGATCTGCTGCGACAGCGTGCGGCCGCGCCACGCCATCTGGCAGTGCGACACGTGCTGGGCCATCTTCCACCTGCCGTGCGTCAAGCGCTGGGCAGCAGCCAGCACCAGCACCGGCGCCAGCGCCGGGTCCGGGTCCGGAACCAGCTCCGGGCCCGGCAGCCGGTGGCGGTGCCCGGGGTGCCAGCACGCGCGCGCAGCAGCGCCCAGCCACTACGTGTGCTTCTGCGGCGCCACGCGCAACCCCGAGCCCGCGCGCACCGGCGGCACGCCGCACGGCTGCGGGCGCATCTGCGGGCGGCGCCGCGGCGCGCACTGCCCGCACGCCTGCCCGCAGCCGTGCCACCCGGGGCCCTGCGCGCCGTGCACGGCGCTGGCGCCCGAGCAGGCGTGCTTCTGCGGCCGCGTCGCGTTCCGCCCGCGCTGCGGCGCCGGCTTCGATCCGGTGGCCGGCGCGCAGTCGTGCGGCGCCGTCTGCGGCGAGACGCTCGGCTGCGGCCAGCACGCGTGCGCGCAGCCGTGCCACGCCGGGCTGTGCGCGCCGTGCGCCGTGCCGCAGGAGCAGCGGTGCCTGTGCGCGCGCCACACGCGCCAGGCGCGCTGCGGGGCGCCGCCGCGCTACGCGTGCAAGGACACGTGCGGCGCGCTGCTGGGCTGCGGCCGCCACCGCTGCGCCCGCGGCTGCCACGCGCAGGACGAGCCCGGCTGCCACGACACGTGCGCGCTGGACCCGGCGCGTGCGCCGACGTGCCACTGCGGCGCGGCCAAGGCCGACCGCGCGTCGTGCGCTGACGCGGTGCCCAGCTGCGGCAGTGCCTGCCGGCGCGCGCTGGGCTGCGGCCATGCGTGCGCGCAGCCGTGCCACGCCGGGCCGTGCGCGCCGTGCGCCGAGCCGGTGGCCGCGCCGTGCCGCTGCGGCGCCGCCGTGGTGCGGGGCACGTGCGGCACGCCGCTGCTGTGCGCGCGCACGTGCGGCGCCAAGCGCAGCTGCCGGCGCCACCGGTGCGCGGCGCAGTGCTGCGGCGACGCGGCGCACGCGTGCACGCTGCAGTGCGGGCGGCAGCTGGCGTGCAAGGCGCACACGTGCGGCGACGCGTGCCACCGCGGCGCCTGCGCGCCCTGCGCCCACACGTCGCCGGACGCGCTGGCGTGCGGCTGCGGGCGCACGCGCATCGCGCCGCCGGTGGCCTGCGGCACGGCGCCGCCGGCCTGCCGCCTGGCGTGCCCGCGCACGCGCGCCTGCGGGCACTTCAGCCCGGCGCCGCACGAGTGCCACAGCGGCGCGTGCCCGCCGTGCGCCGTGCTGATTGCCGCCGCGTGCATGTGCGGCGCGCGCGAGCTGCGCAGCGTGCCGTGCCACCGCGCCGGCGCGGCGTCGTGCGGGCGCATCTGCGCGCGGCTGCTGCCGTGCGGCGGCCACCGGTGCGAGCGCAGCTGCCACCGCGCCGGCGACGCGTGCCTGGCGCCCGGCGCCGCGTGCCGCCAGGCGTGCGGGAAGCCGCGCCGCGCCTGCGGCCACGCCTGCGTGCTGCCGTGCCACACGCCCAAGATCTGCGACGAGACGCAGCCGTGCGCCGCCACCGTCGTCGCCGCCTGCCCGTGCGGCCGCCTGCAGGCGCGCCAGCGCTGCGGCGCCACGGAGCTGCGCGCTGAGCGGCTTGCCGTGCACTGCGACGACCTGTGCCGCCTGGCTGAGCGCAACCGCCGCGTGTCCCTGGCCCTGGGCTTCCCCGACCAGGCGGCGGCTCCGCTGGACGGGCTGGCGCGCATCCGCTACTCCGACGACGTGCTGCGCTTCGCCCGCGCGCATCTCGCGTGGGTGCGCGAGATCGAGGCCTTGGCCGCTGGCTTCATTGCCGAGCGCGCGCGCCCGGCGCTGCATTTCGCGCCGATGAAGCAGGGCCTGCGCGCGTTCCTGCACGCGCTGGCGCCCGTTTACGGGTGTGCGCCGCGGTCCGTCGACCGCGAGCCGCAGCGGTCGGTCTGCTGGGACAGGGCCCGGGCTCGTGCGTGCCGAGCATCCCTGTCTCCAGTGCTGTGCGGTACACGCAGCCGCCCACGGTGGTGTGCAGCGACCGTGTGAATGCCGTGGAGGGCGGCGGCGCCGAGGCCCCGATCTTTGAGGTGCTGCCGACTGCGCCGGCGCCGGCGCCTGCGCTGGCGGCTGGCGCCGTGCCCGCCATTGGCTCGTCGGCCGACCGGCTGCGCCGCAGGATCGACTTTATTTGCATCCGCAATCTGCGCCACGGGCTCACAGTCGATGAGCTGCGCGCCGCCATCGACCGCCTGCTGATGCCCAATGCAGCGTATACTTTGCATTGGAAGGCCGAGGATCTGGTCGAGATGTTCTGTTCGCTGGATCCGGCCGATGCGCGCTCGGAGGTGCTGGCCAAGTGGGAGCATTTGCTGCGCAATAAGCTGCCGCACATGGGGGTAGCTGGAATTGTGACTGGCGAGAAGGCTGCTGTGGAGGAGCCTCCTCTTCCGCTGCCTGCTAGTAAGGTGCCGCCGAGGCCTCTTGTTTTCCATGTTGACGACGACGAAGAGGACCACCACCAGCAGCAGCAGCACAACAGGGCGAGGCTGCTAGCATCCTTGCTGGTAATGCCAGTGACAGCGAGAGTATTCCTGAGGACTGGGAGTCACTCAACGTGTAGACATAGTATTATTTTATTTGAATTTTAAAAAGTTGCATTTTCTATATATTCTTGTCTTATTTCGCTATTGCTGTAGCAATAGCAAACGCATCAATGTGGCTGATCGACACCTTAATCTCGCTTACGCCAGCCTTCTCTGCGGCCTCCGCCACCTCCCCATTTAGCACAGCCTTTGGCGCCCCACTGACCCCCATTGAAATCTCCACATCCACCAGGGGAGCAGCCGACCCTCTCACCCAAACTTTTTCCCAATCCGGATGTAACGAAGACACTGCCTTAATCACCGCCTCTTTCGCACACCATTTACCGGCGAAGCTCGCATGTGCATTGGGTCTTGACCAGCAATAAGTTTGTTCTGCCGTGGTGAAATTGCGCTCGATAAATGTGGGGTTGTTAATGTTGATGTCTTGGATTAACTCGATATCTACACCCACTCCAATGCTATCCTTTGATGGCGATAATGTATTGTTGAGGAGTTCTGATGCTTGCTGTTGGGCTAGGTACCCGAGTGCATATTTGGGTCCTTCAAGCGAACCTTTCATTTTGTTATTAAAACTTTTTTAGAGAAAAATGAAAAAAAAACAAAAAAACATATATATATATATATATGGTGAGAAGATGCTGATTTTTTTATAATAATGTTAATATGAATCTTTGATTAAATATCCATTGTTCACCACTTATTGGTTTTGTAAGCCTGAGCCAGAGGATTAAAAAGGGAAGGGAAGGGAGAGGGGAGTATCCCCGAACAGGGTCATTTCAGAACCAATAACTTGTTTATTATTTACAACTCAGCACATAATATATCCTTATTTGGATTCAAATAATACCCATTTTTGACCTCCATATCGTCTTGCTTTTAAATTAATAATATCCATCAGTTCTACTCAAAACTAACAATAATATCTAAAAAGAACCAATGCTTTTTTATTTTACACAATAATCTTTAAAATAATCAAAGAATATAAAATTAGTTTTTTTTACCCCCAAAAAATAAGGTTTCTTTAAAAGCTACAATAAAAAGAAAAAAGAATGAAAAGTAAATAAAAGAAAAGAAAATGAAAGAAAAATAGAAAACGCAGACAATATATATAAGCGATAGAATGTCCAATACACGAAAAACTACATTTCATCTTATTAAATATATATTTTTACTATCATATATTTGTATACTTATTTTTTTTGTTCAAGATACCCCCGATATATTTGAAAAAAAAATGCGGAGCCTCTATGCCAACGTCCAAAAAAATGAGTATCCCACGTATTATCTCAGATTCCGTAAGCCCGAAAATATGGACTTTGAAAGATATTCTAAAATACTTCCAATTAACATTACCATTAAAGATTTCAAATCATCTGTAAATGAATTTTTGATAGAAAATAATTTCAGTAAATGCCTGAGCAATTCAATTTTTAAATATATTGATCAAGTTAAGGCAATAATAAACACGAAAAAAAATGCTTCTAAAAGTAAGGAAGAAGCGCTTCCACTTATTAATTATATTTTTAACGATACAAATGATACACTTTTTGTAGATATTAAAGGTCTGGCTCTATATGTAGCTACCAGACATCATCCTTGCAACTAAACCACATTATTAAAAAAATTTTTATAAATAAAGCTCTATTTATAGTAAAAAATTATTTGGCATGTTAATAGCAAAATAAAAGCAACAAATAGGTTTTACCTACGCCGACAAAATCGTCTCGTTAGTACCACTGTGATGCTTGCGCTGGCCGCCGAGAACAAGTAGTCGTACTCGCCAGACTTTAGACACATGTGCTTGAAAAGTCCCTCGCTCTTTGACAGCAGGTTGTACGGCGTGTCGTACTCCATAATTTTGCCCTGATCAAGCACCAGCATCTTGTCGTAATCAACAATCGTGCGCAGTCTGTGGGCAATGCATAGCAATGTCGAGTCTGCGAATTCGTTGCGGATGGTGGTCTGAATACGGGTGTCTGTGTCAAAGTCGACAGATGCAGTGGCCTCGTCCAGGATAATGACGCGAGTGTGCTTGACCAGAGCGCGCGCTAGCGCAATCAGCTGCCGCTGGCCCTGCGAGAAATTGGATCCATTCTCGGTGACTGCCATGTCCAAGTCAGTGATTGTATGGCCAAGCGTCACTGTATTTTGTTGCACTATGTTATTACTGCTGCTGCTGATTTTAACAGTTGCGCTATCAGCTGTGGCCAACTCTCCAAATATGCTTGTGTGGCCTAATAAGATATCCTTATTGCTGTCGACCAATTTTCTGCTCGAAATTCATCCTCGTCGCCGAGCAGGTGTGCACGACGCAGTGCCAGCCACAGCTTGTCATCACCGTGCTCATTAAACGGATCCAGGTTGCTGCGGATAGTGCCTGTAAACAAAACAGGGTCTTGCGGGATGATGGTCAGCCGTGAGCGCAAGTCGCCCACACCAACCTGCGATATGTCAATTCCATCCACCATGATCCGACCTGCGCTGGCCTCCATAAATCTAAACATGGCCAGAGTCAGTGTGGTCTTGCCAGCACCTGTGCGCCCAACAATGCCTATCTTTTCACGCGGCTGCACCTCAAACGATATCCCGCGAATACAGGTGACTGGTTTTCGTCGTACTTGAGCTCCAGGTTATCGACACTAATACGCCCGTCGGTCGGCCACTCAACAGGAGGCACGCGTCAGGAATAGTGACTGGCGCTTCGGGCTCAATATTCAAGTACTCGATAACTCGCTCGACCGAGTTCAAGTTTATCTCGCTGGCAGAGTAATACCATACGAGTGTCATTATGTGGTCGGTAAAATTAAGTGCATACGAAAGCGACAGTCCGGCAAGCCCAGCGTCCATGCGATCCATGGTGATAAATGCGAGCAGCCCAGCCATAAACAAACAAGAGCACCGGCAAGATCAACGCGAATACTGAGCCAGCGACTGGCACCCCACATGTAAATAAAATGCCGGTTGTTGTCGTCGACCTTGGTGTAGTTTGCCATGCAAAACGCGACTCTTGACCATATGCGTGAATAGTCGACACGCCATTGATAGTCTCGTCAAACTGAGAGTAAATAGGAGACTTTGTCACGCTCTCGAAACGCTTGATCTCGCATGATGTTGCCAGGTACAGACACCAATGATCCAGTAGATGATAGCAATACAATAGCACCCAACGTAAATGCCGGCGTGATGACCGCAATGACGATGAGAATCGCCAGGGATGCAATAATCTCGGCCAGGAAAATTGCCAGCGACGAGATCAGCGACTGGTCAATCGACTCTATATCCTTTGAAAACCGGTTGATCAGGCGGCCAACAGGCGTAATGTCAAAGAACCGCACAGGCGCGCGCAGAATGGTGCGCAACAGCGCTTCGTGCAGAGTCCGTGAGCCTTGAGTGATCCCCAAAAATGCAACAGCGAGCGGCCCAAAATGAGAAACAAACTTGCCAGCGCAATTGCAACATACCCACCAATAAAGTGCGCTAGATCGACTCTGCCGCTGTCTCTATCCTTTCCATTTTCGATCCGGATTGTTGGGTTTCAATCAATTGATTGCTTGTCGGCTGGGCTTTCCGTATGATGAGGCCCACTCGCGCAGCCACCAGTCCTGAGCGACCAGCAGACCCTGCGTCAGCATGAGCAGCGCAGTCAAAACCGCCCAAAACATTAATCCACCACTAGCCCTGATATAGGCCAGATACACCCGCCACTGGACATGACCACGGGACCAACCCTCATCAGTTTTAAGTTTTCCCTTTTGGTGTTTGCATCCTGCGGCGCGGCATTTGCCTTTACATTGGCATTAGTGCTGCTGTTTCTGCAAGCGCCGTCAAACCGCTTGCCAATTGTATCTCCAACAGCCTCGGCAGTGGCAATTCGCTCGTGTCTGTCGCCTTGCCCTTGTTCTCTGACCGGGCCTCTGCGTGCGTTGCCGTGTTTTGCTGCTTCTCATCGGCCTCGCGCAACGTTTCCTTGCTGAGCTTTCCGCTATGCAGAACCTCGAGCGGCATCCCCGCCGCAGCAATGCGGCCATCCTGCATGACCACCACCATCGCTGCGCTCTTGATTGCCAGGCCGATGGCATGCGTAACCAGAATGCGCGTGCGCTCGACATAAGCGGCGCCATCAGGCAGTTGTCGTACAGGTGCTTTGCAGTGTGCGCGTCGACCGCAGACAAGCAGTCGTCCATGATGATGTGGCGCGGGCGAGTACACAGCGCGAGCCAAGCATATGCGCTGCTTCTGGCCGCCTGACAACGCCACGCCGCGCTCGCCGATCTCTGTCATGTCGCCGGCATCAATGATTTCAAAGTCCCTTGTTAGAGCGCACATGTGCACAACCTCACAGTAGCGTTGCTCGTCGTATGGAAGACCAAACGTAATGTTGCCGCGGATTGTGTCGTTTAGCAGCCACGCCTGCTGGGCCACGTACGCGACAGACTCCTGCAAACTAAAGGGATTAGACGTATTTTCGCCAAGCGTCGCGCGCGCTGAACGCGGCCCCTGGAACCATTAGCCGGCCGGCGGTCAGCCGCATCTCTCCCAGGAGCGCCATCAGAAGAGACGTCTTGCCGCATCCGGTGGGCCCAGCAATGATGCTCAGCTTGCCCACAGGGAAACTGACTGTAAGGTCGCGCAGCTCAAACACGCCGTTGCTGGCACTCTGTACGCCACCCGCGAGTTCATTGCTTGCGCTTGCCTCTGGATTGGAACTCAGCAGCGGCTGCAGAACAGTTGGGTTTGTCAAGTCAATCTGCAGATGCAGATGCAGATGCAGATGCGGCCGACTTCCAGCTAAACGACGCATCGATAAAGCCAATATCAGTCGCGCTCACAATCTGGGCGTAGCTGGCACCCTGCCCACTGCTCACAATACCATTATGCGCCTGCCGTGTTGACTTGCTCGCTCGTATTTCGACGTCTCCTCTTCGAACAAAAACTTGGACACACGATCAACCGAAACTTTGGCCTGCAGACAAAAGAAAAAATTTGGAAGCTGGTCCATCGGCTCACGAAGTGTCTTGAACAGTGCCAGCGCAGTAAAAGCTATTGACGCTGTAAGCTGCTTGTCCATGACCTTTGTGTACACGACGAATGTGGTCAGTGTGATAAAGACTGGCACAACAGCAATGAATACAATATAAACTGTCAGCAACAAGTAGCGCTTGCGCAGCACGCCGAGTTTACCACTGCGAATCGCAGCAACCTGCTTTTCAAACTGTGGCTCCCAGGCAAAAAACTTGATGATGCCCACGCCCTGCAGAATCTCGTTGATCATGCTCATACGCTTGTCACTTATTTTCATTAGTTGGGTCTGGATTACTGTCCAAAAACTGACAATACACCACTGGGTCGGTATTGTGAGCAAAATCGTGCACACCCCGGCAATGGAGGCCAAGCCCAGGAGCTGGTACAGCATCAAAACCGTGATTACAATCTCGGCCGGCAACTGGTAAGGAAATGTAAATATGATGACGCCTCTGAAATCTTGTTGGCGTCAACAGCCATGAGGTTGGTAATTTTTCCCGTTGACGTCGACTCGCTCTGTTTTCTGCGTCTTTGCCACTGTTTTTTCACCCTCACTATCCTTTGCCGGGGCATCGTCCTCGCTGGCGGCGTCTCGGCGCCGCGGCTCTTCTTGTACACCTCGCCAATGACAATGGCCTTTATCTAGAGCCCGATCTTACGCCCGATCCACAGCGCCTGGCTCTGACACACGGTAGAAACAGTGCCTCCTAACAGTAGACCTGCAACACACCAGAACACCTGCTCTCTAGTGTATATGTCTGATCCTCCATGTACGCCAGGATGCGCTTCAGCAAAAACGGCCCAGTAAAAATAAACACAGTGAATACAAGCGTCCACACGCACTGCAGCGCCAGCTGATAACGGAAGAACCAAAACAGCGGTATGTCATGCCCCGCTTATCGCTTCCATGTTTGCGCACATAGTCTCAGATTCGCGCTGCCACTTGGCACACACGCGCATCGAGTGATCTTCAGGCATTAGGTCGTAGACGTCCTTGGGTTCCAATGGCCGCTTATATCCCAGCCAGATCATTGGGTCATCCACGAAAAAACAGCTGCTGCGATATCGACGCTGTGCCTCGGGCGCCGGCGGATGTGTGCCGACTCTCCAACAGGTGCGTTTAAAGACGACCTGCCGGCGCCTCTGCTGCATGAAGCTGGCCAAAAATAACACAGTGACAATGCTGGCCATTGCAATTCAATGGTGGAAAGCTCTCGATCTTACCTGCGAGTAAGCCAGCAGGGCAGACCGCACCTTGAAAAAGTCGACAAACACGCCGGCAAGAAAGACAAGACGCAGATGCGGCAATGGCGACGGTGTGCTAGTGTTTGAACGGCACAGAAGGTAGACACAGAGAATTGCCGCCCACAGCCACAAAGCCATTTCGTAGGCTGACAGCCTGCTGGCAGTATTGTCGTAATTGGAAAGCAAATGCCCCAGCGGTACCTGGGCAAGCATAAGGATAACCAGCAGCATATCGCAGATTGATGGTCTTGGGCGACTCTGGTTCCGAATAAAATATGCGCCACCAATTGTCTGCTCGGCGGGCAGCTCATAGCTTAGCAAACCATCACTCTCAGCCAAATCGATGTCATCTTCGCCCCGTCGCTGTCAAAGCTTTGGCTAGAATTTTGGCGGTTTCCGTAAACTGTGGCGCCATACCCGTGCTGCAATTGCTGCGGCATGCATGTGGTGTTGCTTGATTGCCAAGCAGCGACGAATAGTCAGAACGAATTTTGGAAATTCCAGTGCGCCTTTGACAGGATAGGCGGTAGCACAGAAAATAAAAACTAACAGAAATTGAAACAGCTGTTATACCTCCTGGAACCAGTCTTTCGACAAACAGGCGCGGAAGCAGGGGTCAAAATCACCTTTGATCCAGGGTTGTCCCACGGAATGCTAGTGCACTCTGCCAGGACCATGCGGGGTTTCAGGAATGACTAAAATTTAATAAAGAGAAAAGAATATCACAAATTGGAAAACTAATGGTTGAGCAATTTTATGTATGTTTTTGAAGCTCTGTTCTTTTAGTTTATTTGGGCTAGATTTATATGCCCAGCATACTTGTATGTTAAAGCACTTGTTTGATATTGTAGTATTTTTTTACCTGTATAAGTATATATGGTTATCGATAAAATAATTTCAAAAAAAATCTTGTAAATTGAGCGTACTGAAGTAATTGAAACAATAAAGGAAAAGGCAATATTTAATGAAAATAAAATAAAATGAAAGGAACTAGAAGTGAATATGAAAAAATGGAGTGGTGATAGGAAAACAACAATTTCCGATGCAACCAACTCTGCATGACTTGGGAATAAAAATATTTGCTGCATATACACAAGCTTACCAGCATGATTTTTCAGGAAAAAACCCCATTGTACAATAATTTCATAATGTTTCCTACTACATTTAATAACATCGCACCATTTCTTTATACATTTCTCTATTTCTCTGTAGCCTCCCATCCGCCTAATCATACACGCAAATCAACGTCGATTAAGGCTGCCCCCCCACTGCCCAACCACATAATTATTTTTATCACGTGGCTTTTTTAGATTGCTCTTTATATATAGGGCGCAAACAACACTGCATATTATCTTCATTTTATCTTTTTAATTTATACATAAACCAAATTGCCAACATTCGCTTGCTAAAATTATCATTGGAAATATAAATATTTACTTTCTTATAATATTTATATAAGATGGTTACAAGTTGCTTGTGGAGGGAGAATAGCTTTTTAAATGGAAATGTATTAAAAATTAAAAATTATTTATAAAATCATTAAAATTATAATAGATGTTTTGTATATAATAGACCTTTTGTATGTTTGCTCTTATGCGCTTGGGCATTGTATATGCTAAATTTATATAGTAGTAGCTGAAATATTTGCCCAATATGTCTTTGCTCCCTCGAATAGATCATCGATGTTTTTCGGATGACTGTCATAGTTGCAAAATGAGTTTTCAGCAGAGCCCAAATATTTTCAATATGATTGAGATCGGGAGATTGTGATGACCATGTCAAGATGTTGACATCGTGATTTTGTAGCCAGTTACAAGTCCCACAGGCTGTGTGCTTAGGGTATTGTCCTGCTGGAAGATAGCATTGGCACCATTTGGAGAATTGACACTCTTCAAAGCGGGCACCAAATTTCTGTCCAGTATTTGAACGTGCACGGCGCTGCTCATATTACTCCAATACAAACCAAGGGAATTGGCCCATTAGCGTGGAAAGACCCCACACCATCAAAGATCTACCATCATATTTCATAGTAGGCTGGATATATTTAGTTTCCATCTTGTCGCTGTCTCCCTTGATAACATACCTCCCATGTCTAATATTGAAACACTTAAGTTTGGACTCATCTGTCCAAAGAACCTGCTCCCAATCGGATTCGGTCCACTCCGCGTGTTTTTTCGCCCATCTGTACCACATCTTTTGGTTATTTTTGGTGACAAATGGTTTTTGCCTCACAAAACAAGCGTGATGTTGAATGTGAGCAAGATATCTCTAAACAGTCTGCCTACTTAGTTGACCCCCTTTTTCCTCTGACAGCTTTTTGGTAAGTGTGGCAATGTCGATTCTGTCCCTTTTATGGACATATCTTTGAATGGATATGACATCATCCTTGGTCAAAATCGTAGGACGACCTCCTTTGGGTCTTTTGCTGTAGATGGAATTCCGAATAAGATACATTCTAATCGTGCTAGGCTTGACATGTATTCTGTTGCTAATTTATGTAGGGGTGAAGCCGCTGTGAGCCATTGACTTGATGATGTTGGCCTTATTGTGAGTGGTGATTATGACAATAATAGTAAAATTATGAAAAATGTGTTTTAATTGCTAAAAAAATAAAATATACTTTTGGTAATACAGAATAAAATAAAAATGGTGCAGCTATAATTTAAATTTAAAAATTGAATGGGCTTAGAAGTAGCCTATTAATCCAATTAAAGTTGGGGTTTCAACATAAACTCCTTGGAATGTATGCATGTATTCTTGTGCGACAAAAATAAAAAATGTAAAAAATTATCTTAATGTTGACTTTGTCAACAACAAAACAAGCAAACAATTACGCAACTTACACTGTCATATTGCAGTGGGCCTAGAGTATATCGATAATAAACCGAGATGTTATTTGGGCCATCAGGGTAAAAGATACACGAAGTATAAAAGTTAATGTTAATGATCCAAACAATAAGACGGTATTGGCCCGAGTTGTAAATTGGTCACAAATACTCCATTGAATCCACACATATCGCCAAACAGCCAACCATGGCGTTCGTAGCTAAAAGAAAAAGGTATTCGAGTGGACACAATACTATTCGAAAGTATAATGAAAATAAAAGCCTAGTTGGCGATTCCAATGACGCCGCATGCCTGACGACCGCCGCGTTACCAGTGGTGGCCGACAGCTCATGGCCGCCCAAGCCCAGATCGTCCTCATCGGCGTGCACAACAATTGTGCGGCCAATGACGCTGTAGGGGCCGAACAGGGTGACCTTCGAGTCCTCGATGACCGCATCGACCTTGCCCTCGGCTGACGCCACAACGTTGCCCAAATCGCCGACATGACGCTCCTCAGCATCGGGGCGCCGTGAGTCTTTTTGAAGGGGTTGAAGTGGGGACCTGCGGAGGTGCATCCGTTGGTGTTATCTCCGAACTCGTGCACGTGGAAACCGTGCTTGCCGCCGCCAGACCCGAGATGGAGGCGTGGACCTTGATGGGGGAAGTCTCGCTGGCCTGGGTCAGAGTAACGACACCCTGGACACCCTCGTCGCCCTTAAGAACTGCAATTGCCTTAACCATTTTAATTATGAGTGAATTTGTATTTGAGTTGTTATAATATAAAAAACGGAAAATATTGTTTTGCTAAAGAAAAGGAAAGCGTGAGGTTGGTTGCGGTTGCATCTCGCTTATAAATCGAAAAAATACGTTTACTTTTCTTTGCAGCCAGTCCCTCATCCGATGGTGCCACCGATGCTGGTCATAACAAACGACAAATGTGAGCGATTTTTGGGAAAAGCAAGATAAAAATGACTCAATCACAGGCTACTGTCAAAAATCCCGGACTGGGGGGTATTTTAATAAGTTTACAAAGACCGTTTTGCGTTTATCCGTCCAAAAATTGACCGTGCCTGTCAATGATCTAATTTGATGATTTCGCTTTATCTGCCTGCACGTCAGCCTCCTGATTCAATCGGCGCATCTCCTCCAACTTGATCTTGCGTAGTTCTCCCAGCTTCTTATCCTCCTTGGCCTGGTAATAAAAGCCGACTGATCCACCAAGCAGGCCGCCGAACAAAACAACAAAGGCCTTTGTGTACACGCCCATTTTAAAATAATTTAAAATAGATATGTTAAAGCGGAAAAGTTATAATAAAATGCCGTGATTTGTTGCGTTCACCCGCGAGAAACACTCGCGGTAGGCAGCTGCTTAACATCAATCGATATGCTTTATGGGGGCCTACAAATGACATTCTGTTTGCGCCGTTTGGGTATAACGTTTGAATTATTGTTTCTTATTTAACCTTTATATACAAAAAAGAACATGCCTATCTACTTACTAATAAAAACAATTTTTTTGAAACAGTCGGTTGAGCTGGGGACACAGCACACTTGTCAAAATTTTAAAGGCGGGATAATGTGGTCGTAGTCAGTATTCCCCTGGCACAAATCGCATGTATACTCCCACTCATGGTTTCAGTGCTGGCGCTGCTAATGACAGTGGAAGACATTTAATGGTGAAAGGTTGTGTGTACAAAAAAACCAAACAAAAAGCAAATAATGATACTACAAAAATGAACACGCACAAGTTTGTATAAAAAGACAAACACCGGGTAACAGTTGGATGTATATATGATACAAATTACCAACGCCCACCAAAAAATATATATAAGCAGTAACGACACTAACAACATTTTTAAACATTTGCAGGATAATGCCAACCAACCACTTTTGCCTATTGGAACAGGTGAGCTACAGTAAGCTACAGAACAATTTCGATATTCGCAGGACTTTGCTTTGCGCGCATTATTGCTCTACGCGTGCTATTTTAACAGAGTAGACCATTGCTAATATCGAGTTTACTACGATTACTTGCGGCCAAATGTAACGATTAACGGAAACACCGCCGCACACGATCCAAGGCAGTCCGGTTTGCACTCGGTCAACATGAATGAATCAAGTGAAAACCGTTAATTTATGTTGCTTGATCATTCAGGTGAAAATAGTGGTGTTATTTGTTAAAGCTGATACAGCCACATCCATCTGATCAGATGGATGTGGATTAATGATTCCGAGAGGCTAGTAGTGCGTGCTTTGTGGTGCAGGATACCAACAAACCCTAGTAGTGGTTCTTGGAAAAATCTGATAGATTAATTAATAATTTACACCAGCCTTTAGCTGCGACAAAGTCATTTGGTGAAGAATGCCACAAAAACTTTTCTCTCATTTTCTGTTTGAATTCTCATTTTTACTTCGCTCACTTATAATATTTTCTAATGAAATGTCACCTCCAAACAACAATGACAATAACATAGCTACCCAACAGCAGCAGGAGGGAGTCTGTACGTGGGACGCACATTCCCGAGTGCCTTGTCTGCTCGCCGCCAGCCAAAGGTCGCGCTCAACGGAAGTGCTCCAATAATGGCCCATCAGAACGGTTCTCAACATGCACTTCGGGAAACAATAACAGCATTATCAGCAGCAACGCAGCATCATTCACAAGCTACAGTTTCTATATCCAACACAGTTAGCAACAGCAGGGAGACAATATACAATACCCAGTTCTGGACTGCTGCTGGGTCGCCATTGTCGCTACAGCCGCAGCCAGATTTTGCTCACCCTGCGAGCCCCGGTTCTGGCTCTGTTGATTGTGGCCAAATGTATCGAGCGAATCAGCAGATGTGCAGTCGAAAAATCAATGCGCAGCAAGTATACGCGCCTTTGATGGGCGCAAATGGTGAATGCGCGAGTGGCGACAGAGCCGTGGATGCCATGCATTATTCTTCACCTCTTGCTTCTCCAGAAACAATATCAGCACACATATTAACACAAAAATGCCAGCAGAAAGCACACAGGCAGCGGCAGGATTTATTGCGCATTTTCAGTACCAGTTTCAGCCAGAATGGCCGACGACAACACACACAAGATTTTGTGGGCACTAGCCGAGTCGCACTTTCGACAGGCCCAACAGCGGGTGCACGCAGCAGCGGCTGCAATGGTAAACTGCAAAACGCGCATGATTCCGACGACTGGCAGAGCAGCGTAGTAGCCGGGGTGTCCTGTCTATACAGCGTTCTTCGGTTGTGCTCGTCGTCCCGAGGACCATCCAAGTCTGGCTCTCCAGCGATGATGCTTGGACCCGATGTCGAGGCCAAAACGCGGTTGCGGATAGCACAGGCGCTGGGCCAGTGGTGCAGCGAATCGAGCGGCAACCAGGAGCAGGGGGAAGAGGACAACGAGGAGGAGGCTCAGCTGGTGCGGGCGATCATGGTGGTCCCCAAGGCCGATGCATATGTCGACACAAGGTACGCCATTATTGCTACGCACTGCCGTCTATTCTTGCGTCGCGGCGAGCACAGGTGGGCAGAGCAGAAGCTCAAGTCTGCGGCTGTTGACGCCCAACAGAGATCACTATATCACTGGGTGCACTACTTTGCACTCGAGCTAGCGCACCTATATGTGGCTAGCAACAACGTCCGCAGTGCGCTTGAGGTTCTGCAGCAGTCGCTCAAGCAGGCACAACAGGGGAGCGATAGGGCCAGCGAAGCCGTGGTTGGCGTGCAGCTGCTCGGGCTACTCATACAGGAGCGCAGCTGGGCAGACGCATTTGCCTTGGCCAAAGACCTTGCCGCACCAATGTTTGATTCCGCTCTGGTCGCATTGCCGCAGGTGAGGGCTCGGTTTTGGTCACTGCAGGCGGCTGGCAGTGCTATGTTGGGTCACCACCAGGGGGCGCAAGAGGCCTGCGACAGCGCACGCCAGTGCCTGAAGGAATGGCAGGCGCTGTTTGCCAAGGCGCTGACCAAAAAGTGCGTTTCCGACGGAGGATCTTCATTTGTTATCTCGGGCACTCGCTATGGCTCTGTTCTGCGTGTCCGCGGATGGAGCTACTACGAGGCGCACGCGTGGGTGATGCTAGTGTCAGCGCACGCAACGCGCGGCGACAACGCACACGAGAAGCGACCGGGTTCCTGCGCCTCGCGTTGGAGGGCATTAAGCGGGGAGAGACCGACGGGTTTAGCTACCAATTGAAGACAACCAAGCTTCTTGTACTGTTGCATGTTGTCGACAAGGCGCTGGTGACTTTGCAGCTTTCTGAGGCCAAGTTGGCGCTGGACCAGATCATGGTGCTGCTGCCGAGGGTCAGGGGCCGGAAGCCAATGTATTTTGGCACCAAAGCCGGGACGCTATTGCACTGAGGTGGGCGATGTACAGACACCGCATGGGTGATTTTGGTCAGGCCAAAGACGCCTATACGTGTGTAGCTGCCAGTGACTCTCAGGACCTGCGCTTCGTTGCTCAGGTCAACCAGGCTCTTATGCATGTGTTAGCTAACACAGACGACTCGAGAGAGCGCGCCCACGACATTATCAAGCTGCTCATCAATGATTGTGGTTCTTTAGAGCCCCACGAGGCGGTGCGCCGCTCGATGCTCGAGTTTCTGCAGGGCCTCGAGTCCTTGGAGCCTGTCAAGGCCAAAACCCATTTACTTGCATGTCTGCGCACTTGCACGGAGGTGGCTGACACGGCTTTGCAAGGGTGGACGCTGTGCTTGCTTGGCACATTGGTCCTGTCTACGGGACAATACGACCAGGCCATGAAGATGTGCGCAGCCGGACAGGCCATTGCCCAGCGGGCCAACGATCCCCTACAGAATGCAGCAGCCATTGGTATTCTAACACAAATCGAAAAGGCTGTCGGTGACCCCGAACGATGTGCAAGCTGCTGCAGGTCAACACCAGTTCCTCAAGAAATTCAATATGCAGATCCAAGAATGAAACTGAAAAGCTCCCCCCAGCATAATAGTTTTGTATGTAACAACAAGTAAAAAAATTTAGCGTAATTATAAAAAGGAAATGGAAAATGTGTTTGAGCTTGGGACCTGCGTACAGGAACAAAGGCAAGATTTAGCCCAGCCCGCCCCACTGACCTCTTATACGGCGCGCCAGCTGGATATCCCTCTGCATAATAGTAACCCGCTTCGCGTGCAGCGCGCACAAGTTAGCATCCTCGAACAAATGGACCAAAAAGGCTTCCGACGCCTCCTGCAGCGCCAAAATCGCCGACGACTGCCAGCGCAACCCAGCGGGCGTCTCGCTATGCGTATAGTCGCTCACAAAATCCTGCGCAATCTCCCTCACGACACGCGCAAACGGCAGCTTGGAAATAAGCAGGTTGGTTGTCTTCTGGAACATGCGGATCTCCCGAAGCGCGTTGATGCCACTGGGCACCTTGCGTTTTTGCCGGCTGGGCGAGGCCACTGCAGTGCTTCGCGCAGCCGTGGAGAGCCGAGGTGTTGTTTTGCCGCCTCGGGTGGGGCGTCTGGTTGAGCGCTTTTCTGGTGTGTTGGTGGACGACTGGCTGTGTGGAATCGTTTTCCGCGCGAGCTTTGCTCTGAAAGGACCTCCGCCGCGGCGAGCGCGGCTAGGTACAGATCCGCCTGGCGCCATTTTTTGGAATTTAAACTGGTTTATATCAAATGTCGACGCGGTTTCCTCCTGCTTGCTGTCTTGGGTGCGAATGTTTCGTTTTAAAGCAAACAATGAGAAATATAAAAGTGAAATAAATAAGAATAGCGATTCCGATTGAGAGCCAAATTAAAAAGAAAAAAGAGACAGGTGGCAAGACGCGGGCTGTCTAAAATAAATAAATAAAAAAGATTTTCGAAAAGAAAAAAAACGCGACATTTTAAAAAAAAATTAGCACCCTTTTTTCTCGCCCTAAAACAGCGCCTTTCCCTCCTCCCGTAATGTCTTCAAACCCTCGAACTGTGCGCCTATGGCCAGAGCTCAGGCCGCTGCGACCGCATCTTGTGCATCTGATCAGCCCTATAAATGGCTCTAATGGGCGTAGACACGACCTCATTGTTCCTGTTTCCATAGTCAATACCTCCCAGATCTATGCGGCGGTGCTGGCCAGCCGCAAGCGACGACACATTGCCCAGATTACGCGACTCGGAGTAATCTGCCATCAACCTCAAGCTGCCATCGTCTTCTGCCACAGCGCCCACACGCTCCGCTCTCTGACGCTGATACTCGCGGGCGCGCTCAAAAATGGCAGCCGCCCACGCTGTGTCCTGGTCAGAAATATCCAGCGGCACAGCACCCGGAAGATCGTCGTCGGGGTTGAATTCGTGCCAAACTCTGTCGCGTAGAATTCGCGCGTCGCCTGCTCGACCAGCCGTGTGTTGACCAGCCGCCGCTTATTTGTGCGGTACGTTTCGGCCAGCTCAATCTGCCGCTTGCTGCCCGCCAGGTCGCCGAGGTTTCCCTGTGCGGATCCCATCACTTCGTGCTCGACCTGTGCTAGCCGCGACGCAACCTTGGCGCTGACACCATCCTCGTCGCCGTCCAGCCGCAACACACCCTCGTTTTCGTCCAGCCACGCCACCAGCTCAAAGGCACCGTCGCCCATTAGCCGATCAAACACATAGACGACATCGCGGATCTCGGCCTCGTTGCAGTACTGGTACAGCTTGGTCAGCTGAATCCAAATATCCATGGGCACCCGGATCCCAATATTGGGGAAGTTCACGGGCTGTGTAAAGTACATCAGGTACAGGGCATAGATCACGCCAATGCGGATCTCCAGAATTGCGTCGGCCTGGAAGTGGCCGAGAATCAGCCGGTATGCTGTGCGCATAAAGTTCTGTCGCGAGTTTTTTTCTGTTGCGACAAAATGGATCAGGGAAAAATTCAGCGCCTTCCATACTTCGCAAAAGGACACAATGTCGTACGCTTGTAGGCGCTGGAACGTGCGCATCAGCGTACGCACGTCGCCCTCGATGGCCGAGAGGTACACACCCGTGCGCCCGAGGTTGACTACACTCTTCGTGTCGTCGTTTTCGACAATTTCTTCAGCAATCGATGCCATTTTGTGTGCGTGCGTTTTGAATGGGTGGGTGAATTATTTTGACAGGAAGAATATAGCGAATTAAAAAATAAAAAACAAAAAAGAGATTAAGAATATTGGAAACAGAAGAAAAAACGAAAGGCCTCAGCAATCTTTTTTTATCGATTGGGCATGATTTGGTTTGATGGCTTTTATTTATTTATAATTGAAAAATGTGTGCCCAGCCTGCGACGGAATGCGCGTGCTTTATGAGCCGTATCCAACAATGAACTCGGCAAAGTCCCAGTTGGTCTCCAGCGCGTACGGCTCTGAGATCTCGACGCCCGCAGCAGTGACCTTGGCGCGTCTGAGCTTGTTGAACGACCTGGCATCGCGGTAGTACAGCACCCGCATGCAATCGTCCAGAATCTTGATCGCCTCCTCCTCAGTAATCTCATCCTCACGGCCCTCAACGTACTTGCGCAAAATGGGCTGCGCCAGGTGGCCGCCGAACCCAGTGGCGATAGTCGCCGCCTGGTACGTGGTACCATAGTAGTCCACAAATCCCAGCACCTTCTCGCCGTTATCAATGCCGCCAACTACGTACGAGTTCCACAGTGGGTCAACCTTGGTGCGCCGGCCATACATCATGTTGCTGATGCACCGGTAGATCGAGCGAGTGCCCAGGTTCTGTCCGTCATCCATATCATACTCCCGCGTCAGCAGGTCCTCCAGCGTGTGCTTCATGTGCTGGAAGTCGCCCGTGTCGCCGGTCATGCCCAGGAGTGTTGAGTTGCCCACCGGCATCAGCCGATTCTCGTCGCGGAACCGTGCCATGCTGCCATACGACGCCAGACAGTCCGCCGCCATCATAATACCGTCCTTGTACTTGAACGCGACGACCGATGTTCCGGTTACCATGGGCTGGCTATTAAAAGAAAACATGAAAAGCAGTACATAAATGATTAGCGAAGGCTCCGATTGCGTGAATTTGTGAATTTGTGAATTTGTGTTTACTCAATTGCCCGCTGTCGCTGATCGATTTTCCGATTGCTATACCTAATGCGTGTTGTCGGCCCGTGGCTGGGCATTTCGGTGGGCCGCTGGACGGTGTGAGGAAGCGTAATGGTAATCGAGTCCATATTCAGTTATAACAAGTAGAAAAATATAAAAGTGTAATAAAAATGCCTTGAAATTAAAGATGCCCAAAAAATATATAATAAATGGAGCATAGAAATTGACACACGCCTCAAGCCTGACAACGTCATCCAGGCCAAAAATTTCCAGCAAAAAAAGTGCACGCCATTACGTGTATACGTTGTGTGGTGCGTATGCGGATTCTGATTTAATCATCTGATTAGCAATGCATGTCACTTATGCCACTTTTATTTTGTTCAAACCAGCCAGTCCAATCACATGCCAATTTGCGACATTTCAAATAACATCCCCATCGGATAATCGAATTGCTCCGAGTGACCGAAAAGGGAAATGTTTGGCTATCCTGATGTTTTGGAAAAGTATATTTTTTTTAAAAATATGCTGAACTCGGTCTACCGCCAATAAAATTTGGCGACCATTTTTCCTCTATTCATGTCGGCCAATTTCTCGGATAGTTCTGGATTGACGCCCAAACGCCAACAAGGTGTGCTAGTAATTGGGAAGATGTTTCGGCAACATATTTAGAAAATGTTGAGCACAACAAAAACAATTGAGTATCATTGCAGAACCCAAGCAGTCGTGCGTTGTAATACAACATTTCCAACTTTGTCAACATTGCCTCGTCTTTTCTTTTCAAACATATTTAATATATTTACACTCTTTTATGCATTTTCGTATTATTTCCTTTACACAACACTAGTTTTTCTGCACAATAAATACACATATCACCATCAGATGAAGGCATACTGGAGGCACGATCCCATCAAAGACAAAGGCCGAGTGGGTTTCACAGACCCGTCCATTTGGAGCACAGCCAAGGAGATCATGGGCATTCACGCGAAAATCCTGGTTCTCATGTGCGTTGTCACATGGGCAGCGCTATCCCTCTATTTTGGCGCCACGTACAAGAGAAGCGAGTACGCACACCGCTTAACCATTGATTTGGTCAATTTTGACGAGGGACCAACAGGCCAGCAATCAGCGACGCACTCATGGCCATGCCGCACACAAAGAGCTTGCCAACATGGCGGCTGAAAACAGACATTGCAAATATCGAGCAGGCTCGGGATTACACGATCAAGGACGCCTGGGGCGTTGTTGTCATTAACAAGGGTTTGAGTGCCAGCCTTGCCAATGCCCTGCAGACTGGTGCTGACTACGACGCTTCGGCAGCGATAACATTGCTGGTTCAGAGCGGTCACCATCCAGTGGCCCAGCCCCTGTTAATTCAGCCGGCTATGTCACAAATAATTGACAAGGTCGCAAAGCAAGTCGCGGTCCAACAGGTGAGCAAGTATCAGCAGGCGAGCGGCAACCGCAGCAACGCTACAAACACCCAGGCCTTGCTTAGACCGATCGGCTGGACTACAGAAAAGCTGGCGCCGTTCGACTCCATGTTGGCGATAACGATGGTTCCCATGGGCATGTTTGCAATGTTTACTGGCGTTATCGAGTTGGTGCTGACGCTTAAGTTCAACATATTTACTGTATACAAGACTGTCAAGCACTCGCACATCTACTTGATTATTGTCGGTCTCATTTGCATGCACAGTATCTTGTACTCCTGTACGGCGCCCTGGCGTTCCTCGCATACAAGGGCCCTACGTACGATACCGTGCCACTGGGGCTGCCCATTACCGGAGGCAGGTTTTTCAGTCTGTGGATGTGCTACGCAATTACGCTTATACCTACGGGACTGTGGGCCATGAACCTGATAGTCTTGATTCCGCCAGCATTAATTGCGTTCCCGACTGTTCTGACCGTCACGCCCAGTGTTTTGGCCGGAGCAATTGATTCCGCCTTTGCTCGTCATTCTACAAGTGGTTTCAAGCTGTGCCGTTTTACCAGGGCGGAATGCTAGCTAGATATATTATAAGCGGCGCACACCCGAGCCTCGGCCAAAACTTGGGAATATTGTTTGGTGAGACTGTGCTAATGCTCGCGCTTTTGTTTATAACCACTCGATTAACCAGAAAAACGTACTCGCGGACGTTGTGGACTACATGGGCAATTTCCGTGGAATGCAGAATTTCATTGAGCCCGGGACTGGAAAAATGGTCATGGAAGTCAGCCCGTTGTTCAGTACTACCCTCCCTCAGCCGATAATGAATCGTTATTAAGTAGCCAGTCCGAACTCATTCAGAGAGATAATGCAGTCGATAAGCGGGCGTGAACAGCATTTTCATATTTAAAAATTTTATTCAAACGTAAACATGTGCAATAGAAAATCAATTTTACTTTGTTTTCGTGGCAAGTATTTTTTTTGCAATTTTGATATAGTATTATTTAATGAAATATTGTTTATAATATGCAAAATGTTCTCCATTGGCCCCTGGCCTTCTGGCATTGACCGGCAACTTTAACCGCTTCCTGCCATGCCACTTTGCTGCTCTTTATTACAACCAGCGTCACCTTTTTTACTGTTGCCTTTGCGTCTTCAGTTAATTGCACAACGACAGGCGCAAGTTTAGTCACGAGTGTGCTAACCTCTTCCAGTACTACCCTTGTATCCTTTGTTGTCTGCAAACAGGTGTAACAATTCTCCAAGTGTCCTTGGTTTTTTGAGCAATGGGTGGGCACATTTCTTCTATTAAAAAACGCGAGTTTCGATACAAGTGGGGCAGCATTTTCCCACACAACTTTGACCTTATCAGAGACGAAGTAGACTGAATTACGCCAAATAAATTCGGTGAACTTAATGGCAAACAAAATCATATTATCCTAAACGGGCAATATGTTTAACTCATTTGGCTTGACTTTCGCATTCCACGCGCACGTGTGGAGCTCAGCGGCAAAGTTGCGCAAAGCTGGACGCTTGTCTTTTGAAAATATTTCAGGATTGACAGCAGGCGCTTCCCAAGGGGCGTATCTTATTTTCGGCTACAGCCTTGAGATACACGTTCATATAGGATCGAATCATGACAATAATATCAATAACAATAAAGCAAGTGAGCAAAAATTTAATTTTAGTGATGCAATGCGCATAAACATTAAATCGATTATTATAAAGAGTTGAAGAAAAAATGCTGTGAAAATTCCCATCCAACATTTTTATCCGTCAATATTACGCATGGCTGGCAAAAACAAACAAACAAAACATCAACTTTGAGAAATTCTCATTTTGCCATATATCTTCTGCTCACTAGCAAAAAATAAACAGTAAAAAAAATCAAAGTTTGCACCAGCCAAATAATTCGATTATTTACAGGCCGCTATTTAATTAACGTACAATACATGCGCATTGCAAGCCAAACTAAATGTGCGACAAACAAATTCATTAAATGATTGTTTCTCATTGTTTAATTTATGCAACACGTACCGTAACCAAGCCCAGCATAACAAACAGCAAGACATTCAGCTAAACGCACAGTGGGAGTGACCGCACCCACAACGCCTTTGTATATCTAAATATGTGATAAGTATTTTTTTCGTGCATTTTGTTTTTCACATTTGAAAAGGAATACTATTTTGCACTTATTATATACGCATTTTTAAATATCAATGAGACCCCTCAATATCTGCATGGTTTCGGACTTTTTCTACCCTGGAATGGGCGGAGTAGAGAGCCACTTGTACAACAACTCACAGTGCTTGATGCAGCGCGGACACAAGGTAGTAATAATAACGCATGCCTACAGCAACCGGCGTGGTGTCCGGTACCTCGCAGGCGGCCTCAAAGTGTACTACATCCCGGCGCTTATATCTACAGCAACGCATCGCTCCCAACCTTTTTCTGCACATTCCCCATTTTCCGGCAGATATTCATTCGCGAGCAAATCTCAATCGTGCATGGTCACCAAGCCTTTTCGACATTCTGCCACGAAGCCATCCTGCATGCGAGATCTATGGGGTTGAAAACAGTGTTTACAGACCACTCTCTTCTGGGGTTTGGCGATACGTCAGGGATCCTGCTGAACAAGCTGTTGAAATTCACATTGTCAGACGTGCACCACGCCATTTGCGTCTCCCACACAAGCAAGGAGAATACAGTCTTGAGGGCAGCACTGGACCCAGGGCAGGTAAGCGTGATTCCGAACGCCATTATTGCCGAGCAATTTGTGCCTGATCCCGGAGCGAGGGATCCAAAATGGACGACCGTGGTGGTGTTGAGCCGGCTGGTGTACCGCAAGGGCATCGACCTGCTAGTGGCAGCAGTGCCGCGGATATGCGCGCACTGCCCTCGTGTGCGCTTCATAATCGGCGGCGACGGGCCCAAGCGTATCAACCTGGAGCAGATGCGCGAACAGCATATGCTGCAGGACCGCGTGGAGCTTCTGGGATCTGTGAAGGCCAGCGATGTGCGCAGCGTGCTCGTGCGCGGCGATATATTCCTCAACACCAGTCTGACCGAAGCCTTCTGCATTGCCATTGTCGAGGCGGCGGCGTGTGGCTTCTTGTGGTCAGTACAAAAGTGGGCGGCATCCCCGAGGTGCTGCCGCGGAGCATGGTCAGATTTGCGGCGCCCGAAGAGGACGAGGTTGTTGAGGCATTGCGACTGGCTGTGGAGCAGGCCAAAGAGCGCGAGAGGGGCGCCGAGGCGCGGTTCCACGGGCTGGTGAAGAAGATGTACTCGTGGCACAACGTTGCTGAGCGCACCGAACGGGTTTATTTGAAGGTCGTGGATGCTGAGGAGCCGCCGCTGATCGAGAGGTTTCGCAGGTACTATGGCTGTGGCTGGTTGCTGGGAAGCTGTTTTGCCTTGTGGCGGCGGTGGATTTCCTGATCGGCGTTGTGCTTGCGTGGCTGTGGCCGCGAGACCAGATCGAGATCGCAAGGGGGTTCTCGAAGGAGCGGTACCAGGAGGAGATACGGAACCTTTAAGCTTTTGACTATTTTAAAATCGACCAACGCATAGAACACGTTTTGGCCCTTGGCGGCGATCGGATCACGTGTACATTCCTCGGCACGAAAGTTTAAAAAACTGGCACGGCGCCAGATGCAACCTCTTTGTGCTTTGTGCTACTTTTTATTTGCTGGACAACACAGGGGCGGAAGGCTTGGCAGGACCATCTTTGTTGCCTTTTTGGATCTTTTGTGGAAAGAATTCCTTTGAAAGTCATATGACGTATGTCCGCCTATTGTGATTGGCTGCAGTTATTACTTAGGCGGTAGCAAGGCGGGGATGAAGGTCATGTCACGGCCCTGGAGGGCTATCAAGCGCACGCATGGATGGTTGAAAACAAACACTTCGTGCAAATTACTACACTCACCCTCTTTCTGCTCTGCATTTCTCACCTTTTAGCAATCGATTTTGCACTATTTGTATTCTTATAGCACACCACCATTCGTTTTTTATTCCTTTTTCACAACTACGCTTTTACTATGAAATACCTTGATATAGAATCACTCAGAAACCTCAACTCGCGCCTTTCTTTCCCAACCAGCAGCGGCGACCGACATGTGCTGGGAAGGGTAGAGTCGTATTCATGTAAGTTTGCGCTCTCTTGTCGCTTTGGTCGACTGCTTCCTCACCAACACTTGTCTTTCAAATGGAGCACGCACGGACGACACACGCGTGCTTGGGCTCAGGCGTATCGTCTGCATGCGCGCTTTGATGTCTCGTGCATACAGTGTCCACTAAATGAGCCGTGTAATACTAACCATAACATTTGCACTTATGACAATTTTTTGTGCAATTCTGCAACCACATATAGGCAAGGTGGCCGGCGCAGATAAGAAGTTGTATCGGCTCCTCGAACAGAAACACCAGGAGGACCTCGAGGAGGCCAAGGGCCTGTCTCCTGAGCAGAGCTCGCTGACCAACACTTTCTCTCCGTTTGGGCCACTCACCCAGTCAGCATCACGCAAAACACTGTTTTATCTTCTCGCGACACTCAACGCGAGCTTCCCGGACTATGACTTTAGGTACGCGATGATTTGTTTTTGATTAGCGTTCCCAACCATATGTGTGCGCGCATGTTTACACCTCACTGTGTGTCTCTTTTTTAAAAGCTTGCAGCTCTACGCGCAACAATTGCGTCAGTGGTGTGAGGAGATATACAGCGAGAGAGATATTGTGTGTGATGTGATTATTGCCAAAAATGAAATTAAAACCTGTGCAATCGAGCGCGTGGTCTGGTATCCGACTGATTGACCGCTCTGGGATCCTGTTCCCTATTTCTCCATTGCACAGTTGACCGATTTGATGATCTGGGTCCTTCCTATTTTGTCGACATTGTGCATTGCACATTTTTGATTTTCATCGACTCGCCCTCATCCCCCCAACGCATTTTTTAGCGCAGTGTACTGCCGTTGCTGCTTATTCTGCTTTGGCTGTCCTTAGACACATTTTTGACGAATTATTACTAACCCCGATCAACTGATTTCCCGATACAATTGATGAGTGTCTCTTTTCATTATGTAGCTCTGTGCCTGCCGACCGATTCACAAAAGAACCTTCGCCGGACTCTGCAATAAAGTCAATCAACAACACACTGGTGAATGTTGGTTCCCCCGCTACGCTCCGGGTTGTCCGGATGTGGGATAGCATCGACGAGATTATTAATATTGACGAGTGCAGTGTTTATTCGTACACGCCCGACGACGAGTCCAACCACTACGAGGACGAGAATCCAGTTTGGTCTTTCAACTATTCTTCTTCAACAAGAACCTCAAGCGCATCGTGTTTTTCACCTGCCGCTGCATCAGCAACATGACGAGCTCGACGATACCAGTGACCAGGAGCTTATTTTCGGAGATCTGGTCGACGAGTCTGTCGAGACTGAGTTCTACCCCACCTCCCAGAACGCCCTCAGGACGATGGCCATCGGAGGTGGATTGAGGCTCTAGAGCACAGCGAGTGCAGCGAACCGTCCCTTCACTTTAACGCCCTTTGCTCTGCTCTACTTTACTTTCCCATGCGCCACCACCCATACTTTGGTCAACCAAATGCCCTACCCTTTATGAGTGCACCGCCAAAACGACACGCATGCCAACACACACTGGCGCTTACTGACACTCGCCAGGAGCGCTCGTGTTGTTGGCGGCGGCCGCGTATTTGTGTGCGCCCATTAATATTTTATCTGAATCATTCAGACTTCTTTGTGAGCGCTTGGGATCACGCCTGTCATAAAATGACAGGTTTTGCCAGTTCGATTCTGGCAGGAGTCATTTTTGTTCTAATTTTTTGTTCTTAATATAATCGAAAACAAGTATAAGTAAACTGTGGATGTAAACAAATTATGCTTGTTATACTTTTTGTTCTTTGTCTGGTTTAAAATGATGTCTCTCAACCTCAGGGCTATAGAAGCTGAGGAGGGCACGCAGGGCTGATCTGATTATTGAGTTTGGCTGGTGAAAAAAGCATAAAAAGCGCGAATCACCTTTTCTTTCAATCCCGATTTCCTACTTGAACCTGCCCGTTTCTGTTCTTTTATTTCTCTTCTCATTTTCGGGTTTTAATTGCAAAAATAAAAGCAGTTAATTGTCACTTTTATATTTCGCATTTTCGCAATTACTTGCATTTGTCTACTTTTCCCCCGCCACCAGTTTGATACGACAACTTTTCACCTTCGTTTGGCATGGAGCGCAGGCAGTTTGGTAAATAGCATAGCCATATTTGCTTGGCATCGACAACGCGGAATTCTATGTATTCTTAAGCGCTAATTTGCTCTCCCCCCAAAAACACATTCTCTTATTCTTCGTTGTCTTTATCGACCTAGCTTCTTTGACGCGCAACTCACAGGCAGTCCAGCTCGAGGGCATAAAGAAAGGCTGAGAATCTGGGACGATGTAAGCGCAATATCTCTCGCAAACGCGCTGGTGTTGACACACATCGTTAGCTGTGTAGAACCGTCGCACATAGCTTCAGATAAACACACCCTAACAAAATGGCTTCGATTTCTATGCGTTTGCACTGTTTTTGAGATTGTAGCTACCCCGCACGCGCCGTTGCCAAAGGACACAGAGGATATAATCGAAGGTGCGTGAATGCATGTGTAAATGTATAGGGTTGGAGCCGAATTCAGTGTCGCCTAATTGCCAGACACCTTGTATATCCACTAATTCATTGCTTGCAAACTGCTAAACACGCTTATCGTTGTTTCCAATTGAATTAGAGTCCACACGGCCGCTGGAGAATATTCCCGATGCCATGGGCCGGTCGCACGTACAAAAGGGCCTAACAACAATTCTCTCGAGATAATGTCATGGAACTCATGGAGCTGGTGACAGCAGAGAACGAATACAATCAGCACATACGCCGCTTTTTGAGCATACTCCTGGGCGATGATCCCGAAACTGCAGACTTGGAGCTCATTGACAGCAGCAGCTTGCAAGAGGTCGCCTGCGAGACAATCTTTTGCAGCTGGTTCAGGAGTCGTTATCTTGCAGCGACGAGTTTTTGCATCGCATATCGGAGTCGCGGGATAAGGTTGCCTTTACGATTGAGCAGAGGACACAGCTGAAGCACCAGCTTGATAAGGCAGCAGCAAGGCGAGACTGATGCTCGGCCGCTCGCACATTATCCACACAAACATGTAAAAACTAAAATAAACCAATGAATTACTTATAAAATAACACATTAAGCGCACGTTCCCATAAAAAATGTATGTATACAAACCATACATTGTATTCAAAGCAGAGCGCGCGGTGCGGACAGCAGCAGTCGGTAGTGCTCATCATATTTATACCTAACACCCTTTCAACAACTCAAATCTCATTTACTCGCAACTTTGCTGTCACTTTTAAAATTTTATAGGCAAACACCTACACTCACACTAAGCATGAAGGAAGCCGCGGCAGCCATCCAGGACCTCATGCGCGACACCGCGCATCTGTTCGACCAGGCACGCAAACTAAACTCGCAGCTGTTGCAAATAGATACGTTTGTCAGCAATGAGGAAACGCGCACATTATTGAGGGATCTGGACAAGTGCAAACGCCAGTTTAAGGTGTCATTGGAGCATGCGCGAGAACTGGCTGTTAGGCTAGAGTCAGAACCATCGAGAGTGATACTTCGGCAAGCAATTCCGATGCAATGATGGGTGGATTGCAAAGGGAGCGCGATCGGCTTTATGAAGAGGCTGTCGACAAGGCTGAGCAGATTCGCAAGCTGTTGGACTGTGTGCGGCAGATACAGTTGACCTCGGCGCAACTTCTTCAGATATAGGAAGCTTTGGGATGTTTGTGTGAAACTTATACCACAATTTTAATAGCCGATTTACAAAACTCGGCAATATTTTTAATTGGCGTACCCTCATTGCGGTCTATTTGCATGACTGGCCTATTCATTTAGTACAAAGGCCGATTAATTGTTGCTGCCTGGGTTCTGTTGTATAGCCAGAGCAATATATTTTAATTATGCTAACGATACACATTTTTATTCGTAAAAAATCTAGAACTGTACTTTGTTATCGAGAAAATAGTTATCCATGTATTTACTAAAAGTTACATCTCTGCTTGACCATTGCCTCATTCTCCCACATATATAGTTTAATACATATGCTGCCGCCGGACGATACGATTGCTAGTGCACAAGGCACATTATGTACACCCCTTTCAGCAATGATCTGGAGCCAAATTCCATACAGCCAGCGCACTCGTATTCCGAGAGCATCTCAGAAGACCTAATTCTGATACAAACGCAATCGCTAGACGACAAAGCTTTGGACCAGCTATCAAAACCATTTACACCAAATGACATTGATGAATGCGCGCCGGCTGGCTCCACATACGCTTGGATTATAGTCGCGTGTGCCGCGTTCAACATGATGTGCACATTTGGGATTACCAACAGCTTTGGCGTATTCTCCACCTACTACATCAACTTTATCTACCCTGATGTATCTACTGCAAACATTGCTTGGATCGGCACCGCAATGACCTTTTTCACGCTCAGCGGATCTGTATTCACTGGACCCTTGACGGACAAGTTTGGATTTCGCGCGGTCCCACTAGTTGGCACCACCATATGCAGCATTGCATTGCTGCTGGCATCGTTCACCAATGCGCTCTGGCAGCTTGTGCTTACACAGGGGGTTATGTTTGGAATTGGTGCTGCCCTTATATATGCGCCATCGGTGTCCCTTGCCTCGCAATGGCACGACAAGACTCGACCGTTGGCGACTGGCATTGCTGTTGCCGGGAGTGGTGCTGGCGGTATGCTTTTCACCGAGATCACACAAACGCTGATGGAGTCTGTTGGCTACAAGTGGACCCTGCGTATTCTTGCGCTGATATTGCTATGTATCAGCGGATCGGCAGGGCTCTTTTATAAGCGACGGGTATCGGTTCCCAGAGAGGTGTGAATTTATGGCGGTCGCTAAGGATGTGCGGTTGATAGTGGTTGGTATGGCCGGCTTCTTTATAATGTCGGATTATTTGTGATATTCTATTACTTGCCACAGCGGCATTGATGATCGGGGAGTCCAGGCATGCATCAAACAACCTGATTCTCTACATTAATGCCGGCAGCACGGTGGGTCGAATACTGATGGCGTATGCAACCGTATGGACTGGTTCCATAAACAGTATTTTTGTATCGTATCTGACCTGTTCTATCCTCATTCTGATTGTCATGCTGGCAGTAAAAAGCATGGTCGGGTATGTGATACTCTCGGTCATCTTTGGTGCTCTCTCGGCAAGCTATATTTCCGTGACGCCACTTTTGCTGGCAGAATTTTTTGGGACGCAATCTGTTGCTACGGCCATAGGCATCATGAACGCGTGGTGCTCTATCGGCATCCTCGTCGGAAACCCATCGCAGGGCGCAATATATCAAAGATTTGATCGCCCCAAAAATTCTTTCATGGCAATATCCATATGGGGGTCGTTGAGTCTCTTTCTTGCCGCTTTCTGTTATTTTTTACTAAAATTTGTCGTTATCCGCGGTAGCACAAATCGGATATGGTCAATACTTTAATATGAATTTGAATCTTTGCTACACCAAACAATATATATTTGGCAACACAGTCAAGGCAATGAAAACCACGTAGTAAATTCAATTATCTTCATTAACTATATTGAATAGCTGCTTAATATATTGCAAGGAATTAAAAGTTCAAACCATTATTACGTTTGTATTTTCAAAACAAAAAATACTAGAGTGTTCGCCGAGGGTCGCTCTCAAACACGGGCATGGGATTATGCAGCTCAAACTGGGGAGCCTCCATGTTTTCTTCTTGCTTGAGAATGTCATCGTTGAATGACCCCTGGTTGCTGTAAGTTGAGCTTGCGCAAAACTCGTGTTTTGATCTTATGAATTGTCCTGACTGCATCTCCACGCTGCGCTTTTGCCGAACAATCAGACTATCCTTATGGAGTGTGTTCATAAAGTCGCGCATGGTCTGCTCGCGCCAAAAAATATGTCCAATAACTGGTGGAGCAAACATGAACCAGATGTAGCCGTTGAGCAAGATTGCGTTTGTCAGGCCAATAGCAATCCTGCCCCAGGGTGAATTTGAGCCCTTGACAAACTTGATGACTATGCTGACGGCCAGGGTAACTGTGGCAATGACCACTGTCCAAATAACCGTACGAAAACCATTAAATACCCGGGCAACCCTGCGCATGCGGAGATAGATCACCCAAGAGAGAACTATCGAAAGAATAAAATACGCGTAAATCCAGTACAAGTACCCGTTGGCAAATATGCAGTCGCGCGAATTCTGATCATCTAAAAGCCATACTCCTTGCTGACCCTTGAGCGACGACATCACAATACTGGTGACTATTGTGGGGGCCCATAACGCAAAAAACGGCCAGAACTTGCGGAAAAAGTTGACGATCTTGCTGTTTGAACGAGCCGTCAAATTGACGGTGATAAACACGCGGTAGAATAGTACCATGCGCATGTTGATAGCGGATAAAAGCACACCCAAACCAAATGTGAATAGACCCCAGGCTCCCCAGAGTCTGCACAGTCCGAGTACACCGTTGAATCCAACCATACCCTGTATCATGCTGTTGCAAATATTGAAGACGATGCTACCAATCCCAATTGCAACCGTCATGCTCACTTGCTGTGCCTTTATAGGAGGAAAGTTTCTAAACCAAACGGCATAGCCAAGCGGGAATAATGAAGCCAGAGTGATGCTAAGCGAGATGTAAAACGCAATTACATCTGCTTTTGTTGAAGGGACTAATGTGCTCTGTACTGAGAGTGACTCGTTGTTCGCCATAATTAAAAATAAAGCCTGTCGCTATCGGCGCCAAAAAATTAAATATAGGCTGGCTGGAAAAAGGCAACAGTCGTAATAAATAAAAATTATGTTGAAAAATACATAAAAGTAGAAAATAATGAAAAATGAAAAATAAGGGTTGAAGAAAAGAGAAAAGGAACTTCAACAATAAACTTCATTTTCAAACAGGCAATATCTTTCTCTTTGTAACTCGGGGAACATACAATTGGCGCAGTTTCTATTTGCATTTCACATCAGGTTTTCTGCACTGCATCATGTAAATCTAATAGGATTGACCGCTTTCTAAAGCCAAGAGATCAAAGGCGCCGTGGCATGTAAAGGCGGAATTTACGGCCTTTTATTTAATAACTCTAATGATTTTCACGTCACTTGAGCGGGTATATCGGATAGCGGCCAAATCAAAGAATATTCGGACAAACCACATCAAATTGAAGCTAAGCTCCACATTGATACCCCACAAAGTTCTACTGAATTGAAAGATGGGCGAGGCATTTTCCGGAAGCCAAATCCCGCACAGCCTAATGACCAGAGATATTTATTGAGCACATGAAAATTGTCGATGAACGTCATCAAACGCAATGTTGTAGCCTTGTTTCTTCGTTGAAAAATCACGAGCAATAAAGTTACACCTCACATGAATTTGATATGCTTATTTGGTTAATATACTGGCTTTCAAGTGCAATCCAAGTGGTATTAAAAAGAACCAGGTTAAGAAGATCGAGCCCTTGTTTTCTAAACAGCACATAAAATGGAATGTTTTCTTGAATAATCGACACAGTCGCTTCAAATGGTTTTGGTGCAATTATATAATCAGTCTATTGGGCAACTGTGTTCATAAAAAGGGGTAATGCGTATTGTTGAAACACTGTGTTGTCAGTATCAAGTAATAATATAATAAATGGCCGGAACTATATAAAAACTTACCTTGTAAACTAGGTACCTGAATAAGAATTTTGTCCATATGCGCAAAAGTGGTGTCAATGTCCCAAACACCACTTTGCATCTGCCAGGGTAATTATTGGCAATAGCCACTTTGTGAATGAGTGGATACACACTACAAGTCCTGTGATGGCCTTTGCATCATTATATCTATACTGTCTGAACTTCGCCAACCAATACGCGTCTCAGTTGTTTGGAATTGGAGTTCAGACAGCTAATCAATATTTGCACAGCAGCAGCATACTCATTCAATGGAATATGGTACAATGTATTAACAGAGATTTTTGCAGGGCCGGAAATTTAGCAGGTACTTGATAATATGGTCCAACGTGACACATGGCAAACTCAGGGTGGCCAGACAGGACCACGCAATGGGTCATGCGCCCAGAAAAAACTGGTAGTCGCCACAGCTCAAATCTGATCTCCTTTGCAACAGAGTTTTTGCAAAACAGCTGATTGGCTATTCTGCAGAACTCAATCCAGGATTGGTATTACATAACCCAATCCCCGAGTAAAGAGGTCTTAAAGCAGTTGCATGAGTGAGGCAGGATGTCCATGGAGCGACAGATATTGGGCACAGGTCGACAGCAGCAATATGCCCACCTATTATATTTATTAACCTAGTTCAAAATTGGCTATTTGCTTGTCTATGCCAATATTATAATAATTACTTTTCTCTGCCCACTACAAAAGGTGTGACACGACCAAAACAACAAAAAACCATGTACCAATTAATATAAGAACTAAAAGTTGCTGGGATTTTCTGATTGGTGCACAAGTACTCAGCGTACATCTTGACTGCCATTTTGGCCAGCATACCCTTGCCTTGCACTCAGTAAATATGCGCTGCACCCAAAAGCATGAACATATTGTATCTTTTGCTGCCACTTTGGATCAATTTATAATTAATTCCAGCGTTTTGTAAGATGTTTAAAAGTTTGTCCTTATTTATGCGCCATATCCCGTAAAGATTTGGCTTACATAGCAGACAAGCGCTTTTTGCAACTGATGGTGGTAATACACTCGATCAAGCCCTGGTACAGCTAGCGCACATTAGTTAAGGTTTTTTGTTGTTGATTCGATACTGTTGGTCAAGAGGCTGCTTGGTGGTTGCTTTTTCGTTTGTTTTTTGCTTTGCTTGGATCTGTCCTGATATTTGTTGTTTATGGTGGATGCAGATGACTGCTTGTTGCCAGCAACAGCAAAAAAGCAGTTTTGTTTAAGGACACTACGCAGTAAATAATTGTTTTGGCCAAGGAAACGTGCGAGCGACCAGCAGGAAACTTTGAGTCGACGATTTTGTTCTATGTGCCATCAATAATTTTGGTGTGGGCTATTTGAAATTGGAAATTTGGTACTGCTGCCCTTCAGCGAGCAAATTTTCAAATGATTCGAGATTGGCGAGGGCTTTTCAGCGGGCTTGAAAAATGTATACATATTTTTTGTTTACCAATATCATTGGCCTTTTTAGCATAGCCGATTATTATTAAGCTGGTCATACTGTTATACTTTGAATTTCGATAGACGCTGCTCACAGGATCTTTGACAATGAATATGCTAAAAAAAGTGCGTGAAGAATTTCATATTAGACAAACATGCTGTCTCGCCCTTACATCTAGTCTTGGAGAACTTGCTGCGAGCGCCAACTTGGGCAAATGGCTCGATAACACTGTACTGATTTTCTTCTCTGTGAATGCCAGTTTTTCACTTTCATCCGTCAAATGTGCAATTTTGAACACAAAAATTGGCACAAAAGTCAGTAAAAAGGGTTTTATTTTTCAAGTTTCAAATTATGTACAAAATTTTTTTATTATATATACAAAAGCGCTGATCCTAGCAATAAACCGAGCACCGTGAAAAAAGTAATAAAAAAGTTGACGATGGACTGAATGTGTAGCCCAGAGTCGCATTGGCAAGTGTGTCAAAATGCTCAGCAGCTCAAAATTAATAAAGAAACACGTAATGAGTATAATTTAGTGGCTGTTATATAGTGCTAAAATATTGCTTTTATTTTTATTTTTCACGCTTCCTAGATCCTTACCTCCATACTTTTACTATGCCTTTATATTGTCTGTTTTTTCATGAGTTGCATCTACAGCATTGCAAGCTGATTAGACTTGTAATAAGCTGTGTTGCCATGTAGTTAAGAAATTTAACAAAACCCCAAAAATACTTACAATGTTTCAAGATCCATGGACACATTATTTTTTTGGTATTTGTAAGGGCAGATGTGAGCAAAGGGGTAAGTGTGTAATAAGAAGACAAAGTGTAAAGAGGAGGGGCTGGTTGAATTACAAAAGAAGATATGACGCGGAAAGCCTTTGTGGATTTGTTCAAACATTTCCTGGCATATGTTGTATTTTAAAAGTGAAAATGCAAAAATGTGAACCGTAGATTTTGCAAATGAAAGGTTTATAAAAAAACTGAAAGTAAATGGTATCCGCGGTTGCTGGCGGTATATCACGTATAGGGGACATGGTGTGGAAAGTGTAATTGATAAATATTGTTGTAAGAAATTGTGGTGGGGATGAGGAACTAAAAAATGTCTTGGGAAGTGAAGGCTCTATTTATATGAAATGTGACGTTCAAATGGATGGGCAAGGAAGAAAACTAAAACAGGCTTACCATTTGGAAAATATATGGAAAATGCAAAAGACAGTGTTCATTGTTGTTGTTTGCCAGCATGGAATATATTCTGCACTTTTTTGCACCAATAGGCTTGTTTCTGGTGACAAAAAACACTCCAAACTGCAAAAATAGAGGCAAAATATATTATATAGAGTTTGAAGAACGAATCCCTGTCAACATTGCATCGTTTGTGCCGTGAAATAAAGTGAAAATGACTTTTTCGTTTGCAAAAGAAATACAAACATGTGGTTGGCCAATTTTGCAAGCCAAACAATGAAATAATATATCTCTTTGGCGAGGTTTGTCCCAAAAATTGGAATGTACATTTAGTCAACCCGGGTAAGAGGTTCAATTTGAAACATAAACAATTGATGTTTGAACAGACAATTAATAAACCTTCCAATGAACAAGCACATTGTTCCATGACAGAGAAAATAAGAAGTAAGCATGTGTAATAAATGTGCTGTTTGCTTGTTTAAGAAAAATAATACATTATTATTTACCAATTCTGGCTTTTATTGCAAGAAAACAAGAAACCAAACATTAGATGTCATGCATCTTTTGTTTGTAATCAGTTGTTTTCTGTCAGAGTTATATAGAATGTACTATTTTGAGCAAAGAAATACGACAGCACATGTAAAGCTGATCCGCAAGATAAGACATTTGCTGCTGCTTGTTTTTGAGTCTGGGCAATTGATTTGATTGTTGTGATTTTCAGAGACCAGCCCAAAAATAGTTATAATGTGATTGTTACGCGGTTACTTGGATTCTACAATTACAAAATAGAAAATATTTTAAATGCATTGTACAATTGAAGGTTCTGTTTGGTTCCAAAATATACGCTTATAATCGTAATAGTTTTGCTTATTATCTATTGATCCAAAATATTTTCAAAATTGATTACCAAATCATGTTTTATTGCATAGAATGTAGAGCAGGCCGTTTTCCACTTGCCAAATTAACAACTCTATTTTTTATTGTCTAAATATCAAGTATGGAGCGCCAATTCGCATACACAGATTTTTCAACATTTAAAGATTATACCAAACATTATTTAATCGCAACCAAATACCAAATATTCCAATAATAGACAATTGGTCGAACAGTTAAAGTCTGGGGAACAGTAATAAATGGTTGCTCGGCCTTTTATGTAATTAAAAATATGACCGATAGATTAAACATTTTGTTTTGTTGCGCTGATTTCTCATTTTAATCGGCTATTTGATTGCATGAGATCTTCACTCCAAACTTGCTTATACGGACCATTTTATTTTTATTTTTGTTAATTCACTCATTAAAATGAGATTTATGGATTGTTTGCGAATGGTTTTCTATTTTTCTATCCAAATTCGGCTATTTTTATTTTGTCAATTAACTTCTTTGCAATAATTTTTCTGTTTAGCTGCAAGAGGTTTCTTCAATTTAGGCTTGCTTTCGTGTGTACACAATTGCTTTTTCTCTTTTTTTTTACTATTGAACCATATCCTTTATTTTGCTGCTATTTCTTTTTATTTACAATGCAGCCCAAGTCGTTCTTGTTCAAGCTCTTCTTGTCGGGTCAACAGTTTTTTCTTTGCCAACGCTGCTACTATTGACTGGGATAGTCAATGTGTGCAAGATAGTGTTAGAGGCGCTTGGACTACTATCCGTAATAATATGTTTACTCACATTGATGATATCAGAACCTATGCTGGCAATGATGCAATGACGAAAGTAGTCAATTTGATTAGCGGACCATATTTACCTACTTGCCCAACCTTCCTATTTTTAACCAAGTCATTGCAATTACTGGAACTGATTATATGAATTTTATTATTTCCAATGTTATTACTTTTCATGCTGAATCTATTAATTGCAATCCTTATTTCCCAGAAGTTGATTCAACAGAGCCTAACATAGAGACCGAGAGCTCTACTGAAAGCAAAGAGACTCCAAGCATGTACTCCGCTATCAGCTCTGACCCTGTGTATAAGTGCTCGGAGGTCACTATTACATACACCAAACCTCGCGTCCACACTACTTTTTATTAGGCAAATCACAAAATTTTTAGATGTTTTTATTTTTAATGAATAACCAATACACAGCTATTTGTTGTTTTTTACATTTTAATAATAATCTATTTCAAAATATATGAATTGAAATTGTCTTGAAAAATTTAAATATAACTTTGTGTTGGCAAAAAATGTGGGGTTTAAACTGGATAATGCCAACAAGCAAACAAAAAATAGAAATTTTAACATGTAACATGTTTTTGTGCTCTATAAAAACGTGGGTCTAAATTAATATATTCAGTCTTAAAAATTACTTTTGGAACTAAAAAAAGGGGGGCAGCGCTGTAAACAGCATGGTGTCCCTTGATGTCAGCTAGAAATAACAGAAATGTGTATAGCGGCCATGAGGACGATCTTGATTCTTGAGAAGAGAAGATAGTGGTTGGAATGTGTATTGGGCACTACACATAAAAATCCAAACATAAAAAGGTGTGTATACCTCTGAATGTGTTTGGAGAGTGTAGCTCTCGTAGTTTGCCTAATGTTTTTTAATAAAATTACAACAAAGGTGCAGGGCGTAGGAGCATTCGGCATACATCCCCATCCATGACTATTAATTCATCTCAAAACATACAAGTATTTTTGCGAATACAGGCCAAATAAGAACACTGCCACTTAATTGAAAACAATCGCGTTTAGGATGGCCAAAATAACTTTTCCTCAATAGCAACATAGTCTACATTTAATAAAATATTTCAAAGCCACCAAATTTGAAGAATTAAAACATCATTAATCTAGCTCGGTTTACGCATCATTGTATGGTGTGGGAAAGGGTGGGTATGCTGTCGGATATGGTGGATACATACGATATGTACGATATTGTGACGGCAATTCGTTAAAAATCAACGCTGAGCTATGATCAGCAAAGTCTTTGGGAGAAGTTGAAATAACAAAGTCACTTTTCAGCTTGTTCCGCCACCGCTTGGCCGCAAAATACTCCACGAGAAAGCCGATCAGACAAATGCAGACGAAGAAGCACATAGCATAGGCCACCAGATGGCTCAGCACTTTATTCAGAAAGCCGGCCAGACAAGTGCAGGTGATGAAGCACAGAGCATGGTCACCGGATGCCTCCACACTTTAGCCATCGTCCTGTGTGACCTAACGACAATCCGATCATTCTCCAAAGGAAACTCTATAGTAATATTGTTTGGGTACCCGGTACTCTTAATGAGGGCCCTCAATTCTCTTTTGACCAAATCGTAGTCCCAAATGACTTTTTTGTCCACCCTGAGTTCCTTTAGGAAATTTTCCGCCACGGTGTAGTCGTAAAGCAACTCGTGGATATCGTATTTCTCGATATACCTATTCTTCTTCCTTGCCCCATGCAACGTGCCCTTTTCCTCAATGTACGCCGACATATCGAGGGAGCAATTGAATCCACAATATTCTCCCACACCTTATTCACCACTTTACGAGACTGTCCGTCTTGTGAGGTTTCAATTCTCTCGACGTCTTTAAAACGCGCGTACGAGCCCTGGATCTTGACACAAGGTGGGGCCGGTCGTTGCACTCATTTATGAAACGCAGCAGAGCCACAGGATCAGTGTTAATCCAGGGGTCTGACGAGTAGCTCCCATCGCATCTCTTTTCGTATTCCAAGGAGGACAGAAATTCACGCCGAGACAGACTATTGACATAAATGAATTGTCCGCCTGAGAGCTGGCGGCTGGATAGGGTCTCGGGGTTCAACAAGTGGTTTGGCCTCAATTACCGACGGGACTTGCCAGCCGCCAGTGCCAGAGGGGGTGCGTCGGTGAGAGGAGGAGGACGTCGATTGGTTGTCGTCGAATTCGGCCTGAATGCCCATATTCACAATATCGTAGGATGGCGGAGGAAACTGTGGCGCCGACGGTTCAACCATCCCCGGTGACAAAGGTGGCTGATGTTGCTGCTGAGTCGTATTTTTTTCGGCAGCATGCATGCTTTCAGTTTTAACAGCGTCGTGAGTTGTAAAATGTAAAAAAAACTGTACTGTACTTGTGTGTGTGGGAGCAATGAAATAAGTTACAATACAAACAAAACAACTATTCAAAAAAGAAATAAGCTAAAATTAACGGACATGTTTCTGTTGCACATTTTTATATACAGATTTCACATCACAAATTGATGGATGTTGATGACACGAATAAAAAATTATTGGCATCACCAATCACTGGCCTACACGCAAGCTCTATGTCTGACGCACAATGCCTTTACGAAAAGGGTTCAAGCCCTCCTGTCTGACAAACAACAGCACCCCGCGAAAAGGGAGCAACCGATGACCAAATAAATTGATGACGGGGCGGCCAAATAGCCTCAGACAATAATTAGTCAGAATGAACCAAGTTCTTCTCTTGCCACACACATGTTGAAGACTGAAAAGGCTATTTTTAACATGTCAATAAATCTTGTATTATACTAAATTCCCAAAATTCCTTCTGGGAAGCCTTCCTATTGAATCTTCCCTAATTGCCCTTTTATAAGCAATGTAAAACTCCTCAAATGATACTGTATAAATCTGTATAAATGCCTATTCGGCATTAATGGAGTAGCTCATGGGCTCTCGGCTTAGACGAGCTTATATGATGCTCTGTCGGCATCACAAAGATGGTAGCATGCTTGCAGGCCTCATCACAATAGCAAATGTTTTTTTGCCACATGCTCAGAAGACTGCTGCCCTGAAACAGTCAAAACATTCCTTAACCACGATTCTGGGTTTACTCTTGTATGTCTCGTCATCGCCAATCAGTTTTACCTCACGTGGTCACCTACTGTGATTCGCTATAAATGAAAATTCCAAAATATATTTTCAATAGTATAAGTCCAGATTTTTAAGCGGGGGATTTTTAAAACCCGTTTTTGACGCAAAAAGGCATCGTCAGAGTCGGCTGAAGCTGAGTCTACAGCAACACCTGGGACTCTGCTCAAGCCAAAGTCCAAGCCCAAGCGTGTGCGCAAGAATCCATCTGCCCCTGCTTCTTCTCTTTGCAAGAAGCAGCGAATTGATTAATATCGTCAACCATAGTGGTCTATTGCCATTAGTTTCTAAACACTTTATCTAGGGGAAGGATGTCGGTTTATAGTATATTTGTAGCCTCATTCTTTTCTTATAGTGTAATCGAGATTTTAAGAAATTGCTGCGAACTGACCTTATTTAATTTTTGTGTGGTGCAGTGCGGTACTGAGGCTGAACTCATTTCCGTTCTAAACCTTTTCGCCTTTTAATTCCACTTTATTCCTGACACATTTCAATTTCCATTCTCGTAATTCACACAAAAATGCTTGGCTTTGGGTTTAAGCCTTTACTCGGGCTATGTCTGGGTACGGCCTCAGCCTTTTACATTCCCACCATGGGCCCCCAGTCCTTCCAGCCGGGTGACCGCGTGCCATTGAACGTAAACCGCGTATTCTCCGAGCACGTCCCGCTGCCCTTCGCCTACTACGACCTCTCATTTGTCTGCCGGCCGCAGGAGGTAATGCGGCCATGGCTGAACATCGGCGAAGTGCTCCGCGGTGACAGAATCGCATCCTCAGACTACGAGCTGACAATGGGAAGGAACAGCACCTGCAAGGTGCTTTGCACAAAGGACATGACGGCAAAGTCCAACACGGAGGCTGTGGAGTTTGTGCAGCAGGATTACTTGGTCGAATGGATTGTGGACAAGCTGCCCGGGGCGACGGCGTTTGCCAAGTACGACAAGGTCGGAGGCATGGGGCAGATGGAATACAGGCCCGGATTCAGCATCGGGAAGTATGAGGTCGGCAGGGCGTATTTGAACAACCACGTCACTATGCGCATTCTCTATGAGGAGCGCGGTGCGGAGGGGCGGAGGGTGACTGGGTTTGAGGTGTACCCCAAGTCGATCAAAAACGAGTCCGGCAGGTGCCCCGACCTAGGCGACGTCAATGCAGAGCGGCTCTTGATCGGCGAGTCTTCACGAATCACGTACTCGTACTCGGTGCAATGGGTTGAAAGCACTGTGCCGTGGAACCACCGCTGGGACAGCTACCTCTCGGCGATCAACGCACAGGTGCACTGGTATGCGATTTTCAACTCAGCGGTCATCATCCTGCTTTTGAGCAGCGTTGTGGGCGTGATTCTGCGCCGCATGCTCAACCGCGACCTGTCGGCGCTCAGCGAGGAGGAATTCAGGGACGACATTGAGGAGACGTCGGGCTGGAAGCTGCTCCACGGGGATGTCTTCCGCGCGCCGCAATACGGCGGCCTTCTAGCCCCTCTGCTGGGCACGACGGTTCAAGTGATGTACACTTTTATAGCTACCGTTGCCCTGGGCACGCTGGGCGTCCTGAGCCCATCCTACCGCGGTGGGCTGCTGACCACCGGCATAGTGATGTTTTTGCTCATGGGCGGGTTTTCGGGATACTACAGCGGCCATCTGTACCGGACATGGGGCGGTACCAACTGGTTCAAGAACGCCGTTCTGACCGCTGCACTGGTACCCGGCTTCCTTGCAGTCTCCGAGATCGTGCTAAACATGTTTTTATGGTACAGTTCGTCCTCGGCCGCCATGCCCTTCAGCACCATTATGCTGCTGCTCGTCCTATGGCTTCTTGTCGAGCTGCCGCTGACGCTTCTGGGTGGCTGGCTGGGCTTCCGTCGCCCGCCGTACTCCGAGCCCGCGCGCACAAACGCCATTCCGCGGCCCATTCCGCCGCAGCCCGCGTACCTCAAGCCCTTCCTGTCAATCATCCTCGCCGGCGCCCTGCCCTTCTCAGTAATCTTTATCGAGCTGTTCTTTGTGCTCAAATCCATCTGGCAGGAATCTTTCTACTACGAGTACGGATTCACAGTCATCGTCGGCCTGCTTCTGTCGCTGACGGTCTGCGAGACCACTATTATTATGGTATGGATGTCGCTTAACTCTGGCCATCACCGGTGGTGGTGGAAGGCGTTTGCATATGGCGCCAGCTCGTCAGTTTATATTTTTGCGTACTCCATTTTCTTTTACTTTACGCGGCTGAGGGCCGGCATGCCCGGCGTCGCCGGGTTTGTGCCGACGCTGACTTTTTTTGTGCACTCGCTGCTGATCTCGGCCGCATACGCGCTGTGCACCGGGTCGATGGGATTCTTTGCGGCGTACTTTTTCGTGCGGCGCATTTATCCCATGGTCAAGGGCTCTTAGTAATGTTTTCAATAATAAAAATTATTTTTATTTTCTAATACATTATTTTATTTTTGGTTCTTGGCTTGCTTGTACTTTTCGTTCTTGGCCCGCATGTAGGAGATTGATTTCATCACGCCCGATGTCAGAATGCCCTTGGCCGACTGCGTGAAGGCCGGTCTAGCAACGATCCTCTCGATAGCCTGCGCCGAAATATCTCGAATACCTTCCATGCCCACGAGCCTCTCCGAGTTGGCCGCCTCTGCGCCCAGTCCTGGGGGCAGCCTATTGCCGGCCTTCCGACCCAGCCTGACAAGCTGGTCGTAAAAGTTATTAGGCATCTTGCGCAACATTGCTGCCCGTGCAACAGGGCCCATGTCCTGCTGCAAAACGTCATCGCCGATGTACTCAAGGTTGGGCAGTCCCTCGATAATGCTCTTGTACCGCGACTTGAACAGTGGCATCTGCACGTCAACGATGTTGCGCACCTTTTGCGGATTCTCCCCGCCGACCCTCATCCGGAAATCACCCCTGAAGGACAATGAAGTGATGGTCTGGAACAAGTCCGTAGACGAAAAGTTTTTGGGCAGCATCAGCAGGGCTGCTCTGACGGCGTGGGTCAGATTGACCTGCTTGGAGATCCGCATCAGGGGGTCGCGACGCAGGGTCAGTGTGGGCTTGTGCATGCGGCCGGCCAAATACAACGAGTCCCAGTTGAGCAAATCGCTGCTCAGCGTGTCCATCGACACAACGCCGTACTTGACCATGACCCCGTTGATCTCTATAAACGGGTTGTAGTAGACCCCGGCACCAATGCGCTCTTGCACAAAGGTGACCGCATGCGATCCTAGGCTTCCCATGAACGAGTAATGCGATCGATTCTGCGTCAAGTTCAACGCGTGCCAGTGGTCCGGATGAGACACTGCAAAAATAAGATCAACCATGGGCTTGCTACTCCCATAGCCCGACTGTTTGTACACGCCGCTGCCGTAGGCAAAGGCATAGCGGATGGGCGCGTTAAATTGCTTGAGCACGTTCTGTAATTCACCCTTGATCTCGTCTTGCGCCGAGCGCATGTTCTCCAGCTTCAGCTCCTCCTCGGGGCTTAACGGCGGTATGCCCCGCAGAGTCGTGCCAGAGAACGCGGATCTGGGGTCGAGCAGGGATGCGGTGCTGGAACTCGCGGTTTTGGCGGTCTCTGGTGAAGAAACCCCTGTTTGTACATTGGTGCTGCCCTCCATACTCGCCGTTTGGCGCATACGTATCATTGACGCTACTGATCCATCGTTGCTGGACTTTTTGCTGATGTCCTCTTCAGTTGCCAGCTTACTTTCGCACCGAACCTGAAATACCGCCACCGCTCTCTAAATTAATAAAAAAATTGACGAATGTGAATTTAACGCTGAATTTATATTTGAATTTTTGCCATTTCTGCATACCTCGGTACTTGTACGAAAACTACCTTTGCTGCCCCAAACCTGCCGTTAGTCCACAGGTTTAGTGTTTTGTTTCTGCTCCCAACAATAAACGCGTTCATGCTTAAATAGGTGTATAGAGGTCAAGGACAAAAAAACCCCACACAATTTCAGAATTTTGAATTTTGAAAAAGATAACCCGAGAGCGGTAAAAATGTTTAAGTGACGTCGCAGTTTGTCGAGAAAGCAGAAGAAGAAAAGAAGGGGAACGCAAGAAAAAAAATGCGCACAAGTGCTTTTTGATCTTAAATCTCATCATGCGGGGTTCGATTTTCACGCCAGATTAAGAGAAAATCGATTAATTGAGCGAGAAATCAAACAAATAAAAATACATAAATAATGAAAAAGACCGTCTCTACCCCGCGCCACCTTGCCCATCATGAGCTTTATTGTAGCCCTGGACACATGCTCCTACTTGGTTCATAGCCCTGCTCCAGTATTTCAATTTATTCAATAATTCGCTTAGATTGCCAAGTTGACTGAAGCAGTTGCACTCATATTGTTACGCAGCAGGATTGACCACCACAGTGTCAATGATCCTTATTGAATGCTCATTGAAATCATGGTGGTCAATGGCTTCGGAAATTTGAGGAAATATTTCCCTATCGTGCACAGTTTGTGCTACTCAACTTGTTCCAAACCCGTATTTAAATCATGAGTCAATTGTAATAATATCAGTATCTGAATACGAAGTATTGCGAGCGAATGTTTTTATTTGGAATGCAGGGGTTGGCATATGAGCTGTTTCATAAAAACATAATGAGCAGATTTTCATTTTTCATTTTGGATTGGTCTCATTTCACTGAGTCATAGCCAGCGAAGACAGGTTAAATTGAACAAGTTTTTGATTCTGCCTGGCAAAAAAATACAATGAGGTGTGGCATCACTATAATTAAAAAAATTGGCAAGGTCCCAACAATGGGCGCAGGGAAATATTTATTGGTGAGAAGGCTCTTTTGGTAAACCCACACAACCAAACGTCTTTTTCTTAAAATGCCTGGCATACATAGCGCCTCTTTCGATTATATGTTTTTGTGCTTGAGAAAAGTAAAAATAATACAATTTGTCAAAAAGGCGTGTAATCACCAACATATCAAATAATTTGCACACCTGCATATGGTTGTTGAAAAAAAGCAGTTTTGTCGATTGGAAATAAAAATGTTCTGCCGAACCTTCTAATATTCCTAATTCAACTGCTGCAGCATTGTTTATTTTTTACAGAATATTCTGGTTAGAAATATGTTTACGAATGGCATAATAATAACCGGCCTTATAAATTGCTGGGGCCAAACTAACTTTAAATGGCGCACAATATGCTCATCACTTTGACAGTTCAAGTATGCATGTCTAATACGAAATACTCGACATAATGGAAACATTAAATGATAATTAAATGATGGTTGCACAACAACAATTTTGTAAGCCACTCTATGCGGGTCTTCCTTATTGGCCCTCTACCATAAATAAATTTGTACGCACTGCTGCTTTGTAAGAGAAGTTGACGGGCATTGCAAAGTGCAAATATAGAAAAGTGTATTGTTATTTTTGGACGGCAACCCTAACCTAGATCGGCAACGCAAAACAAAAAAAGGAATGTTGCTTCCAATAAATTGTAGATGGCTTGCGCATATAAATAAACGAGTTATTCACATCAAGCAGGAACGCAGTCTCACACCTCGTGCTACAGCGAAAGGGGTGTGCAATAACCAATGTATGTGGCCACTTGTTCATACCGGCTGCTTGAACATGTGAAATACCTGTGAAGTAGCAACATTTTAACGATTCGGTCAATCTGCGCGACAAGGGGTATAATGAATTAGTTTGTGTCACCTTGTTCTTCCTTTTGTTTGCGTAAATGGCCCTAATCCGAATAGATGGCGTTCGCGGTGGTGTGATTCGAGCTGTAGGCACACTTGCAATTGAGATAATTTAGCTTTGCAGTATTCTATTCAGGCTTATGTTGCAAAATAACAGACACAGCTGTCCGCATGGCAACATTGCTAAAATTAGACTTAATTAAACTGAGGGAATGCTTGCAAGTGTTTTGAATACTTTTACACATCACATTTGTCGCTTAGACAATTTCATGCAATGCAATGCCTTGCTACCAGGCTGGCCTTTAAGCGGCAAAACCGTACTTGCAGGTGCCTCAAGAAAAGCCGATACCATTCCCTAACAAAAAAGAATTTCACTCCCTAAAATTCGATGAACAATGCCTGCATATGCACGTTCATGCAGCTCATGGTCCGCAGTTGCAATATAGTGCCGTTGTATGTTGTGAGACACATGTTCCATGTCACATATTACAGAGTGCAAGTGGTTTAGAGAGCCGGTTGCAGATACTATAAAGTACCGCACAGGCGCTCAAGTAGCCCTCGCCCACTTTTTCTTCACAAAATTTTCTTTGCGCTAGTTCTGCACTCTAATAGCATACACTCCTACTCTCCTGCTATCCTACCTGCTTCTATCCTACTCTGCTGCTTTCCAACCTCGCTGCTCTTTTACCTTGCTATTTTCCAACCTTGGTGCTCTCCAGCCTTGCTGCTCTCCAACTTTAGCAACAAGGATGATACAAGGGTATGAAAAACTAAGATGTGTTTGATAGATCTCCACTGTTGTATTCTCCTATTCTCCTATTCTCCTACTCTCCTATTCTCCTACTTTTATAATTTTATATTTCATAACTTTTTCGTTCCATCGTTTGGTCAACTCAATTCCTGCCATTTTTATTTATCCTGACTTTAAAATTACCTTTTCTCTTTTGTTCGTCGCGCTGCTCGCGCTTGCATACCCGGACAAAAGCGCCGTGCTGCCCAGGAGGCTCATATTATTGCCCTAAATATGCAGCTAGAGGAAGCCCAACAGTCCGCCAAAACTTTTCCAACATGGCCTGCAACATGGCTGCCAACTTTGAACGCTCGATGACAGAGCCAAGAAGTGCCACAAGATGGAACTTGCCGATGCTGTGGAAAATCTCACCCAGAAATCCGCAAGGCCTTGCATGAGGCCGAAGCTAACCACGCAAGAGGCCTGCAGGTCGCCGAGGATCAGATTCGGAGTGGTCGATCAAGCAGCCAAGGACAAACTCGAACTCCAGGCTGAGATAATCCAAATTCGCGACAACATCAAGAACGTCAAGGACAAGATGGCGGTAGCAGTGAATGCTGACCCGAAAGTCCCTGCGCTAGCGTTGAATGGATCCGCAAATACTTTAGTCCAATCCGAGACTGTCAAGGACACTGAAGATACCCCTTCCGCGCTCCTCAAGCACACCTACCAAAATTCTGCCGAGATACTACCAGCCAATGGATACATCAAGCGCTGATGCAGCTCTTGCCAACCAGAAATGCCGCCGTAACCGCAAGATCATCCAGTTCAACCTCTATCTGGCCCGGGCAATGTTCCTGTCCAAGCATATGTTTGAGCTTGAGGATGCTACTGTGGATGGGCTGCGAGTTGCCGAGTTGTATCTTTTGCTTGACAACAACAATGGCGTGGATGCGCTTGACAGGTACTTTTTTTTAACAACCTGAAGTGCTTCAACGCGGATAAGAATAATAACAATATGGAGGCGAGGTGCTTGGATCCCGACTTCTTCCGCCAAATCCCCAGCATTGCGAGCAGAATCTGAGCAATAAAAACGACTGGGCCACTTGGATGACTACTCTTTGATTGTCTGCGCTTTGCCGGCGAAGCGCATTTTGTATTTTCCACCCACTTTTTATTTTAATTTTCTGTATAATATTCAATTTCAACTTCATATTTTAATTTCTCAATGCCATCGAAGATTACCATTTCAGTATTTAGTTAAGCTGCTGCAGATTCATGTTTATAAAGGACGGGGCATAAAGGCGACGCGAAAAGAAGAGGCTGCGCCACTGCGATGGAACCGCTGGGAGATTATGCACGCCCAAACCACATCGACAGAAACCGACCCGCGGCCGCCGCCGAGATGGGAACATATCCAAAAAAGTATGCTAGAACCAAAACACATCACTCCTCTGGATGATGGCCCAAGGGGTGGTTACTCACGGCCTCCCAACTGTCGCATTGTGCCTATGGGCCGGAAAATAAGTGCAAAGCCTGTACCACTGAGACTGATACGCTTGTGCACTACTTCTGAGAGTGCGAGCGCGTCCAGCGATTCTGGCTTCTCGTATTGCACTTATTGCAATACAACCATAACAATCAGACAGGACCGGTACTCCGTGTCAATAAGATAATGGTTTGGTCAACGGTTTCGGAAAGTCGAGGAAATTATTTCCAAACGCAGACGCACTCCACGGTCTGGCTGTCTTGGGGAGATATACCGCAGGCCGAGGTTTCAGTGGACGGACATTAAACTCACAGCAGACGCCATGTTTAGTTGCTGGAAATCTTTAGTAATGAGCCACATCGTACAAGACTTTCACTAATCGATCCCACATCTCAAGGCAGCCTGTACATTCAAGGACCGCTGGACAACGGGTGCTGTACCAGTGGTTCTAGTTTGACACATGCGAAAAAATAGCACACCGGAACGCTTACGTTTCGCAAAGCTCTAGTCCAGGACAGCCGTCCCCAATTACCACGCACAACGCACTCCCCCACATTCGGACATCAGCACCAATGCCCCTTCAATGGCTATATCACCAGCCCCACCACCCAACACAAGGGAATTATTGTGAACAACTCGTTATCTAGTTTTTGTTTTATTGGCTTTTTATAATAGGGTTCGCACTAAGTTGCTATGCCAAAAAATATGTCATTATTTCAACAAAAACAACATTGTTAGTAAAAAACTATTAATTTATGTCGTTTTATTTGTTCTATATGGCCCGAATGTATTAAATGTTCATAAACTACATCAATAATTGTAGCCCTTTCGTGCGCTATGCCTGTTCAAAAATTATTTTTGTTTTCCATGTGAGTTTTGTGAAGGCCATCCATGACCAAAACACATTCTGAAAGTGTACCAAACTCTTTTGAAATGTAAAGCCATGATGTCAAGTTTGGCAAAGGCGGTGTTCATATCGTAACGTGGCGTGTCATAGCATGTCTTAACGGACACGTGTGGCCACTTGATCTTTAGCATGTTGTATAACACCAATCGACTTTTTTGTAGATGGTGGAGCATGCGTGTGTGTATACGCTTCAGCAGTTGCCAGCAAGATCAATGTTCCATCGTCTCAATTTCGTGCAATCAAGCATCGACACTCTTTCAAACACACACATTCGCACTTGCTTTGTTGTTTATCCTTGCATTCGAAATCAAACACGAAAAACAACAACTACTACTCAAACAAGCAATCAAAGGTTTACTTGTAGGTCTTGCCGTCGTAGCACTCGCGGGGCAGGGAAGGACCCTCCCAGGCAAAGCAATCCTCAATCTCGGCGCGGGTCTTGGGGTCGGTGTGGTCGGCAGCGGTCCAGTTGTAGGACTCGTAGTCGGCAGCGTCAGTGACCTCCTCGGGGACCTCCAGACCGCGGACAATGAAGTAGCCCCAGATCATGTTGTCGTCATCCTTGCCCAGAGTGAGCAGGTTACCGAAGGCATACTTGCGAGCGCGCTCGAGACGGTTGAAGAAGCCGCTGATGAGGTTGTTGGTCATGAACAGCTTGGTCAGCTCGTCGTTGTACTTGTACTCGACCTTCCAGAAAGAGTAACCCTCAGCATCAAAGTGCTCCCAGAGCCAGTTCATGGCGGTGGGCTTGGTTTCGTTGTTCGAGTAGAAGCGCTTCCAGTCGTCGAGGACCATGTTGGGCTTGGGCAGCAGGTCAAGCTTGCTCTTGGGCTTGGGGGCGGCAACCTCGACCTCCTCCTCGTCGTCCTCAGCGGGCTTCTCAGCCTTCTTGGGCTTCTCGGCAGCAGGCTTCTTCTCGGCGGCGGGCTTCTTCTCGGCCTTCTCCTTCTTGGCGGGAGCGGCGAGTTCAATGCGCTTCTCGCACAGAACAACATCGCCAACAACAGCCTTGAAGGCGGGCTGGGCGACAATGGTCTTGAAGTAGCGGGTAAGGTTGCGGTACTTCTTGCGGTCCTCGCTAGTCAGGTACAGCTTGTAAGCCATGATCAGATCACAGGCGACAATGACATCGGCAATGGTCAGGCGCTCACCAACAAGGAAAGTGCGGTTAATGAGCAGGGAGTTCAAGACATCAATGAAGCGGAAAAACTGCTCCTCGGCCTGCTGGTGAGCCGGCTTGAGGAACTTTGTAAAGCCGAGTAAAGGTGCCATGGTGCCCAGAGCAGCGGGCATAAAATCGGCCTCGGCAAAAAGGATGTACTGGAGAATCTCAGCAGTCTCCTCGGCGGTCTGGCCGAGCAGAGTAGAGTCGCTGCCAGTCTTTGAGGCAATGTAGTAGGCAATAACGTTCGAGTCAGTCACAGTGAAGCCGTTGGCACCCTCGAAAGCGGGGGTCTTGCCAGCGGGGAACTTGGCCAGGTACTCGGGGTCTTGTTGTCAACGCCCATCTGGAAATCGGGGGTGGTGTTGATTTCAACACCGAGGTACTGGGCAACAATGCGAGCCTTGTAGTTGCGAAAGTTAGGCATAGGGCCGTTAAGAGTACCGAGAGGAGCCATTTTGAGGGTAATTTATTTGCTTTATTTGTTATAAATTGAATTAAATTGGTAAGATGAAGGGAAAAAAGAAGAAATTTGTGCCCAAGTGGCTTGGATGATAGCGTTAAAAACGGTAGCCTATTTAGCCGAATAAAATCTGCACTGATTAAATACATGTTAAAAATCAACAATCCCGATCAGCAGCCTATGAAGTTTTGGTTTTTTTTGCTGGTTGAAAACGGTCTGCATAATCTCAAATGCGAAAAACACGCTTGCTCTTCTTTTTAACATCTCATATTTAGTTTACGTTTTTACAATTACCATGAACGATAGCTACACCAGCACAGTAGCGGACGGACCCAAACCGGAGGTCAAGGCAGTCCGGCAAGTGTTCCGCGGAAAGGACGCGTTGGGCAAAAACCACCAGCAGACCATACTAAACGTGCTCCGCATGGCATGCTCTGAAGCCATTAGGCAGCCCGACTTTGGCGAACAGATTCAGAAAATAAAGCAGCAGTTCTATGTGCGCAACTTTGATAGTATTTTCATGGACCCCGTTAATCTTCCCATCTACACGGCACAATATGTGCCGCGCCGCGCCTTGTGCTACTACGATATATTCAGCGGCCCTGAGCTGCAAGCGATCTTGCGGCAAAGACCAAACATATTCTGCCTTGGAGCGGGATCAGGCAGCGAGCTTGTAGGAATATCCGCTGCCAGTTGCCAGGCGCTCGACGGCGATGGTGCGCCCATCACTATACACTCGCAGGACTACACGGACTGGTCGTCAATTCTCAGCTCGCTAGAATATTCAATTAGACAAAAGTGGGGCGTTACCGAGAAGCAGATCAAGTATGAATTCAGCATAGGCAACCTCTTACACATTACGCCCACGATCGAAGCGCAAATGGCCCAGGCGCAGTTGGTGACGGCAATGTTTGTCTTCAACGAGCTTTTTTCGGACAAGGTCAATGCAATGAACTTTGTCAAGGCTGTTGTCAAGAACGTGAGCTCTGGAAGTTACTTTTTGTTGGTTGATTCTGCGGGATCGTTTTCAAATATCAAAGTGGGCAGCAAGAGCTACATGTCGTACATGTTTTTTGATTCGCTCGCCCAGTATTTCACACCCATCGTTTCTGAGGATTCAAGGTGGTTCAGGCACGCGCACGGCTTGAGTACCCTCTTGGCATTGAGAACATGCGGTACTTTATCCGGCTCTATCGGAAGAAGTAGCAACCCTTGTTAGATTGAAAATTGAAGATGGTGTACAGCATAGAATATACACGTGATATTACCCCTGTAACTCGGCTTTTTGTCATTGAAAGATTATTCATCCAAAATTTTTCTCGCGTCAAGTTAAAAAAATAACCAACTTATTTTGCATTTTTTTGTTTACGACAAGTTTCTTTTTTCATTTGTTAGCACTGTACAAATAACTACACATACCAGTGACTCCTAGCAACATGCCACCGACTGGTCAGCAACTCACGGACAGAGAAGCAGCACTGCTGACGGAGTACGAGCTGATCCGCAATGAGATTAAGAAAATGGGCAGCTTGATAGCGACATCAACGAGGAGGAGCTGGATGCGCTGACCCAGTCGATGCGGTCGGTCGAGCAGAAGCTAGCCCTGGTATACACAGTGTTCAGGTCATCTATATATGCGCATCTTAGCCAGCAAGAGATGGCCGGGCAGACACAGGATGATATGGCGGCGTACGGCGATCAATTTCAGACCAACTGCCCGCCGTTTGAGTAGCCATTTGAAAGATAAAAACGAATAATGTATTTGTGGATAATAACATAGCATATTTAGTAAACACTACAATGAAGCACGAGTGATGCATGATGAATGAGAAAGTGGCAATACAGCAGCTCTGTTAAAAAAAGTCAGGTGTGTATGTGTGGGGATAGACAACGCTGCCAGCGGCAGTGCTGAAGGCATCCGAAGGCGTCTGAGTGCCAGAGGCGCTGGCGCTGGCGACCTCGCTCTTGCCAACCATGTGTGGGGAGTTCTTGTACACCCAGCTGCCGGTTCCAATACTGTCCTTTGCAGGGTACAAGTACTTGTAGCTGTCCCTAACAGCAGGCTCACATCGGCGTCCTCAATCCACACAAACATACTGGGCTCCCACTTCTGGTTGGTATCGGCACGCTGCTTGCGTACCGCACGCTGGGCCTCCTCGATAGCAGTCTTCTCCTTCGATGCAGTGTCGTAGTCGCCTCTAGCCAGCGCATCCGAGACCGCATGCCACACCTTGCGGCTCTCGAGCTCAGACTGCTCATCAAGGGGCTTGATGATAATTTCAGCGGCGGCTGGGCATTGACATCAAACAAGACATCCTCCTGGCGCGTCCGCACATTAACAGCGCGCGATTCGCCCACCCACTTGCCCTTCAGCACATAGAGCTGCTCCTGCCCAGGCCCATCCTGCACAAAGGTAGGCGCGAGATCCTTGTATATCTTGCCATCAAACTTGTGGTACTCGCCATACAGCCAGGGCTTCGTGTGCCACTGGAACTCGGCCGTGTACCCCTTGCTGGAGCGGATAAATGTGTTGCTGCTCATCTCCAAGAAGGGCTTTCCAGTCAGGATCGAGCAAATGTTCAAGTTGGGCAGCGACAGGCTGTACACCTCATCGGTGTTCTTCATGCGCAGTGTCACCCGGCCCTCCTGGACAACTTTCATGGTTGTGCTCTTGAACTTTGACTTTTGGGAAAAGTGGCCGCTACCATAGATGCCCGCCTTGGCGTTCTCAAAATAGATAGCGCTGACTGGCGGGTGGTGCGACACCTGCTCGCAGATAAACTTGGTCTTGCCGTACTCTGCGTCGTCCCACGATGCAAAAAATGCTCGCCGAGGATGGGGTTGAAGGGCTTTTTCTCGCCAGAATTGGACTCGGCAACCCGCTTGTTGAAGCTGCCGTAGAGCGTCGAAACGAACCACCGCGCGACAAGCTTCATGCGCTCTACATGTGCAATAGCAAAGTAATAGTAATAATTAGTGAGAGTCAAAATATGCACGCGCAAAGTGTTGGTTAGAAGATCGATGCATGCTTTTAACGCAAAAAGATCTTCACGTGTATCTCAGAAATCGTGACGATGACTGACTGACTGACGATCGCATCGAACCGCGTGGCAAGGCATTCGCAACGCAATAACAATAACAATGGACAATGGGGTTGGCAGTAAATTCAATAAATGAAAACCCAAACAGCGCATATGTACCTTCAGAGTCGGCGGCCTTTGTAATCTCTGCCAGAACAGGGGATAGTCGCTCCAGTGCGCTCTACAACATTAAAATAAAATAAAATAAAAACCAGTCGTTAGAAGCATGATTACAAAAGTCACAATAGACAGAGTATCACATGCCTATACATGAACATTGCCGACGCATGGCTGGTACTTACCCGTATTCGAGTAGCGAGATGCCGTTGAGCAGGAAGGACGGGCAGGTCAGTGAGGATAAGTCGCCGGTGAACGAGAGCACGCCCTTGAGGAAAGATATAAAGTCGCTCGACTGCGACTGAGACGCAGGAACAATGTTGCCCGATGGCTCGTTGACTGCAGTGCTGCCCTTAATGCCGGGGGAACCCGAACTGCTCGAGCTAATTGATTTGCTGTCGCTGGTCATTTGAATCAACTGAAATGTAAAAAATAAAATAAAGTGAATGCGAATTTGAGTGCGAAAAATTGTTTTTGATTTTATAAAAATGAAAAAGAGAAGAGAAGGAAATAAAAAAAACAGGGAGCGCGGTACAAAATGGCGGGGATATCAGTTGAGTTGAGCTGAGGTTTGGGCGCGGAAAACCAAAAAGGCGTCAAAGAATGAAAAAAGGACAAAGCGCAAAGGCCCAAAAGTAAACATTGTGGAAATTTGACAGCGGCTGACCTGGCCTTGTGGTTCAGGCGGGCCAAGAACTTTTATGTGACCAAGCGATTCAGCAGTCAAATTCGTTCGCCCTTCGCAGCGCGTATGTGCAGTATGTTTCAAAGTAAAATAATATTTTGGATTTAATTAAAAATCAATGAGATACCAGAGTGCGGCTAGGTTGGCCCGTTCTTCGCAGAGTTCCATCACGAGAGAAAATGTATTTACTTGGCAATACCAACAAACAGATATAATTTACAAACCATAGGTAATAAACGAATGACAAAACATGTGCTAATTTCCGATCACACCTTTCCAGCCCTCCATCACATTCCCACGATAAAACAACCCATTTCTGCCAACTTTAACGAAAAAGGCAAGGCAAGTCGATTGGATACGGCCGGCCAAAAAGGGCCGAGCCTACTGCTTCTGACAGCAGAACTTGTTCTTTAATCCACACATACGGGAAAACAAAACAGAAACAGCCTCATTTGGCATTTTATATCCTGATTTCAGTGTTGAATTTGCTCAGATTCAGATATCTAATAGGAAAGGAAAGACATGTCATTAATGCCATTTGCATGCAAGCTGCAGCAAAGTGCCGACATAGGAGTAGTGGAATAGCGAAAAAAAATTACGTGTCCCAACTTTCTCATGCTTCTATCTATCAATTGTATTGTACTGTAGTGCTTTGCAAAGTCAACTATTCACGCTTTGTGTTGCACTTATCGATGCAGACATATAGTTACATAATTGGGGTATTTCTTTTTTGGAGCGCTGTCAGTTTTTTCTTTTTAGCGAATAAAAGTTGGTCAATTTTTTGCCACCATTACTTTGTTTCATTTTAATATTCATCTTTTTATTTTTCTTTCCAAACTCATTTTTTACTATATATTGAAGCTATTTTTTGAAATTGTAAGTTTCGTCAGGATGCCTTTTAGAACATACGGGTTGCCAAAATAGTACAGGCCAATTGACAGTTCACGCCAGCACAGTTACTGTCATCATTGTCGATTTTTAAACTATGCGCACGAATGCTTTTTTTAGAAAAAGTTCTTGCCCACGAATACAACTATTCCAACACAACACGCACATGTTTTGAACATTGTTGCCACCCGTCAAGTATGTATCACTAATTTTCCAATATGTAGCTGTCATTATGTTATTAGCACTGCTCCTATACAGCCAAAGGCGCCAGCAGGCTAGAGAGTGGGCCAACTTTCTGGAACAGATAGAGGCCGGAAGTTCCAAAAATCAAAAGCATACTTAACAGAGAGCGAGCTCGCTCTTATTCCAGTGCGCAAACTCAAAATAGAAGACATGCGCTATGCTTGCTGCAAATTGAAGCAGGACCCAATGCACGCGCCTGCAGATACTGCAGATTTACCTCCGAAAAAGCCGTCCATTTTGCTTACATTGTGTCGCTAACTGGTTTCAGCCTAAGAAATCAAAATGTCAGCAAGGCCAAAATTGCCGCATTGCCTGCAGTTATTGACAGTGAGTTGTGCTTTTCTCAATTATGCGGAGAAAACTGCCCAGTTTGTCTTGGAGACTTTGAGGTTGGGGAGGAGGTTCGGCGGCTGCCATGTTTTCATTTCTTTCACGATGTCTGCATCGGACCGTGGCTCATGAAGCACTCAGCCACTTGTCCGCTGTGCAACTTTGACGTGGGCGCCATCTTTGACGGCAAAGGCGACGGCAGAAACATTGTGGAATCTGCAACAAATAATAATGCCGAGCTACACGAACAATTGTACTTTGCACTCTGAATCGACATTTGCAATTGTAATTGTTTTGTGTACATACTCGTTAATGCTCTTTCGGTGGCCGTCAAACATTTCTAGTGTAACTCGAAATGTAATTTGATATTGAAATAAAATTAATATTAATACTATCGCTCTATTTACAGCCTGTCAATGTCCTTCGGCATAATAGCCGGCGGCGTGGCCATGGTGTAGAACTGGTCGACATAGTGGGTGAATGCCTTTGGATGCCGCCAGAACTTTGGCGTCTCCGGAGGCTGATACTCCTCGGGCGCCAGTTTGACTAGCAGCATGCCGTCCACTGGGTTGATCGACACCAGTTGCACACGCACCTTCGTTCCCGCAAACGGCAGCTGCATGCGGTCGATGGGCCGAGGGATCAGAGCAGCGCGAGCCTCGAGCACACCAATGATTAAACTGATAAATTGACGGGTTTCATCGCGATTGTCCACGGTGGCCGTCCACACAAGTGGGCCAGGCTTTTGCGGATTGTAATACGCCCAGGGCAGATCATAGTAGAGCGGCGAGTTCGGATCGTAGAATCCAGCAGGAGGCAGCTGCAGCCTGCCATGTCGGGCATCGCTCTCCATGCGCTGCATCAGTGTGTACGACCAATATGCGACATTCTGAGAGATGACCTTGTCAGCCGAAAAGGTCCTGCGGAAAATAGGCGATCCAATTATAACCATCTCATCGCGGTTCCAGTACCAGGGTGACTTGTCTCTGCCATCGCCGTGTTCCGCCAGCATCTGCGCCTTGAGCTGCCAGTGTCCGATCATATCCTCGATGCGTCGGATTGGCGACGTTACGCGCGTGTATCCAAACTCGTCCTTGATGCCCATGATTGTGTGGTGGCCGGGCGTGATGGACAGCACGCTGGCATTCATCATGTGGCGAACTTCGTCATACGTTTTGCTGTCGATAATACCGTTGTTGGCACTCGCCCTCCGTAAAACCGCGTTAAACACCTCCTTGGCAGAGTTTGCTTGCTCGGGGGACAGATCGTCAAAGGCCAGGGGCATGCCGGCAGTGACACCACTCAGGGCATCAAAGTTCGGCGGGTCCTGCACGCGGTAGAAGAATGGAATACCGCGGCCGCTGGTAAGCACACCGTTGGCGTTGGCGCCGGTATTGCCGGCACTCGGCCCATGCTCGCTTGCATAGCGGGCACCAAGCCGGCCAGCAATGATCATCAGCTCGCTGACCATTGTGCGCGCGGGGTCGTCAGTCATCCCCTCGACGCGCGTGGTGATCTTGGGGAACTTCAAACAGTCAAGCTCAGGCCGTCTGGAGAGCTTCTGAACGAATTTTGGGTTGCTGATATTGTATGTGGGCGGATTCAAGGCGGCGTCGCCGACCGATATGTCGTAGTTGTTGCTCAGCCGGGAAAATGCGCCGTTCCTATTGCGGAACTCCGTATGCCTGCGCGCGATTGCCTGGATGTCGCGCAATTGTGCAATGTCCTCCTCCGAAACGCTGATATCCGTGTTGCCATACATTCGGAGCTCCTCGCTGCTGGAACAAACGGATGGATGATGGTCGAGTGGCGGACTGCTGACTGGAGCTTGGCCAGTGAATTTGCTGACGAACCCTGCCACCCGAAGGACAAGTGGCGGGCCAGCGACTCATACGGAGTGGCCTTGATGTTGTTGACAATTCCCGGGCGGACCTTATAGTCAACAATGTCTCCATTGGCGCCAATCAGCGCCGAAAATGTCATCGTGCGCACTGGCTCGCCATCGCAGTGCTTCGAGAGCGAAAACAGCTCTTCCGCCGTCGGGAGACTCAGCATGTGGTTTGTTTGCTCGACAAAGTACATCGATGTGGCCTGCCTTTGAGCTGCATGGGAGGCAATGTGTCCCGGGTGAAGCACGGCCGTCGGGTCGGCAATGTGAATGTGGATCCACTTCTGCTCCTCGCCACTCGTCGTCCTGACCGTTTCGATAGACACGCCGTCGTCCACATCGCGAGTGCTCGCATGATCGATCGTGTACACCGGCATATTGCCAAAGTCGTGGCGGATATCCTCGCAGATGTCACGGCTGTAAAACTCAGCCTGTCCAAGAATGCTGACGCCGCTGCCGTTGTCGCCCTGCTTGCGTGTCAGGATGGAATCGCGCACAGGGGGCGCCAGGGACTTGTTGACCTTTATGGACGCCAGCTGTTCTTGCGCAGCGAGCTTCACCTCGTCGCTGGCGTTCCCGCGCTCTGCTCTCACCGTTTCGAGATGGCGATTGAGCAGCATATTGGAGACTATCCGGCGCTCGTAGTATGATTTATCGACGCCAAGCATCGCGTACGGGTGCTCGCGCGAGTGGTTAAAGGGATTGAACCAGTGGGGCCAAACGCCGATGTCGATCAGGAAGCTCGTCACCGTGTTGGCGCCGCAGCCAGGGTAAAAGCGCATCTTCTTGAGGATGGGCGGCGCCAACGACTCGAATGGAGATATAAAGTTCTTGTACCCTGACGTCTGCTCAAAGACGTACTGGCGCATAGCGTCAATAAACAAAAAGTCCGTCTTGTCAAACTTCATCTCCTGGACCTCCTCGCTGGTCAGCATGGGCTCGGTCGGCGGCGGGCGTTGGAGCACTTTGATATTCGATTCCCAGTCGGTCAGCCTGCACTTCATTGTTTCCTTGTACGCCTCGTAGTCAGGGTCAATTGACGAGCGGATCGGCGAAGTGGGGGCGTGCGCGTTCGAGTATGCAACGAGCTGGCGAGCCTTGCGGATAAACTGCTGGAACTCGGGCGAGTTTTCCCGCATCAGCTCTTGGGTCTTTTGGAACTTCTCAACAGCCAACGGGTGGCGCAGGAAAAACATGTTTGTGACAAAGAGGAACTCGCCATCGGGAATGTACTGCAGCGGGTTGCTGATTAGGTGCATGTAAGTCGCCAGCCGCTCAACCTCGCCAATGAGCTTGTTGCCGCTGTCGCCAAAGATCAGCTCAGCCAGGGCATCGACTGTCACGCGCTGCTTGCCGCGGGCAGTCGCAATGCTCCAGTACTCCTCCAGCTCTCGGTACCGCGACCGCATCAGTTGCTCTGCTTTCTGGCGCAACATCCGCGTAATGCGCGGGAAAACTCGAAGCATGACGTGTGTCACCGGTTCCTCTTCCCCCTCCTCTCCGTCGAGCGACTTCTTCTCAGACGCAGAAATGCCAGAGGCCGACGACGACAGCGGCGCCGCAGGGATCAGTGCAATGTCATCCTGGGGAATTCCGTTTGACAGTGCGGCTGTATTAGCGCCGGAAGCAGAGTTGCGTTGGTTGGCGGCCGCCTGGAACGCCAAGCGCTGAAGCTCCCGCAGCTTCTCTGACTCCTCGGCGCTAGTCATAATGTCTTTTCCGTGCTCGGCCTCGTACGCATCCATCTCTCTGCCGTACTCCAAAATGCGTTCAATGTCCCGCGGCTTGGCGCCGCTGCTTTTCAAAAGCTTCTTATCAAAGAGCAGACCCTTGGAGACAAACCGACGCGAGTCTCGCGCGCACCCGTCAAAACGCCGTCCGACTGAATCACGTTAAAGTGGAAGCGACCTGTGACCTTCTGAATGACACCACCGAGATACACCGGCACCGAGAAGGGCGAGTTCTGTGAAGTGATCATGTTGTAGCGGATCTCAATAACGTCGCCCGTGCGCACAGACGCGGATATCGGAATGTGAACCTCATCCAGATCACCCATGCCCTCCCTGACATGCTTCCGAACCTGGTCAACCGACGGCAGGTTGATGCGACTAATCATGCTTTTCGGCAAATCTGAAGCCGTCTCCGCGATGCTGTGACTTCTCGAAATGCGCTTTTTGTAGGATTTCATTTTGCCCGTGTCGAGATCAAAGCCATCCGCGAGTTGCTTGAGTGGCGACGTTCGCTGTTTGCTCTGCGGATGCTTCGAGCTGTGGTGTACTGGCTTTTTCGAACAACTATCCGCTGTGTTGGCTGTAGCAGCAGCGTCTTCATCTTTGCGAGCTAAACGGGAAGTGTGGAATGAGCGCGTTCCAGGCGGGCTGCTGCGCGGGCTTTTGCCTGCGCCCCTTGAGCCAGACAATTGACCTGTGACATTTCCAGTCCCGTCGGTCTTGGCAGACTCCATGTCGGCGATGTCCTCATCGTAGGCCTTCCAGCTCTTGCGAATGAGCTCCTCAAACTCGGCGTTTTCATCAAGAAATGCATTGCCGCCGGCGTGAATGTCTCTCACATGCTCGGGGTCCAGATACGCGCTTTCGGCCAGATCAGACGCCTCAGCAAGGTCGTCAGGGGCGCGCTTCGAGTCCATCGAACGTAGAAGGGTATCCATGGACACAAGGTTCTGGCGGAAGTCCTTATAACCCTTGATCTTGGTCATCCAAATCCGCCGGCGCTCTTGCTGCTCGGCAGTAATGCCTAGGTTGGCCGCCATCTGCTCAGGAAGTGGCGACACCTCAAACGGACCCGATGCGTTGCCGGTGGCGCTGCCAACCACGTTGTCCTCGTCATGAATAGACGCAATCTCAGCATTCTGTTCGATCGTCCGCTGACTGTTGCGCAGCATGCGCGGTCGCTGGCGCAGCAGCATCTTGCGCTCCGGCTCTGCCTCGCCTTTCACCTTCTCGGGAGTAAGATCACGGTAGTCCATGCGCCGCAGCTCATCCTTGGCCAACGCATCGGCGTAGTTCCGTGGCGGGTTCGGGTGCTTTATCAGGGTCTCTAGCTGGTTGATCAGCTGGTCAAAGGTGGTTGCCGGACTGCCCAAGATGTCGTCAAGCTCGGGGTACTTTCCTCTGTCTCTTCTGCCGCCGGTGCTGCTGCTTAAGTAGCGCCGGAAGCCCAGCGTCGATCTGAGTGAGACCGGCCTAAGAATGCTTAGCGATGGCCGGAGCGCTCTGGAGCACAAACTCGATTGCATTCTCTCTACTTTGCTGTGCTGCTGTAAATTGGAGGGGTGGTATAAGTGATACTGTGCGAATTCCGAATAAAAATATATATAAAATAACGTGGAGAGGACTTGGAGATCAAAAAAGCTTCAAATATTTTAAAAATTATTTTTTACACGCTCGATCAAAGTGGTGCGCATTTATGTGTATGGTTTAGGTAATCAGGTGTTGAAAAATTACGATAATCTGCGAATTCGGTACACACTGGATCGATCACGCTTGACACTGTACTGTAACAAATCCCCAGCCTGCGGGGTAACCTTGGAGATTGCGTCTACGTACACCTGCCTTTACATTTTGTTAAAAGGTAGTGCGCTAACAGTGCGTTAACACCTTTCACCGAAGATGGGAGAAAGGAAGTACACACGTGTGAACCATTGATGACCATTTAGCAGCAGATTAAGGATAGCAAAAAAAGTGCCATCAGGCAGACGAAGGTGGAATAATCGTGACATGGCCGCGGTGCTGAACTTTCACATCATCCCCAATGCCCTGCTTACAGGTGAGTGGCCTTCCCGTTTTTTGCGCAAAAAGACACCGTTTGAGTCAGCTGAACCCAAGTCTACAGCGACACCCAAGGTTTTGCCCGAAACTTTGTTCAAGATAAAGTCCAAGTCCAAGCTTCTCTTTGCAAGAAGCAGCGCAATAATTAATATCTTCAACCGTAGTGGATTATTTATTGCCTCTAGTTTCTAAGGGCGTTCTGGGCTACTATGCAATCAGGATAGTAAGGGTTGATATCGATTTGCAGGATATTTGAATTTTTATATATTTTTGCAGTCTTATTCTTTTCTTCAGTGGCTTCCATTTTTCTATTTTAATTTGGCTTTTCGGGATTAAATCCATTTCGATTCTTACTTTTCGAATCTCAATTTCACATTTGTCAATTTCAACTTTTTGTTTATTATAATGGCTTTTCGCGCTACCTCATACTTGCGGCAGTCTCTGAAGCTGCGCCCTCCATTCGAACTGGCGCTGCGCTCGTCTTGCCTGCAACTGGTACTCGCCCGCTGGGGACTCGAAACAGCGGCGCTGATGGAAGCCCGCAGCGGCCAGGAAATGCCCGACAACGACCGCAAGGCACGCGCAGTTGAGGCCATTACCACAGCCATGTACGAAAGTGGTCTTGAAGACCATGCAACTGCCGCCGAAAAGAGTATGCTGGAGAAGCCATATCGGACCTGGGAGTTTGCCGACTACACATACGGCGACCACTGGGAGGCGTTTGGGGTTCTCCAGTGGCTTCTCGGTCGGCAGCACGCAATCCCGCCGTATTTCTCAAACTTTGACCGCGCGCGACTGTTCCAGACCACTGGCATCCAGCCGATCGATCCGTCGACCATTGAGAAGTTTGTCGATCCATTCATGTCGTCACAGACACACCAGTCAATCGACAGGAAGCAGCTCCAGCACGAGGTTAATGTCGCTGAGGCGTGGTTTTGGCGAGCGCGTGCACAGGTACTTCTGGGCCTGCGCGACGAGATTGCCCGGACGGATGCACAAAAGACCCAGACTGGCGAGGACTCGCTGCTGGAAACCGTGTTGCGCACAAAGCACATTCCGCATAGTCTGCGCAAAATGGCCAACGACATTCCCAAAAACATTCCCCTGGCGGCGCAGAGAGCGCTAGCTAAGGGAATTATCAGCGACGTCGAAGGCGACGACTTTGCAATCACTGTTGAGATGAAGGGGGCTGACAATGGCTCTGCAAAGTCTATGGCGGTTCCGTACTCGAATTTGGATGAGAACCACTTGGACTCCATCCGTAAGATCGCAGAGTCGCGATTCTTGGCGTTTGCCTGGTCGCTCGGAAAGGCCAGTGAGTGGGACGCAGACAAGATCGGTGAGCTCGTGTCTATCAACCCCATCAACGCGCTGTGGACTCCAGATGAGAAGTAGACATGACCCGGCTCAAGCGCTGTCAATCCCAGCGATTAAAATTGGATTCCTCGCTTGATTGATTGATTGATTGATTATATTTTGCGAGATTTATCTACAATAACCTTTTTTGGCTTGCAGGCTCAAACAGTATTTTTAAGAAGCATTGTGGTTCAATCTGAGCAAGTATTGCTGATTAAAGCATTTAATTTTATAAATGTATTGTATTTTAATATAGACATCAGTTCTTGGGTCAATTTCGCAGTCGCATCAGCAAAAGTCACAAAAACAATTTTGTATATTGGTGGGCAAAAAGAATTGTGGCATAGGATTGTTCTCTGCAAGTAAAATAATACCACAATGCAGGTACCGGCTAATTTCTTGTTTCCAATATGCAGATGGATTATGATTTACATATTGTGCAGCAAAGAATACCTTTACGAACAATGTGTCACAAAAATAAGATGTTGATCATGTTGATTTTAATGTTGTCAAAATATTTTGCTTGTATCACACAGCAAATCTGCATAAGCGCCGATTTCCCAGTTTATATTTATCGACAAATAATGTTTGAATAAAATTTGTGTCAAGTATCCGCCAAACGCAAATTGAATGAACTCCCGCACTCATTGGACAGACCGCTAACAGGTTTATGTGAACAAAAATCAAGGCAAGTGTCCAAAATAAACTCGCTCAATTGCTATAAATAAAGCCCAAAAACGTAACAAGTGCATTTTTAAATATGTTACAATATCGTCCGTAAAGGCAAATATGCGATCTGCATTGGTATTTTGTTTATGGCAAGCGATCGTCGCAGCCTGTCTAAAAGAGACTCGAGTTTGCTTTGCTTACAAAATAAAAATGATGTCTGACAAAAATTTTTAGGTAATAGCAAACACCACAACAGATTTTTCTCTATGATTTTAAGCAGACCGTATATTTTAAACGTATCCAGATAAAGCGATGCGGTGGGGCCCAGCGATGTATAAAGTTGGTAATCGAGAAAAAATATAGAACTTTTTTGTCGCAAATATTGGGGTGTTTGTAATTACAAAATTTTGACGCGGATCATTACACTGTGGCTACTGAGAGCTGAATGAAAAGATGGCGCGGAACCAACAAATGCAAATGAAGACGCAGGAATTGCAGAAGCGGAAACAGCAACACAATATAGGCGAAAACAGGTAAATTTTGTCAACCAACATTTTGCAACGCAAATATATAAAACACACATCCTGCTGAACTAATTCTTTCAAAATACTCTTGCAATTTTGTTTTGGAACTTTTTCTCTGTGTTCTGCTTTTTTTACAGTTGCTTATCTCCTTCGTTTTCCTCTCGCCTAATTTTAGATATTTTTAGTTTTTTTGCCACCGGCAAACTTAATCAGCAAAAATAGCAAAAATGCAGCTCAAGAACGTACTCGTCCAGGCCCTGCTTGTCGGTTTTGCAGCCGCCACCTACAGCACCCAAATTGAGTGGGACGCCAAGTGCACCCAGGACACAATTGTGAACAAGTGGTCGGCCATCCGCACTGCGCTGGCTAACAAGCTCCCAATAAGTAGGGTGAGCTCGGACCGGCCAAGTTCAACAAGGTCAAGCAGCTGCTGAATGACTTTACTCTTCCTCGCAACGCTGACCTCGAGGTTATTTACGACCTGATTGATATTACGGGAACAAGATACATGGATGGCGCCATTGGGAGCGTTCTTAATGACTACTTGCGCGACCACCCTTGCCCCAGGGTTACCAGCGTTGTCGTGCCGGTTGTAACATCGTCAGCCCGGGCTACCAGTACCACCAGCAGCATCCATCTCGGGTACAGCACTGCACCGGGTATTCCAGCGACTACCAACGGGTATTTTGCTTCATCGAGCACGACGTCTACTGGCAAGTACATTACGACCACCCCGACCACTGTGACAACCTTGCCGGTAATCACTGCGCCAGCTTTGCCGACAATCACTGCGCCAGCTTTGCCGACAATAACTACTACTTCTACCAGAAAGTACAACACGTCGACAACTGACAAGTACAACACCTCGAAGTCATCCACTGGAAAGTACAACACGTCGAAGACCAAAAAGTACAACACTAAGACGTCCACCGGAAAGTACAACACTAAGACGTCCACCGGAAAGTACAACACGTCGAAGTCGTCCACCGGAAAGTACAACACTAAGACGTCCACCGGAAAGTACAACACTAAGACGTCCACTGACAAGTATACCACCTCGCTCACGTTGCCAACAATTACTGCGCCGACTTACCCCACTTCCCCGACCCCCGAGGATCTCTACTCCACCACTAAGACATCGACCGAGGACCTGTACTCCACTGAGTCTTCGACTGCTGATCAGTACTCCACTGAGTCGTCGACCGAGGACCTGTACTCCACCGAGTCGTCGACTGTTGATCAGTACTCCACTGAGTCGTCGACTGTTGATCAGTACTCCACTGAGTCGTCGACCGAGGACCTGTACTCCACCGAGTCGTCGACTGCCGATCAGTACTCCACTGAGTCGTCGACTGCCGATCAGTACTCCACTGAGTCGTCGACCGAGGACCTGTACTCCACCGAGTCGTCGACTGTTGATCAGTACTCCACTGAGTCGTCGACTGCCGATCAGTACTCCACCGAGTCGTCGACTGCCGATCAGTACTCCACTGAGTCGTCGACTGCCGATCAGTACTCCACTGAGTCGTCGACCGAGGACCTGTACTCCACCGAGTCGTCGACTGTTGATCAGTACTCCACTGAGTCGTCGACCGAGGACCTGTACTCCACCGAGTCGTCGACTGCCGATCAGTACTCCACCGAGTCGTCGACTGTTGATCAGTACTCCACTGAGTCGTCGACCGAGGACCTGTACTCCACCGAGTCGTCGACTGCCGATCAGTACTCCACCGAGTCGTCGACTGTTGATCAGTACTCCACTGAGTCGTCGACCGAGGACCTGTACTCCACCGAGTCGTCGACTGCCGATCAGTACTCCACCGAGTCGTCGACTGTTGATCAGTACTCCACTGAGTCGTCGACCGAGGACCTGTACTCCACTGAGTCGTCGACTGTTGATCAGTACTCCACTGAGTCGTCGACCGAGGACCTGTACTCCACCGAGTCGTCGACTGTTGATCAGTACTCCACCGAGTCTTCGACTGCTGATCAGTACTCCACTGAGTCGTCGACCGAGGACCTGTACTCCACTGAGTCGTCGACTGTTGATCAGTACTCCACTGAGTCGTCGACCGAGGACCTGTACTCCACCGAGTCGTCGACTGTTGATCAGTACTCCACCGAGTCGTCGACTGCCGATCAGTACTCCACCGAGTCGTCGACTGCCGATCAGTACTCCACTGAGTCGTCGACTGCCGATCAGTACTCCACTGAGTCGTCGACCGAGGACCTGTACTCCACCGAGTCGTCGACTGCCGATCAGTACTCCACTGAGTCGTCGACCGAGGACCTGTACTCCACCGAGTCGTCGACTGCCGATCAGTACTCCACCGAGTCGTCGACTGTTGATCAGTACTCCACCGAGTCGTCGACCGAGGACCTGTACTCCACTATGTCTTCCGCGCCTGTTAACAAGTGCGCCAACCCTGTCGTCATTACCAGAACTGTGGTCCGCGTGCACTCTACTTTCTACTAATTAACCTCATTACTACTTTTGTTGTAAAGATCATATATATATTTTCAACAAATAATTTAATTGAATATTTATATTTTGGCAACGACCATATTTTTACGCCGAGTATTGTTTTTCCAGATCAGTTAGCGGGACATATCTTACACCCATTATTTGGCGCCGAGCCACGTTGCCATTGGTATCTTTGTCGTAAACGACAATGTACTGCTCGCTGGTGCCAACTGGGACAAACATACGGCCTGGCGATTTCAGCTGTGACAAAAGATCAGTCGGCTCTTCAGGTGCGGCTGCGCCAACATGAATGCAATCATAAGGTGCCATGGGCGCATAGCCCTTGCGGCCGTCACCCACGACCAAATGCACACGCCCATTTTGAATCCACTCTGGGTAGTGTCTTTCCATAGCAGCCTTCGAATGACTCACCAGGCCGGGTGCGTGGTCAATACCAACAACATGACCTGATGCACCAACCATTTCTGCCATGCACGCAGTGAGGTATCCCGATCCACTGCCCACATCCAGGGCGTTCATCCCAGGGCGCAAATACTGGTTGAGATTTTCAAGCGCGTAGCCGTGCATGTGCGGCGCCGAAATTGTAGCGCCAAAGCCAATGCATTGCGGCGCATCCTCGTATGGATGCTGGTTGGCAAAATGCGCACGGTCGACTGTACGCATTGCAGAGATGACGCGCTTGCATGATATAATTTTTGCTTGGGCCAAATTTTTGACCAGCTCGATATTGGTTGTTCCAGAACACATCCACGACATTGTTAAATTGTGATTTTTAAAAGATAAAGTGCGTTTTTCACGTTGGATAATTAAAGCAGTTTTTATTTTGGCAATTAAGAGCAAAAAAATGATAATGGAAATAGAAAAAACGGCGGCACGGAATCCAAAAAAATACTTGCATTTTGGTTTGTTCGACGTCATACATAAAATTAATGCAAAAATCGAACCGAGCTGGATAACTGTGAGCCGGCTGTTACAAAAGAGCCGGCTCAAAATAATGTGGTTGGGAGTTTTTTTTACATTTTCGAAACTCAGCGTAAACAGTCTGTTTTCAGAGTTTTCATTCTTCGTGCTAAAGTTAGCGCTTTTACGTTCTTAACCCCTTCTTTTTTCTATTCCACGCCATTATTTCTCTCCCCTTCCTTTTTGGCTTTTCCGTCTCCGCTCCCCCCGAATTTCTATTGTCCTTATTTACGAGGAGGTCTCTATGTCACGCTTTCACGTCTCCATCACTCCTGAACCCGATTCCCAGTCATCTGTCAACAAAAAGGGCAACCAATTCCATTCATCTGGTCTTCCGTACGCAACCCCATACTCCAACAGTCATCTAAGCATGTCCAGCAGCCATAACAAGTACTCGGTGCTTTTGCCCACCTACAATGAGCGCGACAATCTGCCAATTATTATTTGGCTGATTACAAAGACCTTCCAGGAACACAACCTGGACTATGAAATCATCATTATCGACGACAACAGTCCCGATGGTACCTTGGAGATTGCCAAGCAGCTGCAAAAAGTGTATGGCGAGAACCACATTGTTCTGCGTCCGCGTGCGGGCAAGCTCGGTCTGGGCACTGCGTACATTCACGGAATTCAGAACGCCACAGGTAACTTTGTCATCATTATGGATGCCGATATGTCGCACCACCCGAAGGCTATTCCCGAGTTTATTCGTAAGCAGAAGGAGCGCGACTATGATATTGTCACGGGCACGCGCTATGCCCCCGGCGGTGGTGTTTTCGGCTGGGACCTGCGTCGCAAGCTGACTAGCCGCGGTGCCAACTTTATTGCCGATCTGCTTCTGAGCCCCGGGTGTCCGATCTTACGGGCTCGTTCCGCCTGTACAAGAAGGACGTGCTGCACCAGATCATTAACGCCACGGTGTCCAAGGGATATGTGTTCCAGATGGAGATGATGGTCCGCGCCAAGCAATTCAACTTTTCGGTTGCCGAGGTGCCCATCACCTTTGTTGACCGCGTGTATGGCGAGTCCAAGCTTGGTGCCAATGAGATTGTCGGCTACCTGAAGGGCCTGTGGATGCTGTTCACTTCGGTATAAGCGGAGGCTTTTTTGTAGTAAAACTGGTGTTTTGCTTTCCCCTTTTTTATCTATATTTCTCCGTAAATTCAACTACATTTGACGATTATATGTAAAATAGTATGTGTTATTTGCCTTGGTTCAGCCCTGGGTTTTTGGGCGAGCCTTTGCGAATATGGGTGAATGATTGATTTTATCCACTCCACGCTGTGAGAAGTGTATGTGCTGGAAACAGCGTCCAAAGTCATCGTGTGGAATTCAAAGTGCTTGTCAATGTACCAGTTGAGCCCGTCCAGACTGTAGTTGATATTGGGTGATGTCGGGCACAGCGCCTTCAGCCACGCCTCAAAATGCGGAGTATGCCCTCCAGTGCTTTCTCCAGCGAGTCAAAGTTATAGCATGTCCGCAAGTCCTTGACTTTGACCGCTGCAGCAGAAGAATGGTGTGAGCCTATGTGGGTAAACATTGTAAAATTTTAAAAACAAAAGCGGAGAAGGAAACGTTAGAGTTATGGAGTTTATACAGTTTGTGCCAAGTATCAAAATATTTGTGACATGGTTATGAGTGTGTAATATTACCATTTGGCGATACCACTGGTAAAAAATATATAAAAACGCGGAGTAAACTTTATCAAAATTTAAGTAAAAAACGCAAAGGAGGATTGGGCAGGGATACAGACAGACATATAACATGAAGGCGTTGCGATACAATATCACCTTTACAATTACTGCCATGCTTTGTCTGTTTGAAAAATGCTGATGGAAGCTACCATTACCGCGTTGTTTTTTGTTTGCTGGCCAAAATAATACAACGCGATCCGCAGCTTTTAAGTCGCAGACCATTATTTCCCATCCACATAATCCTTTGATTTGATCAACCGATCTATACTTTTTTTTATTGACTGGAGCTAATTTTTTTTCTTCACTGCGAATCAATGCAGGAGACAACAACCCAAGCTTCTTCGTTCGAATAGCAGTTCAGTGCCTTTTTCTTCTTTGCTACTCACCTCCTTTCTCCTGCAGAAAACACCCTATTTAATTTCTTTTTTAAAAAATTTTTACAGTCAAGAGATAGTTTTATATACCACCCCACCCCACCCAAACACACACATTAGATAGACCAAAAATAAAATGGCGCCAAAGAAGGACGATAAGACCAGACAGCCGGTCAAAAAGGTCACTCAGGACACGCGTTTCGCTCATGTGCAAGAGGATCCGCGCTTTATGCGGCCAAAGAAGAGCCATTCCAAGGTCAAGGTTGACCAGCGGTTTGCCCATATGGTCAAGGACAAGGACTTTATAGAGAGCACAAAGATCGATCGCTACGGTCGGGCTCACGAGGATAATCGTGCGGAAACATATCTTCGCAACACTTATGATTTCAGCGGATCGGGATCAGAGGCTGAGTCCGAGAGTGAGTCTGGTGAGAGTCCTGATGGTGCCAAGGTATCGGATAAGGATGCAGAGTCGGAGTCCGAGTCTGGCTCTGGATCGGGATCAGGATCGGGGTCTAGCGAGGGGGAGGGAGATGATGATGTTGCCGCGGATATTGATCGTGCGCGTGGTCGGGGCGTCGACTCGGATGGGTCGTCGGATTCCGAGGATGACTCTGATATCTCAGACGTCGAATGGGGCGTGCTTGACGGCGATGATGCCGGGCTCAGCGACGTTATGGAGGACCCAGACAATATTCCCCGCGGCGACGAGACGCGGAGATTCGCCTGTGTCAATATGGACTGGGAGCATGTGCGCGCCGTCGACCTTCTTGCGGTATTTGTAGGATTCAAGCCGGACAGCGGCTCGGTGCTTTCAGTTAAGATTTACCCGTCCGAATTTGGCAAGGAAAGAATGGCCAGGGAGGCCGTAGAGGGTCCCCCGCGCGAGCTTTTGTCCGGCCTACCAAGGCAAGAAGGAAAGAAGGACGATAGCGGCTCTGATAGCGGCTCTGAGTCCGAGGTGGATCTGGTAAAGGAGCAGGTGAAGAACCAGGACGAGTTTGACCAAATCGCCCTGCGGCGCTACGAGATCGAGCGCATGCGCTACTACTTTGCCGTCGTTGAGTGCGACAGTGTCGAAACCGCGCACACTATTTGCCAGCAATGCGACGGCACAGAGTACGAGGCAAGTGCGAATTTCTTCGACATGCGGTTTATTCCCGACGAGCTTATTTTTGAGGACGCGCCCAAGGACGAGGCTGTGGATGTGCCCGAGAAGTACGAGCCTGTGAGTTTCTCCACCCAGGCGATGCAACACTCCAAGGTTAAGCTCACCTGGGATGAGGACGAGCCCAGCCGCACACAGGTCACTCGGAGGGCGTTCACCCAGGATGAGATTGACAATATGGATTTTGGCAATCTTCTGGCGTCGTCCTCGGACGGGTCCTCCTCTGACGAGGATGAGCTGGCGCGGAAGCGCGCCCTGCTGCTCTCGGGAGCAGACAAGGACAGCGACGACAGCGACAGCGATGATGGCAAGATGGGCGAGATGGAGATCACGTTCACACCCGGACTCAGTGAGGGCGCGGCATCGCGCATGGCAGGCAAGAAGCAGGCCGAGGAGGAAGCCGTGCGGCGTTCCGATGAGACGACCATCGATAGGTTCCGCCGCCAGAAGAAGGAGCGCCGCGAGAAATGGAAGGAGGCCAAGAAGAGTGGGAAGCCCTCAGGAAAGGATAACGACAGCGACAACCTTATCTCGGACAACGATCTTGATGACCGGGCTGGCGACTCATTCTTCACATACAGCGACGATGATCTTGTTGGACCAACCCCAAAAAGGAGTCCAAGACATCGAAGGAGTCGAAGGATGGTAAGCGGGAGAGCAAGTCTGAGAGGAAGGAGCGGCAGGAGGCGGATGCCAAGCAGCGCGCTGAGCTTGAGCTACTGCTGGATGGTGCCGAAGGCGACCGCAAGCACTTTGACTTGTCCGAGATTGTCAAGGCTGAGAAGCAGAAGGGTCGCAAGGGCAAGCACGCGAAGAAGGTTGAGGTCGAGGATGAGTTCAAACTTAACACCAGCGATCCTCGTTTCGGCGCTCTGTATGAGTCGCACAACTTTGCCATTGACCCCAACAACCCCAACTTTAAGAAGACTAAGGCTATGAAGGAGCTGCTGAATGAGAGCCGTAAGCGCCGCAAGACAACATTTGACTAGGTGGTATTTAAAGTATCGAACTCTTTCTTTTTTTACAGCTGCACTCGAATAAAAAATCAATATACAATTTTTTTCTTACAGAATTAGACCCGGGTCGCCAACGTGGGTTGGTGATGGGCGCACAAATATTAATAAAAATACAGAATTGGAAAATTAAAACAAAACAAAACAAAACAAAACAAAACAATCGCGTCGGGATAGCAAAAGTAAAAAAATAACACAGCCCATTGTTCTCACGCATTGCTGGACAATAGTGCTGCTGAATCTCGGGCGCCCATTGCTCAATGTTAACGTTGGCAGTGGCAGACTCCCACACCGACGGCATCGATAATGACGAGAACGCTGGCGGCGGCACGTTGTCGCCCACACCGGGCGAATTATGAGCATGCACGTCGCCAAGACCATGTTGTCGGCAAGCCCAAGCTCCTGCATATGAGTGGCGCAGGCTTCTTCTTTGATGGCAGCGGTGGCGGCGACAAGGTGTTGGTGGGTGGCAGAAGTGGGCGCACAAGGGTGTCGTAAAGCCACGTGGCGCCATTGTACTTGCGGTGCTGCGCCCAGACCAGAACGCCAATTTTGGCGATCCGGTACATGGGAAACAGTCGCAGCAGCGGGCCGGCCCAGTGGTCGGCAGTGGTCAGCACGCCGTATACAGCCCAGTACATCAGCCACTGCTTCTTATCCAGGTTAGGCTCTACAATACCCAGGGCGCGCTCCAGCGACTGCAATTGACTCTTCGCCGGGCCAGTGGTCGGCTCCACGACGCCACCGTACTCGATGGCCATCATGGACTGGTAGGCCGGGTACGCGACACCAATGATGTTCGTCAAGAGATCCAGCGCATTCGTGTACAAGTAGCGCACAGCGTATATTGTGCTGACTGCCGCGGCTATGAATGCCAGGCCTGGCGGCACTATTCGAAGACCCAAGAGGAGCTTGAATGTGGGATTGATGTGAAGCCGCTTCTCCAGAGCAAATGTCTGTCGCATGCTGAATGCGTGCAGCCGGGTGAGCAGCGGGCGCAGGTGCGGGGGCAGTCTCTCTTGGATGGCCGCGATAATTCTTCTTAGCAGAGCGTTCATATTGTGTGTTGCTGGGAACTCGCTACGGGGAAGCTGGCTGACAGCTTCTAAAAACGCACAGGCTTCCTGGGACATGTGCGGATTGTGTCTGTGAACAAGTCCGGAGGGGCAATATATGTGAATGAGCGTGGCTCAAAATGGGAGATATTTTCGCGCGAGAGAATAACAATGCAATAATTAAAATACAAAAAAACGACGGAGGCAATACAGAAAAAAATGAGAAACGTCAGGTGCAAAAAAATTGTCAAAGAGCAAGAAGTGGGTCGAGCTCAACACGTGAATGTCAGGCTGAATAGTATGGTGACGAGCCAGCCAAGTTGTAGGGCGCACGCGCTTTGATTTTTCTTCACATTTATCCCATTTTTGCCTTTCGCCGAATCCAAAAGTTAATCAATTTCAGTTTGTGCGTTTAATCAAGAAACAAGCAAGCGCGATCAAGCATTTCCTGAAACCAAAATAGCTGTAAATTTTTATTCTGCTTTCTTTTTCACAAAATCGTGACCTTTCAATTTGAATTTCAGCTCTTGGTTTTTCTTTTATCTCTCTTCACGCATTCGCACCCAACTCTCAGCAGACTTCTCCCTTTTCCACATGCTCAAGCAATACCTAGAGCGGTCAGCGCACGCGCTAAAGGACGGCGCGCTTAAAGTCTACAATGCCGATTTTATGAACCGGCAAACGGAGTTTTTAGTGGCCAAGTGAGCTCCAAGCAGGATCTCAGCCGGTGGGTCAAAGGTTCAGACCGAGACATTGGCGGATTCAGCGATGTCTGGATCGACACAACCAAATCCGGGCACGCAAAGTTCCACGGCTACATTTCGCAAAAGCTACCCGAGGACAAGCGATTCAAGCGCAGCGGCTATGCGATGGTGCGCACGCGCGACCCCCGGTCGAACCTCCTAGGCGACGGGTCCTGGGACAGCTCCTTGTTTAGATACCTGGCCATACGCGTAAAGGCCGATAGGCGCAAGTACTTTGTCAATTTGAAGTCGGGCTCGCTCATCCCCACAGATATCTACCAGCACTTGTTGCCGATCCGCACGCCGGGGCAGTGGGAGACCGTGGTCATCCCGTTTAATATGTTTACGCTCACGAGTAACAGCGTCATTGTGGCGTCACAGCCGTCGATGGCATCGACCAGTATGGAGACTGTGGGCTTTTCGGTGTCGGACAGGAAGGAGGGACCGTTCTGCTTGGAGTTTGCCTGGATAAAGGCATTCAACTCGGACCGCACGTTCGGCGAGTGCCTCAGGCTCCCGTACACTGCAGAACTGACGTGGAAGACAGACTTTGCGCGGCTAGACAAGACCAACTGAATACAAATCAAAATTAAATAAAAAATCAATCTAATTGCTCGGTGTACAAAAAAGCATTGATAAAATCCGATATTATCTCCGTGCTGACCTGCTGCGGGCTCGTCCTTGGCAACTTTTTTCCCTCAAGATTATGACGTGATTGGCTTTTTTCGCTGCGCCAAGTCTCGAATCTTTAGGGGTAGAGTGAGTGAAAGTGAGGAGGAAGTACTAAAAATACACTGTAATTTTCAAATTGCTTGATTTCTCGGATGAGGGCGTACAGAAAGATACATTTTTTGTGTGTATTTGTCGCACTTGCACATGTCAAAGGGCTCTCTTGACAAGTGTAGCAGGGCTCCGAGCCCCTTGTTTGAGGTGAACACTAACGCAAACCACATATAAGTTGAGCGAAATGCCCAAGTTGTTCACCCTCATATTTTCTCTTCTCTTCCCTCAAGTCCTTCTTTTTCATCTTTTTCATTTTATATATTTTAATATCACAGCCTTCCACCACCAAAAAATACTATTAGCAAATTTTTACCCATGGCCACTTTTAACTGGAAAACATCTGTGCCTCCACGCCCGACGCCTCATACGTCGTTGTCGACAACATTTCTTTGAGCGCGACCGAGGACACCGTCCGCGATTTTTTCGCCTTCTGTGGACCCATCGAGACCTCGAGCTGCAAAAGCAGGAGAGCGGCACGCAGCGCGCCCTGGTGAAATTCAACGGAGCTGAAGCCGCCAAGACAGCCATCCTTTTGTCCAACGCGCACATCAACTACGAGCCCATCACTGTCACCCCGCTGTTCCCCGAGGCCTCCCCCTCGACGCCTCCTCCCTCGGGACCTGCCAGCCACGACACTACCGAGCGCCAGTCGTCGCCCATTGCCGATGCCAACGCCAACTACGAGGGTAAGCCCGCGCTGTACGTCGTTCACGAGCTGCTTGCTGCTGGCTACCTTGTGGGCAAGCATGTTGTCAACCGCGCTTCTGAGTTTGACGCAAAGTACCGTGTCACTAACCGCACTCAGGAGCAGGCGCGGTCGTTGGACAGTCAGTACAAGTTTAGCAACTACCTGCAGCAGTGGGATGATAAGTTCAACGTTACCAAGCGCGCAATGGATGCGTATAACAAGGTGCAGAGCCACCCGGTTGGACAGAAGGTCATCCTCACTGTCAACGAGGCATACCAGTCGGCGTTGCAGTTGTCGCAGGATGCTCGCGATATTGCCGAGAGGAAGCGCGCTCACGATGAGAAGCTCTTTGGCAAGTTCCCCCTGCCTTCTGACCCCGATGCTGGCAGCAGCACCAGCGGCAGCAACAAAAACAGCAACAGCAACAGCGACACACCTCCCAATTATGAGAAGAGCGGCCCTTCCAGCAGCGGCAACTAATAGTTTATTTTCAATTCATATTTATTAAAGTCACCAAAGTAAATTTTTTATTTCCTTACAATTCTCAAATACAACGAAACATACATAAAGGTGTTATTATTTCAAACACATTTATGTAAGCTTTTTGCTTTATATATATAAAAAGAGCGGTCCGTTTACGATGATCCGTGGATGAGCGCTGCAATTTTGCTCTCGTAGGTCTTGGGCGAATGGTGCATGAGCATATTGCGAGTGAAGCGCAACTCGGAGAAGCGCTCGACAACATCAGGGCAGTAGAACAGGCCGACATCCTGTGCAGAACGCGACTCTTATCCTTGGCCGCCTTGTTACCGGAGCCATCGCCCGGCTGCTCTACCGTACCCGCGGGAACAGCCTTTGCGCGCAGCGGTTCGCTGCCAGCATTGGGCCGCATATGCTTGTCGCAAACCTTGTCGTCGCCGGAGAGGCAAGTATAAAAACGTCGCCAGGCGGATACAGCTTGTCGCTATCCATGTTTGCGCGCAAAGTCTTGACCAGTGACCAGTGCCAGTCATCCAAGTCATTCTTGCTCTGGGCCTTACTATCAGCGCTTTTTTTGGGCGCTTAGACGGCCGCGAGGCAGATGAGGCATTCGAGTTTGCCGACGCAGCATCGCACCTTGAGATTTCTGCTGCTGCTGCTTCGGATCGCTGTTGTCCCGGACCGTTGTCTTGCGGCTGCCCCACCAGAAACCGCCACCAGTGCTCTTGCTGTCTTCCCCGGGCGTTTTCCGGAACACCACCGTCCTCATTATCATCGCAGCATCGGAATAGTCGTCCCATCGTCGCTGGGAGAGTAGGCGCGCAGCTTGGAAAAGTCAAAGTCAAACGGGTTGAATCTGCGGCTGATCTTGTCGCGCTGGGCTGATAAAAACCTGCGCACAATCTTCTCGGCAACGCCGCTCTCATGGCCCAGCACCGCCGAGATGTTGAGAATATCGAGGCAAGAGCCGATCGACAAAAATGTTATAAAGTCATCGGCGTTGGCCACCGAAGTGACCAGACCGCGGCAATAGTGAGAGAGGGCGGCGTTGGTCGAGCAGGGGCTGCCAAAGCTAAAGCAGTGGATGGGACGGGGTGTCACCAGCCAAACTTTTCAGTGGTTGCAAACTGCCGCCCGCTACCTACTGTGGATCCAGGCGTCTGTGGAGTGTCCGAATTCTGGAGCACCAGGTTCTTGTGGTCAAAGAGCGGCTGCGACCACAGAAGAGTGAGCAATGAGGCCACGCCGCCGCCGAGCGAATGGCCGGTGAGCACTAGTCCATACTCGGGGTAGAGTCTCAATGCCTCGGCCACCTCCTTGAATACCTCGGATGACGCGTCCGCAGCATCATGGCTGAGTGCCACATGCCCGAATGCACTATGAACTCCTGCTGGCCCTTGGTCGCGGATGGCCCGGTAGGCGCACGGATTCGTACTCACAGATCATGTCGACTATAATGTCGGAAAGCCCCAGGGTGCCCCGGCATGCCAAAACAACTGCGCGCGAGGAGTGGTCAACTGCAATGTAGTGTACGAGCGCGTGCGCCGAGGGTTCACGGTACACCAGGCGCTGCCGGATTTGGTCGAACCGACGGAACTGACTCAACGTGGGCTCTCGCTGCATTGACTTTGGGTCAGCCGACTCGGCGGGCTTGGCATCGGGCTGATTCCGCTGCCAATTATGCGCGACACCATGCCCGGGATAATGGGTATCGACAACAGAGCGCTGGTAGGCGAGGGCAAGCTCTGGTACACTGATCCAACAACGGGAATGCTCGCCAGCCAGCCGCGTGATTTTTCAGCCTGTGTGTTCGTCGGAAGCCGCTCAGAGTCCAAAGGCGCGCTGAGATCTGTCTCTGGCTGCTTTACGTTCTTCTTTCCCTTTTTCAACTTATTTTTGGACAATCCCAACGAGCCGTTCGAGTGCTTGTGGCGTAGCTCGCGTTCGACCGCGGATGCCTTGGCGCTGGCTGCCCTAGTGACGCCTGGTAGAACGGGCGACACGTAGGACGAAAACAGCAGGTCACTGAGCGGAATACCCGTGTGTTGCGAGAAAAAGTAGTGGTTTGGGTGGTCGACACTGGGCGACTGCGACTGTGCAAGCGGCGCACGGGAGGCCGTCGGCCGACGTCCACTTGCCGCTGGGTGTCTCTGACCTTGGTGACTTAAAATGCCGGCGCTCGTAATGACGCTGTGAGTTGGGTCGGGACGAGTTGTAAGCCGAGTGCGTGTGATAGGAACTCATGGGCTGCGCGCGCGGAAGTTTTGAGAAACTGGGGTTGCGGCTGTGTCGGGCCGACAGGGGCGTGTGCGAGCCGGATATTCTTGCTCCATGGAGCTGAGGCTGCCGATAGAGACACCTTGCGAGAAGCTTTGTCCGTTTCATCAATTCCAAAGTCGCCAAAGTCTTCGACCAAGGCCCTCGAGTCAATGAGGTTGCGGGTCAGGCCAAGTACCTGCATGAACGTTTTCCATATGCGGAAGATGCAATCGGAATAAACCGCGCGAGGTTGATCGCGAGCGGCTTGCGCGGGAAATCCTGCTGAACCCATTTCGCCCCGTCAAAGCCATCGGGTCGGGCATGTCATCGGTAATAATCGGCAAATGCTGTAAGCGGGGGGATGTTCAAAAACGCGGCGGGCCCCTGAGGCTGTGGCAGCTGTAAATGTCCGATAATTTTCTTAGTCGCCTCGGTGTTCTGCGAGTCAAACGACTCACCATCGCAATTGTGTTGACGGTGCATGTGGTCGCCAGCGCGATTCCAAATGAGTGCGAGAACTGCGGCGACGATATCAGACTTGCGGGCGCGGACTCGAATGCCGGGTACCTATCCCCGTGGTGAAGCATCGACGACATGACTGAAGATATTTGCGAGTCCGAGTCGCCCGAGTTGTCGCTCGTGGTGGTGCTGGCATTGTTCGCATGTGCCTTGGCGCTGGGTGATCCGGCGGCGGCGGCAGCAGCGGCAGCCTGGCGTACAAAAGCCAGATTGTTCCACAACGAAGGCTTGGCTGATGCTGGGAGTCACTTGCATCCTCGCTCTCGGTGTTACCGTTCATCTCCGGAACATTTCAGATTGCTCGTCATCATCGGCATGATATTTGCGTCGCACGGATTGGAACTTTAGATCGCGTAACGCCTCGGCCAGCTGCCGGTCCCACTCGGGGTCCCTGTGCGACACCTCCTGGTCACTAAACGCATAGTAAGCGCTGTCGTCATCATTGCAAAAGTCAGGGCCCCTGTTTCTGCTTGAGAATGTCGCTGAGCGCACGTTGGACAGCAGCACGGGTGATTGCCCGTGACCGGCAGATGTCCCATTCGTAGGCGCAGATGACTTCTCGTCGCTGACTATTATGTCAGCTGCCTGCACTTTTGGAGATATTTCCAGCGGCGTGCCTGATATCGACGTGATGTCCTGCGGCATGCGTGCTGTATCTGCTTTTGGTGTCACTGATGCTTCCGGTATAGGTCTGCCATTGCTGTCTATATATCTTCGTATGCAGAGTGCAGATGGCGAGTCCACATTTGTGTATACCAGATGCATCCTGTACGAGCGCAAGCGGCCACGCGTGACGACCTGTAGGCATATCCAGGCAACAATGGTCTTGAGCAAGTGGGCGGTGAACCCCAAGACGCCCTGCTTCTTGATTAGCGCGCGGATCTCGGGGTTCTTGTCCATCAACTCGTGTCGGCACATCTTGATGAATGAGTTAGCACGCCTGATGTCTCAGTGGAGCCAAATAGCGCGCCGATAATTCGAACGTACTCGCTGGCGACATGCAGACCCGTGTTAATAGCAGTCGTGTACATTGTGAAGCCGCCCTCGAGCAGGCTCTCCACTGTCGTCAGCGATTTGTTGACTGCAGAGTATCCGGCAGCCGTGGTCATATTCACCAGGCGCGAGATGATGCGTGGGTTCAACGAGGACAGTGGCGAGAATATTTCTGCTATGACCATCGAAATCGCGCTGGCCTCCTCCCATGCGGTCGTCCCGAGCATAAGCCCACTCCTGGCGCCCTCCGAAATCGTATCGAATATGGCGCCCCAGCACAGTGCAGTGATATCCAGGCTCAGCCTGGTTGCGCTTGAGACTGTGGACACAAGTCTGGCCATATGTTGCGGCAGCAGCGGAGGATGACTTTGCCAGCGGTGCTTTCTGGTGAATAGGGCTGATCCTCTGCCTCACTTCAATATCCTCGTCGCTGCTGCCATCGTCGCTGTATCTGTCCCGCTGCTGTCCTCCCCTCATTTGTCTCTGCGGGCTCTTAATGTCGCGTCGTGCTGTGGGTCGTCCAATCCCATCATACTGTCGTCGCTGTCATCTGAATAATGCGTTTTGACGACCAATGGCTGGCTCATGCTGGGTGTGTCCAAAAGGGGTAATGAGTAACTGCGGCCTTGACTCATGGCTCTATGGTATAGTATGGTTGGTGTGCGTCTACAGCTGTATTAAAATGGGGGAGTGTGTTTAGTGCCAGTGGGTAAAGAGGGGGTTTCGGGGCGCTGTGGGCGGTGAGAATTCAATGCGCGCAAAAAAGCACAATGCTTTAGTATGCGGGTAGTTACTTTTACCGAGTAACTATCAGCGCTGTAGCGTATGCGTCCTGCTAATACAACGGGCTGGCAACAAGGGAGTACATACACAGTGTGTTAGAAGACAAAAAGGTGTGAATTCCAAGGCGCCCAAATAAATAAATGCGAAAAATGAACAAAAATAAAAATAAAAAAGTGCTTTACTTGTGGAATAAGAGTATAAATAAAAATACAATAGTAGTTGCTACATAAAATATCCTCAGGAAGAGAAAAGTCTTGCGGATAATTCCATACTACGAGCAGACGCACTGTGCAAAAAAAATAGTGTCGATGACAAGACACGACTGTTAATATGAATGCGCCCCTTTTTCTTGCGCACAAACATTGAAATTGTGCTTTTCACTGGCCAATCAGCAGATTCCCGATCGCTGGGAGCGCAGGCCCTAAAACTATTTCCCCCCCCGCCACGTATGACATTAGCACAGGGTTGCCCTGTGCGCACAAACAGGAGCAATATGTAAAAAAACTTCAAAAAAAGATGACTGCTTTTTTTGTATTAAACAAAATATAAATGACCCACACATAGAGCCATGCACATGAAAACTAAAGACTTGCAGAGGCCAGTTTTTCAGCAAGCGTAGTTGATTAATACCTGAGGCTATGTATATAAATTAATATATTTGCAAATGTTAGCAGGGCGAGGAAGATGATCGCACACATGTGATTCAGATTTTTGACCACATGGTTCGAAAGGATGAGGTATGTCCGCTTGTATTCTGCCGCAGACAGTTTTAAAGTATTGACTCGTGCACCTTTGTTTTGGTTCTCACAGCTTATTTTCATATATTGAATTTTTGCTCACACGGCTGGTGCGTTGCTTTAATTGATTGACGTGAGAGCGGCAAACTCACAAATAGAGCGGATAATTTATTTGGTCAGATGATGTGGTCATAACCAGCAAGTAACCATTTGACTGTACGCAAGCATTAAGAGAGAAAATAGATTATTTAGCGAGATATAAAAAGTATAAACATAAACCAAAGTTGAATATGACGGATTGTTTACCGTGCCACCTTGCCCATTATGGGCTGTTATCAGCCCAAGGATATGGAGGTAGACGCTGAGGGCGAAAACATGAGACAGATTCTCGTCAGCTCATAGATGGATCTGATATGGGCCAAATTACAGGGGATCAATTAGGCGCCACAATTGACATCCGGACATACTGCCTGTCCCGAAATGGATGTGCTGGGCGCAAGAATACAGACATGCCAATTATGCCATATCAGAAACCCGGGTTACGTTCATAAGGACCAGTTCTCGCGAACGGAGCACACAACTGCCAGTGAGTGCCACAAGGATAAGGAGATATATATAAGGCGAGGCTGGCGATAATAGCACTTTAGAAACACTAGTAATAAAAATCTTTATAATTTGACACCCATCTTCTAACACTATCGCAGTAGTGCTCCCCACCCCCCTCTTACATAACAGGCCCTATTGCAGATCTTGGCTATATGCCCCTATAACGGAAGTTATTCTAGGGGGTGAGGTTGGGATTTCTCCAGACTTGGGTCTAATTGCCTGGCAATGGAAGTGTCTGCCGAGGTGTTAGTAAAATTAAACCCAAGCGCTTGATCTGCCAACTAAAGCGTCAACCATGGCCATATAGCTAGTGTGCATATCTGCCGTCCTGATTGTTATTGTCTGCAGCCACTTTGGCAGGCCGGCATCTTCTTGCCATGGATTTGGTATTCAGGACATTTGTTGAGATTGGTTCCCATCAACAATCGGGATTTCCCAGGCGTCAAGGATACCCTCATTTCCTGTTCGACGTGCAAGCCCACACTGTCTCTTTTACCAGCCCTGCTGATTATGTACAATCTCATTTACAAACACCATTGCTTGTTTTTGCATGATTCCTTGAATTTTCTTGACCAGCGTTGTGGACCTGTACTTTGTCAGCTCCTGCCAGCCGCACCTAATATCCATATTTCTATCTACAACCGAATTTAAAAAATGATTTGTTCTAAAACTTCCAAAGCTTTTTGTAATTGCTCTAAATATTTTTCCATTTTAATAAGGCGAGACATATGTACTGTTGTTAAGCAGGTCGATCAAGCGACATGCCTCACGATGGACCTGCTCAACGCGCTCAATGTCAAAGCCGTGCATCTTGATCCACGCGTTAGACATGCGCGCAGGGTATATAATGCGCTTTCTCTGGCCGCACTTGCCCATAGCCCGGCTGGAGCCAACAGAAACAGCCGCCGTCGCAGCACCAGCGCCAGCAGCCATTGCCACCTCCAGCCGCGACGGCTCCATTGAGGCCACCTGAGGGAAGAACGCTTGCAGATCAGAGTTCTCGCCGAGCGCCTTGTGGATGCGAGTGATCTCCAGGCCGCGGCCAGCCAAATCAGACGACCCACTGAACATTGGGAGACGCGACACCGGCTCACTGCCATGGATGACTCTGCCAGGCAGAGATTCGTCAAAATCGTCAATGTTTCTTTGACTGGGGTAGGACCCTGGGGCCCTAGGCGCCGAATCGTAAATGTAGCAGACATTGCCGTACCCCAGAACCATCACATCTTCGACGCGCTCGCCGCCAAAGCTAAGCATACGGTTCTGCGGAATAATATCGTCCAGGGTGGCCTCGCCGTTTGGCCCGGGCCCGTTGTAGTCGAACATTGCGTCCTGGTTGTTTTGCCATATCCACCACAGACGATCGAGATTAGCGTGGTGCATGAAGAAAAAGAAATCGTTTGGCGCAAACATTGTCGCTGCGTCACCGCCGAGCCCCAGGTGTGTGGCCCCGTGGATGCTAAACTCGATGTTCTCACGGAAACGGGACAAGCGATTATTGGTCTGGATATACGACGTGATGATTTCGGCCGGAGTCCATGGATTCATGCGGGCGCCGGCACTGTATCTACGGCGAATACAGTGGGAGTTGGGAGAATCCATGATCCAATGGCCTGGATACCATCCATTACGCAGCCATTGGGGCCTTGGCCGTTGCCGCCCAGGGTTTCGTTACGCAATAGGGGGCTGGCGCGGGGTTCCTGGCGTCCAACGTGGTGTCCCAGTATGGGATAGTGAATTCTGGATCAATCTGGCGCCCGAGGTCCTCAAACTCGATGACGAAGCGCCGGTGAAAGGGAAAAAACGCCGCTTGCCCATGCACCTGCCTGAATACTGCCTGGTGCGAGCGCGCAAAGCGATCAACTTGGCCTTGCGCGTGCAGTTCAGTTATTACGGCCTCGATGCGCTGCCAGTCGTCGGGGGAAAGTGTATGCGCGGAGACGCGCATGCGCATGTCGGCGCATTGGAGAGGTGCCTGACCGAGAACAACCGGCGATGCTGCGAAGAGTGAAATTAAGAGAAAGGAAAATAACATGATTAAATAACATTGATTGAATAAAAGAACAAAAAAAGGGGTTACCGACGGTGCGTTTTTTACGACATTCGACGAATGTTGAACTTTATATATACTGTGCAATTAACTTTGTCTTTGTCTTTGTCTTTTCATTTTATTATAATCTTTGGGTGTCATTTTTTTGCACTTTGAAACATACCGATATTAATGTCTTGGATTTGAATCTGCACAATAAAAATAAGCTTGCGATCATCACTTGCAAAAAAAAATAAAGACCTAGAAGCTGCGCCTCTCGATCGAAAAGGCTGGCTGATCACACACATGTACACACCAAGTGAAATATCTTTTTACTTGCCGATCGGTTTGTTAGCTTTTTTTTGCATTTTTGGCCAACACAGCTGCTGTTTTTGTTACTAAATAAAAGTCAAAAATGCTTAGTGATAGTGGAAGTTTAACCAACGCCTTGCAATAAATATACTTCCAAATGAGACCAGAAGTCAACTTTGTTCTTTCTTCATAAGTTCGATCCGTTTGAAATTAGATCAAGCAGTTATAACGAGTTTTTTGGCAGCTGCATTTAAAAGAGAGATAAAATGAATGTGTGAACACACTGCAATGTATTTAGTTAAAAAGCGTATTGCGGATACTGGTATCCAGTCTGAAACAATATTGTTGAGAGCCCCTTAGGGGGTCGCGACCCAGGCCAGCGACCTGGGCTGAGACCCGCATGTGCACACATATACATCGGACAAATGTAGGACGTCACCCGATGTCCTGATCCAATCATATCGATTGTGAAGGCACACAGTGTTCATGGTTGAACCTGTTTTTTTGCCAGAGAACGATACCAGCAGAAATTGATGTAATTTCGAGGTGGATTAAAATAGCATTTGTTTTGCTATTGGCGCTCTTTTAGATGCTTGTATACATATGTGTGTCATAGGAAGTGCCGTGTACATTGTCACAGTTTAGTTTCGACATATACTAAGGTGCTCCCATCATGAGGATGAGGACGCCTTAGTTTCCTAATAAATATTTCATTCACCATTTAGCAGTTATTCCTTGTGGCTGCTTAGTTGAATATTATTGGCTTCCCTTTTAACCACACAACAATACCAATATTGCCGACATTTGTATACATTTTGGCAATGGTCACAACAGCTCCGAGGCCTGACTTGTTCAGTGCTCCGGAGCAAACAAACAAACAAGCAGCAAATGTAGTCAATATTGCAAGTGTATAGAAGCGAGCTGAAAGAGTTGCAACCAGTACATTCACTTTCGACAAAAAAGACTCGTGTTCCCGGCCGATGTCATTTAAAGCAAATGTTTGTGCGCACAGCGATGACGTAGCAACACAATATGGTTTTTGGTGGGTTTATTTGGTCATGCATTATTGCCTCCTTTCAGTGCGCATTGTGTTGGGGGGAACTAAAAAATGTAAATATAAATACGAGTTTAATGCCGATTCATCAAGCATGGAAAGAAATAGAGTTGAAATGGTGGCTTTTGCGACACAATTTGATAAAGCCACCGGGTTATGACGTGCATTTTGAAAAAATCGAGGTTTTTGTTTTGTTGGCAGAAAAATACAATCTTAAAAAATCCAACGATCGACCCACCCGAAAGTCACTTTGGCTAAACATCAAAATAGCGGAGCAAACTTGTTGATTTTCTTTGTCTTTTTTTGCACCTGGAGACAAGCCAAAAGGCAGGAAAACCAAAAAACAAAAAAGGGATCTGTAAATCACAGAAACTCCTGTTTTTTTGTTGGATCTATCGATATAGAAAACCCCCACCTGTTCCAATCAGAAACTAAAATAGTAATAGAATTTGACGCATGTTAAAATTTTTTTGCATAATTCTCAGCCTTTTTTTATGTGTTTCTGCCTCGTCCTACTTTTTATATTCTCTAACCTTCATAATATTGTGACTACACACCAAATATCTGGAAGTTTGAGGTTTGAGGGGAAATGGTAATAAGAGGCCATCGAAAAAATAATGATGGCAAGTTTTAGTTCACTCCCTCATTTCATTTTTTGTTTCCTTTCTGATTATTCTTTTTTTTACTTACACTAAAAGGTAAAGTTTTATTTGCAAACACCAACACAATACACAAAAAAACATCCTGGCGGAGTACAAGTAAAAAAAAGTCGGCTGATCCAAATTAAACACAAGAAAATAATTGTACGCCAGCTCAACATATATCCGCACTATTCATTATTTTTATTTCTCTTGAACTGCTATATAAGAGAAGTAATCCTTGTCCTCGTCTTTGTCGGTTTTCTTTCCTTCCCTCTTTTCTTTTTACACTTTCCATCCTTTTTTTCTTATTTACATTTACAACGTACAACTGCTAATATCCTAATTCCAACAAAAAACCAACCTTTCTTTTCCTTTCCTTTTTTATCGTGTATACATTACGTTATTCTAAATTTCTTAAATCACAGCAAAGAAAATAACCCCCGCTTTCTTTCTTTTTTATTTAATTATTCTTATTGGATTTGGCTTTTTATTTTTATTTCCTAGACAAATTCAAGTTAAAGATGGTCCAGAAAAAGACAATCACAGCTGCGTCATTGGTCCCCGAGGGCCAGCCCATTGCCACACAGGCAGTGACCAAGGACTTTGCGTGGAAGCGTGACAGCACGGGTTCGGAGACACAGACCTTGTACTTCCATCTCGACAATGGGTGTGTGGATTTGTGCAAATTGCCTGGGTATACATGGCCATGGTAACGACCATCGAGACCAACGCCATGTTCTACGTTCCCGGACACAAGTGCGTCTTTGAGACGCACAACGGGCACAGCCTCAAGGTCCGCAAGGACAGCGATGAGTACGAATGCAAGGGCATTTCGGTAGCCTGGGACGCGGAGCACCGCGATTTGAAGGTCAAGTATACGGCCGGCAAGCAGCGCAACGCCAAAGGAGTCGCGCCTCTTTTGAGTTTATGCGGAAGGGTGATGGGTACAAGATTGGCGACGGCAAGAATCATATTGGGGAAGGCACAGCGGAGCACTACTTTTACCCTACTGGAGATATCAAGGTTGAGGGCGAGATTAATGGGGAGGCGTTCCAGTCGCAAGGTGTGGTATGTTTATCCACGCGCACTCCGGAAACATCATGCCATTCAATGTGGGCGCCGAGTGGAACACGGTGTTCTTTGCTGGCAAGCGCGAGGACGCCCCAGCGGAGGCTAGCGAAAGGGATACCTTCCATATTCTCCAGTACGAGACGCCTGCGAGCTTTGGCAGTGCCTGCTGCTCCAACGCCGGTCTGACTGAAGCCGGCAACCTCAAGGCGGTTTTCTGGGATACCACTGTGGAGCACATGGACATGGTCAAGGACGAGAATGGCAGTGGGTACTCGGTCCCCAAGCGGATACTGTTTACTTCCAAGGGAAAGACCACAGATGGCAAGCCAGTTACAGTTACATTTGATGCCCAGCCTAAAACACGCCTTCACGATATTGACGTGCTCCATGAGATGCCGTATGTTGTGCGCCGTCTGGTGCAGGCCCTGATTACCAAGCCGTATATTTTGAGCGTTACCAGGAGGACGCCAGGATTACCGTTGCCATAGAAGGTGAGCAGCCCTACGACTTAGTCGGTGTCGCCTTCAACGAGCTGACGCTGATGAAGTAGAAAAAACCACCAATTCAAAAACACACACACACACAGCACAACTCTCAGCGAAAGTCAGTCCAACATTGCTGGTTGTGCGTCTTCCCTTGCTCTTTTTCTCTAATTTTTCACTCTAATTTTTCAATATCTTTTTTTGTTTCAAACCCAGTTTAATTTCTTTATTTTTAATTTCTCAACTATTTCAAAATAACCTCATATTCAAGCAAAACCCAAAGAAAATTCATTTGCGCATTTGTCTGCTTGCCGTGGTCTCCACATTAATATCGACGCTCTGCACAAACCCCAGCTTCCCGCGCAGTTCCAATCTGATCTTCACAACGGCCGCCTCAATTCTGGCTGCGCTCTCCTCTGGCGCAACCACCATATTAGCTCTCACATGCAAAAAGGGGCCGGACTTCCGACACTGAACAGCATCAATCCCGGATACACCCGGCACCCCCTCCGCAATACACCTCAGGGCATTTTGGACCTCCTCGGTTAAATGCATCGGCGGCGGGGTATCCGTAATCTCTCGTATAGCCTCCATAGTCATCGACATCCCACTCCTAGCCAGCATTGTACTAACAACCAGGCCACCGATAGCGTCGAGCACGGGGAATCCCATGATGGCGCCGCCAATGGCACCGACAGACACCAGGCTGGTCAACGCATCGCTGCGGTGGTGCCAGGCGTTTGCCACCAGAACATTGGATTTTGTCCGCGTTCCGACCTTCATTGTCGCCTGGAATAGCGCCTCATTAACAGCGATTGATCCGACAGCAAACCAGATTGCCCGAGGATCCACCACTGCGCCATCCACCACCGCCTGTGCTGCTGCGCCGTGCGTATGGCCCAAGGACACAAGGGATCCTCCTCCCTCTGCTACCCCAACCTCGGCACTGCCTGCCAATGAAGCCAGGAGATCCCTCGCAGACTCCGCTACGCCATCCACGGAGCCACCAGATTTAGCAGCTGCCATGAGATCAGGCAAGTACCCGACGACCTGTTCCAGCGCATGCATGCCGATTCCAACACCAGCAGCGACCAAAAACGCACTGACAAACAGCGTCCCCAGCGCCTCATACCGCCCATACCCATAAGGGTGAAAGGCGTCAGCTGGCTGCCGCGATTTGCGAAATGTATACAGCGTGACAACGTCCCCAATATATCGCTCATGGAGTGTGCGGCGTCCGCAAGCAACGCGGAGCTATGAAAGTAGATTCCAGCAATGCCCTTGGCCACGCTCATACCGACATTGGCCCCCATACCGATTAGTGTGATTCGGGAGCCAGCCTGATGGTGCTCTAGATATCCATTTTAGCTGCTGTTTCGCTGGTGCTGCGGGTGTGTGAGTGGGAGTTGAATAGGCCGTGGTATGCGTGTGGTCGTGGTCTTTGCAGTGATGACTGAGGCTGGAGAATTGCTGGCGGAGTTGCGCAGGATAATGAGGTCCTGAGCACTCCATTTTGTCGTGCCTGTGCCTGTGCTGGTATTGCTCCAATATTGCGTCGCTGTAATGTGCGGGTGAGCTGCTGGGCAAATGCGGAGCAGTTGCTCAGTGAAAGGCCTTGTCGCCACAGCGCCAGCGGCGTTTGCTTCACAATGCATCGGTAGTACTGCGTGCTCATATGTGTAATGTTTCTATTTTTTGGAAAAGGATATAATGTAAAAGAATGCTAAATACTTTATGTGTATATATTAAAAAATATTGTAGAAAACGAAAGGAAAATTATATAAAAAAAGAGGGAGGTTGTATGTGAGTTTTATAACAAAATTCATTTTTGGCAGTAGCAATTTGGGTGCAGCAAAGAAAAAATAATGACGAGATAAATTAATACGTCTTGTGCGTGGAGGTTTATTTTCTTTTTGTTAGTTACGATATTTGGAAAGCTGGCTAAGCCTGGACTTTTTAAAAAAATCGTATGACAAAATGACATAAAAATAGAGAAAGTGGGTCGAGATTTTCTATCTTCCAATAGTAGGCATTGCCCTGCGGAGAAGGTGAAAAAGGGGACTGCTTTTTTTTAAAAGTGTCGGATAATATTAAGGAAATGGCGTGACGTTTTATTTATTTTTGTTTTGCTTAAGCTAAAGAAAAATATGTGCTTGGCGTCTGAAAAGAAAGCTCTTTAAAAAACGGCCAGCTTGGCTAAGGAAAGTCCGAGATAGCTATGAAGCTCAAAGAAAATCCACAGACTCTAAAGTGAAAAATATTTACTGCTCGATTTTTCTTCATCCTTCTCACCCATGTCCATTATACATGTGCGTAACTTTTTTATTTTATTTAATGTCAAGCTGAAATAATATGGTCACACACAAAACAATTTATGCTGGCGAAGTAATACGCATGTCTGCGCGTTGGATGCAGGTTCAGCAATATCCGAATCGCCAAACAAATCATCATCAGCATCAACGATATCCGGAACAATCTCTTCTGGCGCCCTCACTCTCTGGCTCACCACCATCAACGGTATCCTCTACCATATCCGGCTTCTTGGGTCTCGGCAGTTTTGCAGGTCTCGTTGGTCTCGGCGAATTAGTAAAATACGGGTGGCTCAGGGCCTCCGCCGCGGTAATCCTCCCGGTAGGGTTAAACCCGAGCATACGATTCATTAAAAGCAGGGCATCCTCGGACGCACCATGGAACAGGTCGGCGAATTGGGGTCTCGGATACCGGTCGAATTTGAATCCCGACGGCAGCTTCGTCATCCCCGGCCAATCCTCCTCCGTCGGTGTGCCGCGCGCCTTAAATATAGTCGTCAGCTGCTCCAGGTCTGAGTCCCCGGAAGGTAGGGGGCGCGCAGGAGGAGTTCGGCGAAGATACAGCCCATTGCCCAAATATCAATGGCGCCTGAGTAGTTGGTGGCGCCGAGGAGCAGCTCAGGAGCACGGTACCAGCGGGTGACCGTCTGCGATGTCATCGCGCGCTTCACATCGCCGTACTCCCGGGCCAAGCCAAAATCTGCCAACTTTAGCTGCCCATCGGCAGCAATCAGCAAATTATTAGGCTTAAGATCGCGGTGCAGCAGCCAGCACCTATGGCAGTGATCCAGCCCCCTGAGCGCCATCATCATCCAGCTTTTGATATCCGCAGGCATAAACACCAGGCTTTTATCCTTGATGACAATTTCAGATCGGTGTCCAGAAATTCGAGTACTAGGTTGAGGTTGGTTTTGTGCGAGAAAACGTCGATCAGTTCGATGACGTTCGGGTGCCGGAGCTCTTGGAGTGCCTTGACTTCGCGGATCGCGGACATGTCGAGGCCGCTGCGCATGTTTCCGACTTTGATCTTTTTGATCGCTACTGTGCGCCCCGTCTTGATGTGCTGGCCTTGGTAGACTACAGCGTAGGTTCCTTCGCCGAGCTTTCGCTGCTTCCTGTATAATGACTCGGTCTCCTTGTTGATGTCCTCGCCGAGAATCGGTCTTGATGTCGCCATGGCTTTATTGAAATATGATGCAGATTTATGTGGTATATATAAGGGGTGATGGTATGGTGCTACGAAATAAGAGAAGAAAAAGAGAAAGAGGCTTTTTGAAACATTCAGCAAAAAAAAAACTCGTCCCTCTGAACACAACCATTAACAAAATAAAGCGAAAGCATCGCATCGCTAGGGCTCCGTTTATGGGGAAATATCAGGCCATGCAAACCTTTTAATTCATATTTGTCGCGTCCAGCCACCCCTTTACTCAATGGTCGGGACGCGCACTCGGCGCTTGCCCTTGCGCTTAATAGTAACCATCTGCGCAACAACAGGGGGATTCGGAGACGACGCAACAGTGGGAATAACCGCATCAATCCGGGGAGTGGGCTGCCCGGGGCTGCTGCCACCAGTCACCAACGGCAACTCCACCACAGTGTTCGACTGAATCCCAGCCCACGCAACCGCCGATCCACATCCTCCACAGACCATCTTCTCCTAACAACACCGGCATACCCTCAGGCCCATGCAATCCGCCGTGCTCATCACCATCCGCCATACCACCAGACAAGGACAAGACAAAGCCACGGGCGAGGCCGACAGTACAGCGGCTGGGGGAACCGACCGACACCGCTGCACCGGCGACGACAAACTACCGCCAGACATCTCACTCCTTGCCTCTGGTACTTCCCTCGCGCGCTCCCTCATCATCCACTCGGCTACCTGCATGTCCTGCGCTGCCCTATGCTGCTTGAGTCGCTCTGCCCGCCGCCGAAGGTCCTTGCTGCGCGCGTGGATGAGCATCATTTTGCGCTGCAAGGTACTGGCCTGCGTGATATAGGCGGTGAGTGTGGAGAGTAGCTCGCGGTGGGGTGGTCGTCTTGGGAGAGCTGCGCGTGGATGGTTTGGAGCCCGGTTATTAACTGATTTTGATGCTCTGAGAGCGCGGTGAGTGAGGCGGCGAGCATTGGTACTAATGTGTCTGACAAGGAGTCCATGGCTGTATTTTTATGTTTAACAAAGCAGAGAGATAGAAGAAGAAAATAACAAAATGTGTATATAAAGCAAAGAGATGAACAGAAAGCAAGGGGTGAACCCCCCCTCGCGAGGAGGCTTGCCCCTCTCCCCATGCAATCATCCGCTTTGTATTTCATCTATGGGATGTGGGGTCCCCTCCAAGCACCAGCAGCCGATGATCTCAATGGATCAGTCTTCTCTCAGGCGCCGAGAATCGCAGCCACCGGCGGCACGATCTCCTCGACCGGCGCCTCGACCTTCCACTTGGCCTCCTTATCACCTCTGGTCTCTCCCAAATTAACAATCAACACCTCCCTCCCCATCTCCCTCGCATGCCTCACCAGCCTAAACGCGCTAAACGTAGCCAAGCTCGACCCACACACAATCACCGCGCCGTTCTCCTCCACCATTTCATGCGATCTCAGGCGCACTTCGGGGGCAACGTTGCCGCCGAAAAACACCACCGTCGGCATAAAGTGGCCCGTGTGGCACTGTGGGCATTGGGGGTAGGCGAAGTCGGCATAGCTCAGGGCAGCCGGTAACTCAATGTCACCGTCAGGTCTCCGCATGGGCTCCTCACCGGACCTTAGCATCTCCCGACCAACCCCAGCCCACACAGGGTTGAGTTCCTCCAGGGTCCTCTGGAAATCCTCTCGGTTCTCCAAATGGCCACAATCCAGGCACCGCACGTGCCTCAACGACCCATGCAGCTCCAGCACGTTCCTGCTGCCAGCCTGCAGATGCAGCCCATCGACGTTCTGCGTTATTAGGCCGGAGATATGACCGGCGTTTTCGAGGCTAGCGAGCGCTCGGTGGGTCGGGTTGGGCGAGGCGAGGAAGGCTGGGCGGATGCCGAAGAAGGACCGCGCCCAGTAGCGCTGCCGCGTGGCATGCTGGGCGATGAGCTCGTGGTGCAGGATTGGGGTGTAGCCGCGGTGCACGCGGTAGGTGCCTTGCGGCCCGCGGTAGTCTGGGATGCCTGAGGCGACACTGACGCCGGCGCCCGTTATGGCGAGCACCCGGCCGCTGTGTCGCCTGAAGAATTCTGCGACAGACTCGAGCAGCTCCGCAGTCACCGGCTCCTGCGATTTGGGCAGTGCATATAGGCCTTGGATTCTGACCTTTGCGAATGGTGGCATTATTGACAAAAATGGGAATGTTTTTTAGACAAGAGGAAATGAGTAAAGAGCCAAAGGAGCCATCTTCCACTCTTGTCCACATCAAACAAAAATAAGCAACAGAATGTGGAAAATAGAACAAATGTATTAATTGTAATTGAAAGGTAGCTTCCGTTTTACTTCTTGCCACCCTTCTTGCCCTCGAATCCAGGCCGCGCCTTGGCCCCGCCAGCCGCGCCCTTCTTGAATCCGCCCGACTTGGGCTTGCCGCCGGCAGCGGCCCCAGCGCGGGCTTTTTTGTAATGCCGCCAGCCTTGCCGCCCTTAAGCACGCGCTCGATCGCCTTCTTCGACTTGCCCTGCTTCTTCATCTTGATGGTGTCAACGCGGGCCTTGAGGTTAGCATCGCGCTTCTGCGTGCGCTCCTTCATCCGCGTATCGACGTGTTCCTTGCGGTCAGTCCACTCGCGCGCACTCTTGGATTTCTTCTGCTCCATGCGCCGGACGGTCTTGCGCAGCAGCGTGGCATCATCGCGGACCTTCTCGCCCTTGGCCTGGTTCAGCGCCTTGCTCCACCGATCCTTCTCCTCGATGACATCCGCCTTGGCTGAATCGGTCTTCTTAAGCTCCGCAAGCTCCTTCTTCTTGCCTTCGGCCTTAATCAGTTGCTGTCTCACGTGCACCGGCTTCTTCTTGGTGGCTCCGCAGAAAGCTTGCCGAAGAAAATGCTCTCCTTGACTTCTCCGCTGCCGCTGCCCTTGCCGGCTCCTGGCGCGTCGGTGAGTGCCGAGGGAGTCTTGCTGCCGAGCACTTGCTCTTGCGCGGGGTTGCCGGATTTTTTGGCCTTGGCCTGCATTTCCTTGGACTTCTTCCGCCGAGTCATGCGCTTCTCCAGCAGCGCCTCCCGGACACGTCATCCTCGGCGCCTTCCGTTTCTGCCGCAGCACGTCAATGCGCTCCTGCAGGCGCTGCCTCAGCTCGGTTATCGAGCCCGAAGCCGCCATAGGCTTGATCTCCGTAGGCTGCGCTTCCTCAACCACCAAAGCCGCCTGTGTCCTTTTGTCATCCAGATCAAAGGTCATGCCGGACATACCAGCGTCCTCATCCTTATCCTCATCCAAATCGCTCTCCTCATTTGCTGCCTGCTGTTGCTTTTGTTGTTTCTTGGGAGTATCCGCGATCTTTAGTTTCTCCGCAACCTGCTTCTCAAGCTTCTCCGCCTGTATTTCTTGGACCGTCTTGTGGTTTTCAGGATCCAGGCGTGCGGCCTTGGCGTTGGCTCGTGCCTTGCGTGTGCTTCCTTCTTTGCCTCCTCGGTTTCCTTCTTGGTGTTCTTCATGTAGCGGTTGTTCATTGTTTGCTCGTTTTCCTCGGGGAGGTAGAACTTGCGTGGGATCAGACTCAGGAGATCTTCAATGTCTCGGCGTGCGCCAGTAGGCTGGCCTTGATGGCTTCAACGTCGACCATTTTGTTTGTATTGTTTTAAAAGTACTTTTGTCTTGGGGGGTTTGATTTTTAAACTGGAAAAGGATAAAAAAAGTGGAAAAAAGAGTGAAAAAAGAGAAAAAAAGAGATATAGTAAAAGTGTAGGTGCGAAAAAATCAAAGAAACCAAAACGAGTATGTAAAGTGCAAAGTGTAAATTTATAAAATAAAAAACTACTAAAACTACTAGACAAGAAAATAAAGGAAAGGGAGAGAAAATAAAATAAAAAGAGCTTTGAATATATTTTTCAAGGCTTAAACTCAACCAAACAACAAGGGAAAAAATATACAAAAGCGTAGAAATCTTTTATTTTTTTTTGGGGTACGATGAATTTTTTTCTATTTTTTTTGCTGTTGTGTTGATCTGAACAGGCTTGATCATCGCCTGCGATCAAAAAACTAGCATACTATTCTCTCACAATCCTGGAGATCAGCTGCCTCCTCCCCACAACCAAACTACGTTGATGCAGCAGAGCTGATGACCCCCCGTCCCATCATGCCCCCCCCTTCCTAAGTTAGATTCTCTAAGCCTTACTACGCAAAATAAAAAATTCAAGATATGGCGGACAAAACAGCGCATACCCATGGGCAACAGAACCTCCAAAACCAGTCCACAGAACCACCACGCAACGAAACCAAGAAGCCTGAAACCAATAACACATCCATCTCCACCCGAAACCCAAAAGCGCGCCCATCGACAAACAACGCACCCACATTGAGCAACTGATGCAGCGCATCGATAAACCCATTGATCTACCGCAGTCTAAGAAGCCAACTTGAGGCCACCGCCAGAGATCGTGCTTAATGTGCGTGGGTCCAGTGCTGGTGCTGGAAGCAGCGATTTTCACACTTACAGGGAGCTGCGCCGGAAAGAGCATTTCGCATAAAGCTTATGGATGTGGAGGCTAAGGAGGATCTGGCGAGTGAAAGTTTAATGAGGAGCTGGAGTCGCTGAAGCGCAAGGATGAGGAGAAAACTGCCAAAAACAGGGCCAAGCGTCAGAAGAGAAAGAACAAGTCCGAAGCAAAAGACAGCAAGGTGCCAAACATGTTAAAGGTCCAAAAGACACCAAGGATGACAAGTAAGTGTTTTCTTGTATATATTTTTTGGAAATAATTAATTGTAATGAGAAAAGAGAGAAGGAAAAATGAAAAGAAAAGAAATGTACACGCGCCACGAATTTACAGTGAGTTTATAGTTTATACCGCTCAGTTGGTGTTGTTGTTGTTGTACCCGAGTGATAATGGTGGTGCTATTGGATAAGCTGGGCCTCTGAATCGAAGATGTGAACACAGTGTGAGTGGGCTTGTGACGATGCTGATGTTGCTGCGGATAATAGTAGCCGTTGATATTGGTGGTGCGAGCCATACCATCATCAGTGTACAGTGGGCCTGTTGCAGAGTGCGAGCGCGTTCAGGCGGCGGCGGGTAGTTTGCCAGGTGCTGCATCTGGCCATTGGCTGGCTGCCGTGACTAGCGGCTGAAAGGCGGGTGCGCTTTCCCTCGGGCGAAGAAAGCGCTTCGGAAGAGCCCGACAAAGGCGATGTGTTGTGGTAGTTGTTGACACTGCTTTCGGCATGTGTCTGTCCATATCGTCGACAACGCTGTCGCGGCGGAAGCGCTTGGCGGCTTGCGACAATGACGGATCAGCGCTTGAGAGCCCAACAGTTTCCCACAAGGGCGTTTCCTCAGAGTTGGTGTCCGGCAGCATGTCGTTGATGAGCGGGCGCAGCGTAAGGTTGGAAAAGTCGGGGTTCTTGGTAGGAAGAATGCAGCACTCGGCAAGGCCATGGCCCAATGACGTCTCTACGTGGCGCGGAACTTATCATACGAGTCCTGTGTGCCGCGGTAGCTAGTGCGGCGCACACGACCGCGCCCGTTGCACCTGCTATTGAGTTCTTGATGTTGGGAACCTCGGTCTTTGCCCCTTCGATGCAGTGGATTCCGACGTGCTGCATCATTTATCAAAGCGGCTGAACAGCTTGGTGCACTTTGAGACGAGGCAGCGGTAGGGCTTTTCACCGGTATGGCGACGCTTGTGGCGGTTGAGGTGCTCGACGCGGTCAAAGGCTTGCCCGCAGTCGTGCCAGTCACACGTGTACTTGCGCTCAGCACCGCTGCTGATGCTGTTTTGCCGGTCGACCGGGTGTCTGAGATGCACGAGTCAATGGACTGGCGACGAGTGTGGCTCAGAGCGGAGATCAATGGCATATTGGTGAGAACATGTTGCTTGGTGCATGCCTAATCTCTTGCGACATGGCAGTATATTAAATCTGGTCGCAGAGTCGCGACGCGGCAGATAAGAAGGCTGGCGTCCATTGCTGTTGCCAAATGAGCTGCCATCTTGGACGCTGAAAACGGATCCATCGCGCACTGCGTAACCGCAGCAGAGTAATCTGTCGGCTGGTTAAACGAAAAACCAGTGCTGGCCCGAGGCCGGTAAGTGCTTCGGGAGTGTGATTCGGTGTTTGAAGCAAACAACTGTGCCCCTCGTAGTGCGTTTGCCGGGGTTGGAATTGCTGATGTCTCAAGGCTGTTCAGAGTAATACGCCGCCGATGTCGAAGAGTCGCGAGATATTGTCGAGCTCTTGCTAGCTTGCGCAGAGGTGTATGGCGGCTCGGCGCCCTGGAACATGCCCGAGACGTTGTGCGGCAACGGCGGGTGGCGGGGAATGGCAACAATGTTAGATTCATCCATATTCAAGCGTTTCTTTAGCGCAGTCGCGCGAGATAGTGTTGCTGTTGTTTTTGGTATTGCTGCTGCTACTGTTAATGATGAAGCGGCGGCTGTTGCTGCTGTAACTTTTGCTTTTATTTTTGGCTTTGCTGACGCAGGTTTTTTCTTTTGCTCGCGAGGCACGTAGTGCACAAATGGGTCAACGCGGCGAGGATGCTCCTGACTTCTATGGAAATAACTCGAAGAGCTCATGATGTGTTTAGATAATATAATGTGTGTGGGGAGAAATATATGATGTTGGAGACACAGAGTAGGGCGGGGAAGAAAATAAACCACACAAATATTGAAAAGGGGGGTATATGTTGGAGTGGGATGAAAGGATAAGAGGAGAGGAGGGGAAGATGAAAAAAGTGAGTGTGTGTATAACTAAAAAATATCTGCTATATAACAAATATTCACGTATAGAATAAAATGTTGGATAAAAATTGCAAGCAATACAGTCAGACAAAAATAAGGTCGTTAGTTTGTATAGTATGAGAGGAGAGGGAAAGAGAGAGAAAGAAAGATGTGGAAGAAAAGGTCAGAAATGGCTCTGTGTTTTAAAAGCCGAGAATATAAAGTAACAGCTGGTAAGCTATAGACTACCGTTGAATGCAAATGGAAACCTTAAACCCTACAATTTTTTCTTCCAGGCACAAAAGAAAAAATAGGCTTTGAAATGCAGGGTTGGCTATTATAAAAAGGAAATTGGTATAAGTGGCTAAAAAGGACGAGCATTTTAAAAGGCCCTATTGGCGAAACCAATTGCTGTCCTTTTATCAAAACTAAAAAAGGCATGGGCAAAAGGGGGTGGGTACATACAAAGCTGACATAGAAAAAAAGAAAATTTTGTCCCCGATAATACAAACGAATAAAACTAAAGCCGATGCTTTTTCTTTGGCTACAAAGCAAGCGGCAAAGCAGCAAAGTATAAAACAAAAAGGTGCTTATTTACATCAGAGTGTGCCGATGCACGTATGAAACCAGGTCAAATAGTATGTAAGAATCAAAGCGCTTTTTTTTGTGATGAGCTTGCTTTCTTTTTATCCAGCACTGCCAAATGTCGCCAGGCGGTGACAGCGGCAAAGCACTTTATTTAAATAAAAAAGAAGCAGGATTCGTGAGGAGAAAATTCAAGGCTAATAAGCGCAGAATAATATAACCTTGGCAAAAAAAATCAAGCGGCGTGACTTGTGCCAGGTGCCTTTGTGCAAATGGGAACGGGTTGACTAAGGTTTGGAATCACCTGCAGCTGTCGTTGGCCACATATGTGTTAGTCTGTGTGCTGGTGGCAAGCAATGAGCTCATCAATCAGCGCATAACTATGACAGATATCAGGATCTCATGGCAGGCAAGGTAAGACCAAAGAAAAGCCTAAATGGATTTTAGAGGCACAGTTTCGCATCAAAGGAAAACACCATTTTGGAATCATGAGAGACAAGGAATGCGATAAATTAAAAGGTATGGCATGTTTTTCCGCGTTTATTAGAACACATGCGAGGCCGCCTGAATTTGATCATCAGCATTCACGAACTAAACACTTTACAGATCACTCAAAGGATCCGATTAACTAGAGCGCATTGGACAATGGAAATATGCAGGGCACGCACCGCAATACAAAAAAAAAAGATAACGGAACTGTTCAATGACAAGCGACTATGACATTATAAATGGACTAACACTTGGATTGTGTTCTGCAGACATTGAAAAGGCAAAAAAAACAAGCGGGATGATAAAAAGCATTGAAAGACACGCCAAGTCTGACAGTAAAAGCAGATTCCTGGTATTTTGCTTGTGTCTCAAAAACAGCCTTTGTAGGAAATTATGTGCAGCAAAATGGAGTTAAAAATACTAGGATTTACAAACACCACAAAACAAGAGCGTGCTGTTCGATTATAATAATACTGGGATTGCCCTTTCAAAAACTGCGGAATATTTTTACGCCAAAAAGATAAACAATTTATATTTGAAATTGAAATTGAAATGTACCTTTGGCTGTAGAGGGTAGTGTGGTTTGTGTTCAAATTTGGGCTAGGAAAGCAATTAACACAGAACGAGAAAAGTATAAGACAGATTGTATGAACATGCACATATGAATGTATGCCAACTCGTAGGCCAGGGAAAATGGTGGGTATTATATATTTTTAACGGCAAACAATTCATAGGGATGTAAATGTGGAGAGACGCTTTTTTGTTATTGAGCCTAGAATAGTGGCATGACAACACATACCACGCCAACATACAAGTACAGTTACATACGCTTCCGTTTTCTCTGTGCAGCTCGCGTATGTGTGTCTGGTAAAGTGGGGGGGCGATATCATAAAGGCATAAAAGTGGAGGGAGAGGCAATTAGGTCAAAAGTGACCAGAGACAAATTAATGGATGGAGAATATACAACAGCGCTAAACGCAATGTTGTAATGCGGAGGATTCTGCGGCGTATACACTGAAAACAATTGCCCCACATCTATGTGGAGGCTGTAATGAAGTGGCTAGAAGGAGCTCGCTAAACAGGGTTACACGTATACAATTTTGTACTTACGTTTGTGCTTGATCTCTAATTACAAATCAGCTGGAAAGTGTCTGGTCGTCAGCACACAAACTTTGCATGTAATCAGGCTTGCGGGGAGCAAGGAGGGGAGAATAATAAATGTGTGTTTTGCAGGTAAAAAAGGTGGACTCGGAAAATTTTGCAATAGATTTAAAGTTGGTCGACCCCGTTTACTTCTTTTTTGCCGCTGAAATGAAGATACGAAAAATGGATGGGGAAAGGGGGACACAATTTAAATTGTTTAATAGACGCTAGCGGTATAAGCGGAGAAGTGAATAATTGAATGTTCTGATGCGGATATATATGTTTAAAAATACAAAAATCCCTAAGGTGTAATAATAAAGAGAACTTCTGTAGATTTGCTGTCTAATTTGTAAGGGTGCACATCAGAGCAATAATGTATAATTTTACTAAAACAAAATCAAAATGAGTAAAAAAGGTTGATTTTAAAGCTGCCTCTCACAGTGCCGCCGAGTCGTAATAAATATTCAGCGCTCAAACTTGAGTTTGTCTTTATTCCTCTCGCCCAAACTTTGCATGTGGAATACAATTTTGAAAACAAAAAGAGTATTAGCAACATACGGACACGCTCCAAAAGAAGGAAAGTGTGGCGAAAAAGCAACTATTTGCCTCTTTCTCATGCAAACAGGTCTTTTGTTTATACGCTCTAACAAAGCAAAATCATTTTAATGTCTCGGCCTTTGATGCGGAGCCAACAAAGAAAATGCAAAGTAGCACACTTTAGTGCGTGACGACATGCGCAATATTAGTGCCTCTACCGTTTATTTGGCGCGTGTTGCGTCCTGGAAAATGTGTGTGGGATGGAAAACGATGGAGGCTGGATTGATTGGCTCTCGTGTGCGGTTGAGAGAACACAGAATGACTCGCGGCGCAGCTGTCTTGTTTGACAGGCGTTGGCGCATAAAATTGGGGCACATAAATATTCAAAAGGGTCACAGTGATTCTGTCCGACGCGCATAAATGTCGGCGGCCGCAGAGCAGCGCCATTTTTCATGCGTATAGTTGTGTAAATTGAAAAATTAAATCAAGTGGGGTCGCTCGACGCAGGGTCTCCCCATCTTGCACCGACATGTTTTAATTGTTTTAATTTAGCCGAGCAACGTGTGTGGCACTGTCAGTCGGCTTTGTCTTTCTATATTCTATATTATTTTTGGTGGTGAGATATGTGCTACAAATTTTTTTACTCGACTTCTTTCTTGGCCTCGGTTGTTCGTGGCTTAATAACTACCACGTCATCAAAGTTTCTGAAAATTTGTTAATGCTGAATTCCTCCTGCTTAGCGCTGATAGGAATGGTCAGTTTTCCGTTGTACCGGGAAATAGAAATTTTTTCAGGAACACCGTCGAGCTCCTCGCGAATCTGGCTGATCAGCTCTGTCACAGTCTGAGCGGGATTATCAACAAACACAGAGCCAATCAAGTTTTCGTCGTTGTACTGTTCGCCATAGACCAATAGCTCGCGCTCCTCGCCATCTGCCTCGCCAATGGCAGAAGTGGTAGCAATGGGGCCGGTTCCGGTGCCAGTGCCGTTCTGGGTCCTGGCGCCGATATTGTTCGTGTCGAAACAGGTAAACGGTTCGAGCTGTTGCTCATGGAAGCCTCAAACTGCCTCTGACGCATGTATCCGGATTCGCCATGCCCCGGTAGCATTGCACTGTCGGGCACACCCCAGGCCTTTGAGAAATCGGGGTTATTCATGTAGTTCGGCACAAACGACTGCTCAGACATAATTCCACTTGATGCCCGGCACGACTCTTCCATCTCGGGGGAGCCCATGTGGAATCCGAAGAGCTCCCGGAGCTCGTCAGTTTTGCAGATGTCAACTGGTCTCTGGGACTTTGTGTTTTTGATGTGGAGATTGGCACCGGCGCGGATTAACATGTCGGCAACCTTGAGGTGACCGCGGGCGCAGGCCCAGTGCAGGGCTGTCCAACCGTTCACTTTATTTTGGTGGTCTACTTGTATGCCGCTACGAAGGTACGCTGTTACTGCCTTGATGTTGCCCATAGCAGCCATCTCACGGAAGTCCTCCTCGCGCTCGTCAAAATTCATTTTTATATATAAGAAAGTCTGGTTAGTGTGTGAATTGTGGTTTAAATGTGCAAAATAAAAAGTTGAAATAAAGTGAGTTAGTTTAGGAAAGAAAGAGAAGGTCAGCATGCAAAAAAATGGAGGGATGGCGTGTCAAAGCGAGCACCAAGGAAAATAATTTTGCTTAGGCTTTATGAGTGCCCAGCTTTGTACCTCTTTTTGCACTTCTTAGTGAAAGGCACAAAGCCCCGATCAAATCAAGGGACTGCAGGCCAATTAAAATTACGATAAGCTTTAAGTGACATTTGCTCTTTGGGTGGGCAATGGCTTCAACAGTTGTCTTTTTGTTCTTTGTTGCGCCGCTGAATTTGCTTTGTATTCTTTGTATTAAAAATTTAACGGCAACACGCACATTATTTCTTTCACAATTTTCCAAATGGGCTTGGTCGACGCATTCTTGGTGCTGCGCGCAACAAAAAAGGTTGCCAAGCTGGCAGTCGGTGAGGCCGCAGCCGGGATAGAGCACCACTTTAGAACGTCCAGTCTGTTCGGCAGCCGCATGCCGCTCGCCGTAGACACAGAATCAAAAGTCGGCAAAACGACACCGTGCGAAAACAATTCTCGAACTGAATACAGGCCGCGCACGTGCCTTAGCGGGCTCGCCACGCGCGAGCTGCCAATAGCGCTGCATCCAGCAGGACTGTTGGACCGCAACAACTTGATCCGGTCGATCAGAGCACAAATGCAGGCTGCAGAGCCCTCCATTGAGCCATTTTCACAGCAGCCGCAGCAGCGGCAACAGCAACATAGTACATCAGAGATCCGCATTATCACGGCCGACTTGACGCATCTTCGCCTGCACACTCCGCCGCCGCCTGTCTGCCTGCGCGGAGAGCAATTGCGGCTACTCAAAGCGCCCCAAAAGCCAGCAGAACCCATTCACATTGACGGTATCATTCCAGAAAGCAATTCAGAGCAGTGCCCGGAGCTCATCGCCGCGAGCATGCCGTCGACGCGGGTCAGCCGCCTGTTCCACTACGGATCACTAGCAGTTGGCCTGGGATTCGGCGCCCTGGGCGAAGCAACCAAGCGCTGGAGCGGGCTGGGATCGGAAACCTCATCGACCCAAAAATCAGTATTTTTGAGCAAAGCCAACATCGACCGTGTAGTGAGCAAGCTATCCAAGATGCGCGGTGCAGCGCTAAAGCTAGGACAAATGCTGAGCATCCAAGACTCCAAGAACCTGTCGCCTGAGATTTCCGAGGTTCTACAGCGCGTGCAGAATTTGGCCAACTATGTGCCCCTGGCACAGGTCGAAAAGACTATGCGCAGGGAGCTAGGTTTGCAGTGGCGCGAGGGATTCGAAGAGTTTTCCGATACTCCGTTTGCTGCTGCGTCTATTGGCCAGGTACACGAGGCACAGCTGAACGCGCAAAAAAAGATGGAGCTCGGGTTTGGCAGGGTTGCTGTTAAGATGCAGTACCCGGGTGTTGCCGATTCGATCGACAGCGATCTGAACAACATGCAGTCCTTGCTTATGATGAGCAAGCTGTTGCCGCGCGGAATGTACTTGGATAACACTATCCGGGTGGCGCGCAAGGAGCTGCACTGGGAATGCGACTACGAGCGCGAAGCCCAGTCCATGGAGAAGTTTGGCCAGCTGCTGGCCAACGACCCCGTATTCGTGGTTCCGCGCCTTGTCAGTGACTTGTCTAGCAAAATGGTGCTGACGGCTGAGTTCATGGAGGGCACAGCAATGAAGAAGGCCGAGGAGTACTCGCAGGAAGTGCGTGACCACATTGGCACCCACATTATGCGTCTGTGCCTGCAGGAGCTTTTTGAGTTTGAGTTCATGCAGACCGACCCTAACTGGGCCAACTTCCTTTACAACACGGCGACGCGCAAGATTGTGCTGTTGGACTTTGGCGCGTCGCGGTCGTTCGACAAGGCGTTTTTGGACAAATACCTGTTGACACTCAAGGCCGCCATGGATAATGACCGCGAGGCGTGTCGCCATTGGTCGACAGAACTAGGATTCCTGACCGGGTACGAGGCAGATATCATGACCAAGGCGCATATTGATTCGGTGCTGGAGCTGGGTAAGCCGTTTGCTACTTCTGGTATTTATGACTTTGGAAACCAGGATGTGTCGAAGAACGTGCGCTCAGCTATCCCTGTTATGCTTCGCCATCGGCTGACTCCGCCGCCTGACGAGACGTACAGCTTGCATCGCAAGCTGAGCGGCGCTTTCCTGCTGTGCATCCGACTGCACGCGCGCGTTCCGTGCCAGGACATGTTCAAGAGCATTACGGCAAAGTACACCTTTAGCGACGGAAGTCAGATAAAGTACATTTAAGCAAAGCAAATAGCTATAGAAAATATATTTGCATATCTTACATTGCAAAAACAGCTCATTAGCAGAAAAACTGCAGTGTTTTATAGAAGGCAAGATGACCTCAAAGTCCCCCTCCCCCCCCCCCGGCTTTGGTCAATTTGCCGCTAGCTGGTCTGTCTTGATCTTGATCTTGGACTCTGCTAGGCGCCGGTACAGATCGGCTGCGTACTTGACCCAGAGGTACGACAGACAGAACGAGCTGAGCGGTATAAACAGCTGCTCCACAAGCGACTCGTTGCTGTCAATGACAAGAAAAAAGATGACGCAAACCGAGCGCACAGTGTACGCCTGCGCCTCACCCTTCTTTTGCGATCGACAAGTAGCCTCCAAGACATCCAGGTATTTGAACAGTGTCTCACAAGTGAGCTCGTTGGCAAACCGGGACATTGTCCGGATCAGGGCGTTCAACTGCGCTACGGGAATCGGGCTGGAAATTGCGTTCTGAACTATGAGATTCAGACGCTTTGCGTCGCTGATGGATGTTGTTAGGTGATCAAAGAGATCAGGGCAGCGGTTCAATATAAACTGCATGTGTCTGGGCTCTGTAGGCACCCTGTAGCTGAGCTCGGGTTGCTTCTTCAGCAGGGCGATGATTTGGGCTTCGGTTTCCGAAGCCATTGCGTTCTCGTCCAGTGCCTTGGCGAACAGATCCAAAATATGCGTTTCATTGGCCTCTTTGGCTTGGGTCGCCAATACGCGTGCCTTGGCGATGCCTTCGGTCACCATTGTGACGCTGTCGTTGACGGAGATGTCGAGGCGGAGCTCCTTTGGTAGATGGCCAAAGGGCAATCCCATTACTGTGGTCGCCAGGTGACGACGCAGTTCCTGCTCGGTCTCCTCGTCCATGAATATCTCCTGCTGCGGCTCTGTACACCAACCCTGTTGGAATTCAGGAGAAAAAAAGCAAGGCGGGTCAATTTAATAGTAATGACGCTTGAAGAGCATAATAAAATAACACGTGCAAAAGGAAAGGAGCAAAAGTGCGACCCTTGTTGGATGGGCACCCGGGCATGACGCGTGATATATTTTTTTGAGTGTCAAGTGGCCATTTTTCTATCTCTGTATTTTTTTCTTCAATTTTGGTTTTCAATTTTACAACCACTTTGTCCAATCAACATTTTATATCTAGATTCCATTTTCTGTTTTCACACACCATTACACTATTACACCATTACACCATTAAATCCTCACACCTTCACACCTCCACACTTGGCCCGCAATGAACAGAATATTCGGCATGGGCAAGGCCAAGGCGCCCAAGCCCACACTGGACGACGCAATTTCGTCGACCGACGGACGCGTCAGCGCCGTCGAAGCCAAGATGAAGAAGCTTGAGGGCGAGCTCGCACGGTACCGCGACCAGCTGAGCAAGATGCGCGAAGGCCCAGGAAAGAACACAGTCAAACAGCGTGCACTCCGCGTGCTGCAGCAAAAGAAGATGTACGAGGGTCAGCGGGACCAGCTTATGCAGCAATCGTTCAACATGGAGTCGGCGGTATTTGCGACGGAGAACATTAAAAACACAATGTCGACCATGCAGGCCATGCAGGACGCCAACAAGGCGATGAAGAAGCAGTACAAGAACGTTGACATTGACAAAATCTACGATATGCAGGACGAGATGGCCGACCTGCTTGAGCAGGCGAATGAGGTGCAGGAGCTGATGGGCCGGAGCTACAATTTGCCCGACGATATTGATGAGAATGACTTGGAGGCTGAGCTGGATGCGCTGGGCGATGAGTTTGATTTTCAGGAGGAGGTGCCGTCGTATTTGAATGACGCCATGCCGCCGATGCCCGAGCTGCTGCCGGAGGCGCCGAACGTCAACGTGAATCAGCCCGTCCCGGGCGACAGCAGGTCCGCTGAGAACTTCCGCGCCGAGCCAGCTCTAAGAATGTGAGCCATCGCTTTTCTTTGGGCTCTTTTCCCTGTGTACACTTATAATAATAATGCCTAATTGCCAAGTTACATTTGAACGCCCCTTATCCAGGGAGCGAAGGGGGCTTGAAAAAGAAATCTGCGCTTCTCTGAAGAAGGAAAAAGGAACGAGGCATTTCCATTTTCATCAAGCGTGGGTACTGTGGTCAATGCTGGTCCAATGCATTGAGAATATGCAGGCGTCTGCTGGTGGAGCTGCGAGGACTCTGCTTTCCCGATGTGATGTCTCTGTCCACAAACAGTTTGCCGCAAATGATGATGTAATCGCCCTTTTATTATTTTGCTACCTTGGAAGGGTAAAGCAAAAAAATAAGAGATCTTGATGACGACAGTAATGGTAATAGTGGTGTTTTGCGCAAACACATTACTGTGCTGTTCCTTGCTCGCCATGTTTATGCTTTCCTTCTATCCTCTTCTCTTGGCTTTATTTTTTTGCTAAAGAAGTATATCCTTTTTCGTACTCGCTGCTTGATCACTTTTACATTCAATTGTCGCATTTTAAGCTTATTGTTCTGGACTTTTTCAACAAAAACAGGCCTGGGCTTTGAGGACACAATATTTGCCCTACCCAGCTTGATTAGCCATTTCCCTCTCCGATTTACCGACAGGCTGCAAGACAAAGTGCCTGCTGTATACGCCCCGTTTCCAAGTATCCAAGCTTTTATCTATTTTTTTGGCTTCCTGACTTTTATTTTCCCTTCAAGCTCTTTCAAATTCGTAACTTTTTTTACAAGCCAGTCATTTAAGAGAGAAGAAAAATAATGCAAATGTTCAACCCGAAACTCGACCTGAACGATGCCGCCAACCGCAGCCTGCAGGTCGTGTCCCTGTCGCGCTCCAACTCGTTCTCCGGCACCGTCGATGACGCCCACGACAAGCACAAGGCACTGGCTTCGCAAGCCCGCATTATCGCAGCCACCCACTTCCTGCCGCTCAGCGTCTCAGTCTCCAAGGAGACCCCGGCCGAGCCCTACAAGTGGGAGGTGGCGCGCCGCAGCGGCCACACAGCGATGTATGCTGGAATCCGCTCGCTCAACGACCACGCAAACCTTGACTGCACCATTCTGGGGTGGATTGGAAACTACAAGGATTTGAAGGGCGAGGAGCGCTCGTGCAGCGGGCTGACAGAGGAGAGCCGCGCCAATATCAGGTTGGTCCTGAGGAGCACAAGGCGGTTCCCGTATTCTTCGATGAAGAGACAGCGAATGGCCACTACGAGGGTTACTCGAAGCATGTGCTGTGGCCGCTGCTGCACTACATGTCGTGGAACGACGCGCACCCGCAGATCCAAGCTGGTGGAAGAGCTACCGCAAGGTCAACGAGACGTTTGCCAGCGCCATCAGTGAGATCTTTAACGAGGGAGACATCAGTAAGTATAAAAATACACGTGTTGCAGCTGAATGGACATGGAATGCCCCTTGAATGCCGCCAATGCTTAAATTATCAGCTGCCAAATCATTACAGCTGCTGTAATCTATGCATTATCGATGCCATCGATGTTATCGGTGCTGCCCGGATGATTGCTAAGGCAGGCGTCTATCTACTTCAATCTATGTCGTGGCTTTTTTATAATTATGCCACCAAATGTGTGCCGCCTCGCAACTCTTGCTAATCATGTGCTTTTTGCCACTTGTCGTGCCTGTTTTTATGCGACATAGTTTGGGCCCATGACTACCACTGCTGCTGCTTCCCGAGATGCTCAGGAATATAAACCCAACCGCGACCATCGGCCTCTTCTTCCACTCGCCGTTCCCTAGCTCCGAGCTGTTCCGGTCCCTGCCCCAGCGCAAAGAGATCCTCAACGGCATGCTGGGCTCGACCAGGATTGGCTTCCAGACATACTCGTACGCCCGCCACTTCCTTAGCTCGTGCACACGCGTGCTCGGCCTCGAGTCCACGCCCACAGGAATCGACAATCACGGAAGCATGGTGACCATTGGCGTCTTCCCCATTGGAATCGACGTCAAGCTTGTCCAGGAGCGCCGCGCGCAGCCCAGCGTGAAGGACAAGATCAACAATCTGAGCGAGATGTTTGCCGGTAAGCGCATCATCATTGGCCGCGACAAGGTTGATGAGGTCGCCGGAATCAAGCAAAAGCTCGATGCCTTTGAAAAGTTCCTCGAGATCTATCCCGAGTGGCAGAACCAGGTCGTGCTGATACAGGTCACACAGCCCGGCCAGACACGCCAGCCGCGCCTCGAGAACAAGATATCGAGCTGGTCACATCGATAAACAGCAGCTACGGCTCGCTCGAGTTTATGCCTGTCCTCTACCACCAGTCGTTCTTGGACACTGACGAGTACATGGCTCTCCTGAACATCGCCGATCTGTGCCTGATCACGGCCATCCGCGACGGCATGAACACGGGCTCTCTCGAGTACGTCGTGTGTCAACACGACAAGCACAGCCCACTTATCTTGAGCGAGTTTACGGCACTGCCGGGTCGGTCAGCGGCGCCATCCAGATCAACCCGTGGGACTATGAGGGCGTTGCACAGGCCATAAATACTGCGCTGTGCATGAGCTCCGACGAGAAGAAGGTGCGCTTTAACCAGATGTACAAGCACGTTGTTAGCCATGATGCGCAGTACTGGGCAAGCACTGTCATCGAGGACCTGCGCGCCACAGTGCTTGTCGGACAGAGCAACTCAGTGACGCCGTCGCTGGATGCTGACTACTTTGCCAAGAGCTTTGCCAGCTCCAAGAAGCGCTTGATCATGCTCGACTACGACGGAACTCTGACGCCGATCACCAACAACCCTGAAGAGGCACTACCCCCGCCAGCGATGCTCAAGGCTCTGAGAAAGCTGTGCGCCGACCCACGCAACTTTGTGTGTATCATCTCTGGGCGCGACAGAGAATTCCTTGACCTGCATCTGAGCGACATCAAGGGTATTTCCTTGAGCAGCGAGCACGGCTCGTTTATTCGTTACCCCGATGGCGATTGGATCAACATCCTGGACGAGGTTGATATGAGCTGGAAAGACGAGGTCCTGGCGATTTTCCAGTTCTATACCGAGCGCACTGCCGGCTCAATGGTTGAGCCCAAGGAGACCGCAATCACCTGGCATACCGCAATGCTGACCCGGAGTACGGAGAGTTCCAGTCTAAGGAGTGCATGAATCACTTGGAAAACTCTGTCGTTTCCAAGCGCCCCGTCGAAATCCTGGTCGGCAAGAAGTGCCTCGAGGTGCGGCCCATGTCGGTAAACAAGGGCGAGATTGTCAAGCGCCTGATGGGTGCTCATCCGGAACAGTGGGACTTTGTTGCGTGCGCGGGTGATGACAAGACGGACGAAGATATGTTCCGCGCAGTGCGCTCAATGAAGCGCAGCATCAATGATGGGGGCGCTGAGGATGTAGATGGGAAGCCGCCGCATTATTTCACTATTACTGTTGGCCGGCTGACAAGAAGACTGCGGCCGCGTGGCATCTTACCAGCCCGCAGAGGGTTATCACTGCCCTGGAGCGCCTGGCTGAGACTGAGTAAATTTTGTTAGCACTTAGTGCATGAGTTGCAATTTTAGCTGGTTTTTTTGTTTTCCTTTTGATTATTTATTTATTATACATCATTATTCAGTATTTGCCAATGACATTATCGTTCCAGACACAACACAATTGTAAAAACATTTATTTTGGAAATGCACATGTCAATCCATATTGCGTTATGTTGGGTTTGGTTTGGTTTTGGAGAAATAAGCCATGTGTAGTTCGTGTGGTTTTGTGGTACGCTATTGTTGTCAATGGCAGTATTGGTATTGACTATTTGTTTGTATTTTACTAAATGCATAAATGCGGATTGATTTATTGTTTAGAGCACAAAAGGTTTAGGAACTTTATGATTCTGGAACAATAAATTATTGTTTCGTGGCACCACTCAAAGAGATACATCACGTACAGTTGAGCTGAAGCGCATTTTTTTGCGACACACAAGCCGACATATAAATAATTTGCACATAAAAAGACAACTAGAAGGATTCAAACTTTCCAAAAAAAATACATTCCAACTTTCTTCATATTTACACAACATTCATTTTAAACACGTATTTTTCTGCGCATATTTACGCATACACTATGCATTTTACAGCCATTGTCGCATTCTTTATTGCCGCACTTACCGCTTGCGCAACTGCATTGCCAATGCCAGCGCCAATGCCAGTACCGATTCCAGCACCAGCTCCAGCCCGAACCGCAGCTCGTTGTTAGTTATCCAGAGGCAAAAATAACTACAGTGCAATGGATCAGCCTTTTCTTTTGGCTCCACAAGATTGGTTACTTCAAATCAGCCAACTCCGAATAAAATAATTATTAAATATTATTGTTTTCAAATTGAAAATATGAAAATATGAAATAAAAATTCTAGATTGAAAAAATAGCGCACAGTACGACAAAAATAAAATAGTGCGTGAAAAAACAAACAAACAACGCACAAAACAATAGCGCTCACTTGTGAGCAGCGTCCGGCGCGTAAACAGCCATTTGCACGTTGCCCTTGTTAACCAACCCGCATTTTTCATAAAAAGCGACATTATCCGCATCGCAATCCAAAATGGCCTTGTAGCAACCCGTAGCATTGGCGAGCTCCAGCAGCTGCTTAATAACAGTAAACCCAAACCGCTTACCCTGCTGTCCCTTAGCAACAACGATATCCTCGATATGACCCACGCGCCCGCAATTACGCAAAAACTTTTGCTCGACAACCAGCGAGCCCGAGGCAACGATTCTCTCGGCCAGGAGATCTTCGATTACAATGATAAAGTATCCGCCGGCGCGTTGCATCTCCTCAAAGTTGTCGCTGAACATGTCCTCGGTGACGTCGCCGACGATAGTCAGGTTGGAGAGGCACTCCATGTAGCCCTTGCGGAAATCGGTCAGCTCCAGGGGACGCATTATGTAGTTGGCTGGGATCATTGCGAGAGCGCTGGTCCCAGGATGGAGCGGTCAAAGAGCGTGTTGGTGATAGCCATTTCTTAAAAAAAAATTATAAATGTGAAATTTGTGAAAAGCAAAAGGAAAAAAGTATTAAAGTACAGGAGATAAAGTGAAACAAAAAACAAAAGAATAGTAGTCCGAATGGGTCTCCCCAGTTTGTATGCGCTTGCGCATGGGAAGAGGGGTCTGGAAGAGGTGCACGGTTTTATAGTCTTAGGACAGCAGAAACATGCTGCTCGCATGCTTTGTGTATTAAAGATACCAGCGTGTGCACGTAATAAACAAAATACTATGCACTATTTTTGTACGCAGTCAGCTTGGCCTATCAAATTGGTCCCATGCGACTATAATAAAAAAAAGAACCAATGGCCGGCAGTGATTACTTTCGTCCAATGATCGTTGCTGTTCTCAGAGTTCTCGGGCAGCTATTTTTAGGTCCCTAATTCGCATTCGAATCTTCAGATCAAGCTGGGTGTCCAAACCCGCAGATTATTTCAGACAGGAACAAAAGCAAGACGCATATACATTTGGAACAGGTTTGTGATTTTCATGTATTTTGCTGCGAGGGTGTCTTTTTTTATTGCGATGGCATTGGTGACGACACACATAATTTGGTATCTCTTGGTCAAGCAAATACAGTGTTTTTTTGGCATACTGGTAATGCCAACTCGCTGCCGCTAGAGTCATTGTTTTTTTCTATTTCTGGCTGCTCTGATAAAAAATGACCGTCAAGCTTGAAGAAAAGGCCTGCCACTTCCACGTGCTCGCCTGCAATGGCTTAGATGTAGCATTTCCCGTTCGAAATCAACAGGGCGGAGGAAAAGGGGGTGATGGAAGGCACCCCTCTGCCGCATCTGCTTTTTTCTCACCTCTCTTTTACTCCTCTTCTCTGTTCTGCTCTCACTTTAACAATTATAATATACACTTTGTTTCTTTCAGGTCTTCATTTTCACTATCCCGCAGCCGCAGCTGCAACCTGTATTTGCTGTCAAAGTCGTATATTTTTCGTTTCAACATATTTTACATTTGCTTGCTTTACCGTCATTATTTTGAATTCAACTTGGAATTCGGCCTTTTGCTCTCAATTATTTTCAGCGCACACTGCTATTTACCAACACAACATTTCTTTGCCCCACGCACTTCATCTCTCACTGTTTTCACTTTGTATTCATTCACATCCTTTTTTGTAGCGTCACATCTTTTGTGCCCCCCAATATTTGGGCAGCGCTAGCAAGTCGGACAAACTTTTTATTTAAACATTCTTCTACTTCTGCAGAATATTGAGCAATGGGCTACATGCACAAGGTGTTTCTGATGGATGACAGTGGGATCTACGAGTGCTCCAACTGTGGCACCCACTTGGCGCAAAAGGACCAGATATACTCAAAGGTATGCCTACTTGCTCTTTTCTTTTGCCCAGAGAAAAAATATTGCTCTGCATTTGTTGCTCACACCCGTGTTTGACTGATGGTGAGAACGGGAGGACGCATGACGTGATATTTGCCCATCCCCGCTTTTAAATTGCCTTTTGTGTATTCTTTGTGCCCGAGTTGTGTGTGTCTGTGTGTGTCACTATTGGTTCCTTTTTTGAAAACACTCGCCTCCCTGTTTTCATTTTCATGATTTTTGTTTCCAAATACCGCCACAAAATACAAGCTGGCATTCACAGATGAATTACAGGACATTCGTTTTTTTGCTCAGCATAATGGCGCCCGTTGAAGTGTTGCCTCAACAGTCCTGTGACCAAAATAAACCGTACATTTTATTGCACTATTGCCTTTCTGGCTTAATTAATTGCTCACTTAATAAATTGCTTGCATTGTAATATTTATTGGCGCTTTTGTAGGAGTACAACGGTCAATATGGCCGCGCATATCTTTTCAACAAAGCCATCAACATTTGCCCTGGCGAAGAGGATAAGCGGTCTATGACTACTGGGGTGCACATTGTTCGAGACATTTCGTGCATGGACTGTAGAAAATACGTTGGCTGGATGTACATCACGGCGTTTGAGCGCAAACAAAAGTTCAAGGAGGGCAAATTCATCCTCGAGAAAGAGCTTATAAACGATGTTACGCAAGAATGGAAGCTTTGAAGAACTTTGTCAGAGGAACAACACTGTAGCTCGCACTTGCACCTCTTTCTCACCATGTATCCACCTATTCCTCTTTTCATTCTGACAACCTTGTTTGCATTGTATTTTCCTTTAATGTACTTTTTCTCTTCCCATGTATGTGACCCCCTGGCAAATCTATTCCATTATATCGACCACTGAGGTTTAAGTAAGCAGCCAAGTTCAAAGTATCGCTCCCCAACTATTTTTTAGGTTAATTTTTAGCTTTTCTTTATGTATCCAATTTTAATATACGGGATCCGACTCGGGGCATAAATAAAATCGGGTAAAGCACAAAAAGTAACTATCAACAAATCGGCTCGGTTCGGCTCATGCCTTTTTGATCTCTGGTGAAGTTTTTTCTCAATCATTTTTTTCTCCCAAGATTGGTGGCAGCTATAAAAATAAGACCGCCACCCGTCAACGAGCAAACTCCTCTTCTTCTGCACTCGCAGTTTTCTATTTTTTTGTACTTGCTGATGTTTTTGTAAATATATAAAGGTAAAATATCAGTCTATTAAAATGTTTATTACTTGCTTGGTCTTGAGGATGATGACGAAAGTTTATCCCTGTCTTAGAAGGTCGCAATATCACAACAATTAGCGGCCAAGCGTGCGGAGAACGTAATTTCTGACTCTTTTCCATTCTATGAATTTATTGTGGCATGATGAACAAAAATCGAATAAACCTACTAATTGCTTGCATTTTTATTGTATCTTTTTGATTTTTGTCTATTAGGTACGTCAGACTGCTGGTTTGATCAAGGTTATAGAGCTTTTGCTCGTAGCTATTTTTAATTGTATTAAAACCAATAAATTAAATTAATTATTATACTAGCGCTAATATTTAAACCAGAAAACAAGTTGTTGAAAAATACGATGATGAATATGCACTGTCCAAACCATTGTTTGATGGTCTGCGACTGAAAAGGTGCGACGATTCGAATTCGAATTTCCTCCATTTCTTTTTTTCAGCTTGGCAGTACAATTAATTTTTTTTTCGAATCATTTGTTTATTTCTCGCAATTTCAAATTCAAATTTTCATCCAAAGCTGACAAATGGCAAGCGACACAAATGCCACAGTGCCACCACGGCCACTGCGCACAATTTCGGATGAGTTTCGCGAGCTGCAATACATTATCGACCAGTTCCAAAGCCAGCTCGACACACCCGAGGGCACCGCGAGCTTGCACCCCTTTGGGCCTATCAATGCAGAAAAGGCACAATCATCTTTTTCGCAGGCCTGCTTCCGCCTCCGCGAATCCCTAACCGGGTACCGCGACATGACACTGGCACCATGGGCCAAACTTCTGTCAATAGACGCTGCGCAACTACAGCAGCAGCAACAACAGCATCAAATGAACGGCGGTATTCCTGTCAGCACGCCTGTGATGGCTGCAACGCATCGGGCGGCGGCGGCGGCGCAGGAACTGGTAGAAATGCGCAAGATCACCGACGCACTGCACGAGGATACGAGCAAATGCAAGGGTATTCTGTTCGATGCTGCCGGCAGTGCCATTTCAAAGGCGCTTTCCATGAGCTCCATGGGTCAGCCTGGGTTGCTTGTTGAGCGGCTAAAGGCCACAGCAAAGAAACTAGAGTTGGCGCATTACATTGATGTCCAGAAACGCGAGGGCGAGGGCGAGGTCACCACGGTTACGCTTGCTGGCGGCATCCTGGTTATCGATGTGGATATCGGTACAAGCAAGGAGCAGCTTAAGGTCAAGGTGTCCTATGTGTCTGATATCGAGCACGACAAGCGCATTGACGCACTGATGCTTAGTCGACTTCTTTCAACGACATTTGCGGATTCGAGCAGCTCGTCGAGCAAATGGCCACTTTGGACAGATTGACGAAGGAGCGGGCACCGGCAAACTTTATCCACAACACCTTTGCTATCAGCGCGACGCTGGCCGAGATCCAACAGCAGGAGCTGCGGGCACTGGGTGGTGATGTTCGCGGGCTTCTGAGACAAGGATCGGGCATTGCGCTCCCACACACGCGGCACGTCGGCCCTTCGACCCTGTTCTTTGCTCCTGCTGCTATTAAAAGTGGGTTGTCGCAGGAGAACTGGGCCGCGCTGCAGACTAATTCACTTTGCGGTGTGGCTGGTATTCCAGGTCTCCGCTGGCTGTGCTTCAATTGGGAGCCGGCGAAATCACCACACTGCTTCATGCCTGCGCAGTTCCAACAGTACTGCCTTCAGTCCGACCACATGGTCGAGGACTCAGAGTCGCACAGGGTTGTGACTGTGAGCCACCCGAGTATCCACGGCCTGCAAATGCGCTTCCTCGAGTTCACTCAACACAAGAGCGCTGAAAGGTCTGCCTCCGATAGTGACGATTCCATGCAGGTTGACGGCCAGGATGAACAAGACAAAAACAATCGGGACGAGCTCTGGATTCCCTACGCGCTCGTCGCCCGTCTGGAGTCACCACTGCCTGCGTGTGCGCTGACTGTGAGGCGCATTATGGATGCTATTGCTCCAGGCGCCACAATCGCTGGTCCGGGCCACGATGGGTTAGAGGAGACAGATGGTGGTACCTTGCAAGGGGCACCCAGGCTGCTTGAGGACGCAGCCACCTTGGAGCACCTCATGTATGCGAAGTGCACAGCGGGCAAGAGCAGCGCCGAAGCTGCAGCAACTGATTTGCGCAAACCGACATTCCATTGCATTGCTAGGCGTGGTATTTCTGTCGAGGTGGAGTCGCCGCAGATCTGCGCATGGAATATCTGCCGTGTGCCCCTCAGTCACCCCCGAAACGTGCTCGCTGTGGTGCCCCTGTTGCGGCGGCAGGCCGTGTTTAACGAGCTGCTCGCCAGTTGCTTCAACGTTATTAACACGGGCACCAGCGATGTAGCGGATACTAGCAATGAGCCTGTGTTCAATGCCAGCAAGGTGACAGCCAAGACGCATGCAAACGACCCGTTCCGCCTTGATATTCTGGTCAAGGAAGTAGCACCTGAGGATGATTCCGACGAGAACGGAAAGCGTGCTAAAATGGGCGGCGACCAACAAAATATGGACACCGGTGCGGGTGCTGCTGCAAATAGCCGGGCCGGAACGGGTCAAGGTGTTGTCTTGCGTGTAGTGGAATCGACTGGCGATATTTTCGCATGGACTCACCAGTCTCTGGGACTCGCGAAAGAGTTGGATTTGCTGGCGGCTATGAATGGCATTGCGAGCACTACACTTACAAAGGCAAACTCGCACGCCAGCTTGTCAGCAGTCGCGAATATTGGTAGCAGCATACCGGTGATTGCTCTCTGGCTGTCCTCGAACCATTTGACAACATGAAGGATGCATGCATTTGTGTAGCTACTTTTTTAACAAATATTTGTGATACAATACTAAGTGTGATAGGTGTTGTGATAGACATGTGCAAGTAAATAAATTAATAATACATGCACGTTACAAAGGTGTATAAATCAAAAGGGATATTTATGATAGCTGCATGTGACTGTACACTGCTGAGAGTACTTTTGCGACATTAATGAAAAAATGACAACGTGAAATTACTGTTCACTTACCTCAGTCTACTGGTTGGCCACAGGCGATCCAAAGCAATCTCGCTTGGCCCTGAATTTTCTTCATTACACTCTGCCCCTTGCTGCGCACGGCGTCATTGCCCAAGCTATTTTCTCAAAATCCTTGGCTTGTGCCTTGGGAGCTGGAGTATGAGTTGGGTCAGAAGCAGGGGTATTATCCTTGCTTGGGCGCTGTGCTCTTCTAGAGCGGCTGCGGCGGAGACGCCAGTTGTAGCGACTGCATCGATAGTGGCGGCGGTGGGCAGCCTCGCTCTCGGGGTTTTTCTGCGGAATCCTGCAGATTGCGCACCTGAAACTTACAGCTGTCCATCATTCTGGTAAACTCATTGTTCGTGTGCTCACCGCTGTTATTATTGCTCGACTGGTCATCCTCAATATTAGATTCAAGGTGCAGGCTTGGTGGAAAAGAAGTCATTGTCTTTTAGTCTATTTTAATTTTGGGGTGGTCGTAGACGCTACTAGTGCAAATGGAAAAGACAATGGTTCAGTCGCTTGCTTCACGGTTTGCTGAAAAATCGTTTGCTGAAAATACTGTTCTTCATTCTGCATCCTTTCTACCGACTCCTATTTGTGGCTAAAGCTGCTCTTAAAAATATTATAAATTGATTATTTCTCTACGCCCTTGCGTTCAATACTGCCCTGCCATTTTATCTGGCTGTCGAGCATGTGGTCAAATAAATTAAACAGTGGTTAATATGACGCTAAATACTCACATTGTTGCTAGTACTGCCTGTTGTATTCTCCGCGCGGCTGTGCCGCTCGTAAATTATTATAAATAATTGTGATATTATTATTTATACAAAAATAGAGATGAAAAATATACATATAGCTTCATTAATAGTGTTACGCAGCCCGGGGATATGGAGGTAGACGCTGAGGGCAAAAATCATGAGACAGATCTCATCAGCTCACAGATGGATCTGATATGGGCCAAATTACAGGGGATCAAATTAGGCGCCACAATGACATCCGGACATACTGCCTGTCCCGAAATGGATGTGCTGGGCGCAAGAATACAGACATGCCAATTATCCATACCAGAGACCCGGGTTACTTTCATAAGGACCAGTTCTTGAGAACGGAGCACACGACTTCCAGTGAGTGCTACAAAGACAAGGATATATATAAGGCGAGGCCGGCGATAATAGCACTTTTTGGTCTTGGCATAGGATCCGGTACAACTCCATGTCTAGGTGCTTACGCTACAATCAATGAAGCTTTGGAAGTGACTTACCCGTCATTGCTGACGGCTAGCAGCGGCCTTTGTGCTTTGTGCACTCGTGCCGACTATCCAAAAACGACACTGCTGGCAGTGGTATTTGTGTTTTGCACAGTTGCGCCGCCACTTGTTGGCAATTTTGCTGACAGAGACGGCGGCATTGGTGTATTATTCACTGTTGCCAACCGAGTTCTGACCAGCCACGCAGGTCCCATCCTCCTATTCTGCGTGCAGCGTCAGTTTGACTTGCAGAGTGACCAACTCAGAGTGCAATTGTGCAAGCTCGTTGTGGCGTGCGTCTATCTCGGCGCTTTGTGCAGTAATTGTGCTAATAAATGTGTCCGGCTCTCCGCGTGACGAAGCCATCTGTCTGTAAAGAGCTTTCATCCAGTCGCGAGCCGCACAGACCTAGTCAATGGCATATATAGCCAGATAAATGTCATTATCTACCCTCTTGCGCCTGGTGTTGATATGGGCATCAGTTGCTTCAAAGACCCGGCTCAAGGCTTGCGCTCTGACGCGACACCTCAGGGCAGGTGCAAGGGTTGAAGATAAAAGAAAAGGTTCCCTCAAAAAAGCGGCGCAAGGTGAAGAATTGGAGGCAGTTGCTACGGGCCAGTATTTTGCAGCTCGCACAGGGGTCATTTTTAATGTATCAAAAACACGAGACAAAAAAGCCACAAAAAGCCATTCCACAAGGTAGATAAATTCAAACCATTTTGTTGTGCTTAACCTGGACCATCATGGTCTGAAGACACGGGCATTGCTACTGTGAGCACACACAGCGCGCAATGAGAATGTGGAAATAATTTTTATTTTATTTTATAACGTAATTTTGATTGTTCTTCAACTTGAATTGTTTTTGGTGTTTTATAAATACCGACCCAGAAAAAGTCTAATAGTTCGAAAATGCACGAAAGTGCATGAGTGGTGTTAATTCTTACATGCATGTATTTTGACGGCCAATCAGCTAAGCAGCTCAATTAAATTAATATATTACATTTCAGCCTTTGTGTTTATGTTAAAAATAATCCTTATTTTTCCGCAAAGTTATATGACAGGGCATTCACCTGCTGATCCAATATCTTAAAAGTATCCATCCATATTGCTTTCACAGAACCACATTCAGCCCCAGATCAGATCATCATAAATATCCAGCTAACCCTGCCCTAATTTTTTAAAAGTTTCTCCGTGTCTATATATTCTAAACAGATATAAATAAATTACTCATCCGCTGTAACATCTCCATACTCCCGAATGCCCTGCGCGCAGCCATAAATCCTCACCAATAGTTTGAATTGTTAAAGCACCCTGACCATCATGCTTTGTCGCCAACGCGCTTTCAACAATGGTCTACCAATATTTGGATCATAAAGCGCCAAATGCAGCAATCCTAATGATTTTTTCGGCTTGCCCATTTGCAAAAACAACCAACCCTCCACCGGGGGGGGGGGGAGGCAGCTCCATCAAAGCGCCCTGCACATAATCCTTAACAAACTCATTGTGCAACTGGGACGGCAACCAAAGAAAAATACAAAGCAAGCCTACTGGGCAAAAATAAACGACAGCTGTTTTATGAAGGCTGCAGGAAATAGGCGGATGCAGTCTAGAGTGAGTATCTCGGTGTTGCCAAAATAGATGTAGCTAACTTCAATATCGCGCTTGGTGGCGCCGACAAAACGGATTTGCATACAGCGCCATTTGTTTCCAATCGTGTAGCAAGCGCAGATAAGGTGGCTGGCCTTAGGGACAAACTTAGTGTCAGTTTGAGCGCAACTGGCAGGTTGGTCATCAAGGTCTTGATATCGGTGATGCTGAACGAGTGCGCAGGAAAAAGGAAACCTTAAAGTGCAGGCAATTGAGCTGGGGCACGCTTTGCTAGCGATAGAGCAGGCGGCACCATACGCAGCACTGGGCAAAAAATTAAGCGGCTGCGGCGCGATGCTGAGGCCAAGAGGGGCTTGCTCAAGACGCTGTGCATCTCGCGCAATGTTATCCGATTGTCAACCAAAACCGAGATCATGAGCATCCAGGAGCGATATACATGCGAGCAGGCCAAGTTGATCAACCGGAAGAAAAATATGGCTTGGCACTGTTGCTGGAGTCGCATAAAGCCAATCTAAGGCAGGAGCAGTTATGTAGATGGATATGAACTCGGACATGCGCATGACGCAGCTAGCAAACCGAATTGCCAAGACCTTAACTTCTTAGCACCGGACAAAGCCGTCCGCCTAGTGTGCACAGCAAAAAAAGCAAGAAGCGCGTTACTAATCCCAAGGCAATGCTAAAGTGCTTGAGGGCGCTAGAGCAAGTGGCTGCCTGTTTGCTCCCAAAGCCGCGAATAATTTAAATGGCTATAGCAGCTGAGGCCATGCTACCAGCCACTAAGGACGTTGTTGCCATGGATCTCGCCAACCTGTAAGCCAAGGTGGCCTTGCTACTGTTAACACCGTGCATAATAACAAGTCCGCACGCTACCAGGAGGTGCTTGTAATAAACCTTGAGTGCAAGCAAAACCCCAAGGGCTGCCGGCAGTGCTGCCGCGTTGCCAAGGTACAGGCTAGGTTTAGCAAAGTGCAGGTTAGAGTGAACACATGCCCTCATGCCATGGCCATACTGGAGGTTGTGCTGCGATTGTCAACGTTACCCGGCAATGCTTCGGCCACCATAGCCAGCACTGCAGTCTGGAAACTGCAAATAAAGCTGCCAGTGAGCACCCAATGCGTCAACAACACACACAGACTCCACATAGCTCAGTAGCTGCTGCGGCACTGTCTTCAAAGAGCCACAATCTTACAGCACTGTAGAAGGGCGTTTTCAAGCTTTAGCAAAAGCACAAGGCACTGCTTGAGCTGGTCACAAAATAGCAAGTTACCATCCGCCAGCTGCAGAGCATCAAAAAGGCTTTTTAGCCAATATTTGCACCGCAAACACTCAAACAAACGCCACAGTTCTTGCCACGGCCATTGTCTTCTCTAAGCGGCACATGCTGTGAGAATCTGCCACTCTTGCTGACAAGAATGTATAAGCGGGGTTGTGGCAGTCTATTGGCACAGAAACACTGGCTTGCCAACACAACATAGACAGCGACAGCAGTGCCCACCTACTCTGATAATAATTCCGAATCTGCAGCAAAGACAGCAATGCCAAAGCTGTAAATTGTATTGTTGCCCAAAAATAAAATCAGTGGCGCCAACTACGCCATACTCATTTTTTTGCTGCTGCAAAAGTCGCACATGAGTTCAAGGCCATGCTGCTTAGAATTCCAAAAAACATGACAGCGCTGGATGTCACCAAGTTCTATTAACTGCTTTTAGCGCACACATCTGCTATTCCTTTGCATGCTGCCTCCTGCCGCCCAGTAAACCAAAAACGCTACACGCCAGCAAAACCTCTGCATAAACATGCATACTGCTACTGTGATTCATGGATGTCAGGGCAGTTTCTTTGTCTCGCCAATGCATCATATGGCCTAGAGATTGTGGCACCAGTGTCCTTGCTAGCCGCAACGCCCAGTGCTCATTTTATGCTGTGCGATCTTTCAATAGACGCTGTTGATAGCCCATATATGCTTCAGTGTTGGCAAAAACGCAGCTGAGTGACCGGCTGTGTTAACTATGCCATGGAGGCAGAATATATGACCTGGCTGATGATACGCGTTGTGCAGCCAATTGCCGCTGGAATCCATGATATCTATGCAAAGAATCATATCAGGGAGGAGGCCATGCGTTGTAAGCTGTAATGGTTGATAAGTGTGCGTAGCGCTTGCCAACAGAGGCTGAGTTTCCAGCCACGTCCTGGTCAAAGTGTCAGATAAGCTGCGCAGTTTGCGTCCCAAAGACAGCGCGTATGCTGTGGTTATGTGCGCGCACAACTTGCTTGCTCCATACATGGTGACTGAGACAGAAGCTGCGCTGTAGTATTTACAAAGGAAAAGTAGCATTCAATATATAGCAAGTGTAAGGTGTAATACATACTATTTTAGCATTAGTAATGAAAAGAGATAGTTTGGCTTTGGATCGTTTGACAGACAGAATGATAGCAATCACAAATGGCCAGAATAGGCTCAAACGAGTAAATTAAACCAAAGCGTATATTAATCGCTCCGCTTTTCTCTGTTACGCAGTGCATTGCAGCATAATTATCTGCGCTATATCGAGAAAGTGTAAGGACATTTGTATGCTTGCAAAACTTTATTGTTTTAGATTGCTCTCGTTTTATTTTTTTAAAATTTTTTGAGTGAAAGAAATATTTATTTGTTAAAAAGTAATAATTACATTGAATAAAATTGGTGGATCGCTAGAATGGTTTGGGCCTAGCTAAGAGCATGTGCAGAATTCTTGCCTCTTGCTGGGCAAGCTCCTCAGGCGTACGCCTTTATGCAAGATTATCACTGGGTATGCTCGTTGAGTTGCAAGGGTCGTTCACTTATTGGAGAAGAGCGAAAAGCTCAGGGCACTTCACAGCCAATTTCTTGCGAAGAGCCTCCATATGTCTGCTAGTTATATCAGGCGTCGCACCGGGGGTGTAGCCAGCCCAGTCATTGCGATAGCCCCATTGTGCCCGGCGTCTGCTTGTTTATCTGTTGCCTCAAAACACAGCACAAGGCAGCAACCTTGCTACGCGGCGCCTTGGAGCTAATGCAGGGTTGGCCGTTCAGGGCACGGGCAGTGGCAATATTGCAGCGGAGAGTGTTAATTGTTGAGTTCGCCGCGGCAAGGTTGTTGTGCACAGTGTCCATCTCGGCGCGAGTATTCTTAGGGCTGCGCTGCAAAGTGTCCACTTTAGCAGAAGAAGAGTTGAGGTTGCGCCGCATAGTGTCTGCCTGAGCGCGAGTATACTCCAGGCTGCGCTGCATAGTTTTCAACTCAGCGCGAGCATACTTGAGGATGCGCTGCAAAGTATGTACCTCAGCGCGAGTATGCTTGAGATTGTTTTGCAAAGTATCTATCTCAGCACGAGTGGAATTAATATTTTTCTGCACAGTGTCTGTCTCGGTACGTGTAGATTCGAGATTGTGCTTTAAAGTGGCTGCTTCTGTGCGAGAAGATTTGAGGTCGTTCTGCAAGATGTCAATCGTAAATCTGGCCGTGGCAAAGTTGGTCTGCATACTGTCCGCTTTGGTTTTCATCAAGTTCAGTTCACAGTGGAGAGTTTCAATTGTATCGTAGGACATATCAAGCTTGCTGCGAGCAGTGTTGGCCTGTACATAAGCTGTGTCTATATTGTCCCGCAGAGTGCTGATTGTGAATATTTTTGAAGAAAGCTCATCGCGCAGGCCGACCACTTCGGTACGAGTGAAAGTGAGCATCTCGAGGAGATTGTTTGCATTGGCAGTCGACAATTCAAGTTGCGCACGCAAAGTCGCAGCCTCATTGGTAGACGATGAAAGAGTGTCGCGCAGAGTGTCGCGCAGAGTGGTCAACCTTGCACAGGTCGAAAGGAAAAGAGAGCCGGCGGCAGCTGCCATACGAAGTGCAATGGTGCTTTCGCGGCTCTTAGAATCAACCATGGCGCGGAGAAGGCAAGCTCGTCACGCAGAATGTTCTCGTTGGCACGAGAAGAGGCCAGATCACTTTGGAGAACCTCCACCTTGGCGTTGGAAGAAGCAAGCTTGCTACGCAGAGAAGCCACTTCAGCACAGAACAAATCGAGCTCAGAGTGAGCATCAGTGAGCTGGGTGCAGGCCATGGCAAGTTCATGGCGCAGAGCGGCCGCCTCAGCGTGGGAGTCGGTGAGGTTGGCGCTGGTGCTGTCAAGGCACGCACGAGTTGAAGTGAGTTCGCATGTCACAGCCTCGAGGATCTCGCGAGTAACGCGCTGCTTGCGCACAAGCACACGAGACTTGGGGTGAGGTAAGTGCTTGGCCACAGGCGGCAACAGCAGGGAATCATAGCAGCGCTCATATTGAGAGCTGCAGCCTTGAAGGACATGTTCAACAATTTGCAAAAAAGGGATGGAAAAAAATAAATAAATATAAAAATGGAAAACTAAAATTTGTTGCTATTTTCTACCTTTATAGGTTTTGTTTTACTTAGTATTTAACTTATAGAGTAGCGGTGTGTCAAAAAGACAAGTGAAAACAGTTCGAGTTTAAACGGGCGCAAAGAAGAGTTTGGGTTTGGGCGAGTCCAAAATGGAATACGGGTATGAACGCAAGTAACAAGTGTTATTTTACAAGAAGATTGGCGTGGAGAGGAAAACTTGGTATTTTTGGAGGAAAATAGGGAAAGAAAAAATGGAGCGAGGGTGGGTGGGAGTATGCCTTTTTTATTTCTAGGGAGCAAGCATCCTTATTGTCGCCTATTTTTTGTGCTGCGACGCTTCGTGCTGTTTCGTGAAAATGCACGTTCTGATTTTGAGCAAATCTGGCCAATGAAATTATTTTAACTTTGAACCGCAACGCGTTTTATTATTTTTATTATTTTTGTGCGATTGCCAAGGGAAAAATACAAACATGGATTTTCCATATCTTTTGCCTAAATGTGGATGATCGGAATGTGCGCGTATGGATCTCCAGTCACTTTTTAATTTACCCTTTTTGGTGACGCGTATCTAGAAAGCAGCTGAAAAATATCTAAATTTGTTGACTCGGAAAAAATAGAACGATTCTTCTATATTATCAAGATGTCTTTTTTCAGTCTGTCAGGCTGCACTACCCCAAGCAGGGCTCAGCAGCAGTAGTATTCCAGTAGCAGTAATAGATGCCGATGTTGACATCCATATTTGTGGTGATGACTGTGCGGGGGATCACGGTCAAACAGGGACTTTTCCTTTGTTTACTTTTCTCCACATGAATCCCAATCGAGTTTTTGCTACGCCAAAAAAAGCATGTCGCGTAAATAATTCACCACCTGCTTGGTTGAATTATTATCACTCTTTTCGATTTGCTTTTCTTCCATCCCTTTCTCTTTTTCTCGAACGCATCGAATAAACGAGGGAAACAAAAAATTCTCAGCTTTTTTGTTTATGGGGAGGGATGAAATAAAAAATAATTCAATTGTTATTGTGTGAAAAAATAGACAATACGCCTGTCAAGATGGGAGGTCAAAAAATAATCGGCGTTTTGATGATTTGGCGCCTTTTTCCTCTACGTTCGACAGATGAAAAAATAATGGCACAATGAAAATTGGTTTGTCGGCACCCTCATTGTCAGAACAGCCAGAAAAAAGTAGCCATTGGCTTAGTTGGTTCACCTTAACGGTACCAAGACAGAACAGCCCAAATATTACAGCTGGTTTCAAACCAGTGGGGGCGATATTCGGGACACGAATGCTGAATGTATCTTATTTGGCCAAAAAAGGCAAAGAAAAGAACCACAGGCAAATCATTTTTCGAAACAGGCGGTTCTAGAAGCCTTATTGCACGCAAACAAGCGTTGTCAAAACGGCGCTTGCTTGCTCGCTTAGTTAGTATTTCTTTTATTTTTGTCAGCACATTAGTGCTTGTTTTCTTTTTTTTGCGCTTGGCCTTGCTAATTCAAAAATAAAATGTCGAATTTGGAATTCAATTTTCCAATTTTCCAAAAAGTTATTTTTGGCTCGATTGTATTGTGCATATTTAATCGAGCCTTGCACAAGCCTCACGTTTAAATCAGAAGCGCATAAACAAAAATTTAGACGGCCCGCGATGAGTAGCTATGGCCATTGTATCAGAATCAGAAACAAGCGACCTGTGTAAGCTTTCTATGAAGCCAGACGATTCTTAAACCATTTGGTGGCCTGCGCCCTAATCGGAACCATTGGTAATTCAACGCCCGCAGGTAGGCACGGTGACGGGTACTATTTGCGCTGATCAGTACATGCAGGAAATGCAGATCAGTATTTATTTTATAGCCAAGGCTCGAATTACATTATATCCACGTGCGCCAATTGGAAATATAATTTTATTTGCTTATTTCCAAAAAAAATCCAAGGCCAGGATTCAAGCTCAGGACTAATCAAACTTTATAAAATAGACAGCGTGACTCAATCCTTTTACAAATATGTATCAGTAGCATTAACTGCGTGACGTATATTTTCTCCTCTTTTTCTTTTCTTTTTCTGTTATATTTTATTTATTAAATTTAAATTCGCTTTTTATTTCTCACCGTTTTCTTCGTCTGCTATGCCACTTTATGAACCATGCGCAGCTTGACTTTTCTTAAGAAGCTTCTCGTCTGACGCTTCTATTCCAGCAAATCAGTGTTCATTTTTTAGCTGGTTTGAATTAATCTGTTGCACAGACTGAAGATATGGAAGTGGATGTTGAGGTCGAGAATCGCAAAACAGGTTTCCACCTACGCGCCGATTGATAGGACACTAATTGGACCATGCAGGCGTAAATTAGGGAGGCATTACATTGATACCCAAACATGCTCCCCATTTTACAATACACACGCATGAGCATATACGCACGAAAACCACAACATTGGCTTCCCAAGATACCGGTCTGCTCGCAGAAAATCCAGTTCATACCAATGGAGCGCACAATTGACAATGTGCACAACAAAGGCAACAAGGCACATATATAAGACAAGGCTAGCCCTAGTAATATTTTAAAAACATCAGTAATAAAACCTTTTATAAAATCACACCTACTTTTTAACACTAGACAACTAGTGCTCCTCACACCCCCTCTTACTATAACAAATCGATTTCGCAAAAAAGGCCTTGTTTTATCCACCCATTCCTCTTTTGTTATTTACTTGTAAAGACAGTCGCTATAATCTGCACGACGGGTATTTATCTTGGCCTGGAACCATGGCCTCTCAAGTTGTCGCTGCACTTGACTAAACCCTTGCTTCCAAGGCCAAATACAAGCATGCCTTTTCGAAGATCTAAGTCTCCCGTAAAAATTTGCACAGGTGACAAGCATAGCATCATGTATTAACTAGGATCCCGCGTAAACAACTGCAATGGCCGAGTGTGGCAGTGAGGATTAATGCTGAAGCAATGTATGTTTTCCAGCTCAAAACAACAAGCAAAGGCTTGGGCTTATGCCTGTACTAGAACTATGCACTGAGCTTAAATCCATTGTCATCGAAATGAGCATCAATATTACCAACCTTATAATCAAGTCAAGCTACTTTTTATAAGTCGACAAGTTAATACAAGCTGACTCACTAGAGATGTGCTGAAGGGTTTAGCACCAAGGCATTAACATGCTGTATATTGCAGTATACAATCACTGCAAGCTGGGATATAGTTGAATGGAGATGTGTGTGAACACCCCCAAAAAAGGCAGCAGCAGTGTAATTGTGACGCCAAAATTGGGCTGGGTCACATGATAACGGAGACGCATGGGATATATGTCACAATTTAGGTATATGGCGTTGCATGCTGCCTTACTGAGATTAATTGATTACGTGTATGGCAATTGAGAAATGATAATAAGTTTTTATTATAGTTTATTTATATGCCAAGAAAAACATATAAAAGGAGCAGCTGTCGAGCAGCCAGGAATTGCTCTTGGAAGAAATAAATATTCTTTATTTTCAAAAGCCATTTGCGTTTATATTTTGTCATGCACTTTATTTTTATCTATTTTATTATTTCATATGTTAATGAATCTGGACTCTCCACCCAGCAGAACTAATAATGCTGTGTGTTGTGCTCTATGAAAATGTGGGTCTAAATTAATATATTCAAGTCTTAAAAATTACTTAAGGAATTGAAAAAAGGGGGCAGCTGTTATGTTAAAAATATATATATTTGAACAAAATGAACTAAAAGAAAGTTAAGAGATGAACAACCTTTTGTTCATATTCATTAGTATTTATGTGTGCGTATGAATTCCCACATATCCAAGTAGGGGATTAACTAGCAATTGATGCATTAATCAATCGCCAAAGACAAGCCACATTTTCTTGTATCACACGCGTGAGTGCACATACACGAAAACCACAACACTGACTTGTCAAGATACCAGTCTGCTTACAGGAGAACCAATTCTCGTCAATGGAGTGTGCAACTGGTGAAGTGCATAACAAAGCAAACGAGATATATATAAGATGAGGTCGGCTTTAGTTACGCTTTTGGTTCCATTGATAATAAAAACCATAAATTAACACCTCACCTTTAACACTACATCATAGTGCTCCACATATATCCCCCTTTTTAAGTTCCCTAAGTAATTTTCTGATACTTGAATATAATAATTTAGACCCACATTTTTATAGAGCATAACAATATTAATATTGGCTTTTTGAGCAATTAAATCATACTTCTGCTACTGGAATTGGTCACTATATCCGGTTATTACAATGACACCACAGCTCATTTTGAAGCATGGAAACAAACGTGTAGACAGACAATTGATTTTAAAATGTAAACATGCTTCTTCAGGACAAAAATAATGATGTTATTGCGAAAATAGTTATTGGTTGATGGCAATCAACTGATTAACCAGTCTTGGCTGTTTAGCAACACAAACAATAAGTCACACAGTGACCAAAGCAATATGCTTTCTACTCTTCACCTTTCGCAGTGCATAGCACTTATTTATTAAATATACTTTATATCATTATAGTTTATCTACACGTTCATAGAACGTTCCTATATTCCAACAATAGTGCTCTAGTTATCAGTTTTATTCAAACAGTTTATGAGAACAGCGTAATGGAATATAAAATAGTTAGAAAAAGTACCAATATCAACGGGACATTATTGTGTTGGATCTAATTCTCTATTTTTTCTTACATCTCTCTTTATATTGCTGTGGCTCCAGATTCTGACTAGCTTGTGATACGCCTTTCTGAGCTCTGATTTCTGCCCCCACATGGTCAGTGACCGCTTGGGCGTCCCACTTGTGCGCTTCTCCAAGGGCTACTTCATACACACTGTCATCGAGTTGCCTGCAATATTTGCAATGATTTATTTTTTTCAATCTGCGCGAAACAGCTACTTGGATATTCATTTACAGAGATAATCAGTGAGCCCAAAGCAAATTAACAACGTCACAAGTGTTTCTTGACTAATCTTGGAGCCAATAAGCAGCATATTAAATGTTTTTCAAGCTAATTTTAATTTGTTTTTATTTTAAATTTCATCTAGCAAGTTTCAGTATATACACAAAATTTTATTAGTTTGTATTGTTATGTAAGAGGGGGTGGGGAGCACTACTGTAATAGTGTTAAATAATAGGTGCAAAATTATAAAGGTTTTATTAGTGTTTCTAAAGTGCTATTATTGCCGGCCTCGCCTTATATATATTTCCTTGTCTTTGTGGCACTCACTGGCAGTTGTGTGCTCCGTTCGCGAGAACTGGTCCTTATGAAAGTAACCCGGGTTTCTGATATGACATAATTGGCATGTCTGTATTCTTGCGCCCAGCACATACATTTCGGGACAGGCAGTATGTCCGGATGTCAGTTGTGGCGCCTAATTTGATCCCCTGTAATTTGGCCCATATCAGATCCATCTGTGAGCTGACGAGAATCTGTCTCATGGTTTTCGCCCTCAGCGTCTACCTCCATATCCTCGGGCTGCATAACAGTATTATACACTCAAAAACGCTGACTCCAGTCATGAGCCGAGCGCAGTGAAAAATAAGAAATTGGCGGTGGACTGGATGTGTAGCCTAGAGTTGCATTGGCAAGCGTGTCAAAGTTCCCAGCAGCTCGAAAGGGATAAAGAAACGTGTAATGAGTATAATCTAGTGGCTGTTATAGTGCCAAAATTTTGTTTGTTTGATTTTCCCACACTTCCTACCTTTTTAGCTCCCTACCTCTATGCCTTTGTATTGCCTGTTTTTTATTTTTATTTTTTTATGAGTTGCATCTACAACATTACAAGCTGATCAGACTTGTAATGATTGCTGTGCCGCCATGTATTTAATAATAAATTTAATAAAACCCCGAGAACATTTTACAATGTTTCAAGGCCCATGGACACTCATCTTTTTTTTGTTTATTCTTTTTTTTTGTTCTGTTGTTTTTTGTTTGTTCTGTTTTTGTTCTTTTTTGTTCTGTTTTTGTTCTGTTTTTGTTCTGTTTTTGTTCTGTTTTTGTTCTTTTTTGTTCTTTTGTTGTTCTTTTTTGTTGTTCTTTTTTGTTCAGGCAATACATTAGCAAGGAGGGCGGGTAGCAGCAAAGGGAGGAGTGGGTAATGAGGAGACAAAATATGAAGATAAGGGCTGGTTGTATGACGAAAGAGGATTTGACGTGGAAAGCTAGTGGGTGTGTTCAAACATTCCCTGGCATAAGTTGTGTTTTGAAAGTGAAAATGTGGACTGTAGATTTTGCGAGCGAAGGGTTGGTTATTGAAAAGTCAAGAGGAGGTAAGTGGTATCCGCGGTCGCTGGTGGTATATTCCATATACAAACATGGTGTGTAAAGTGTAATTGGTAAGTAGTGTTGTAACAAATTGTGGTTGGGATGAGAAACCAAAGAAATGTCTTGGGAAGTGGACGCTCTATTTATATGAAACCTGGCATTCAAATGGATGGATGAGAAAGGCAGCTAAAACAGACCTATCATTTAGAAAAAGAGATGGAAAATAAAAAATACAACGAGTTCGTTTTTCATCAGCCTAAAATAATTTTCCCATGTTTTTTTTGCACCAAGAGGCGTGTATTTTTGTAATTAAACAAGCCCAAACTGCCAAAAATAGTAGCAAAATATATCTCCATGTGCTTGAAAAATGTAAACATTGCATCATTTTGATTCCAACATTGCATCATTTATGCCGTGAAATAAAGTGAAAATGATTTTGATATTTGCAAAAATACAAACATGCATTCGGCCATTTTTGCAAGACAAACAATGATATCTTTTTTTGGGAGGGGGGGCAGATTTTGTTCCGAAAATTTACATGTATATTTAGAGAACCTGGGTAAGAGGCCCAACCTGAAACATAAGCAATTGGTATTTGCTATAAAGGATATTAATCAAAAAATGATATTTATTTTTTCCAAGGAGGACAATTCCTGGCTGCCCGACAGCCAGGAATTATATGCTCTCCTTGGCATGTAAATAACCTATAATAAAACCTATCATCATTGCTCTGATTGCCACATGAGTAATCAATTAATCTCAGTAAGGCAACATGCAAAGCCATGTGCCTTAACTGTGGCATATCATTGGAGTCAATTCACAAACTGATTTGCGTAGCATTGGATGTCAGTGCTTTAAAAGCATGTTCACAAAATGATGAATCATTTCCAGTAATGACATGTACAGGATGCTGCTTCCATTATTGCTAAAAATCCCATGTATAAATAAGACATGGTTTCTCGAATATTCAGTCGGTAGTTCTTTAGGCACTCTTGCTCCTTTTTTTACTCACAACTGCAAACATCTTTATTTTATTTACCAGCAACCATCATTTTCAACATGCAGCTCTTCTAATTCACCACTCTTGCCCTGATTGCCGTTGCTGCCACTGCTGTTGTGTGCGCTGACGCTTATGCCAATGCCATTTTTGACAGGTTTGGAGTGTTTCATTACCCAAAGAAACCCTCTTGGTGCACAAAAAGAGTGCAAAAATATTTTAGGCTAGCAAAACACAGAAACCCACTGCATTTTCATTTTTCCATCTCTTTTTTCAACTGGTAGGGCTTTTTTGCTGCCCTTTTCCATCTATTTGCATGTCTCATTTCATATAAAAAGAGCGCCCAGTTTCCAAGTTTTTTTGGTTCCCTATCTCCCTCCCAACAACCACTTACTTTAAAATACTACCACCTTTTTTCCAATACACACATATTTTCCTAACATTAGGACATCATGACTACAGTACACGCGCACACATGCAGCAGCATTAACTTCGACTTCAACATGGATTATTGGCTTACAATACATAGCTTTTGTGGGAGGGGATCAGACACATACAACAGTTCTCGCACAGCATCATCCATTGGACTACATTGGCTCATATATTATATCCGCCGTCTGCCACAGCCACAGCCATGCTCATTTGCGCATCACAAAAAAATAATGTGTCTAGTAAACATTCGGTAAGATATCTGCAACTGGTCTCATCAATGTCATGTCTGGGATGTCTGGGTATATAAGGGGACCTAAAGAACACCCTTATAATAAAAATCGGGCTGGTTCCATTCCATAAGACCTGTAACTGTGGTATATACAGGGGCCCACAGAACATTTGTTCAATATGAATCCGGCTGGTGATACACCTAAGACCTGAAATCAGAGGCAGTGGAATAGGGGAAGGGCAGGGTTTACCCATATACCTTCTCTAGATTGCCAGCGTCTGGATGGGCTCCTCACAAAATCACAACATGGGCATGGCTAGAAAGAGTAGCGCATGTACCAAACCCAAAGACATGACAACCAGTTGCAAATATCTCCGAGCGTCCAACGACATTTTGCACTCGAAGCTCTATGAGCTCTAAACAGCTATCATTTGCGCGGCAATTATTTTTAGATGGCACTTTACTTTTAACTGCTAATTTTTGTCTTTGCCACCCATCATGGCAGAAAATAAAACCACTGTACATACTGTGATACAAGAAATTGTGGCTAGTTTCTGACGATTGATTAATGAATCAATCGCCAGTTAATTCCCTACTTGGACATGCGGGAATTCAAATACTAATGAATATGAACAGTGGAGGCTGTTCATCTCTCAGCTTTCTTTTAGCTCAAATATATATTTTTAACATAACACTTGGTAGCACCTCCGCACACATTTTTTTGGCATACTTTTTGCTAATATTTTCTACTTGCTGCGTTTTTCTTTGCAAGTAACCTCAGCCTACTTTGGCACAGTTATTTTATTTTACACTATTCTTTATTCCTTATATTTCGTTCTGTCTCCGCACCATGTCGGCCTCTGAACTCCAAGTTGCTACTGGTCCTTTACCTGCTGCAGCTGCACCAGCTCAACTCATGCCTTCAGTGTACTCTGGATTTGCCAAGCTTGCAGAGCACATCCCCTGTTTTGATGGCAAAGTGGAGGCATATCCGCTCAGCATATGGGTAAAGAGTGTGGAGAGGATATTTGCACAGTTAGGTGTGACCCACCCAGAACACAAGGCAGATCTCACATGCATGTGTCTCTCAGAGACAGTTGCTGCTGAGTGGGAAAATTATCTTGATAGTCTGGATGCATCTGGCCCTGCCACTTTTGATGATCTCAGGTCTTATTTGGAGATCACATTTGAGACCATCAGCAGCAGCTTCCACGGCCTGCAGAAGCTCAACCAGCTGCGATTCATGGCTGATGCTGACCTCCTGGCTTTCCACCAGGAGTTTGACCACCTCATATGCTGTGAAAAGATGGATAATCCACAAAATGCCCTCGACTGGTATCGTTTTTGCCTACCAAAGGAGTTTAATAAGGACCTTTTCTCCAAGGACATTGACAGTCTCACTGCTGCTAAAGCCACAGTTCAGCAGGCTTGGAGCACTCGCAAGATGCTGAGGGAGGAAGGGGTTAGAAAACCCTCAACAAAGACCACTCCTAAGGCTGCAACTGCTCATGACCCCATGGCAATGGAAGTCGATGCTATCAATATCTGCGGCAGCTCAGGAAAAAGGGGCTGAGGCAATGGGCTGAAGTATAACCCAAAATGGCACAAATGCACTCAACGTGAATTTGAACAGTGGATCGAAAACAGACAGTGTGTTAATTGTGGCTCAGACGAACATTTTTCGCGTGGTTTCCGGGCTGGAAAGCAAAACAATAGCAATGACAACAGCCGAGGAAATGGTCGCCCAATTAATGTCCGTGTGGTTGGCATTGCCAAGCCGGAGGACAATGACTCTGATCAGGGAAACGCCTTTTGAGTGATGACACAAGTGTCTCTCACTCTGTCGTTAGTAGTACTGGCTTTACATTTATTCAAATAAACGCCAACTCTACTAAAAATCTTGCACACTCACAGGTGCTGGTGCCCTGCAAGCTCGAAAACAACAAAACACTCACTGCCTTGGTTGACTCAGGGGCACAAGGATGCTGCATCTCTCCGCAGACCGTCAATGCCCTCAGGCTGCCAGTCAGCAGGACTGCGATTACCACTGTCGTCCACCTTGCAGATGGCAAGGAATTCTACAGGACCAATGAGTATGTGAAGCTGACGCTGGACGTTGGCATAAAGGGCTGCATGATTATGATGTGCTGTTGTGTTGTGCCGATTGGGGAGGAACTTCTCATTGGCATGTCGTGGTTGGCACCACATGATGGCACTGTATTCTGCAGTAAATGGCATGGCCCTGAGTACAATGGCAAGGATGACAGTCGGCTATATATTTCCAGATTGAAGTGCACAAATTACAGCCATGGTGGAAAGAAGCAGGCAAATTGCAGAGCTATCTCAGTCAATCAGCTACCTACAATGCTGCGGGATGAACATGAGGTCGCTCAAATTGACATGTTTGTTGCTGTTGTGCAGAGCAAGGAAGGCACAGCCAGCATCATTGCCTCCACAAATTTCGCTGACCAGAAACATGCTGCCACCATCCAACAAGAGTTTTCTGACGTCTTTGGGATACCACCGAAAGGACTGCCACCAACGCACATAGTAGACCATGCCATTGATTTGCTTCCAGGAGCACGCCCACACTCACAGCAACCATACCGCCTGTCGCATTTTGAGAATGACGAACTGGAGAAACAGCTCTATGAGATGATTGAGCTGGGCTACATCAAATGCTCTGTATCGCCGTGGGGTGCACCTGTACTTTTTGTGAAGAAGAAAGATGGCACCATGCAGATGTGCGTCGATTACCGCCAGTTGAATGAGGTAACAGTCAAAGACTCATTCATGATTCTGCATATCGATGATTTCCTTGACATGACAAATGGTGCCCAGTATTTCACAAAGCTGGACCTGTGCACAGCCTACCACCAAGTACATGTAAGGAAAGGCGATGAACCAAAGACAGCATTTAGCACTCGTTTTGGCAGTTTCCAGTACCATGTGCTGCCATTTGGCCTGTGCAATGCACCAGCGACATTCCAGCAAGTAATCCAGGATGCATTAAAAGAGCAGATTAACAAATACTGTGTCGCCTACCTTGATGACATCCTTATCTTCTCGGCCACACCTGAGGAACACATTCAGCATGTCCAGTCTATGCTCAAGACACTACGTGGTGAGCAGCTGTATTGCAAAGCCACCAAATGTGAACTGTTTAAACCCACAGTTGAGTTTTTAGGACATGTTGTGTCACACAACAAGATCTGCATGGACCCGCAAAAGGTTGCTACTATTAATGAGTGGAAGCCACTTAAAGATGTTACTGATGTGCGCTGCTTCCATGGCACCTGCAATTTTTACCGGCAGTTTATCCGTGATTTTGCCGAAATTGCACGGCCACTCACTGACCTTTTGAAGGCTGGTCAGTTTGAGTGGACTGCCGAGGCGCAGAAAGCATTTGGTATGCTCAAGAAAGCACTGTGTTCCCAACCTGTGTTGCAGCCGTTCGACCCCCAACTTCCCAAACGTGTGGAGACAGATGCATTGGATTATGCCATTGGAGCTGTGTTACACCAGAAACGCGATGACGGCTGGCACCCAGTTACATTCCTGTCATGCAGACTGACACCAGCAGAAAGCAAGCATGCAATCTATGGCAAAGAGCTGCTGGCCATTATTGCAGCACTGTTGGGCTGGCGCCACTATCTATTAGGGACAGAGTTTGAAGTATTGACAGATCAGCATGCATTGAAGCATTTGAAGAGCCAGGCACATGTCAACCCTCAGTTTGCTAGGTTCTTGACAATTATCACTGAATTCGATTTTACAATTACTTACCAGGAGGGAAAGTTCAATACAGTGGCAGATGCACTGTCACGGCCACCATGTGAGGAGCTGTCAACAAAAGAAGCAAGCTACCAAGAAAAACTGGAGCAGATGCTACACATCACACATAAGGACATGCTGTTTACAGACAGCCCATTGTCAAGCAGACTTTCATCAGAAAGTCCATTGCCCAGAACATCAGTCGAGAAGGCTCCTCACTGCACAACAACATCTGCACACATTCACGCAGAGCCTGCTATTTCGGCGAACCCTATACCAGTGCCACCACTGCCAGCATCTACACCACCATCACTGCCAGTGCTTTCCACGCCATCATCCCCCACTATGCCAGCACTAGGGGATCTCCTTGGGAAACAGTTTTTGGTGCTACGAGATACTCCACAACCATGCCCAAAGCCAATGACGACAGAGTATCTAACATGCCACATTAGCGACAGTGAGAGCTCAGATTCTGATAACAGTGGTGCATGCTCACCAGGTATTGTCCGCTCAGCAGTCGAAATTTCCGAGAATATAGACACAATCTCTCAACAGAGGGAGGAGGGGGAGTTGTTAGTACCAAGCAGAGCACCGATGGAGGATGTCACACCCACATGCAAGCAAGGAATTGCAATGGACACAGGTGACTTGAGTGATGACCAACATGACATTGACATGAACACTGTCACAATTGCACAGCCAGTAGTACTCTCACAGGCGTCCGACTCTTACAAGGGCGATAAGAACTTGGAGACCATTGTTGACATCCTACAGCAAAGTGACACAAGTGCAGCCAAACGCAAAAAGGTCCAGCAATACTCCCTCCGAAATGATGTACTGCGCAAGAAAAACCGGTGCTGCATTGGCAACAAGCGCCTGAGAGCTAAACTGATTGCTGAATTCCATGACACTGCGACTGCCATGCACCAGGGAGTGGACAGGACATACCAGAGCCTGCAGAAGCACTACTATTGGTCGAGGATGATCAACGATGTCACTGAGTTCGTCAATTCCTGTGACGCATGCCAGCGGACTAAGCCAAATAACCAGAAGTATGGTCTACTGCAGAGTCTCGAGCAGCCAACGAGACCTTGGTCTGACATATCCATGGACTTCATCATGCATCTCCCTGTGGCTGGTGGATATGACTCAATTATGATCGTTGTTGATCGCCTGTCAAAGATAGTACATTGCATTCCAACGAAGGACAGCGTCACAGACGAGCAGACCGCTGAGCTCCTCATTGACAGGGTGTTCCATTACCATGGCATGCCACGCACAATTGTGTCTGATCGCGATCCAAAGTTTACGTCAACTTTCTGGAAAACACTGTTTAAGCATTTTGGCACACAGCTTAAGATGAGCACGGCACATCACCCACAGACTGACGGCCAGACTGAGTGCGCTAACCGCACCATTGAAGGTATGCTCCGGGCGGTCACCAACATGCAACAAAACGACTGGCACAAGCATTTAGCGCTGACAGAATTTGCCTACAATTCGTATGAAAATGGCTCCACGAAAGTCACACCATTCTTCTGCAACTATGGTCAGGAACCATATGTACCAGCGATGCTCAACAACCCGGACAGCAGCGACAGTATCACGGCGACCCAGCGTGCCAGACTCCTAAAAGAGATCATCAAGTCGGTAAAGGAGAGCATTATGCTATCACAGGAACGCGCCGCCAGGTACCACGATGAAGGATGCGTCGAAAGCCAAATCAAGAAAGGCGACGAGGTGTTGATCGCGCGCAAGCTAGCAAACCCCGAATACGTGCAGTCGTCCCAGAAGGCGTTTGGTGACAGCTGGATTGGCCCATACAAGGTTGAGGAGACTGTCGGCAAAAACGCCCTCCGCATTGCTTTGCCACCTGAAATTCGAATTCACCCGGTTGTTTCAATTTGCTTCGTCAAGCCGTATACACGCTCAGTTCAATTTAAGCGTGCTCATGAGTCACAACCACCACCAGTAAATAGGTCTGACGCCGAGGAGTACGAGTTGGAATGCATTGTGGACCACCGAGACAAACGTAATTTTGGTCGACAATATTTGGTGCGCTGGAAAGGTTATAGCAAGGATAAAGATGAGTGGATTCACGAAAGAATGTTAGGAAACGCAAAAGGCGCGTTAAACAAATACCTAGTCTTCAAGAACAGATGGACAAGCCTAGAGGGGAAGAGTGTGATACAAGAAATTGCGGCTTGTCTCCGGCGATTGATTAATGAATCAATTGCCAGTTAATTCCATACTTGGACATGCGGGAATTCATATGCACATATAAATACTAATGAATATGAACAGTGGACGCTGTTCATATTCATTAGCCTTCTTTTAGTTTAAATATATAGTTTTAACATAACAGCAACTCAAAAATAGCAACGTTAATGCAATGCTGCGCAGCCTGAAGACATAGAAGTAGATGTCGAGGTTGAGGATCGTGAAACAAGGTTCCATCTGCATGCTAGTTGATAGGGTACTAATTTGATTATGCAGGCGTAAATTAGGGAGGCATCATAATGATGCCCAGGCATGCTCCCCATTTTGCAATGCACACGCGTGAGTGTACATACACTAAAACCACAACATTGGCTTGCCAAGATACCGGTTTGCTTGCAGAAGATCCAGTTCTTGCTAACGGAGCGCAAAATTGAAAATGTGCACAACAAAGGCGACAAGGCACATATATAAGACAAGGCTGGCCCTAGTAGCATTTTAGGAACATCAGTAATAAACCCTTTTATAAAATCACCCATACCTTTTAACACTAGACAACTAGTGCTTCTCACACCCCCTCTT